AACAGTTTAGCGGCGCTACAACACACAGCAGGTCCCGTTTGACAAGAAACACTTATGTTACACTTTGCTTACTTTGTCAAAGTGGTTTACCTGTTTAGCAGAAAGGTTACAGGGTCCGTAAGATCCCGAAGCGTCATCCATCGTTTAAGCTAGCTTCATTGACGTTGAGTCGGCTTTTTAGCTCTTGCCCGGGTGGTCTACCTCCTTTTTAAGCGCCCGTTACTCCGCCAGAGTCTCCGGTATTTACTTCGTTTTCTTGCCTGTGTCGGCAGTCGTGGCAAAAGGAGGATTCAGACAATTTTCTGTACTTTCTCGTTCGATATTGTAGGACGCTAATTTCGGTTGGGCTCGTGCACATTACTCGAGGGCGCGGAGCGAGCCTCACAGCACGAGGGAGCAGCGTCCGCCTCACAACCAATCAGCACTAAGGAGCAGCGTTCGCCTCACAACCAATCAGGTCAGGGGAGCGGAGAACGGTTTTGTTTAAATTTAGACTGAGCGGACCGCTCGGCGATGTTAAAGGTAAGCCTATAAGAAAACAGCGATATGGTGTAACTAATAGCTATTGACTGATAGTAAAAGCTTTTTTGTATATACACCACAAAAATATGCTTCTTTAATGGATTCCTGCCTACCAAACCCTTTAAGTGAGCCAAATTAAGTGTTTTTGTTACCGTTGAGAGAGGTCATGTGCTCTTTTTACCTTTCTGAATCAAACCACATATCAAACACGTGCTGCACTAGAAAGACTTAACTGAGTGATGCCAAGCATTCCTGACAGCTTACCTCTCTTTGCACAGACTTGCCACATTAACCTCAAGTCATTTACAAACAATGAAGAAGCTCGATATTACTCATCAGCTAACACTAAGTCATGAAGAATGTGGAAGATTAAGATGTCGTATGACACACTGTAAAACTGTTTAGTGTTTTGTTCATTCATGAAAAGTCCACAGTACCTTGTCAGCAATTCACATCTCAGAAGATCTAGTGTCAAACTTAATGGAGTCAAATCAGAGGCAGCTTAAAGGTATACTCATCAGTACGGGCTCTGTAGACCATTTTAATATTTATTATTTTTCATGCAATGTAAACTTGGGCAACCGTTTAGCTTACTGTGGCTCTGGTGATGACACTGTCTGTTATTAGTTCAAATCACCCACCTTGGTAAAATGGGAAGTCAGTGTTTAGGTGACAAAACCAGTTTGAGATCTCAGATGGATGCCCCTCAGATGGCACCCAAAGCAAGCCAATCTGTCAGATCCCTAATGTTAAAATGCCCAATACAAAAACCTGACTTCGTTCTCAGTAGCTTTTTGTCTCAGACTATTAGACTGAAATGGATGGATTTTAATAAAACATTTAAATTACATACCTTTAATATTTTATATACTGCTATCTATCTGCTAGGTGTTGTTCAAACTCATTCCAGCCACTTGGGTGTCATTCAGATATGATTAGTTCTTGCTAAAAAACTAAACTAAATAGACTTTTTTTTTTCAATTGTTGTTATACAACCAAATATTTATTTAGGCTTGGTTTTACACTCAATGCAAGGCAATGCCAAAAAGTATAATACATAAGATTCCTCATTATAGTTGAGAAGGGGGGAGAATGTTGTTTTTAATCTGTGCTGATGTATTCTACTCATATTCTGTAGAAGTGTGGTATAAATTGTGAAAACGAGGACTAAAAAATGTTTTAAAACCATACGTCCTTTTTCAGCCTTTTAGTTCTTCAGGATTCAGGCTCAGCACCCAAATTCTCTACACTGGTACTCAAGACTAAAATATACCTCCTCTGTTGGTTTACCCCCTCCTCCCACTTCCATTTCCGGCACAGTGTTGGGAGATCTGACATCACAGGGTCCATCATGTGATCCACCCACAAAGCTCTGCAGTGAAGGATGGGGTCTACCTGTGACGCACAGTCTTCCTTGTAACCCTTTACAAGCCAGACAACTGTTTGGTGAAGAAAGAATAGAGACCACTGTCTCATAATAAGATGAAGTAAATGCAATTGGATTCATATGATTATATTCTTAAAATGAAAATTGTATTAACTAGTGCTAATTTGCATCAGTCTGTTGAGGATAAAAGATGAAGCGGAAACTAAACCAGTTTATCACGTTAACTAATTAGTTTGTTATGAATTATATCTGTAGCTGGTGAAATGTTACAACAATTTTTCAAGCCACCATAGTTTGTAAAAAGAAGCAGTCATTCAGGAAAATTTATAGGGGTGCTTGTCAGAAAACTAAAACTTGAAGTGAGCTTGATTATCCCATTAAGTACAAATAAGGTCAATATGAGAAGATCATACCTCTGGAAAAATAGAGCCTCCATCATACAAGTACCAAACAAAAAGGCAGAAAGGATTACCCCCTGAATCATGTAGCACAAATCAATCTGAAGATTCTGAGTCAAGTTTATAAATAATGATTTTTATGACTCTGCTGGTTCCCATGGACTGTATTGGTTAAAACAGTGCGATAAGGAGACTGAATTTGATTGACCATTGCCTCTTAAGTAGAACAAATTTTCACGATTCATGAAGTACTGTTGGCTGAAATAAACTGGGCGTGTCCAAATACCTTGGCTAGGAGTCAACTTAATTCAAATAGATTTTGAGCAGACAGTAATCAAGTGGGACAATGTCAGCAAACTAAAACCCACAAGAGTTTCTGCATATGCCCTCCTAAATATTTCTAGAAAATTTCAGGACCTATTCACAAAGACAACTCACTCTGAAAATCTGTGACATTTTTGGAGGTTAAGTGTGAACTAAGTTGGTTACATATGATCAAAACTTAAACTTTGATAACAGTTAATGCATTCATTGTATTAAAATAAAAAGAAGTGAACCTTAATGTTAAAACTAAAAACTTTTAAAAAGTATATAATTATAATCATCTATTACCAGATTAACAAACGTGTGCCCACCTGTGTGAATTTAACTTTATGCTTTCCAACCTGGTGTGACATTAGCTGGTAAACTCACACCATCATCATTCTGTGAATTGAAACCATCAACACCCACGCAAATCTGCAAAAAAAAGATGATTTATGGTCAACTCCATTGTGGCAAGTGTTCTTCATTAGTTGATGCTGACGGACTCTTTCTACGCCAACATTGAGCACAATTGGTTTACAAGTAAATCCAAAAGATGCCACAATCTTCTGGATTTTCTTTAAGAATTTTGTTCTAGATCCTTAACACAAACAATCTGTGAAAGAAAGGAGGATAACCATAATCCCCAGTGATTTCTTTGACAAAAAAATACCATCCTGGGCCTAGCAACTCAACCACACACCCTATACATGAGCTAGGGTGTGTTAATCAGGCAGACCAGGTTGTCTTTAGTCTGTAGTCCTTTGCCACATGTCACTCCTCATTCTCTGCCATGGTTTCCGGCTATTTTGATAAATGCATAAAAGCCCAAAATATTAAACTCACACAAAAAACAAGACTATTTGGTTGTCCTTACAATGGTTTTGGTTGATCAGGCTGTTATTGGTTGAACATGAGGTAAGTCAAATGCTCTATTGGACATTGACGTGCATTATCATGTGATCTAACAAAACACTTAAAACTGCTAACGGACCAGAGGACGTGTTAAAATCAGATGAGTTTCACTTCCAACTTCTTCTAACTCTGAAGGGAGTGAAAGGTATAAAAAGGGGAGTGTGCAGTCGTGAGAGAACTTTAACTTCTTCTTTGACTCCAAATCATGCCCAGATTTTTGCAATGAATCTTTTATAATCATTAAGTCATGCACTTGCCATCCTTAAACTTTAGATAAAAATCATAAAAACCATTTGCTAATTTTACACGTTCCAGCTAAAAACATGTAGACCTACCAAATCTCGAATGTTACCATGACATCAAACTTCAGTCAGCACATTGGTGTTTAGAGTTTATCATTCTCCATGGTAATAGACAAGTACCAAAGATCATCTATTCATGAATGATGGCTAACTCTGTACGAAAAGATTTTTCGACATGTCAACATTGTGTGGTAGTCAGTGACTTTGACACACTAAAAGACATATTACCAGTCAAATTCCTCATATGAGTACAAATACTAGATCGGTAAAGCTGGTTCTGATTCTTCTGACATTAAAGTTTTGAAGGATTAGGGAAAATACTTTTTAGGAATTTCTTCAAGGTTAAAAACCTCTACAATGACTCTGAAAACCATGCCAGAGTTGCTATGTAGTTTTTTTTGTTTGTCTGACAATTATATCAAACCATCTGTCAACCAGAGATTAATAGAACTACATTTTCTGTTTAGAAAGACAATTTTGACAAATATTTCAGGAAAAAAAGAACAACTCATTTTCAATGAATGAGGAAGGCCTTTCATGAATTTCCTGGAAAACTCAAGCAATACATTTCCCATTGGTAACAAAAAAACAGGTACCAAGACAAGACCATCAATTTTCAGTTGCAGAGAATACTATCTCTAATCTTAAAATGAGAACATTTAGAGAAGTGTGTAAAGTCAAGGAATCACAAATGTCTTTTGCAAAGACTCAACTTTTTAAACAGTCTCTAAAAAAGGTTATTCTGATTGCTAACTCTATTTTACTGAGATCTGTATTATGACAATGTAGTTTTCATCAACAGACATGGATAAAGATGATAACATAATGGTTTTTAACTTAAGTATTGAGTTGAAACAATTAGGAAAAATATGTATTATTAGCACACAATTAGCACATTGTTTTTTGCTGTGGTGTGCTGGGGTGGAGGCATCAAGGAGGGAGAGCAAAATAAGATCGACAGGCTGGTGAGGAAGACCAGCAAGGTGGTGGGCCACAAACTGGACAGTTTGGAGGCAGTGACGGAGAGGAGGATAAGGGACAAGATTAACAACATTTTGGAAAACCCCTCTCAACCCCTCCACGAGGAGCTGTGGCTGAGAGAGACTTACTCTCTCTGGGTGCAGAACAGAGGGGTTCAGGCGCTCCTTCCTTCCCACAGCCATTAGACTCAACTCTCAACTCAACTCAACTTTATTTATAGAGCACTTTAAATACAACCAAAGCTGACACAAAGTGCTGTACATAATAACATAAAAACATACAACAACAATAAATAGTTGTTTTAAAATATAATAAAAAGCAATACAACAAATACGCTGTCATGCTGCGTCAAAAGCCAAGGAGTAAAAATGGGTTCTTAGACGGGTTTTAAAAATGGACAGCGAGGGGGCTGTTTAATCAGTCTGTTTAATAGGCCTGAAATGAGATGTAGCTCGCACACACACACACAGGTGCTAGCACGATGGAGCACTTTAACTTTTAGGGTTTTATCTTGTTTACTGTCAACTATTTATTTGTTGTCATAGCTATTTATTTTGATGATACCTATTGTGTGTCCTGTCATATCTGTTGCTGCTGTGACAATACAAATTTCCCCTTTGGGGATCAATAAAGTTCTATTCTATCCTATTCTTCGAAAAGTGCATCGGAGTGAGACAACTTTCTCAGTTCCTATCTTTGATCGTGTAAAAAAAAAAAAAAATCTGAAAACGTAACTTTTGCTCAATGCGCGCGCTCTGGTGTGACATAATGGGAGATACGAGCCTTGAAAAGCTCGAGGCGGCGCGCGCAGTCGGTTATTCTCAGACCCTGCTCGCGAACAGAGGACAGTTAAGGGGAACAGTTACCTGACGGACACAGGCCTTTTCATTTAACACACTTTATATTTTACACCACTTCGCTTTTGTTTCTGTGAGGTAATGGGCAGGGTGGCGCTCTGACGGCTTTACTACTTGATATTTTTGACATTTTTGGAAATAATGATGAAGAAGGACATGAATTTAAGCATGGCAGAGGACTCGGACCTCAAACCGCATCTCCGTGACACCGACGGCATCCTCAGTTCCCCGGAGCTGGGACTGCTCAAACTGGCGTCCCCGGAGCTGGAGAGACTCATCATCCAGTCCAACGGAATGGTCACCACGACACCCACCAGCACCCAGTTCCTGTACCCAAAGGCGGTGACAGAGGAGCAGGAGTTCGCCGAGGGCTTCGTGAAGGCGCTGGAGGATCTACACAAGCAGAACCAGCTGAGCGGAGCCGGGCAGACGAACGGAACCCTGGATCTGGGCTCCAACATCGCGCCGGTCACCGTCCAGCCGGATCTACCGGTTTACACGAACTTGAACACTTTCGGCTCTGTGCCTCTGGAAACCACCGTGAACTTCTCCACAGACACGGTGTCTTTCCCTCCGCCTCCTCCGCCGCAGCAGCATCTGGGGGCAGCCCCGCCACAGCCGGATCTCTCACGGGTCCAGCCGCCGAAGGAGGAGCCTCAGACGGTCCCTGACGTTCAGAGTTTCGGGGAAAGTCCGCCGCTGTCTCCGATCGACATTGACTCACAAGAGCGCATGAAAGCCGAGAGGAAGAGGCTCAGGAACCGCATCGCGGCCTCCAAGTGTCGGATGCGCAAACTTGAGCGGATTTCCAGGTTGGAGGACAAGGTGAAAACGCTTAAAAACCATAACACCGATCTGGCGTCGACGGCGAGTCAACTAAGGGAGCAAGTGGCCCAGCTAAAAGAGAAAGTCCTCACCCATGTCAACAGCGGCTGCCAGCTGCTGCCACATGAGGTCCAAGTGCACTAGCGAAGCAAAAAGACAGATGTTGTACACTGACCAGCGTATAAGCTTCATGGACTTTGGTCAATGTTTCGTTGGGTAGCTTGAGTGGGCCTAGCTGCGCACCGTCCACTATGGATGGACGTCAGGCAACCCAAACCGAACCTTACTTTAATTATCGTAAATTTAAATGGCTTTGAGCATTTGCGGGATATTAACCATACTTGGTAGAACAAGATTGAATAGAAACGGTGCTGACTCTATGTTGCTTCCATCGGCGGGTGGATGATTAATAAAATAGTGCGGTTGTGTTTTTATTAGTTACAAAGATTCCAGCAACCGCAATATTTTCAGTCTTCTCCGCCTGGTTGAAAGCAAGAATCACTATTCACCATTACTGGATTTTTAAATTGATAAGTGTCCAGTAAGTCAATCAGAATTATGCCGAATTTAAGAGTGTTTGTCCCCATTGTGTTTGATGTATGAAATCCTGTTCTACCTCGTATGTTGGCTGACTTGTGACCAAGGCAGTTATATTTTGGATTTTTTAAGACGTAATCTGGTGACAACTTCCCTGGTGAGAAAAGGAGCCAATTTTTGTGGCTACATGCTCAACATATCTGGAGTTTTCTTGTCTTGTATAAATGTTTACAGACTGGCTTTGTCTATTTACAGTCTCATGGACCACGTTTGATATATAAGAAATAATCTATATGAATGAGTATTTACCACATATTTCTGTATGGATCAATTTGCATGTTGTTGACATACTCGAATGTTGCCCACTGTTGGGTGTCAAAGGGTGCAATTTACCAGTGTTTAATATTCTAAATCTTTACAAAAACATATTTATGTATTTTTTACTTGATTGTGTCCACATATGTCAGTGTGTTCTCGTTTTTATGTGAAGAAGTGTAATGTTTTTGTTGCACTGACTGTTGCTGTCTCCTCTGGCCTACAGTTATTTGGCTGTGCACTGCTGTGTTTTGATCTAAATGCTGCTCGGCAATAAACACTGTTTCCTCTATTTTGGCAACTGTTGATTTTTTATGATCAAAGTCACACACACAAAACACATAATAGTAAAGCAAAATAAACAATGATGCCTTAAATGGGATACAAGTTCCTTTATAACTGTTCCTCTGATAAAGACTGAATGGATTCGATGCAAGGTGAAAACAGGATTCTGGGAGTGTGTGTGTGCTTGAATGTTCATCATATCCTTACTCTGGTGTCTTTCTCCCTCTGCTGGTTAACTGGAAAATAGCAAAGGCTCTTGTTGCCTGGTGTTTTAGCAGATATTTCTAGGATTCGTGGAGACATTTCTGAAATCCTGGAGGACATTAAAGAGGTTGACAATATCCACACAGTGTGGATGAAAACAAGAGTTGATTTTAGTTTTTGAACAGTGAGCTGTGAGCTTGAATGACTGAGCCTTGTTAGTGCAGCAGAGCTAAATCTGATTAGGTAAGTGAATTTATATCCTGAGACAAGACTTGGACTAGTGTCAGTAAAAAAAAAAAAACGAACACTGTGACACCATTTGTTATCGACCAAACTGTTTTTTCTGCCTTGAGTAGTTAGAGGCTGATGTCTTGTCTTGCTGAGTGACCTGAAAATCAGACAAACCAAACCTAAAAGAAAACCTTACAACTTTAAAATATGTTGTTTTTTCTGCTGCTTCAATTCAAAAGCTTTAATTTGATACATTTAATCACACAATCTCATGTGACAGGAGGAGATAAATCATTAATACTCCACATCCTTATGAAGTAAAAATATGCATTCACATCTTTGTCCTATTTGACGTTTAGGAAGGTCTTGGTTCAACTATTTCAAACCTTAACTGTGTTGTTGTTTCCAATCTATCAATCTATCTATCAATCAATCACAGCTTGACTATAATATAAGCATTTACAATAAACACAATGCAAAAGTCTGAATTTGTTGCAGTTAATTAGAAAACATATTCTATGTAAACAACACTACGTTACAGCTCAATATGGAGCGTTTTAGGTGGAGGATAGCAGCCTGGATTCACTGTCTCTGCTTTCAAACCAATTTGATAAGTTGCAAACACAAATAATATGTAGAAAAGCAAATGGACAATAAAACTATAAGTTTAAGCTAAGTCAATTTTAAATATTCATCTCGTATAATATTGCCATTGTAATATTGAACAATTTGATCATGGGAGTTGAGCAATGATTGTCTCTGTACCTTTGTTGGGAGGATGCAAAGATTAACTTTCTACAAAACACAGCTATTAAGGCTCATCTTCACCAAAACTCAATCATGCACTGAAGTGTAAATGCACCTGAAAGTTTTGTTTTTGGAGAATAGAAACTGAAACAATACATGAAAAAGAAATCAGAGAACAATCAGATCAAAAACTCAATCTCAGGGGAAAATTTACTAAAACACCGGCAACAGTTCTGCAAATTGACTCTCCTGAGAGATATCAACTAAATTTGAAGAATCACATATTTTACTATCACATTTTTTAATGTCATCATCTTTGATGTGTCTCTTCATGCTGTAAATCGAGTATTTTTGCACTGACTTGCAACATAATGACAAACAGCACCACCCTCAGGCTTTTGGGAGAAGAAACACTGAATTATACGCCATCAAACTGTCAATCCGTTTTTCTTTTATGTGTGTGTGTGTGTGTGTGTGTGTGTGTGTGTGTGTGTGTGTGTGTGTGTGTGTGTGTGTGTGTGTGTGTGTGTGTGTGTGTGTGTGTGTGTGTGTGTGTGTGTAAATGAATAAATCAGAAAACCAAAATTTTAGAAAATCTAAGCAAGAAGGAAAAATTAAAAAATAAATAAAAAGACAAAAACAACAACAACCATAATAAAAACAACAAACAAGCATAGCAGACAAAAGAAAAAAACACAAACAGTATAGAAAAAGAGTAAGACAAAAACAATATATCAAAGACAATACCAATCACGGGTCATAAATTCCCTTTACATGAAGATCCTTCGTCTATTTATCATCATGTACATATCTTTATCATTTATCTCTGGGTATCAAACTGTCAATCTCACAGCTTTATTTAAATGGCAGTGTTTTATTTATGGCACCAAAATGTGTCTTATTTTCAATAAATGTGGATCTAACTGTCTATTCAAAATGAAGGAACATGATCTCACAATTTAAAACATGTGCCCATATTGGGATTTTAACCCATGACCCCAAAGGTTTAAAAAATGAAGCAGGAATCAACTGATTGTTAGTAACTTTTTATTGTTTTACCACAAAGTACAGATAAAAACATCCACAGCATATTCTCTCATCTTAATGGCCCAAACTGAGGAGGACTTGAAGAGGCAGTGATACGAGACCAACATGTTTCTGCGTGCTAGTAGAAGATCTAAAGTCGGCAACCTCTACCAAGCTTGATGGCATTTCTTTTTTTAGTGTAGATACTGTAGTGTGTATTGCTTCGTAACAGAGTGACACATTCATTCACAAGCAGGCCGAAAAATGAATGCAGATACGGAACAACATGGCTCTTTTTACTGTCATCTTTTTTTTTTTTTTTTTGGTCTATTTTCTTTGTTGTTTTTTTTTTCTGTTGCAAGCCTGAGTCAATACAACACAATCCACACATATGACTCAAAGGTACAGTATTTACAGATCTGGTTTATATAGAGAGGAAGACATTTTAGAAAGGAGAACAGTTTCAAAGTTCGGATTTTACTGGAAAAGAAACAGTCACAACCAGTAAGAAGTCAAATATAAACGCAGGATCAAAACCGTCTCACAGGTTTGTCATGATCAGCACTCCCTTTTCTCTGAAAATCATTTTCACTTTGACTAGAGACCCGTTTTCTGAGGTGTTAATAGTCAGCAGCTCGTCTGTGAATTCAGGTTGAAATGTCACACTCCAGAGTTAATTTATCTGATAGTTGCCTTTACAATTAAAAATTTCCTTCTGCAGATGTGCTGCCATCTTTAAGCCGAACTTTATAAAGCCTACTGAATAACTTGCATGGTTTTCATAGTGCTTTGGCCCCCTTAATCTATAGTTACCACCTTTATTAACTTTGAAATCCAACACCAAGTTTTAAGGGGGCATTGTAAAACAGTAAACCTGGAGTAAAACAGGAAGTTAGCTCAACCAAGCAGCATTCGTTGACTAACATTTCAAGTTTCAGGACTGTGACAATGCTTATTCAGCCACCCTAAAGCCAAATCAATGAGCGATCGTCAATGAGAAGGATAGAGGAAAGCACTTTTTACTAAACCGATGCATCCCCAGAGTGAGTGGTGCCAGAAATCTGCTGCAGTGCTGACATAAAAATAAAAAAAACACATTTCATTCAATTCCTGAATCAGACTTGCAACGTCACTTGTGACAATTTTAGCCTCAGGTGTTTGTTGCATGCTTGACCTTGCAGACTTCACCTGAAGCATCCCAGCTAACATCCCCAACTGTGAGGCTGACTCTGAGTTAGTCTGATGACTGGTTGTTTGCCACCCAGTAAGTTCCCAGTAAACCACTGAGACTTGACCTTTCATACTCTCTAAGTTTCAAAGATAACAATTACTGTACTCCGTTTAAATCAAATGTGCACTTCAGAATAATGGAAATTAACACGAGAGGCTGAGGATCTGAAGGACCGCGCGGATTTGATCCTGAAAACAGTATACCTAATTTAAAACATATGAAAAAGTTAGTGTGTCAGTTTGGTGAATCTTCAGACTAATCTCATGTGTCCTGCTGGCAAACAAATCTTAGTTTGTGCCAAGTCACAGCAATTCACCTGCTTTATCTCACTCTCTGCTGCTGGTAACATGTCGGTCTGCCCTCTGCTGCCTGTTCTTTTCAGGGCTCCAACTATCAGACAAAATACAATAAAAGCAGCATCGTTTGTATCTCGCTAACACAATCTACCATACATAATACAATTATAGTTTCTTTGATTGATGACTGCTGCAGAAGTAAAAGTACTTCTCTAGTCAAGAATTGTGAGTTCTTACGATCATGCTCTCAACCTCAAGACTTCGCATTCATCCAGCTCAGCTCGATGCACACCTGAAGGATTTTTTCTTCCCGCTTGAAATTCATGTGAAGAGTTGTTAGACTGCACGACTTTTGAGATATTCTTGAATTCAGCTCTGCTGTAATATTGAAGCCATTTTGAATCATTTACTTTTACTAGACACAATTTTTAGGGCGACTCTATAGCTTGTAAATCTGACCTAAAGGGTCATTTCACTTTATTTTTAATTTTTGCTGACTTCGCAGCACAAACCTTTTCACATTTTACACTTTCCTTGGAGAACTTCATTCCTTTTGTAAGTCATTTCCAGATATGCATACCTGTAGATATTATATATATATGTATATATATATTGCACAACATTTATATGTACAGTTGAAATAAATATAATTAAATTAAAGGCGTCTTAATTATTTTTTATTTTTTTGACCTAGCTCTATCTTGTTCATATTTTCCCTTACCCAGAGTTAAATGTATGAAAGAATAAGTGGGGCATCAGAATATAAAAAAGAAATGTAAAAACATAAAAAAAACACCAAATGAAAAGGCTCAGGTAAGGACTGAAAACAAAAAAAACCTGCTAATACCTGTAACATCCATGTTTGATACTAGGTGAGACAACACATGAAAAACAGATCCATGTAGTTTTGACTCTGTGTGTTTCCAGAATCAGAGAGGAAACTGAAACCACTGTGACCCTGTTGGACACCATAAATCCAAGCTGACATCTTTTCAAGACATTGGATTGACATAAAACAAAGAATTGTAAACATCGGAAGGATTTAAATGGCACTCGAACGCCGTAAAATCCTTCTTGTCAAACCACACTGAGGTACAGGGAGACAACAGAAGATGGCCCTCAAGAACCCAGGCTGCAAAGAGTCTGACGCACTCTGGTTGTATTGAACTAGCTTTGGCATCAGACCGGCACTGATCAGAGGAAAAACCCGACATCTTTCAGTTCCTTGAAGAGGAACAAAACACACCTCAAGCACTGTCCCATGGATATCTGAGAGCCTTTCAAACTCTTTACAGCCTGGTTCTTGTGCCCCGTAGCCAACGATACTCACTAATTCACAGAAAGAAGCAGGATAGTGAGTGAGAGGGGTGATGGGGGGGTGGGCCTGAGGCCCTGGGGTCCGACTGAGGGAGGAAAAGGAAAAAAAGAGAGGGGAGGAACAGAAGAGTAGTCGGCTTTAACATGCACAGTCCTGATGAGGAGGAGCAGGTTGCTCTGTCAGCTGGGGCCCCTGTTTGGCCCCTGTGACAGCGGGGTCCCCGGCATCCAAGCTCTCAGACATCTTTTCACAGATGATGTCGACCAGACGCTCGAACGTCTGCTTCACATTAATGTTGTCTTTGGCACTGGCCTCAAAAAATTCAAAACCTGGAGAAGAAGAAGGTGAAGGAGAGTGTTTAGATGTTTGAGTGGTCATTTAATGTCAGTGCGACCTCTGATGAGGTGAAACACTTCTTCACCAGGCTTGTAGCTCTGCTCCACTGTGAAATACCTTGACAGCTTTTAACCAACTAGTACACAAACAGCCAAAAAGTAAACCTGACAGTAGATTAAAGACATGAATGTCTGCATGAGCAAACTCACCGAGGTGTTCAGACAGCTGCCGGCCCCTGTCTCCACTGACAACTCGCTCATCATCCATGTCGCACTTGTTTCCTACCAAGAGCACCTGGGCATTGTCCCACGAGTACGTTTTAATCTGAGTCGACCTGAGAATAAAAGACACCGGGTTGGCAGAGAGGGTCATTAAACTGCAGCTGAATGTGAAATTCTTCCTCCTTTGACAAGATAGGACACTAAAATAAGACGTGCTGTGGATATATATCACAGTAAACCTTCATCCTCTGGCCTGAGGTCATGCACTACTTGTAAACACTCTGTCTGTTCCTAATTTAAAAAGGCTAAAACGTGACACCTGAACCTTTCAATCAAGTGGACAGAGAATATCAGGATAGTTCTTGAAAATTTTCCTTAAAGATACTAAGAGGAACTTAACAGCAAAGACACAGAGAGCCGAAGTCTGCATAAAAGACACAGAGGAGAAGGACTGTGATCTCTTCAGCATCCGGCTGATCTGCAGACACAAAGGAAGCTGTGGACCTTAAAAACAATACCCACAGAAACCCGAGCCAGATCGTCTCCTCCGCTAATCAGTCTTCAGTATCTCTCCATCTATTTCCAGCCTGCTGCTGACTGAAAATACCATTCGATATCTCTCATCCATACAGCGCTCCTTCCCTCGACTAAAACTCTGAGAGGTCAGTTTACACTCAAATCAGTCTAGCCGATCACGCACCAGTCCTGGACGGCGTTGAAGGACTCCTCATTGGTGATGTCGTACATGAGGATGAAGCCCATGGCTCCTCTGTAGTAGGCTGTGGTGATGGTGCGGTAACGCTCCTGACCTGCTGTGTCCTGGAGACACAAAGAAACAGATAAACAATTAGAAAGATGTGTTTAATTTAAACAAAGGAGAAGAAAAGACTTTTGTCTCATTATTGTTTTGACAGTGTTTGCTGTCCGGTTAAATCCTCAGATTTTCCTGATTTCTCACTCTGCTATACACAGAAAAATCAAATATGACTCTCATACTGGTCATAACAATAATTAATATTATACTAGAGGGTTTCATTCAAAGCATTGACTTGTATAAAGGCAGAAGACTTAAGTCCTGAAACCTGACAAGAGCCAGAAAACTTTTCTGCTTGATTTTTTTAAAGGATGTTTTTCACACTTATGAGCTCTGGCCAGCAATTCTCAATTGGTAAAGACAGTAAAGTTAAAACCAGCTTGAAGCTGAAGCCATTATGGTATAATTGGTAGGTTTGACACTAAAAGCAGTTTTGCTGGAAAGCTGCTGACCACTGCCGAGAAAAAAACAAGAGAAAAGTTTGCTCTACGCTAAAAGCTTCAGTGGCAGATTGAATCAATAAATGCCAACATTTAAACATCTTTATTTAAGTTTGCTGTTATAACTCAGTAGATGTTTTGCGTCATTCCTCCCTCTTTCTACCTCTTTTCTCCCTGTTTCCATCTCTTTCTTTAGCCTATCCTCCAAAAATACAAACTCAAGACTCTCTTTTTTCAAATCTTACATCTGTAAATAGCTGGGTTAGTTGCCAAAATACCTCCTCTCTCTTTCAAATTTGTTCTCTCTTTCTGTCTCTCACACTTTGGTAACAAATCCAGGTGAGGCTCAATTTCAGTGGTGAGCTCTAATGAAGGATCAGGTAATTAAAGCCTGGTGTCCCTGATACCTGACACTCAAAGTCCAACCCTGAGCTTCTGGCCCAACAGTATCGCTCTGCTTACAGCGTGGAGATCAGTAGAGCAAGACTGACATCTCCAGAACAGACAAACGACTAATAAGACATGACGAAAATTAAATAAATATGAAAACAAAAAACTCAGAATCGAGAGAATCTCTCTCAGAGGTCACAACAGTACGACACGTGGGACACCTATTTTTAGAGATGTTTTGTGGCTCCATATTGTTGTTGTAACGCTTTGTGGTTCATGTCCTCATCAACACTGCCGCAGGCCTCTCAGGATGAGAGCTCTATACCTAAAACGTCAGTGTAGGTAGTATTGAGTGCTGTTACATAATGAAGACAATGGAGCACTCGTCTTTTTGTGATGCTGTGAGCTCTGAGGACAGCCAAAGCAGGAACATTTGAGGCTACATACATCTTATATATTTATGTCTGTTTATACTTAGTTATAGAACTACGTGACAGTTTTAGAGCATGTGGCTAAAAATGAAATAAGATGTAGAGTCTGTATTTTGGATCAAGTCTTTTACACCAGCCAGAATACCACCTTGACAGGTGCCGACATATTGTACTGGTGAAGCTATGGCATGAGCAGAGGTGATCGAGCTGGAGGAGCTGCAGGACTAATGACACAATCCTTCTGTTGACCAGAATGTGTATCATCTACCGATAAAATGTCCAAGATCCCTCAGGTTTGTATTGTCCAGAGCTACCTTTCATTACCGGTTGTTGCAAAATCTTCTGATGTTTAATAGTTATGTTTCAGGATATTCTCCTTTATTCCAATAACACTAACAGCAATTCAGACAAGCGATGTGTGAGATGAAGATTACAGGGCCTGCTCTGTAACTCATTTCAACAGTGCAAGACTGCAGTCGACATTATGGTCTACTAGTTAAGGTGAACCTTGAGTCTACATGGTACAAGCAATAGAAAGCTATCATCACTGATTGTCAGGTGTCAATCAATCCGCCTACATGTGTCCCAGCAGCACAAAACAAAGCTACAAGCTTCTGAGATACGGGGTTTGGCTGGACATAAAGGACCCAAACAAAAGGAGTCTGGGGAGGAAGTCAATTTTCTTGCAACGTTTGATCAGATTTTCCTTGTTTTGATCATGCACGGAGGAGAATAAAACTTGAAGCAAAATAAAACATTCAAGACTCACAAGAAGACCACCAGGCTCATAAAGAGAGGTGTTGACCACGAAATGTCACGTGGACTACAAAAGTGACAGCTGTAGTTACAGATGTGCCTGAACCTGCATATCTCATATCTCAGAACATCCCCAGATATGGTGAAGCCACATCTGCTTTTCTAGATAAATATATCAGTTACAGATTGAACAAACAAACAAACAAAAAAATCCACTTACAAACACTTTCTATGTGACGTAAAAACCTTCAACCTGTTACAACAGGGATTAAAACTAAAAGAAATCACTTGTATTAAAATAATAGTTGGCAAAAGCAACATGAGCTGAGGTGATAAAAGACATGACATGACACGTTTCTCAGAGATGGTCCTGTGTGGTATGATTGTTGAGGCCAAAGCATTTTGTTGAGGATATGATTTCTAATAGGTACGTCACTTCCGGGGTTCGACACTGAGGGGTGTGGTTTTGGGATGTTTGGCGGGTTATCTAAATCTCACCAGTTGTGGTAAGCTCTGATAATTTTCTGCTGACTGTTTCACTCATCCTGTTTTAACCTCATTTCATCGTATCACTTTTTCATTCAAAGGCAAAAGTTTTGAACCTGGATCAGTGTGTTTTCTTTTCTTTTTTGGAACAATAAATCCATTTTTAACACTCAAACTGATAATTGAACGAGCCACAGATGCAAGCAAACCTAAACCCCTGTGGCTTTTTTGTTGAAGGAAAGCAGTCGCTATAATAATCTTAGAGAACTTGATCACCATTTTATGGTACGATGTTGATGGACACAATAGGATTACATAATGTTTGTGACTGTCTGATTCTGTCTGGATGACATAACATGCATGAGTCATAATAAGCAGATGTTACATTTCCATAACTCTACATAAACAGGCTCTATCTGCACACCTTATGAATATATGTATTCTGAATACTGGATGTTGACCGTTTTCATTTTTCCTCTGATGTGAGTCCCAGCTGAGAGGACTGCTGGGAGATGGGGGATGGGTGTGCATGTGCTCGTGTGTGTATATCTGCACGTGCAGGGAGGAAAAATGTGTAGTAATGGGGGAGGGGAGAGCAGCACCCAGTCATCTGTTTCTAATGCTCTGATTGGCTGGATATGTCCTCCTAACCAGAGGCAAAACCTGGCTAACGCTGACATCAGAACAGCAATGCACACAAAACACACACATACACACACACTACACTACTGTGTTCACATCACATCTCAGTCTGCTGCAGAAAGTGAAGCAAATGTTGAACGCTCAGAGTGATACAGAAACAGCCGTTTTCCTCTGGGAGCCTGCTGTCTTTACTCTGCTCTGTGTTTACTGTGGGGCCTCAAGAGCAAACACACATCTGATGAAACAAAACATAAAAACACGTCCTCCTGTTTACTAGAATCATCAAGATAACCAACTGTGTTGACCCTCATCATGGATTCTATTGATCTTATTATCTTCTGCTCATCCAAGTGTGCAGAGAGGGCAGAGCTGTGTGAAAATGTATGTAAGTGTACCGAGATCTGAAGACAGTTGGCATAATTAAACGGCCCCACAGGCTCTGACTCTGTTCACTTTGTTATGAAATACCTTTGAAATGTTATATGCTGTATAATTTAATAAAATTATGACTAACATGCAGATTTTGTTCCGGGGGTCTAAGGGGGTTTTACAAGTAACTGGGACTATATGTTCAACAAACTGACTAATCCTGGTTTCTGGAACAGCCTTTGGTGTGTGTGTCGCAGAGCAAGTTCAACATATCTCGGCCCTCTTTTAGTAATCTGGCTCAACAAAGCCTGAAGCTCTGCTTAAAAATAACACAAAACTGGTCATGCTGGTAATTTTTAAGACCAAAATTGAAAACACAGATTCTGCTTCCATCAACATTATTTAGCATCTTCACTTTTTTGGACATGAGGTTGTTTTTGTTGGTTTTGAAATTGACATAATTAATAGAAAATGAAAAGTTGAAACCTCTAACACCTGCTGCTTGATTTGTTGGATGCAGTTTCCTCTATCTGACTATATGACGTCTAGCTCCTGATACCAGAGGACCTAAGAGGTTACTTTTTTTAAGTTAATCAAAGAAGAATAATCTGATAAAACAGTTTTTTGCCTTTTTCTGGACATGCTGATAAAGAATAAATGCATAATTGAAATCATCGGCCTCAATTTTGTGCTGAGATGAAGTTTCACCACTTTTGCACTTTTTTAATAATGTCTCACAATCATTTGACTGTCAGCTCATCAAATCACTTCAGTAATTCAGTCTCAATTCAAAAGACACTCAGTTGGGGTAGTTTTATAGCTTGTCACACTCAATGGAAGACACTGGGGAGGGGTAGTGCTGTTGTAGATATCGTTGATTTATGTCTTTATCTTTTTCTTTTAACATATGTATTCTTTATTTTTACTTTAGTTTTTTTATTGTATTGTATTGCTCTTTAGTTATTTCCTTTTTTTTGTTAGATATATGTAAAAAATATTGTCATGTAAAACGTGTATTTAACTATTGAATTGTTTGAGATAAAAACATTTCAATAAATATATTTGTGGGGGAAAAAAAAGACACTCAGTTTTTACTTAACACCTCTCCACGTCTTACCCAGATCTGTAGTTTGATCCTCTTGTCGTTCCTGTAGATGGTCTTCACCTTGAAGTCGATGCCCACCGTACTGACGAAGGCAGGCGTGAAGGAGTCGTCAGCGTAGCGGAACAAGAAGGAGGTTTTACCCACACTGCTGTTACCAATGATGAGGATCTTGAACATATAGTCAAAGTTCTGGTCTGAGGACTCTTTTTGCCCATAGGTTGCTGTAGCTGAGGCCATCTGGTGACAAGAGCAAAAAGGGAAAATAACCGGTCAACCAAGAATCAAACAACCTGGAAAATCTTCATAATCAGTCTTTTGAGAATAAAATTGTGGATGAATTTGCCCAGTGTAACTATATCACCATTTTAACCTCATAGTTGGTCAGTGTTATTGTTTTTTTGCAGCAGTTCAACACACATGCAAGACACACAACTATTAAGAGTTGAAAGACTTGAGTTGATTGTGTATATTTGTGTCCATGGGAGTCAGTATAAGCTCATTATCTTTTGAGACTTTGCATTAAGAAGTATCAAAAGCACTGTTACTGTAACTGATGCTGAGGTTGTCTCTTTAATTCCAGCTAAATAACATGATAAGATATTCCATATTACTTCTAAATATGTTTCCGCTGGGAACTTTCTAAAAGCTTTTATTTGAATTAACTTGACCTAGAAGTGATAAAATCACACTTGAATTGATATTTTTGTGTTAATAATTTACAATGCAGCACAGTGAAAGTTGTGCATGAAGCTGTTGGATGTGTGTATTTCTGTTTAATATTAACATGGCACTGCTCTGGTCGTGCAAAGTACTGGAGTACTTCACAGACTGCTCAAACACCCATTTGAATTCTTATACATGACTGATGAGAAGTTTTATTTTTATTTGTGTGACACACAAATAAAAAGTTAGTTTTTACTTAGACTTGCTTCACAAATTAGGACCACAAAAGTGTTGTTTGCTGGATTTGGTTTGAGTGAGTCCATGCAGTTTGCGCAGGGTCTGCGACTGCTCTGGCTTCAGGGCTTAAAAATAGAAAACATGACCTTTCCTGAAAGTACAAACATTAATTTTCAGTTTGATCCACACTCTCTGAACACTCATCCAGGTAAGGGAATAACAGACTGAGGGTGAGAGATTTGTTTCTACACTACACATTTAGTTACAATAAGGTACTGTAAGATACAATATGATAAGACAGACTGTAAAATATGTTAAGATACAACAAAATACAACATAATAGGATGCGATACAATCAAAAAGATGTAATACGATTGGTTACAATAAGGTATGATGTAATGTAGCATGATGGGATTAAATACGATATGATAGAATACAATGCAATCCGATGCCATATGACACACAGCGACAAGATGCAAAGCTAAGTGATATCAAGCAACATAATAGACTTTGTTTTTCCATATGGGAAGTTTGTCTGACTAAAGTGTTCTTGTTTGACTGCTTTAAAAAAAGGTACTAAGACATGAAAACACTTGAAACAAACCACAATCCATGTGTGAACAGAGAAGCACATACCAAAGGGCACCAGAGACAATATTTATTGCACATCACCATAGTGCACAAGATCTAAACAGAGAACATTAGACAATATGAACTTCATAACACTATTACACCACCCACACAGGCTGGAGGCACTTTTTTTTTTACATATCATCAAGATGGGTTAAAAAGAGTTTTTGAAGCAGTTTTCTTCACATTAAGGGACTCTGTGTCATCTGCCTAAGGGTAAATGCTCAAACTAAGAGTGGAGGGCGCTTGATATCTCTGTGAATAATGAAAATAAATATAAGCAGCTAGTTATTAACAGTTGAAAATGTGCCTCTGATCCGAGGGAGGGATGAGGATTCAAAACATGCAGATTGGAGATGTAACAAACAGTTTATATGTCTAAATAAGCTGGTTCGATAAGTGATCTCATTGAGTCAGTTGTTTTTTTTCACACTCAGATATGGTGGTAAAGACTGCAGAGTTGAGGTGGGGGATGGGATGAGCTTCTGCCGAAGGCCTCCATCTGGAAACATCTCCACCCTCTATGGAGGCTTGTGTGGTAAACTGGGGTGTCCTGATGTTATCAAAGGCAAGCTTGCTCTCTCTGAATCAGTGCTTTTCTCCTTTAAAATTCAACATCAGCAAGAACTAAAACAGCAACAGAGCACAGAGAGCGTTTTTCATACAGAAAAGGTCATGAATGTGTTGTGTGTTCGGGTAGAGGATGAGAGGCGCCAGCATTAGTTTGACTCAGCATATTCGAGGATAGTGATTTACTAGTCCGGCTCTAACTTTGAACATTTGCTACGAGGTGATTAATCAAAGCTGTATTTGTGATGCAAAGGAGGAAAGAGAAACCCCATCTAAGTATTCTCTATGTGGGGAAACATTGGAGGCAAATCGCTCAATCTGTCACAACCAGGAGTGAATGTGTGAGACATAATTTCAGCAAACAAGAAGCTCAAGTTGCAGTTTTTGTTCAATGCATGAAGAATTATTTTAACTCCAGTCCCTCTGTGTTCATGCCATTACTGAACTATTTATGGTTACCTCCTGGCAAGCAATGTTCTGCCAAAACATAAGCAATGCTTGCTGTTCTGCACTGCTCTGGATAACCTTCTTCTTTGTCCCTGAAGTCTCATGCTTACAGCTGAAGTTACAAAGAGCATGACACCAATAAGAGGTAAGTATACCACCATGGTAACTTTAGATTAGGTAACCTACACAGTCTACCAGTCGACCTCGAGGTAGTTTCATCAGCAACAAAGCTACGATATGATAACACCTGTATATGACAAATCAAGGAACTGTCTGTGATTGTCTTTACTTTCTAAATAGTATTTAAATGGTTTCAATTCAATTGTTTTTCTTTTGGAAAATAGCCCAAAGAGGAGTCACCCCATTAGGCGAGCCAAGGTCTGTGATTTCAAACCAATCTGTTAGCCAGGAAGTATTTAACACTGTTTGCAAGGTATGTTGTTGAAAACATGCTCCCCTTTTACGAGAACTTGGGACTTCAAGAACCTCCCTGACACATCGACTCGAGCCCACAGCTCTCAGGGTCTGTATCGAGTCTGCTCTATATTTAGAGCGTTATCTCAGCTCAGCTGCAGCGAAAGACAAGAACTCTCAGGGTCTAAAGCAACAAACAAAACAACTGCACCCTCCTCACTGCTGTGGACGATCAGTTTACATGGAGGAACACAAGGATGCTCGATAAATAATGAAAAGGCATTGAATCTTCCTCAAGGTTTTTGTGTGAGGAGGAAGAGCAGGTAGATAAAGATGTGAGGTAAATCTGATTAGAGGATATATAAAATGCTGCACTGAAATGGGAAGTAACAGGCTAAAATTAACATAAATCAGACAAAAAGGTTTTAGTCTTTGCTTGGATTAGCAGAATTTATTCAAATGTATTCCCACTTTGAGGACAGTGGCAGAGCAGCCAAACACAGAAGCTTGGTTGTCTGTTTTAATGTGGTTGATCTAGATTTTTTTTCACAAATCTGCAGCCTGGGGACATCCTCAAAAAACCACATCCACTAAATATTCAGAGTTTAATTGTAGAAAACAAAAGTCATCATCTGGAAAAAAAACGTGACCAAATAGTCACATATTAAGCTTTTTATTGGATAATTCATACAGTCAAATTCCGTGGATGGTCAAAGCTCCTGTTAGAAACTTGCAGGAGGCATTGGTTGGACAGTCAAATGTGTCCCTCAGTGTGAATATCTGCTGCAAAACTAAAAAACAACGGAGGCTGTTTATGCTGTACCACATTTGTCTTGCACCAACCCTGCTGCAGTGGTGATAAAACAACTAAGTGGCCAATAAAATAACTATACAGAGGTAATCCATCACGTTGCTGTTGTTTTCCTTGGGTCTGATAGAGGCATCGGTTTCAATCTCAGTCTGTTTCATACGCAGTAAAAATCAACTCTCCGGTGCTTTGAGGACATTTTAGTTTTGGAAGAGATTAAACTGAATGAAAGTGTGTGTATTACTCAAAAACACTGGAAAGGAGAAGTATCCCCCTGCACAGTAAACCAACAGAAATATTTAGGTTATCTAAAGTAGGACTGTCATAATATATCGGTATCAATAGTAGCTGTTTTTTCCTTCTTCAGAATAAATATTATTGATATATTGGTAAGAATAAGGATATAGTTTCACTCAGAATTTAGAGTAGCAGCTGTTTCTGCTGGTTGCCTCACATCTTTCAACAGACGATGGACGAAGAAGAAGTAGTGGTCTGCTAGTGAACCATCTGTACCAAGGAAGTTTTGGTCTCAGGGCTGATAATGCCGATAAATTATAAATTTGAACATCATTTAAAATGGACGATGACATGTTGTATGTAATAGTTAAGTTTATGAAGTTATATGTTGCTCCACTACAATTTGACTGATTAATGTTGTTTTATTTTCATGTGTCCCATAAATATCGTTATCACAATATTTTATTGCCACAATAATCCTGAGGTGAAAATCTGGTGTCATTACAGCCCTGTATTGTTGTAAAAAAATTTCCTTCCTTTAAAATGATTTTATGTTCCAGTTACTTCAAGTCTCGGCATTAAGTAGTAAATTCAGAAAGTAGAAAGACAGTCTTTTCCATCAGCTTTCATTAGTCTTTTTAAGTACATGTGTTTTATTTTTCAGGCAGGGTAATCTAAATAACACCTCATTTTTACTCCATCTAACTCTCCTCTTCCTCCATATTTTACCACAAATCAGAGTTTCTGAACTGTTCATCTGTGTTTGATGTAAACAACTTCAAATTATCCATCACCTCATGCTGAACTCTGCAGGCATCCACACAAGTCCTGTGGATAACTGAGAGTGTCAGTCTGCAGTGAACTGCAGTGTGACTCACTGTGGGTAAGAGTGTAATCCATGACAACAAACCCAAAATGAGCACAAACACAGGAGTCAAAGGGGACCCACAGTGAGCTAACAACCGGAGATCTTACCGGATTTAACAGATCATAAGTGTCAAACAGCATGCTCGATGGTCAAAAGGTCAACAGAGGTGGTTCAGTTTGTCCTTTCTTATCTCCTTAGGCAAACACAGGTGGGACAATCTAATGATCCAGTAGTATGGAGGACGATACAGGCTTTGACTGAAGTTACAGGAGTGTACAGTCAACCTAGGGTCAGTTCATTTGGATTCTCATCGTAGTCACATAAGATAATTCATAAAAACAAACACCTGTATATTATAGAGTGACTATATTCTGAATTCCCAAAATGAGGACACTACTACTTGGGGCAGAGTCACGTGCAAAATTTTGAGGGTTTTTCAGGTTGGGTCAAGTGTTTTTTTACGCACTTCTAACTCAGTTCCCCCCGGATAGGCCAGACAGCCCCCCCAAAAGAGGACATGTTCAGGTAAAAGAGGACGTATGGTCACCCTATCATATTAGTCAGGTGTGCTGGCATTGTAATTTTTTTGTCCAAGAAGTTAATCTATTTGACTTCTTATTTATCCAAATCTATGATTTTTTTCCAAAACTTTGAACACCCTACACCCTGTATAAACAATGTCAGTATTGGTGCTACTGTAAAAACACATGAAAATCAACCTATCAAGATGTCTCAGTCTAAAGAGCTGATCAGTGTGCTGAAGAAAGAGAAATTCACTTTAAAGACAAGAGTGCTGGGGTTCGACTTTCTCCAGATTACATAGTAGAGTTTAGCAAGTGTACAGCTGTTCATAGTGCAGCTTCTGTGTAGGTTCTCCACCTGGTTTCAAAATACACTGTGAGTAATACTCTTACTAGAAAGTATTTCATATACTCCCACTTCTAAAAAACAAACTACACTTTCAAGTCTCCTCGGCAGCCCACAAAAATCTGGTGTTTCCATCTGTAACTATTGTATGATTGTCTTCAGATTAAAGTCTCCTGCACTTCCTACATTATATCTGCCAAAGACACATCTGGTCTTTTATTGATACAACAGCAACTTGTATCAGCTGGACTCAGCTGGAGAAACATGACAAGGTCCAGTCTCTGAAGTCCCACATCAGGGTTCTTGCACCAGTCCAGATTGAAGCCTGGCTTAGCACTGGTGAAAGCAACTCCAGAGAAAGCGTACCAGTCTACAACCAGAGTGGTTCCCTGCTCCAGTTTCTCTTTCATTAGAGGCACCAGTTCCCAGTGGTTTGCAGAAAAAAGCAGATGCACAGTATGGTCCTCTAGATCTATCTTCTTCTCCAGGTAGGCACTGATCAGCTGGCCTATCGTTATTGTCCTATCAAGAAATCGGATCTTCTCCGCCGGTAAACCACTCTGCTGCAGAGCCTGAACTAGCTTCTCACACTGCGTCACTTTCTTGGCTTTGTTGACTCCCTCCAGCACAATAAGAGCTCCTCTTATACACGCCATTTTACCGGACAAAAGGCACAAGACGACAAATCTCTCCTGTGCTAAATGTCAAACAGCGCGGTAGATCCTCCCTGCAAACGTCAAAACGAAAATAAAATTACGCACTTCCTTTTTTATGTTGGTAAACTTCATTGACTGAACAAACCCCCATGATAGACATTTGTGGACACAATACCTCCCGATACAGACTAAAGGCTTGTAAAGGATTTTTTAATAGATTTAATTAATACTGATGCTTCTTCTTCTTCTTCATCTTCTTCTTCCTTCGTTTAACAATCACAGACAACGCAACACTTAAGTACCTCTTCTTTAGCCCATATTGTAAAAAGAACCACAACATTTTAAATGCTCAAAGATTCCCAACAACAAAAATATGACAGACTTAGACTTCTGCCCTTTTGTTTAAAAGTCTTACAGTATCTTTCAATTTCAAAAGTTTTCAATACCTTACACTTACAAAATGTTTATCGTTTATGGTGATGCCGCCACTGTAATCTTTGTTTTCCAATGTGTGCCAATTTAAAGTTTAAAAATCTGACACCACCACAAACTAGAGTTAACTTTTCAGAAGTGGGCTCACCGGTGAGTTTGGTGTTAGATTTTTTTGTCTTTGGTCAGCCTTATTAAAGATGTGTCTCCTTGTCTTACTGTTGCACCAAAGTGTCGACTCAGCTCGGCACATATTTCAGCCCACGTGCTTTTTTATCGACAAGTTTTCTCTTGGCCGAGTCAGCAGTGTTTCTGTAACAGCATATTAGGCTAGTTTTAAACTCAGAAATAGATATTCAAGCCAAGTTCTGACAGCGTTCAGACTGCACTCTCTCTCTAGACTTATTAATGAGCTTTCTCTTCCACAACGACTTTCTATTTCTGTTCTTTCAACAATTATTCACTTTTCCTTTATCGGTTCATCAAAAGATAAAAGCATTTTCCCCCCGAGGGGTATTTAACCTTTACAACTATTTGCTATTTACCAGAGTGCTGGTTTACACAGAGACAAAATGTGAGCATGCTACAGTTATTAATAGCAGCGATTAGAGGTGGTTAAAAATGGCCAACAACACTTGAACTTCTGGATCCTGTCAAACACACTCACACACTGTTGTCTTTCAGAAGAGGCTGCTGAGTGTCTGCTGTGTATGTCGGTGCGCTGAGATTACTCCAGCCTTTCCTCTGCGTCTCTGCGATTAGCTCAGAGAAAAGAGAGTTGGCTTAACCTTCACTAAACATTCATTTGATCTAGCAGCTTACAGACCGAGGCCTGTGTGCTTAATCTAAAAGTAATTAACAAATTCTCATTATGCAAATGTCTCTCAGGCTGCAGGATGTTGCTGCTGCTTTCACTCAGCCTCCATGTTAAACCTCGTTTGGACAAAACTGCAAGTCAGGTGGGATCTGAGAGCGACGTGAACAAAAGGTTTGGCTATAACTAACTGACTGAGGGGTAGGGTTTGACATCAAACATCATATTTTTAAGACTCAAAGCTAAAAGCAGTGTATCAGAGGATCTGTTTACAGAGCTGGTACTATTTTCAGCTTGAAAAATGATTTGTTGAACATACGTGACACAAAAGTTTTCTAAACTCTTACACTAAACAAGATTGGCTTCTAGCTTAAAAAAAAAAAGACTTAAATATCAAGACCATCTTTAATGAGCCGTCATAAATGAACTTTTTAATAACGAACTTGTGGTTTCAACCTATAGACAGTGCAAATGAAGTCTCTGTCACTCCACCCATCAGTTTCTTGTGTAAGGATTTGCAGCCAATTGCCAAACTGGTAACGCTAATGCAACCTAAGTTTTGAGTAATCTAGACACTAGCCAAGAGGTGGAGCTGAGGAGCATAATATCCACAGCTAAGTCAATGAAGCCACGCCTATATTATGCAAACTATTATCTTAACATATTCATAACAAAAAAATTACTCCCTCTCCCTCTTGTATGAATAAATGGCCAAGTTTCAAAACCAAAACTAGTTTTTGAACCAGGCTGTAAATATGCTCATCGTCTAGAGTAGGGGTGGGCAATTCATTTTTACATGGGGCCACATGAGAAACCCGAACTGTGTTGGAGGGCCGAACCAACAGTAACTTCAACTTCAAATCAGGGGGGTTCACACATACAGAAGAGCAAACCCAGATAAGCAACTACTAGTTAAAGACAAGCCCAAAAAAAGCGCACCTGTGACTCACAAGTTTTAGAAGCGTCTTCTGAGAGAAACAAGCCTAAAGTCGTTTATAATAAGTGGATTTGGCAACTATGAGGCGTCTACGTACATTTTGCCGATGTTTAAACTTGTCTCTGTTCACGAATGCAGATCTAGGATGTACGCACTTGAGTCCAAACGGAAGTAAAACAACGGCTCAGTTTTCAAAATAAAAGCAACACACTTGTATAGCATGTTGATGATTTGATTGACGGACCTCACAATGGGCCGGGCAGGGACATCCAAAGGGCCGGATGTGGCCCTCGGGCCTCACCATTTCTGGCACATTAATAAAATAACAAACTTATCCATATAACTATTCTGGTGCTGACTTACAAGAGAGATAACATTCAGTCAACCACTCTCATCCCCTCATTCACAAGGACAAGCAAAACTGATAACTTGTTTGAAATGTGCCAGGGAAGTAAATAATTGGGATAATAGGGAAGGGACTCACAGGGAAATACTGTCAGGATGGAAATATATTGTCAATATATTGTTATGCTCTCTTCAATTAAATTCTTATTCATTGCACTTTTTCCTTTTGTTGTCTTGAATATTTTCCCTTTTTCATGTTCTGTTGTTTTTTATTTTATTTTGGAGTTGTCTTTTTGATGCTAAATATGCCAAAGTTATGACCCTGATTGCTCTGGGTCAGTAATGTCTCATCACTCCTATCAATTTAACACCACACAAATATGTCCATAATGCTTGGAGACAAATCCAATTCTGCCAGCACTTTGTTGTTATTTTGACTATTGCTGTGTTTTAGATTTGATGGAGCAGGTGTCCTTGATACTGTGATGGTTGAAGCTATATGAAGCACTGAGCGCTGCCATTTCACCCTCTCATATCACACTGACCGCCACGTTAAAGGTCCCCTCATATGGGCCTCGAGATAAAAGTCCTCTCCTGGGGTTTGAGTAACAGAAATGGGACACTGACTGAGACGAGACTGAATGTCAGGGCGGACGTGACAAAGACAACAAAATTGACCTGACAGTCGCTGCTGAGGAGAACTCAGCTCCTCTACCATGCAGGAGGAAGGATGTGTTTTAAAAGGGGTTAAAGATTTGGGATTTTACAGGCAGGATAGGCTGATAAATCCACATTGCTTTGTAACAGACAGGATTTTTTGGCCTTACATGGTAAAATGAGTGGTTTTGATGTCATAGAAGAGAAAGTATTTTGAATATAAAGATAGAAATGACTAAAAAGACTAAAGCGAGAGAAACAAAGAGAGTTTTGGTACCTCACAATGCTCTTTGTAGGCAAAACTAAACAGCTAGTGTTTTTAATCCTAATCCAATCATGACTAAGAGATGTGGGTCTCTGTCCTGAGCGTTGACTCCACCAACGCTCCTCTAAACCCGTCACCTAAAGGAGATTGATGTCCTACAGGAGCCTGATTGATCCAAAGCTAAGTGCTGCTGCGTCCTGTTAGTCAGGCTCTTTTCATCAGCACAACTAACTCTCTACAGACTGTCAGCTCATTCACAGCTGATCCCAGATCATCCAAACACCTCTCTGTTCGAAGACAGACACTGAGAGAAGTCTGCAGAGACACCTGACAGAGGCAACACTGACGCTCAGAGAGCACAAAGCAAACTGAAGTTTCTCTTAAAATCCAATAAAAGATATAAGAATAAAGGCATGACAAACAATCATTGTATAACATATACAATACATTATATATATGTGTGGCAAGTCTAGGTCACAGGGATAGTAATGTGGATACATCAAATGTTTGAACATCATAATAAATGAAAGATGACATGTAAGTTGTTGAAGTAATGTAAGTTTTTGAAGTAATCTGTTGCTTTACCCTTGTTTTAGCTTTACACAATTTGGCTGATATTATGACAGCTTTAGTTGCAAATAAAAATAATTAAATGTTATCAATAATATTATTTTAGAGCAGAATAAAAAATATTTCAATTCTTCAGCTATATCCAGCAAGTTAAAACTATTCATTACACAGCCAGGTTTAACACTTGAATCTGATTGGTCGATTCTCCATCACAACAGCAGTTTTTTTTTCCCTAACAGCAAACTGTTGCTATAGATACAGCTCAAATGCCAGACTCCAGCAGGCTATCTGTTATCACATTAATCTGCCAAAAAAATCCATTTAAACTGGTACTGTTTAATTTAGGTGGGATATCATAGTGGAGATGAAAACAGCTGAAAAAAGCAGAATATCAAGACCGCTACACTTTAGTTTTTAGACCCTGCTCATCCTGGAGAGTTCCAATCCACAACAACAACATACTAATATGACACATTATCCCAGCAGTATCCCTCAGCATTTACAGTCATTGAATCAAATCGATTTGTACATTAATGGATAAGCATTTCAACCCAATGTGTCCCTCAAAATGCACTTTTTTTCCAAATAGGTTGTTCTTTTTCGGGGAACTTCAAGTGCATTTTGTTGCATTTGAGCCTTTAGTTCTGTCTTGGTAAAATTGTATTTCTTGCCTGTGAATTTAACAGGTAACTTATATTTCCCTTAATGCTACTTTAGCTTCAGTAAAACACCTGAGTGCTCTCATTCAGGACTGAGCATTGGACGTGCAGTTAGCCTAAATAGATAAGCTAAATATCACATCAGCACTATAGTGCTTGAGTTTATTTCATCACTTCAAAGTGGAGCGGTGATGCTCCCTCAGTCTCGTGCTCCTTATCTTAACACCTCCTCAATATGGAACATTGAGGAGACCCATGTAGAGAGGTTTGCTGTGGTTGAAGATATCTTTTTTCTTTTTAGGACAAAGGTTAGTTGTATTTTCCATGTTTGAGTATGTTTAAAGCTTCTTTAAAGTCTTGGTCACCAAGTTTGTGAGAAAGAGTTTTCTTGACTTCAGAAAATGATTTCTCCACAGGGACGGAACCAAATTTTACAACTGAACTGCATTTAAAACATCAATTTCTGTTTGTTTTTGTGCTTAAGGCAGCCAGCTATCACTAATTCCTTACAATGGTGCCAAGATGAGACCCTGGAAATACAAGGATTCAGGAGTGAGTGTTTAAAGGAAAGAACCTACAAAAGTGAAGAATCAAGGCAAAAGTCAGCGAGCGTAAATGTTAACCTCAAGCCCCCCAGGACCAAAATGATGATAAAACACTTAACACAACACCAGCATTTCCAGGAGTTCTCCTTCTCCTTCATCTTATGTGTATCCTAACATCAATTCATAAATATCTCTCCTGTTTTGTTGCTTAAGCTCTTGGTGCACAGTTGTGCAGAAATATTTCCCAGCAGTTGTCCCTAATCTGGGAGATAATGCCACCCTCTTTCTCAAACTGCACAGCCATTATTGAGCTTTGGTGTTTCAATGATTAAAGGTCAGCCTGATTGAACATACAGAGATCTACATTTGCTGCAGTAAGCAAATGCATCTCATCTCCTTTATTACTGGAACACAGTGGTGGACGGTAATGATACCTTTTCTGTGGTAAAAAAAAAACACGGTACCTTTAACTCAGTGATTCAAGTGCTTCCTTCTCGTTGCAAACAGGCTGAAAATCCTTGTGCAACTTCAGCTTTAAAAATAAAACTTTTATGTGTGAACAAGCTGAAAGGGTGGAAAAGGATTTCACAGATCTAAAATGTGAATATTTTCACACCCTGAATCAGAAATTGGACCAGGAGTAGGAAGCTGAATCAAAACTTGATTACAGAAACCAGCAGGACTCTGAGGACTATTATATTCATCTCGTACCATTTTCAGCCTACAGTCATCTGGTGGCTTGTAAAATCCAAACCCATTTCATTTGTTCGGGCTGTTGGGGGTTGATGTTGTTTCAAGTATCATCGCTGGCCAATTGACCCCTAACTCCTTGAGCAAACTGCTGCTGTTTGCAGCTTTACTGCCACACTGCTGCTCTTTCTAACTTCAACAAATGAGACAGATTTAGTGATTTTGATTCCAGGATGATAAAAAAAAATATTCAGCAACACTTTATTTTCGCTATAGGGTGAAAAAGTGGGGCGCTCAAACTGGACCACTGATATGAAAACTGATTAAAAACATGCACAAAATCGATTTGATGTTAGAGTCATAAGGTTTCACCACATCCAGCAGATCCCCTGACTTATCATTCATCTCTACTCCACATTTTTATATGAAACAGTTAAAGATGCCTCCTATATGAAGCAGCAGTGGTGTTGTGTGCAGCTGCTGCCAGGTTGCCTGAGACGGCATTTTCCCCCTTCTCCAATCACGTGCCTCCTTTTCGAGGAAGCGTGGGGATGCAGATGAGAGGAGAGGAGGGAGCTCTAAAAATAGCATCCCTCTTTTCTTCCTTTTCTTTTTTTTCTCTCTCTCCTCCACAGCAAACAGAAAGCAGAGAGGGGTGCAGGGTGGATGTCAGAGATGTTTGTTGGTGCTTAAGTGGGCAGGTGAATCCAGGACGTTTCAGATTAAAAACAGTGACAGTTTGTAAATTCATTAGTGTTTAAGTATTTCCTCTTTATTTAACACTGTCTTTATTGGTTCTCTTTTCAGTTGTCCTGTCTTTAAATTTAAAAGCACTCAATTAAAGATACAAAACTCTCTGTTGATGTTCAATTTGATTTAAATATATAACAGTAGGCTTTGAGAATGAATCGGGTCCGATTGCTGCTTCAGTTTTATCTTAAACTGATGATAAATTGAGTGCTTTTACTCAAAAAAACCTCTTAAGCTGCCTCAGACTGAAGCCATGCAACAACAAGTCTCCCTGACATCGCATTTTAGAGAATTAAATGTCTTAATCTATAAGAAAAAAAATTATTTATACTCTTTTTCTGGATCACACAAGAATCCCCCTGAGACTCCTAACTCTGACACACTGATTTATGAGTTAAATGCAATAAAAAAAATATTGATGTTACTTCTGATGCTGCTGCGCCAGTGTTTGCCAGAGGAACCATAGATGTGTGTATTCCCAGAAGAACCAGCAGATACGTCAATTGTACCACAGCTAGTTACATTACTGTCAGTGGAGGAAGTGCAGATGCAGCCTGTAGACAAAAAATCTAAACTACTCATCAAACCAATAGCTTTTTTTTTTTTTACTGTGGACTTCTACCTTTTCTAAAACTACATTAATACACAATATTCTTGTACATGTACACAACTACTTCATGTTTAATCAGTACTCTCAATAAAACTTTTGTTGTCTGATATTAGAGTCAAATTGCAGCCTGTTTTCTAGTCCCCACATTTTTTCCTGTTTTCTGGGATGAACACACACATGCACACTGATCCACGTGAAAGCAAAATAATATCTGAATAGTTTAAGATCACAAGTATAAGCCTCAAAAGGGAGCAATAATCCCTCATATAGCTCAACATTTGGTATTAAATTTCAATGATATCCCTGTAATTTTCCAAATATTGGGATGAATAGTGAGTCAGTGTTAGGTTAGTGAAGCTTATTTGGTGATAATAATGATATTCCTTAAACATGGTAAATAGACTATTAGTTGTGTTAATTTATGTTTGAAATTATGTCTTGTACCACTCTGAAAGCTTGCTTTAGTGCATCTCTGTGAATCTCATCCTATTTCTTCTGCCTCAGATCCATGTAGACACATTTTCCTGATTCAAACCATTAGACGCTGAGAAAACGCCTTTCCTGCAGGACAGGCCCACAGTCAAAACCACAGACCCACCAAGCCTGGTAACAAATATTACATCCATCCACTCAGAAAACACGAATAAAAGCACATTTTAAAAGCGTCTGTGTCGATTTTCAACATGACAACAGCTGTTCTGAAGCGAGCATCTTCTCTCAAAGGCTCTATCATCTAATCTCCCTACCTTGTTAGATGGTTATGATCGCTTAAAACATATAAAAAATGATAAAACAACATTAAAACAGACCAAACATTTCTCTCAGTAGATAAATAATGAGAAAAATCCCACCTTGACTGATTTCTATCCGGCTGCTATCCACCACGTCCAGCACCCGCAGAGACTCCTCACCGCTGTGAAGTTAGACAGGTTACACATTACAACATCCGGCAAACAAATACAAAATAAAGCAAAAAGATGCTTTTTATATGCGAGATAGCTCCACTATCTGTGAAAACTGTTAAATATTCGAAAAACAAATGGCGATACACGTTTTAAAATCTGTAACGTTAAATATCGATGTATTTCTGAGTAGCTGTCTTTTGGTTCAACGGATGTGTTAACCGGTTACGAACGTCTTAATTATTTTATTTTGAAAGCCCAAATACTTCCTGGTATAGCTGTAATCCTGCGGGCTTTACGCGGCGTGGACCGTTGACGTTAAATGAATGGCAGGTGGGCGGGACTTTGGAGGGGCAATTGTAAAGATTGACAGCCCCCCTGACGAATCCGAACACACACCGTAACAAATGACCTGAAACGTCCCTCCTCAAATTCTCTACCTTTCATTTATTATTGATGGACGCTGCTGGAGGTATTAAATTATTGATCAGGAGGTCAGCAGTAACCACTACTGCCATTTCAATCCGATACTGACACAGACCTGAGGATGGTTTTATGACTGTTTGAAAATCAGCACAATAACACATCAGTATTGAAGGAATACTGGCTCCCTATAGCAATGCTTAAGGTGACAATAATAGACTTGTTTTTTGTCATATATATATATAAATATATAGTTTGATCAGTAAGACATATTCAAAATTCAAATTCAACTTTATTTATGACACTTTTCAGACAAAAAACTGCAGTTCAAAGTGTCTCACAGAGAGTAAAAACAACAATTAACAACAATAAAACCTGAAACCTCCCACCCCACACACACAAAGACACCCACCCACCCTCACTCACCCACAAATACACACACACAAGCACACACAGTGTGAGAATTTAAGATATATTATTAAAGAGACATTGATATTGTTAAAGAGACATGGCCTGACACCAAGACATGACGTGAAGAAAGAGCTACCTTTGGGAGACACTGGAGATAAAACATAAAAATGGTAAAAAGCGAAAAGGGAGAGTAAAAGCGAGAAAATAATATCAAATGAACTGATAAGTAAGAGCTCTTAATTAATTAATCAAAATGTCATTATAGATTCGATACATACATACAGTTGAATGTACCAAGTATCACTCACTTGTTTTTCCAAACATTTTTATGTTGTGTTATGCTGCTGTCACTTATCTACACTTCAGTAATCTGAGAATTACAATCTTTGCATTTCTACTCTGAATAAAATATGCGAACTCATAAAATCAGCTGTATTATTTTCAAATAATTGTAATTCAATTTCACCTTCCAAAGTAACAAGGATTTTACATAGGTTTTAAATGCTTTCATTTATTTTCTTTTTTTGTGCATGTTTTTATGTGTATTTATCAAATAAGAGGCTTTTAACAATGGCAAAATCTCAGAGTATAAATGAAATACCCAAACAATGAAGATAAATATAAATTAAAAGATAAAAAAAGCAACAAAAGGACAACCTTAGAGGACACAGATGAGTGGAAGTAAAACAGCAACAATAAGGTGTGGGGGTGCAAAAAGGTTGTTAAAGCTTTCACATTATGTTCACATCCAGTTTACTACCTTGCATGTACTCGGATACATTCACTACAAAGTTATATGGAAAATTTTTATGGTCACCATTCAGAAGTTGCAATGGTAAGCAAAGACACGTGCTGGTTTAGCATAAGAAATGCTAGGAAACAGCCGAATGATATCTACGGAGGAACATTGCTGAGCCAGCGGAGGATGCCGAGTCAGCAGGAAAGAAAGAAATGAAGGAGCAGTGAGTTAATATTTCCCAGGGGATTAGATATTCAGAGGCAGAGGCTCCGTGAAACAGAGAGTACGGAGGAACAAAAGACCTTGAGGGGTTTTGAGAGGTATGATTGGAAAAAGATTGATTTGTGTCGGGCAAAAGGGAGTTAGTGAAGAACTGTGGAGATAAGAGAAGAGATAGATAGATAGATAGATAGATAGATAGATAGATAGATAGATAGATAGATAGATAGATAGATAGATAGATAGATAGATAGATAGATAGATAGATAGATAGATAAGGTAAGGAAATGGTAGCGCTCCAGTTTTCCTTTATATATAGCCTTAATTTACGGCTTTATGTAACTAAACAAATGTATGAAAAAATAGATAAGACTGAAAGCAACCATGCCATGAAAACATTTCATCATAAATATAACCCCATGTCCACAATTTGGATAATTTGTCATTAATTTAAGTTTTTTCTTCAGAGGATATTTTAAATTTGATTTTTATTAGATGTTCCATTCATATATTCCAATAGTAAGTATGTTTTGGTATTGAACATGATTTGCTGCAAATTAAAATCTGTTAAAAAAAAAAAAAAAAAAAACAGTCACTCACTGAAGACCACTGTACCTCCAGGCCAACAGGCGGCGCTCTCAGATTGCTCGATTCTCTCCTAAACCGGTCTGGTGTCAGAGTTTAGTCCACTCTGGTAGCGCTTCCTTTATGTAATAACAGTATTTGTCCTCCGGATTTTTCCTCAAGTTCTCAGGTAAGTGGTGTCAGAGACTCTTTCGCCTTTTTATGTAGAGCCAGAGTACGGACAGCAGGTTAAGGTAAAAGGAAACAGGAGTCAGTTTACACCGGGGGCTCGGATGGAGCTCACACCGGTATGAGGCGACATGTGTCGACAGGAGGACCGTGCAGGGGATCTTTGTCAGTGTGCCATATACATATATATGAACAGCCCGGCACAGAAACCAGCCGAGCTGTTTTTGTGTGTTCAATCCGTCTAACCGCATGCTAGGAGAAGGCTAGTTACTGTAGCTCCTGGTCCTGAAGGTTAGGGAAGTTTATAGCACGACCTTTGAACCTGAGATCTCTCCTATCTGCTAATTACAATAACCAAAAAAATGTTTATTTTTATATATATTTTTCATTTATCTATGTTGTTCAGGTCAGCAGTGACTCAGGGGGTGATGTAAATGATAAAAGGATAAAAATACAGACTTTTTTGTCTATTCCTACATCCTAAAGGAATGAATGAACATTTCAAAATAAGAGTCTTTATGGTCATTTTCAGTATTCTTTTACACATTGTTGAGGTACAGGTCACTAAATCACTAATCCTCAGCAGATTAATTATTTTACAATGGTTTAATTACCATCAAAAATTGTGAAATAAAACAAAGTTTGCTTTCCTGGCAGGGAGAGGTGTGAAGAATGATATAAAGCTAGTATTTACATTGAATAATTAGTACTCAAAGATACTGTTTGTACAGCAGTCAATCAGCCCATGGCTAATATACAATGCAGATGTTACACTGCTACTATTTCATTGGATTAAATACAGGAACTTTTTAACAATAATAAAACCCATTATTTCATAGATAGATAGATAGATACTTTATTAATACCAGAGGGAAATTCAAAAAACCAGAGGCAGTGAAACACCGTACACATTCTATGAATACAAATACTGTAACAATATTTACACTACAGAAAGAATGAATAAAAACAGTCTATAAACATGACCATAAGGCAGTGGTGCAGAGCAAATGGAAGTAAACAGTGCAAATGGAAAAAAATAGTGCAAAAAAATGCAAATGCTGGTGGATTGTTCATGGATGGGATATACTGTATGAGTGGGGCAGTTCAGTTCAGTTCAGTTCAGACAGGGCTCCTCAGAGGGAGCAGTTGAAGAGCTGAATGGCCTGGGGGACAAATGATCTCCTCAATCTGTCAGTGGGGGCGACACTGATAAGAGCCTGCCACTGAAGGAGCTCCTCTGCCTGGAGATGGTGCTGTGCAGAGGGTGATGGGGGTTGTCCTGGATGGAAAGGAACCTGGCAAGAGTTCTGTGTTCTGCCACAGATGTCAGGGAGTCCAGTTCTTCACCGACTATGGAGCCGGCCCTCCTTATCAGTCTGTCTAGCTGTGAGAGGAATCCCTCTTCTTGATGCTTCCTCCCCAGCACACCACAGCATAGAAGAGCTCATGCTCGTCACAATCAAATGTAAATAATTATCTTAGCCAGTATAGTGTTTTGGATGGATCAAGATAGATTTTTAATGAAAGAGCTGGAAAATACACTGGGTTATGCTATAGATTTTAGAAAATGACAGATATATCTGTCAAAAACAATATGAAACTGCATTGTTTTGTACATCATTACAAATTTATTTTAAACTCAAGCAAGAAAATTTTTTAGATTTGATTTGCTGCCAGTTAGGATAAGTAATAGTTATCATTTCGGGAGACTTTTAAATATCTCAACAGCAGCCATGCTGATGAGGCTGCCTGCAGTGTCTGCAGACATTATTTTTTATGACATATTTATTTATTGTTGTTTTTTATTATTATTTTTAACCTGCCATTCTTGAATGCCAGTTTCAGCCAATGCCTACAGTTTCAATTTGCCATCATTCGGCCTAATTAATCAGCCTGACTGGTTAATTGACTAATTTAAATGAGCCTCATCGGCTTGATCTGCAGATTATGACCTTTCTGACCGACAAGAAGTAAAGAGTGGTTACTTATCACACTTCCTATCCACATCCACAGGCTCGCCACAAGGGAGCACCCTTTTCCCTCTCCTCTCCATTGTGTATACAGATGCTTGTAAGAGCAGAGAGGCAGATATTTGGTTGAATTCTCAGATGATACAGCACTGGTGACTCCCCTCTGAGGTCTAAAATCAAACTATGGGAGTGCCCGAACATAATTTATCTCTTACGTGTGAAAAATTTTGAAACAAAAATGGATATTGAATTTCCCTTCAGGGATAAAATAAAGTTGTTCTTATTCTGACACCAAGGATGTAAGTTTTAATTGTAGATGAAGGCAGCAAAGGAGTGTATTCTTCATAACAGCAAAGTCAGAGTAAAATTTGATGTTAACATTGAGTTAAATGTGACAAGAGTGCTGTGCAGATTCCACCTTACACAGGAGCTGAATTCCTTTTTATTCAGTCTGGTTATTTCTTTGTTGTTTGTTGAAAGTTTTCTGCTGGTCTCTCAGCCTCTCACCTACTTTTTTCTTCAATATCCACACCTCTATATTTGATTTTCAGCCATCCATATTCCAACCCTCACATATTTTATGCTTGGTAACCCTTAAACTGAAGGGTTAGTTATTAAATGTGTTGTCTATTACATAAAGAGCCATTTTCTTTCTCCCACAGATGACTGCTCTCTCTGCAGTCCAGTCATCATGCTTTCGCAAGGGGGGAAAGAGTTCATGGTCCGCATACGGTTCTTCTGGCGACCGCTTTTCCAGGGTAGGAACCTGCTGCTGACAAACACACTGAGTGCAGGCGGCATGTTGGGGCTGGGGGACATCCTGCAGCAGAGCTGGGAGAACCGCAAGAAACCAGAAAAAGTCCATAACTGGAAAAGAACAGGTGAGAAGGAAAAGGAAGTAAAGACCAAGAAATTGATTTTAATAAGGTTTGCAGTTGAACTTTTGTTTAACTAGGAGGATCTCTCTGAGATTTAAGAATCAGTTTAAAAAATGTCCTGGCCAAGATAAACGGCGAGAAAGTTAACAAGGTTTCTGATAAACAAAGAGCAGAAAATTATGCAAACATAACAAAAGAGGTGATTATAAAACATTAAAAAAACAAAATACACAAGAAAAGCAAGTCAAGCATGGATGTATCAAGAACAACGTCTACAGGTGTGTTTTCCTTCAAGACATTCAAAAGCACCTAAATAGCACCTAATGAGACCAGAAGTTTCAGGTTGATTTGTAAGTTAATGGAGTCGCTTTATTCTTCTTTATGATACAGAGTAGGAGGTTCAACGGAAGCAGACTTAAAATAGACTTGTCAATAAGAATATGCTCTTGTTTGTGTATGTGCAGACAAGGAGGTCCAACCAACACATTCATGAAGCAAACAGTGACGAATAGGGGCTTTATGAACCTAAGTGATTCATTATACAGTGTCCAGAGCATTATAGCTCTGAGAAGGGGTGTGCATGTGTAGATATTGCTGTTGACCAGCTCAGACATAAAAGTGGCAGCTACCAATCTCCTGATGGAGAGGCATGATTTGATTTAGAAACAAAAAAGTTTCAATTTAGTTCTCATCAGCTGCTTAATATGAGCTGTAAAAGAGAGATTCATCAGTAGAATATGAAGATATTTACAGCGACACAAGCTCATCATATAAACCTTGAGAGGTTAAGATTAAGGCTGAAAAAATAAGTTATACAGCTTTCTGACAATGAAGTCCTTAAATAAGCTCCACATGGCTGTTGATAATATCTGACATGGTTGATGTCAGGTTGTGTATAGATGCTTTCTGTGCCTGCAAAATGATATCCTTTTAGGATTTTTGGGCCCTTATTTATCAGAATTCGAACCAAGCATGTGATTACCGTATTTTTCACACTATAAGCCTCACTTCAAATCCTTTTGGCTTGCCGGAGCACTGCAGCTGTCGTAGCCTCACAGAGTTGTTGAATGAGTCAAATAAAGTTTGATTATCTGACTGTTTTGGTTGGCTTAATGCGCTTTTTAACACGGTGCGTCTTATGTATGAAAATAGACGCATTCATTGATGGTGCGCCTTATGGTGCAAAAAATACAGTAGCTGCCATTAATTTTTTGGTCAAAAGCTTTACTCTAAACATCATGATGAAACATTTATTCAGTCCTTTCTATTTTACTAACATTTAAGAAACATTAAGGAGTTGGGAATCAAAGATGAACAAATTTTAAATCATTAATCTGGTCAGTTTAAGGCAAAAAAAAATAGAAGAAAATTGTCTTAAAACCAGAATAATAATATTAAAGTTTTGGATATGATGTGTGCATGTGCTGAATTCTAAACAACAGGCTCATTATTGTTGAATCTTTTTTCCTCCAAAGGTCACATGTTTCTGGTGGGATGCTCCCTGGGTCCACTGATGCACTACTGGTATGGCTGGTTGGACAGAGTTTATGCGGGCCACGCTCTGAAAACTGTCGGCAAGAAGGTTCTGGTGGACCAGCTGGTCGCGTCTCCGACAATGGCCTTGTGGTATTTTGTAGGTGAGAAAAAAATCAGAATTCAATGGCTGTGAGAGGTCTGATTTCTCATTTCGCAATAAAACATATACACCTAACAATGTCTCATATATGAGGGAAAGTGGAAAGAGTAAAAGATTGTACTAAAAGACCATTGGGCTGAGACTAAAGGTGACATATACACGACCAATCAGAGGTGGAAAGATGTAAAAAGTCATCTGGAAAGAGATAAACCTGATATCTGATTTCTTGACACTCAGATGTTTTCAAGAAGTTTGACTTTCCTCCATCTTCTGAATCTTATATAAAGATGAATCCATGTAATGTGGCGCTGATGTTCTCCTTACTGACAACTCTTTTCATGGCAGGTATGGATGTCATGGAGGGACACACTTTACCCGAGGCATGGGAGGAGTTTAAAGACAAATTCTGGGAACTTTATAAGGCAAGTACAGCTGTTAGAGTCTGACCTGGAGGAAGATGAACATCTAATCACCTTGTGACTCTTTAAGTCAAAAAGTCTTTAATTTTTTGGCTCAGAGGGAAAGAAATTCTTTGATAAAGTTGAAGATTTTGCTGTTGCTGATAATATTTTTAAAACACAAGGAATCATTCAGCTTTTGGATGCTAAAATTAGTCGAGACTTTATTTTATTTCTGCCAAGGAAATTCAAATTTTGGACGGTATTTCTGCAGTTATTTTAAGCCCAAAGTGATTCAATGGCGTTGCTTTCTGAAACAAGGAAACACTTGTAGATAAGTTACTGGGAAAAGTGCATCTCATTCAGGAGAACAAAACAGAAACACAGATGGACAGTGTATCCTTTCACAGGCTCTAACTCAACACTTTAGATTTACCTTGTTACTGCATCTTCAGCTTGACTTTCTTTTTTATCTGCTGATTTGAATCCATAAATATTTTAAAGAAATAAAATTGATGCAGACATGTTTCTTCACCCTAGAATCATCAGGCAACACTAAAAACTCAACTTAATGTGTCTTAAACGACGATTCCTCTGACTTCTATCCTCCTGGAGATGTTTGTTCTGAGTAATCGACCCAGGTTTGTTTATGCTAACTCACGTTGTTCTTTTTAACAGGCTGACTGGTGTATTTGGCCTGCTGCACAGATGATCAACTTCTACTTCCTGTCTCCCAAATTCCGGGTTTTGTACATGAATTTTATCACCTTAGGGTGGGACACTTACCTGTCTTACCTCAAACACAGAGTAAGTCCGATGAAATGATTAAGGGATAGTCTCTGTTTTATCGAAGACTGTGTTTTTTAAAGACCGAAGCCAAACGTTTTAAACTTTAAAACTTATACTCCACAGAAATGTAGTGCTGAAACTGAGTATAATAGGATCCTTTTGAGCGTTTTTCTACTACAGTTTAGATCTAACCTCTCCACCAGATCTCTGCTTATGTTGTTTTTTTCTTGCCAAAGTTTTCTACATAATTTGAAAATAAAATGGCAAACTGATGAATGTTTTTGGGGTCTGTTGTGTTCACAGGTGGACCACCCCCTCACTGAGGCAGTATCGGACAGCAGTGATGTGGATGTACAGCAGGAAGCACTCCCAGCTCCTAAACAACTGGAGGAGAAAGCGTAGAAATCCAATTCACTGTCATAGGTTCAGCTCAAATGAAGATTTTGCTGCAATCTACTTAATTTGCTTTTAGTTTTTTTTATTTATTACATTTCTGCAATTTTAGAAAAGACAGCTGAAGAGAACCACAGAAAGTGTGGAATAAAGAGCGAGGGATGACATGCAGCCATAAAGCAGCAGCTACTGCTACAAGGACAGTATCCTCAGTTTATGGGGCGTGCGCTTAAATTGCCAAATTAATGTTTTCAGCTTTGAAAGTGTGTGTGTGTGTGTGTGACTGTGTCTGAGCTCAGAGGATTTGTGGATGTTGAAGTCAAAGTGCTGGACCACTTTTCCCTTAATGGCTGCATCTTAAGTGTGTGTCAGTGGAAGGTGTTTGTGTTATTTATGTCTGATTGTTGTGCAATCCCTTTAGGAGCAATCAGGGATTAAAAGCTACTTCACTGCCAGCCATGGTAAAGCATCTGATGGGAGTGAAATCCTTTTTTTAAATCAACATCAGCTCGTGTTACTAACTGTCAGTCAACCACTTGATGAATATTTAATTTGAAAAAACTGAACATACTTTATTTTTTATGTTGTTGCGCTGTAAAAACCTGATAGAGTAGCATTCCTCGCACTTCAGTGTAATTTTTTTCCTGTTTTGACGATTAGTAAAAATTGTTGATGTGAATTACATGATATGTATCATCCAGTATAAACTTTGCCTTAATAAGTAGAGCAGTAATAGACTGCTTTCATGCCAAAAGTACCCTGTCAGTTCATTTCTCTGCTGAATAACTGCATGATTGTCCTTTCTATTAAAAGATCCTCTATATTTTTATCATATCAGACTGAACGCTCAGCTGTACCTGGTTTGTAATATACTTAAGATGTTTGTTATTTTAAAAGGTGCTGCACTTAAACTCTAGAGACGGTTAATTTGACTTTTACTGTGTATATTTAACAACTAAGATGTCAATGAAGTACTGTGAGCTCTGACAGGTTAGATTATTTGTGTGGTTATTAATAAAATCTGTCAACAGAGAAGAAATCAGCAGAGTTTAATGAATACAGAGTATGTTTTAAAGTTTCATTAACATCAACCGTTGTGGTGCGACTGTGTCGTAAAGATTGATTAGGAACATTTTCATTGATTACTGCTGAGAAAAGAGAAACATAAGCCATGAAGGTGTTTGATAAAGTTTAAACACTTATGATTTTGTTATTATTTTTATGGAAGTTTTTTAAAATTTCATGACAAACAGTGAAATGATAAATTGTCAGATTAAATTTATGAAACATGATTAAATATAAAGACTTTGTTTCCAAACTATTTGAGGACTTTTGTGTATTTGATTAATCCACAAGAAAGTGTTTTGTGCTAAAAAATCTCCTCCTGCCTCCTTTCAAACTTTCAAACATATCACTCACTGTGATTATTAGCAGTGAAAATCATAAAAAGGGTTTTTTTAATGAAGTGTCGTTAATGGCATTGTGGGACACCCATCTCCTGGGTATCTTTTATAGGAATCAGGGATAACTATAAAGCAATTATCAGTTTGCTTTTCTAAACTCATATGTTTCATTATCAGCCAAAACTCCTTACAAGAGCTCTAAGAGAACGAAATCTCAACAAGGCTTAAACATGCTGCTTATTTTTTGAATTCCTGTGGCAGGACTCACCATGTAGCAGCATTGGTACTGGTACAAATGTATTGATACATGATGAAGAGCAGATATCATTCAGGTCGACTGTAAAGTCAGTTGGTCAAATATTTGGCTGTAATATTGATTTTGTTGTATTAAAATGCAAGTGATGAGTGACATAACTGGTGTCTTGACTGGGACTTGTGATAGACCTAAAGAAATGTGGTGTTGGCTGTAGACAAATTTGGATTTACAGTCAGAGACAAACTGGAGTTCAGAAGGTAAATAAACTCACGTGAAGGTTTCTGGTCCTCACTGCAGCTGAAGGCGGTCGTTCGAACACGTGTACGGTCCTGTAGTGATCACATGGAGAAGCAGAAGGGATAGCTTATGATTCTGAAGCCGTGTTCACAGTACCCTGGAGGTTTTCCTTGCTGTGGATATGATAGTTTTGAACCAGCAGATGAATGAACAAGTCTTTTGATCAAGTTTTTGAATGAGCGTTTCCCGTCCTGCACTAAAAGAGTTAAACTGTCCTGGGAAACAGTGATGCACTAAGCACATCTTTATGGTCACTATTATGTTTGCTTTATGATGTACTTTGTCATTCAGTGATACTGGTCAGATACTTGTACAGGTGTTCAACTTCACCTGGTTTCCCATGACAATAAACTTCAAGCACATCCTAAACTGTCGAAAGATTAACCTCCAACTAAACAATCCATCAACTCAATAAAAGGAAGGTTTGATCTCTGATATAACTACATATTAAATGTGTTTTCAGTGATCCTTCTGCAGTCGTTTGTATGAAGGTTGATGAGTGAGAGCAAAGGGACACAGGCCTGAGGGGAACCCATGGATGTGTGCAGGAGGGCTGAGAGCTTTTGAATGTGTTTGATGAGCTGAAGATGAGTCTTTTTGTTTGTCTCAACTTGTTGTGTATGTTTATTTTGAAACCACTTTGTTTAAGGTGTGGCTACAATGTCTTTCACTCTCATTGGGTAACTAAAAGACTTTCTTATAGACTTTGTAAATTGGTTCTGTTCAGTAAAATTTCAGTAAATAACCCTGAAGCTTCTTCACAGGTGCCATAAAGAGGTTCATCTTGCTGCAGAGCTGATTCTTTTCTCTCTTCGATGATAGTTGTCTCCCTGAGCTCCAGACAACATGCTTCCCCAGCTGGGTAGAGAGTTTATGGTGCGGATACGCTTCACCTGGCGAACGATGTTCGACAGCAAGTACCTGCTGCTCACCAACACCGTGAGTGGAGGAGGCCTGCTGGCGCTGGGGGACTGTGTGCAGCAGAACTGGGAGAAGCACAAAGAGCCAAGCAGAGTTTACGACTGGATGAGGACAGGTGAGGGAAGGAGGAAGGTGGTGCCAGGGACTGAATGTGTGTAGAAACAGCTGTGCAGTATTTCTCTCACATTAAGACTCCATAGCTGCTTCAGAACCTCATATTCTGCAGAAACTTAACAAACAGGGTTACTCCTACAGCACTTTTGATGACGATGATGAAGGACCCTATAGTGGTAGAGAACAATAGAGGATGTCTGCAGGAGCTGTCTTTGTACTTCTGCAAAACTTATCTGGTTTCACACTCAGCAGAATTTAACATCGTGTGGCTTGTTGGACAGAAATTGCGCAATAAACAACATATTGAGCAATGCATACAAGCAAGGTGGATCATGACACAGTGTGACCGCCTCTTTTATCATCTTTGCAGACACGCAGTATGTTATATAATCGCTTAAATGTACATGTGACACATTGATCTCAAATAATGCACAATTTCTTGACAGTTTTTAAAAGAGAAGAGTCATAAATCAATACTCTTTTTGTTGTTTCTGAATGGGATTTATCATCAGTGATCAGATAATTTGTGTTGTTTATGTAAGATCAAACTTATCTTGTCATTACTTAAACAGTTTAGTAGTTTCTCTCTAAATGAAATATTGGTATTTCATATCGTTAAATTACCCGAGCTTTGGCTGACCTCTATGATTAAAAAACAAACTCCTTCGATACAACCCTCTGACCTGATGAATTTTCAAAAGGAAAGCCAAACCTCTGCTCCCCCGTCCTCCTACTTTCTAACCCATACTTAATGAAACCAGGTCTTTTTCAATATTTGCACTGAACTTTTAATGAAAGACACATTTCCATTCCTCTCTTATGTTTCCTTAATTATTTCCCCCTTCAGGTCGCATGTTTGTGTCCGGCTGCTCCATGGGTCCTCCCATGCACTACTGGTACAGCTGGATAGACAGAAGATTTGTTGGAACGACTGTGGGCATAGTCGGCAAGAAGGTTCTGGTGGATCAGGTGTTCGCTGCACCCGTGATGGCGTTGATGTATTTCGTAGGTGAGATAAAAATTGAGTTTACTGACAGCAGGACGCCTGTGCAAGTATACACACTTTGAGATCTGTAAGGGAGTGAGTTCAAACAGTTTCTGTGACGCACACAATCATAAGGCAGTCTGATGAGTCATAGGTCAGACTGAAAGATGTCATACCAAAATGGGTTAATACAACAGCTGCTTTCTTTAAAAGCAGGGGTGGGTCGAGTTCAAAGGTCATCCAGAGAGATAAGCTTGAATGACGTCTGACTTCTCTTGAAACTCCAACCTCTGAGCTTATCTGGAGTGGTTCTAGAGAATTGTAGCGCTGACGCACGATGACCGACAACTCTGTTCATTGCAGGTATGGATCTCATGGAGGGACAGGGTTTCTCCAAAGGATGGGAGGACTTTAAAGACAAGTTCTGGGAGTTTTACAAGGTAAGAGCACCTCACAAGAGCTGACGTGAAGATGAGTAACAGCAGATAAGCTGGTTAACCAATCAGGTCTATGACGTACAAGTCAATGGAACTGTCCCCCAAATGGTGATATACTGAGAAGTTTTATCTTTTTCTATCTCAGTTTGACATTATATTAAGCAAAGAATATTGTCAATTATTTGGCATAGCTGTAGATTGTGTTATTTCAGCTAAGTTTTCCCCTTGAATAGCGAACACAGAGTATTTTGATCAGGCTGACATATTGTGTGCACCATGGGCAGTGTATGCAATAAAAAGCAGTGTGATCCAAACCCGTACTTTGAAGACAAATCCCATTTTGTCCCTCAGATTATTTAATTTAACTTCTTGAAATTAGAGAAAGTCTGTTTCTATTACCAAGAACCATTTGTGATGACAGTAGTTGTCTCTCTTTGTTGGCATTGGGTCGTGACAAGTAGCATGAAAAGTCACTCATTCAACCCCACTTCAAAAGTAAATATTAAAAAACTAATGAGGACAAACTATCCCAGTATAAACCCTCACTTTAAGCCAAGTTCTTGACTTGCTTAAAGGGTAATGAACAACTTGCCTGCAATCCTCTTTTTTTCAGCAAATATACCCTCAAATTTTAGGTTCTGACTCACATCCTTAGTGTTTCACACGGTTACAAAATTTCCCAAGAAGTGCCAAAAGGTATGGTCTGATGCCGTCAGCAAAACCACATCGCCTGCAAAGAAGGTGGCATACAATCCTGTGGTTTTCAACTGAAAATCCGTCTCACCTCTTATTCCTCTCTGACTTCACATCCTGTCCATTATCATCCCAAAAACAACCACAAAGGAGGCCAACATCTATCAAGAACATATTTCACCTCTTCGTTTTGGTTACAGAGAGATCATATCTAAAATTTCCACCTGTTTTTGAGGCTCAATTAGCCAGAACCTCAGCAAACAACATATATAAACATTTCTGGGTAATCTGAATACTTTCCTGTACGTCTTTGTAACCTAAAAAGAAAGTTAAAATAGCCCATCAACACCTTAAACCTTGAGCTTCCTATCCTGACTAACTGACTAGTCATAAGTCAAGAATAAAACTCGGAGAACAGTAGAAGTTCAACATATTTATCACAGTGAGATGCAGTCTGTGGATTAAATCAAATTGATCCTCCAAATTCGGCTAACATTAGCAGAGCTAGCACCACCAGCCCTCAGTGTTCCTGACAGGTTAACATCCACATACCTGTGCTGCTGTTACACATTGCTCCAGTTAATTAGTTGTCTATTTAACCACACATAGCCTGCACTCAGCTTTATCTCAACAGACAGACGTTGCCATGCTATGAATTTTCTCTCATCTTCGCTTGTATTCATGCAGGTGGTACAGCATCAAACCATTATAGCAGCAGCCATTGAGCAGAACTACGGTTAATGCTCGGCTAAGATACACACGGCAGCAACAAATGATGAGTAATTCCAGTGCCAGCTACCAAGGGTGGCACTGCTAAATGTGCACACCCTAACCTTTTCTTGAACGCAGTATTTGTTATGCCTGAGAAATCCATTACCTCACCTCCCATCCCTTGAGAGTGTTTGTACTGGGTAATCTACCCACGTTTGCTTATGCTAATCAGTTTTATTTGTCTACAGGCAGACTGGTGTGTTTGGCCTGCCTCTCAGATGATCAGCTTCTACTTCCTGTCCCCCAAATTCCGCGTCATGTATGTCAACCTCATCAGCCTAGGATGGGACACTTACATGTCCTACATCAAACACAGAGTGAGCACCAGTTTTAAGTTTCTCTCAAGTGTCTGATAAAGTTTCGTATGAGCTTGGTGTCTTATAGAAAAGTGAAGTGAAATTAATCTCAATTTCTGTCGTGTTTCCAGGATGACAGCCACCACATTACTGAAATATCAGACAGCAGTGATGTAGACCCGCAGCAGGATCCATCTAAACCTCTGGAGGAGAAAGCTTCAGAGCTCCAGTGTCAGTCGTGTTAATACTTTTGACTGTTGTGGTTTTGTTTTTTAACATATTTGATTGCTGCCAATAACACAACATCAACAGAGTACCTTGTTTTCAGCAGCTGAGTTTCCTAAACAGGCTTTTTTTTTGTCTCAGCATCCAAAGATTCACTCTGTCGTAGATCTAACAGAGCAGCACAACTCTTTTTGTAAGACTTTTTTTGTATGTTGCTGGTTTGACATAGAAAATCATTATTGAGCTGAACTTAACAGCAGATATATAAACTTTGTTTATAATGACGATAAAAAGCCTGTTTTTATATCAAATAATATCAGAGGTACCTTTAAGAGATTTACTAAAGAACTTGTGTGAATAACTTAAAACTAACTTTGAAACAAGCGTACATCAGAGAAACTCTGAATGCCAATGATTGTTTTTGTTATTGTTGATATTCTTTAGTTTAGTATCTATTTAAATATTCGGATGAACTCAAAGAAAGACACAATTAGAAACTTAAATCACATCAAACCTTTCAGTTTGAATAAAAAAATACATTAAAAAGAAAGTGGGTTTTAAAGTTTTTGATGACTTTGTTGCTGTACTTTGTTTCTTCAAAATATACACCAGTCTTTTCTTTACCTTCAAAAATGGGAAGCAGCAGGTATAAACTCAATATTTAGTCTGAATTTCATAAAAAACAGACTTCTGATTTGCTTAGTTCTCATTGTGGTTTCAACTATAAAACAGGAAGGATGAGCTTTGTGGATCTTTGAAGGAAATTATCTGGTACAGAATGATAGTTTTATCAGCATTTGTTGGTTTTATTGTTCACACCAGCTATGAAACTTTTCCAGAAACAGAATTTCATTGTTGATGAAAATGTATGTGTTATCACAAAGACTCTTTGTTATTCCAGTGTTTTAAATATCTAAAAGAGGTCTAATAGACATCTAAATCTAGCCTAGATGACTGGTCTAAAATCAGGTTACCGCAGGTCTAAAAATCTAAGTATTGTAGATATCTAAATTTAGACCAAGTCTAATCCGGGCTATATCTATACTTCAATGTATATTGCTCAAAGACTATTATAATTATTTAGATTAAATACTTGGAGATCAGTTATACAACTCACAGTTGCTTTTTGAAATAAGTAGTTATTAAATAATCGGTTAAAGTGCAACATCTAAATTCTGTCTAAGAATATACAGAAACTAGACGGTTGAAATTAGGTCAAATAAGCTAGACGTCTAATAGCTGTCTTGGTCGGTGGGATCATTCGAGTATTTGAGAATATAAAGGCAAAGCAGGAGGTTGGGGTTTGTCCTGTAAAAGTAGGACGCAGAGGGTTTGATGTAAAAGCAACCACCAAAATTACTGTGAGAATTGGGACTGTGTAGACAGAGTTTCTGTCAGACAGTAAAGGAGAAAGCAGCTCAAACTTGAGAAAGGTCAAAGGGTGTGAATGAGGAGAAATAATATTGGTTAGGGACTAAAAAAGAGTGAAAAAGTGAGAAAAGTGAAACTCATCCTCTTTTCCTTCATTAAAACAGAGATGTTCGGGGGAGGTAGAGCATGCAGCCTTACCCTGCAGGGGTAAGCTTTAGTTTAAACAAGCTTATAGCCATCCTTGTCTTTCTTTAAACTTCTTGCAAAAGACATTTCTCTTTACTTTTTCTCATTTCTTTCCTCTCATCCTTCATGCAAACAGGGAAGTAATGTGAGGTAGAGCATACAGCCCAACCTGGGGAGAGTGAGCTTTTGCCAAAACAGGCCCTGGCTCTACCTTTCCTGTCCTCTTGTTAACATTTCTCTACATACACCTCTGTCTTAACAAAACCACAGTGGAGGGAGGTGATGAACTGTCTCCTGTCTCCCACTTATCCTTGTCTATCTTCATGCTTAGTGTCTGGAAACATCAGGGTGTAACTTATTGGCAGAGCATGGCAGTGTCTGTAAGGCGGTGATGGGATGGGTTTTCTTCACTGAGGGCGTATCATGTTCATTAAAGCAGAAGTACCTTGTTTTTATTTTTAAACATAAAACAACAAAACAATTAACACCATAATTGGGTGAAGCTTCAAATATAAACAGACAAAGGTAGGCTGATAGTTTTAACACGAGTTAAATAAGTGTTCGACTGTTCCCATAAAAATGTATGAGGAAACCTCACAGAGTACAGGTGACGGGAAATTAAAGATTGAATAGAATCAAAAAATCACTTTATAAAATACAGTGGGCTGGCTGAGGAGAAGCAGAGCCGTGTGAGAAACTTATTTTTAGATACTGAATACTCCACCAAGGTAAATTTGACTTTCTTGGTGAGCTGAAATCATCCTGATAAGCAGTCGATGTTAGAAAGCTTCAGCTGTCTCACTAAACAAACATTCAAACATTGACTTACCAGCCTGAAGGATTTAATATGCACCAACCCACTGTTTAGAGCGCTCCTCCTCAGGCGCACCACACATCCTGCTGTCAAGGATGTAACCTGCATGTGTGTGTGTGTTTGAAAGTTGTTAATATGACCGCCAGCCTCTTCCTCTTTCAACATGCCTGCAGCGATGCACCTCACTGTACTCGTGTTCCTGGTCTCTGTCAATGTCTGCACAGGTAAGTCAACATTTTATAGATTTTCCAGTTTATGTGTTCGTATGTTTGAGGATCTGTTTAAATGTTGAGTCAAAGTCTTAAAAAGATGCAGAGTTATTTAAATAGGAAGCTTCCTGCAGAGGGGGGGACAGGTGAGCAAGCTCGTGTGAGGTAGTCTGAGGCAGGTTTTCTCTTAATATGCTGTTTGTAAAATTTTAGCATCTGTCAAATCGTTATTTAGTCATTTAAGAGATCGGGGTTCCATGAGGAGCCTGTAAGAACCTTTTCATACGACAAAAACCTCAATATTAAAGCAATACATCCTTGTGTGTGTGTATACAAGGCATTTTGTCCGTTAAATTATAATGTGATTTATATTATTGGAGTGGACAATGAACTGATTTTTAGGTAAACCATAAAAGTAACTTAAGGTAAAGGGGAAGTTCACGTCTGGGTGGAAATTGAAGCAAATATTTAATCAGTGAGCGGGATCCTGAGCTAAACTACTGTGGCGTCTGCTGGGATTTGCAAACACAGCCAAGGCGCATGCTCACACACGAACACACACACATACACATGATTCCAAACATAAGTGTGTACCCCGGCAGTAAAAACAAATCATTCCCTGACGGACTGTTTATACTCTTTTATTAGAAAGGCTGCAGAGTCAACAGCCCTCGAACTGAACCTTACAATGAACCACGACTCAGTGATGCCATAAAAAAAGCTCCATCAACCGACAAAACAATCTCACTTCACACTTCATGTAGAGGCCTTAACAAAACTTTTGATCACTGAAGAAAACACCTCTGTCAGCAGGTGGAGTAAATTCTGAGGTTGGAAAATGTGGTTGTTTGTTCTATTTCTTGTTGGTTTCATTCTGTCTTTAAGTTGAAGATATAACTTCACTCACTCCCCTGTACTGTGCCGTGCTGAACAAATGTCTCACATCAACACAACTTCTGTCAAAAGCTAAAAATATGAGGCATTTTAACTGGTTATGAAACTGACTAAAATTAACACTAATACACTTTAATGACCTACAAACGTAAACAAGACCATCAGCAACAAGACTGACATAATAAAAGGTTTAATTTTTCCACTGCTGTGATTTACGATGGGTGATATACCTAAGTATTAAAGGAAGGCAAGAGTAGATTTTTTCATTATAAAATGTAATTCACACATGTACATAATGAGATTAGCAAAGGCAGCTATGAAACTTTGTCCACAGGGGGCGCCGGAATCCACACAAACTTAAAGCTCCTCACAAGAGCTTTATTTATTAAGACTTGAAGACACTCCAAATTGCATTTTGAAAAAAGACTCGCTTATGTAACACACTTCTGATAAAACCTACCACACCCTTAACAAACCTAATTCAGAACAATATTTCATTGTTGAAAGCACACAATAGCTGCAGCGTTTTAAGATGGAGTCAAGTTGCAGTGCTTTATATGAAGAACTGAAACTTCATCAATTGAATTTCTATCAAATAAAATTTGAAGAGTGTTTCTGAGAGACGAGGCGGAACTAAAATCAAACTCTACTTGATCATGATGATTTTACTTCCCTTTTACAACTAAGCAACATATAAACTGTAAATCATTTCCTGGATTATGAAATGTTGTTGCAACCTTCATATTTTATGAATTGATATGAAACAGTTTGAGGATTCTGTAAAAGGTTTTGGAGCTTGTAGATTGTGTTGTTGAATTATCCTCACATGAGCTGCTCCTGGGGAGGTTTTACCTGGTTGGGGTCACCAAGAACTTAGAGGCTCTTAACAGAAAATAACAATGCTGGTGTTTATATTAGTGTGCTTCTCTGTGTTACTTTTAAGTTGATTGCTTTTTAATTGTGTAATAAATGTATGTGATTAAAGAGCATCAATCCTGATATCAACACTTTGCTAAATCATAGTAATTTGATTGATATCTTTACACTAAAATTCTACCAGCTCATTCATTTTTGTTCCAACCAGGTCAAAAATAAAAGGAGCAGCACTTTTTGTGAGGTGATGCCCCACAGTATCAGTGCCCTCAGATAGACTGAATCCACCAATCTGTCTTGTGAATAAATTAAAATTAAAAAAACCAAACTCATCACCACTGGCCTCATCATGCTACATATCTTAGTTTGTTTCCTTTTTGTCTGTTCCTCTGCAGGCACCACAACTTCCTCTGCAGCTAAACCGGTCAAAGAGACAAACCCAGCTACTGCAAACCCTGTGGCTGTGACAAAGAAAAATGATGTCACTTTACCCACCTCAAAACCCGCCAAGGTCACACAGAGACCCCCAGCATCTACAAACCAGCCTACGACTGCACTCCCTCTAGGAAATGTGTCAACAACACCCACAGCTTCTGCACAAACTCCCAACACGACAGAGGGGACGCAAACAAGACCTCCACCCCAGAATGCAACAACCAACCAAACACCCAACGGGACAGAGGGGACGCAAACAAGATCTCCACCCCAGAATGCAACAACCAACCAGACGCCCAACGGGACAGAGGGGACGCAAACAAGATCTCCACCCCAGAATGCAACAACCAACCAGACGCCCAACGGGACAGAGGGGACGCAAACAAGATCTCCACCCCAGAATGCAACAACCAACCAGACGCCCAACGGGACAGAGGGGACGCAAACAAGATCTCCACCCCAGAATGCAACAACCAACCAGATGCCCAACGGGACAGAGGGGATGCAAACAAGATCTCCACCCCAGAATGCAACAACCAACCAGACGCCCAACGGGACAGAGGGGATGCAAACAAGATCTCCACCCCAGAATGCAACAACCAACCAAAAGCCCAACAGGACAGTTTCCCCACAATCCACGGCCACACCAGCAACAGCGTCATCAAACGAGATGGCATCCACCATCGTTTTTACCACCGGAGTAAACAACACAAACACAACAGACCCAGGTCAGACTGCTGACAGTGCTTGTATGATCTTAAACTATATAACAATGATCAATGAAAAGCATAAATTAACACAAAGGAACAGTCCTCTGGTGGTTGTAGGTGTTTAAATCTTATATATATATATATATATATATATATATATATATATATATATATATATATACAGAATAAATAAATATATATATATATATATATATACATATATATACATTTATAAAGCTAGGAGAGATGACTATGATAAAGCAAAAAGTTTCTAGTTACTTTTATTTGCCTGAAAGCTTCATAGATTATTTTCAACTGCTGCAGGCAAAGAAGAGAATTAGTACAAGCCATCAACTCATGTCAGTCTGTCTCTTAATTGTGCAACAGAAAAAATATAAAGTGAGAAATTAACTAGAAGCTTGACTGCCGTCATGTCAAGCTTGCATTAACTTCCTTTTCTTCCCTGAGCAAGTCTGTTAAATTTCAGAGAAGGTAACTTTTCATTTGAATCGTTTTTAGGTTTCTCAGGCGAGTGGAACAAAGGGGACCTGGCAGCCAATCCGGGCCTGGTTGTCATCCTCTGCCTCTTCTGTATCATCTTCGCCCTGGCGTTAGTGGTCACTGTCATAAAGTGTTTGCAGTCACCGAGGTCCGACTTTGAGAGGCTTGAAGATGTTCCCTTGGTAAGTCGGTGAGCAGACTTTATATTAGATTAGATACAACTTAATTTATCCTTTTTGGGAGTTCCTTAAAGAAAAAGAAGATGTTTAGCTTGTCATTTTTTATTCTTAAATACTTAGAGATAATAACAAAATCTGAGCACAACACACTGGAGGAGACTGAGGAGATTGTTAGCTTTAAAGGTCACAGGGCATAACAGGCTGAAATGTTGAACAGTAAGTGGATGGATGTTCTGCTTCAAGTATTTTTTTCCTTTACCAGCAGGGGGCAACGCTGACTTGTGATAGTGTTAAATACACAGTGGGATAAAGAAACAAAGGTGTGACTCAGATAGCGCAGCACTGGCTTCTCCCACAGGGAATTCAGTCTCTACCCTGCATTGAAGAAGGGTTGGCACTGAAACAAGTCTTTGTTCGAGGTGTCATTGCTTTGTCTTCCTTCTTCAGTAATTAGCACAAGGTGGTTTTCTGCTCTTTCTGTCACACAAACAGGAAGCCTGTCTGCATAAATAGGTCTCAGACTCAGAGACGTGCAATTAATCATTGCAACACTTTCTGTAAGAATAAATAGAATCCATCAGTGCATGACAATGTGTTCAGACTCTTTTTGAGGCTGTTTTAGATGAACATTTGACCAAGCTTCAGGTTAACAACTAGAGAAAAAGATGAAGACACCTCTGCAGAGACAAAAGAAAAACACCTTGTGGGGTGTAACCACCGTCTCCAGTTATCTGTACATCTCTATCGCCGTATGGGTGTTGCTGCTATAAAAACTGTTGAATCAGGACAGTGTGTACAGCACATAAACATTTAAAGCAAAGTGTACAGTGCACGGCTGTCAGCATATGGGTCCAAACACAAAATCAGCTAATTCTGCAGAACGGGCAGGTGAGTATGACCGACTATTACCCAGCAGTCTTCAATGCTGGATCTTGACTGACAAAACCCCATACTGGATTTTAAGACTCACAGATAAGCTAAGTGAAAGAGACATCAACTAAATTAGAGGAAAGAGACACAAAGCAACTACAGCATTGTGTCGAGGAAACTGCCAACAGATATCATGTGAATAAAAACACTAAAACTTGTGTTTCATGTTGTGTAAGTAAAGGATTTTTAAATTGATAAAATCACCACTGCCACCTCACAGCTAGAGAGCTCTGGGTGTTAAATCTAAAAGGGGACTTTCCATTTGGGGCAGAAAGTTTTTGGCTTTCTAGGAAAAGGGCAAAACTCTGTACAAACTGTGTCAGACCCTGAATTTAAATGACCCCAGTGCATGATGAGATTCCCCCATTTTTACAAATGTTGTTTTAATCCCTTTGCTGTCATTTTTTTATCTCTCCAGAGCAAAGTAAATGAGGAGTCTCCATTCGCCAAGTACTCAAAATGATGGAGGAGACTTTGTCTTTACTCAGATCCAGAATTTAGTCTGATTTCGTCAGAAATGTCCCCGACAGCAGCAGAAATGGATGTATTCAAAGTTTTTTTGCTCTGCCTCTCTTTTTTCCCCTCATAGCACTCTATGTCTTTGAAATACTTTGTGTCTGCTTTGACAATTGCCCCGCTTATTTGGCTGCTTTTCGATTCATTTTGCTGATTTAGCTTCTAAAGCTCAACCAACCGTTGCACTAAATCTTTGTTTGTGGTTTCTTTTGAAGGAACATGAAGCTTTAAATGCACAGATTTGAATGTTTTTGAGATTGGTGATATGATTCTTATCCTGAGCACTTGAAAATCATACTCTTGCACTCTTGCACTAACGAATGAGGAGATAAGAAATGCAGCACATTAATTTCCACAATTGGGGGATCAACATACTTGCAGATCCATGGTTCTTAATTAAAGTGTTTATTTGAATGAATGAATGGATGAATGAATGAATATCATCTACATGTATTTTTTTAATTTTTGGTAGTTTTATATATATCAAACCACAAAGCTGTAGCTGTAATGAACAAGTGTGTGCTTTTTTCATTGTATTATTTATTGCCATACATATGATCAGTACAATGTGTGTAGATTAAAGATGGATTGTGACAATTTTGAATTCCAAAATAAATTTGTTATCTGACCAAATAAAAAAAAAAAAACAGAACAGTTAAATTACTCACACACACACACACACACTTACACACACAACATCAACAATAACAAGATAGTGTTCACGTGGTTTTCTATGTGGATGTGACACTGGTGCATGTAATTCTTCACCAAGGGTTATCTGTGTGGCAAAGCAGCTTTTCTTCTTCAGTTTCTAATTTCATCCTCCAGTGCACAGGTCTCCTACAGTTTTTCTTAATCATTTTGGTTTATTAAGGAAACTGTTGTAACTGCCTTCAAACTGTAAGTGCAAAACTAAAATACATGTTTGCAAAAGGCAATGGAAAACCTGAAATTTTTCATTTACAACTCAAAATCTAGTTTTTCTGCCAGCTTATCAGCCTGAGCAGTAAAAATGAGCAGTTACTTTGTAATTGTTTTAGCTGCACTGATTAAATGTAAAGATGCTTTTTCTCCATGTCAGTCGTGATTTACATTATGATTATAAATGGCACAAAATTACAAACAACATGAGAATTATTGAACAAGAACTTCCAACCTCTTATAAACCACAAACTAAGTAGAGGAAGATTTGGGCTTACTGTTTCATAAAATATCTGTTTAATATGAGAACTGAGTCAAAGTGAAAATGACACAGCCTTCTCCCTTTCAAAAATTAAATAATCAGTTGTGGTATATTTTGCTAAAACTCCAAACCCCAATCTGTGTTAAAACTCAGGGAATGGAAATACTCTTGTCTTTGTTAGTGGGGACCTTAAATCAGTCTTTTTGTGTGCAATACACACTTGGCTGTCAGGGAGATGTAAAGTGTGAAACCATAATATTTACAATGAAAAAATACATGTATTAACTGTACATTTGCTGTCTTTTGCCTCTTTATATTTGTTTTTGTTGTCTTGATTTCAACAATAAAGGAACCACAGCCAATCTGTTATCTGTTGTCTTGTCATGAACACTTGAACACAGAGAGTTTCCCCTGACAGATAAGCCAGACTCTGGAGATAAAATAAATTGTCTGGGCTGTTTGATGGTGAGGATTACCCAAAAATGGTCTGTGTGAAAGTGTGTCCTGATAGGAATGTCTGTGAGTCAAATATCACTACTGAGACACTTTGGCAGTCAACACACAGTGGGTGGGAGTCTGAATAACAGGCCCAGAAACTATAAATCTGATAAACAGATATGTGAATATCAGGAAGTGTGAGTGAAGCTTTTCTTTGGAGTTAGTTTTGCATGCTGGTTGATTTGGGTATTCTTTGTTTTCTTTTTTTTCTTTTTCTGTGTGAATCACTTTGTACAACATGGTTGTGTACGAAAAGTGCTATATAAATAAAGACTGATTGATTATCTTATCTTACAGCATGTATCATGAATGATTATACTTGGATATGTACATAGGCCCATTAACACTAGCAAACCAAAAGACAACCTCACCAGTTTTACAAAGCAAATGACCAAATGAGTAACTAAACCGTAAAGGTATTCAACAGTCGTTGAATCTGACACTCAAATTGTTCCATGTTTTCACCTCACAGCAAGAAACACATGACCTTTTCGTTTTAAAATCGGATTTATCTAGAAGTACAGTAAAGTGGTGAATAACAAGTCCTGTTGTTTACATCCCGGAGCCCCACTTCCTGTCACGTGACGAGAGCGTCAACGTCACGGTGACGGCGGGGCGTGAAGCGCTGCATGTTGCAGAGTTTGAAGTCTAACTAACAAGTGATGACCGACCGCTATAAAAATGCAAAACAGCGATAAGTGCAGCAGAGTTACCTGACTGAAACTCAATAGAGGGTCAGCGGAATTTACCTGAGAGGAGGAAACCCGCGAGAAAGGACGGCGTGTCGTTGTGGTGAGTGGAAATAAGAGTTTGAAAACCCTCTCTTCCAGACTGCGAAGTTGTGATAGGGCTTCACATGCACCCGGGCGACAGCCGATGTGTTAATGAGTACATGTTGGTGAGGAAAAAGTTGAAATGAAAACCACGAGGTTGACAGTTTACGCTTGGAGGAAGAGAAATGTGAAACTCACTCGATTTACAGCCGGGGTTCTGTAGACTACTATTCGAACTAGAGTGGTTTTCATGTCTGCCGCTCTAAACTACAAATTTAAAGCCACATCATCTCAATTAATTCAATGTTTCTCTCTTCAATACAAAAAACAACGTGTTCTGAGTATCTTTAATATTGACATCTGCAGTATTCCCACGGCAATCCTGTAAAAACATAAAGTGTCACTATGAAGGTGGATTGTGTTGTGAATGCACTAAATACCCCCACATGGACTCGCCCTGTTGTTCTATTTGTACAGTATCCTCAGTGTTTATTATAAGATCAGAGCAGAACATGTTCTTCTGTATGGCACAGTTTCAATCACAGTAGGGTTGTCATGTCATGAAATACTGTGAGTAGCATGTGTCTGCTGAGTTGTTGGAATAATTCAGCTTCATAAGCAAACCAACATGGAATGTATTTCCCCAAAATATTTACGCGTACCCTCCTGCTGTCTTTATCTCCTTCCTTCCTCCATATCTGTTTCCTTCACTCTGTCTATTACACACACACATGCACGTACACTGAATACTGACCCCTTTTTCTTATTTGCTAATTGTTTAAAAGGGTGGTCACTTTATCTCAATCTGTCATAGTTTCCTTTTGGTCTCTCTCTTTCTTCGACACAAAATTTCATAGTTCAAGGGAAAAAAGGGTTTGAGTGAAATATGCACTTGTTTTTAGATAATATTTTCCCTTACTGATGCATAAAAATGTGGTTTTGTTTATGCACATTGCTAATTTTTTTTGTTTTTGTATGTCTTAATACTGTTAAATATGTCATATTGTGCCTCTTGGGATCATTTACACAGTGCATGATTATAATTTCCGTAGAGTCAACTTTCAGGCTCCTCGTGGTCATAAAAATGCTCTGTCAGACCTGTTCCCCTGACATGGAAAACTTAAGAAATCCCTCCTGTCATCATTTTAAAAAAGAGCAACAATAGGAAAAAGACAGAGCTGTTCTTCCTCTAATGTCCATTAGATGGCGTGCTGCTCCAGTACTGCGCTGCTCCTATCTTCTCCATCAGTGTTTGTAGCTGTTTGATCTGCAAACATTTGCGGAGTCAGAACTTAAATCTGCTTTTGACTCACTGCTAATCTGACAGAAAATAAAGCCTTTTGTCCTTTATCTTCTTTGGAAATCACTAACGACAGGGAGGGAAAAAAAGATGTGGCGTAGACTGTCAGTTTGCACGCCAGTCACAGCAGAAGTTATTTTTCGCTAAGTGTGATGAGAAATTTAGATTTTAGTTGAGGGTATTTCCTAAAGCAAAAGTAGTAGTTTTTTGTGTTGAAGGAGCAAAGACAACAACAATAACAAACTTTATTGTCAATGAAGAAGCTAAAATCAGAGAAAAACTGACTTTTCCTCTCAAAAGTAGTTCATGGATATAGTTAAAAAAGAAGTTTACTGATCAGGTGTAAGGAACACATGAACAGAGGGGAGTGAGATTATATGAACCTGATTTGATCCAGTCCATTGCCATGCTTCAAAATGATGGAAAATTATATTGTATCGTAAAAAAAATAGCAAAAAAGTTTCTGGGTTAAAAACCAAAGACAGGATCAAAGACACACAGTAGCGCTGAATTGAGAGCACGAATGTGATGATGGTGGGTGCCAAATTGAACTCAGATAAGGTTAAACTTCACAGTGAAAAGTTCAAACAAAATTGTGTTTACCCAATTAGATCACCCAACGCAGAAAAACAGATGAAAATGTCAAAGCAATAGTTTCACATTATGGTTATTATTTTTCCTCCCCTCTGAGTTAGATGAGATGATCTTCACTTTCTCTTCAGTAAAATTAAAGCTCTTCTGATCCACTGCTGACACTGACGGTTATGCTGCATCCATGTGCTCCTCTGATGGTTTTAATCACCAAGTTTAGAAGTCAGTCTTCTGCCTTTATGTGTCCACATGCTTTCAATTCAAAAAGTCTGGGAATGTCCCATGACTCTTGAATCAAGGTTGAACGCAAATAAGTACAAACCTAATTTGACTTCTGGGCTAAAATTTTACATTCAGACTGTAATGCGCTGGCGAGACACTCAATAATAACCTCTACCAGTGCATCGGGCTGTCTGAAATAGCTTGCTGTATGATCCAATAGAGGGCGCTCTTATCATGTCCCAGCCAATCCATGCACTCTTTACCTCGATAAACCAATTTACTAACATTTCAGACAAGGATCTAATCTTGCTGTCTTTTCAGAGTGAAATGTAACACTCGGTGAGTATTTGCTGTGGAAAAAGTCAAAATCTGCAGTTTTTCTGGCCTGCTGTCAATCATCGGGTCTGACACCTTCTCTTTCATAGTGAGATTTAAGCATTAAAATAACTGCTGTGAAATCGAAATTATCACCCTTCTTGCTAATGGTCTTATTTACTTTTGAAGGTCATAAAAAGTTTCAGTCTTAGTTTCAGTCATTTTCCAAGCTAGGTAAAAAACGCTTATAGTGCCTTTAATGAAATCAAGTTGGGCACCAAATTCTTTCCTGAAGTACGAGTTGTTGTTGTTGTGACCTGGGCATGCTTTCACATTAATTTTTCCAACTCAGAACTCGTTTTTTTTATGTTTCTTACCACATGAATTTAATGACAGCCTCAGTTATGCAAAGAGGAGGCCATCCCCATATTCTTAACGTTAACTCATGCATTATGCAGAAATGAAGAACCCTCCAAAAAACACTCAACATTTATAAGCACATCCAAAGCTCACCAATGAATACATTCTATACATCTAATAATTCTGTAAAATAACAGAAAAGTAAAAAGGACAAGAAGTGGTTTCATAGGGAGTCATGTGTCAAACTATTTTAAGGTCAGGAGTTAAAAGTTTGCTGGTCACAATGTTGGATGGTACTTTGATATTCTGCAGGAAAGAGACTGCAGAGGTCAGATATTTCTTTCAAATACAATAGCCAATTATTAGAGCAACATTTGTGTGTGTATGTATGTATGTGTGTGTCTGTTCAAGATAAACACACGCGCATGAACACATTGTACAGACTCTTTGTGTGTCTTATCAGCTTATATTTTAACAAGCCTATCTGCTGTGCGTCATCATAAGGACTGCATCACAAGACGCCTTGGGTGTTCACTTTATGGTGCTTGATTGTAGCTTTTAAGACAAGGTCAGGTCTGCTGGGACAGTTAATTATTACAGAGTCTGCAGGGCCAGGACGCCTCATAATACACTCTTCTTAATAACAGCGGCAAAAGATGGTATATGTTATGTGTCAAACTGCTTGTTCTTTAAAATAGTCAAAAGAGCATTTGAAATACAGTACAGGCCAAAAGTTTTGACACACCTTCTCATTAAATGCATTTTCTTTATTCTCATTACTATTTAAATTGTAGATTCTCAGTGAAGGCATCAAAAGTATGAATGTGCTTAAGCAAAAAGTGTGAAATAACTGAAAACATGTTTTATATTTTAGATTCCTCAAAGTAGCCACCCTTTGTTTTTTTGATAGCGCTGCAAACTTTTGCTGTTCTCTCAATGAGCTTCATGAGGTAGTCACCTGAAATGGTTTTTACGTCACAGGTGTGCCGTGTCAGAGTAACTTCGTGACTGACAGGGTGGCTATTTTAAAGAAACTAGAATATAAAACATGTTTTCAGTTATTTCACACTTTTTTTATAAGTACAAAGTTCTACATGTGTTCATTTATAGTTTTGATGCCTCCAGTGATAATCTACAATGTAAATAGTCATATAAAAAAAATAAAGAAAAGACATTGAATGAGAAGGTGTGTCCAAACTGTATAATGTGCCTGTACTGTATAATTATTAGAAAGGCTTTACACTGATGGAAACAGATAAATACGCAGATTTTGGTGACTTTAAAAAGCATTAAATACACTGTGTACTTTCAGCTGATCATGATCTACATGTTAATTTAATTTTCGCTTTTATTATGGCGAGAAAGCTGAAGTAAGACAGAGTCAGAAACAGGAGGGAGGATAGAGGTTGACATGCAACATATAACGACAGGACTGGAAGTCAAACCTGCAACCAGTGCAACAATGCCTGCAGTGCACCATAGTCTCTACACATGGGAGGCTCGCTCTACACAGCCAAAGCTGCACCCCATGATGTAATTGTTGTATTGATGACTAAGCATGTTGAATGCTCTTACTTTACATTAAAGCACCTATGTGAACAGGTTAGAGCAGCAACACAGACTACAGAGCAGGGCTGGGGGATTAATCAAAGTCCAATTTTTAATCTAATTTTGGCTCTCTGCAATCAAAAATACGATAAAATTGCCCCCCACAGTCCTATTTGATATGCTCTCTAGGTGTTGTTGGGCACAAGGGCAAAGGATGTTATGGACAGACTATGGACAAATGGAACAAAAATGACTGAAATGTCTCTAAGCCCTGGACTCACCTCTTGAAATGTACGCATCATTACTATGATTCTTCTCTCCCTGTGTAACAAGATGTGTTTGTATTTTTTCCATCTATGCCTTTCCCTTCCTGTTCTTTTCTAGGTCTATTCCTTTCTTTCACTCTTTCTAAGTATTTTGAAAAACTCAATGTATTCATAAAAAACAGCAAAATGCTACCATATAGGCTATAACGTGTTATCACCTGGAGCACAGACTGATTCACAGCAAAGTTTCATAATGTAAAGAAGCTGATGAGGTTTCAGTAGAAGCTGCTGTGTAGCACTGCCAGAGAAGAGCAGAAAGAGGAGGTGTGTGCTAAAGCTGAGGGACAGAGTGAGCATGAGGAAAGAATGTAATCTAGTTAGTTTGAAAAGAGAGCAAGATGTATTAGAATGTCTAAGTTAAATAAATACATATGTCATATATATGTTTAAATAAATATATATATGAAGTCTAAAGGAGAAATCTAACATCAGAAAAATCGTGCTGCTGTGACTCTGAGAGGTGAAAGATTGTCTTACAGAGACACTGACAAAGTTCGGTGTTTAAAAAGCATCTGTAAATGTATTAATACTCGTCTGACGAACAGTTTTGGAGTGTATCAGGATCAGAGGGTTTCCAGCCTTGGAGGTTTTGAGAGCATTATTTTTCCCAAGGGGCAAAATAAATGAATACATCTCTGCTGCAGGTATCAAAAGATGTGAGGAAGGGTGCATATACTGTAACAAAAAAGCTCTCAGGGTTTGCTGCCTCAGGCAAGGCTGCATTTTCCTGCAAATGTGATATTTCAATAATGGGCCATTTTCACAGCAGACAGTTTGATTTGTGATGGAGTTGTAAAGTAGGAGGCGCTTTTTCAGGCTTCTCTTCTTTTGGAAATAAAAGTGCGGTTCTTAATTCACATCGACAACATTACATGACTCAGAGTTGTAGTCATTAGAGCTGAGATCTGCTTGGAACTGCCATGGGTGAATCATCAAATATCACTTTTGGATTCTTGGTCATTTATTTTATTATTATTTCAACAACTATGGTGCTGTGATTTGTCGACAATGCTTTTCACACCTCTAACGGCCTCTTTTCTATCAAAAAAAATGGTGTCATTTAGTACTTCTACACTGGAGAAGGATGGGAGGAGGAAAAAAACTGAACCAAATTAAGAGTTGAAGAGTCATTTGAAAACCAATGCTTTAACCAGTCAGTCATGTAGTGTTTAAGCATGTGGTGGCACTAAATTTTGACCCTTTCTCTGCATGTTAGTGTGCTTTTCTTGGACTTCTAGTTAACTGGGTTTTATCTAGATTCTTTCTCTCTGCCAAACCAATCAATTGAACAAGATTTCTCAGAGCAAATGATTCAAATTCAAGGCCATAACGAAGCTTAAAATGAAAAGACACCTCAACACCCTGTTTTCTCCATCATCGATTCATGTAAGTTTTCTGTCTATTAATGCTGCAGGATTCCTTGTTGCTCTCTCTCTCTCTCTCTGCTCTGTCATTTTTACTTCTGCCCTGCACCTGTGCTGTGCATACTTCCAGCCCCATCACACCCCTGCAGGCTGCAGATCAGAGGTTTTAAGATATTATCTCATCACTCTTCAAATTTCTGCATGTAAAATTAGTCTCTGTGAAGTGATGAGGTTGTTGCTTAGATTCCCAACATAAACATGGCGTGATCCTCGGCTGTGACAAATGTGGGTTTTCCAACTGAAATGACCCTGATTTCTATGTTCTCCAGATTTATCCTGCATTTGTTATATTCTCCAGATCAGTTCAGATTTGATAAGGTAATGAAAAAAAGGATAAAAGTTACAAACACAGTGGAATATCGTACAACTTAGGCAGCTCAGCCATTTATTTCAGAGAGGCTTTTATCAGCTGTGACACAACCTCTAAACATGGGACGTGACTTAGTGTTTCTAAAGTCTTTTGAGATTTTTCTGTAATATTCTTCATGTATGGCTAAAAAATACTTGGTTTTGTGTTTGTATATTGTTCCTTTATCCATTTTGTCATTTCTTCTCCTTACACAAAATGTCGTAACATTTCTAGAAGAACCTTTAATTTGAGGCTTTGAGATGCTGTCTCTTAAGGTGTTATGCTCTCATTTTTGCCAACACAAAGCTGTGCAGAAATGATTTTTTGATAGGATGTTGTCGTCTCATTTCTTTAAAAATATGTGTATATTATGTAAATTTTAACAAGCTTTAGTTTTCAGTCAACTCTATATTCCACATTTCAGACGTGAAAACATACGCAGGCTGCTATCTGCATGTGAACAGCAGATCTGTTTACTGTGAGGTTTACTGAACAGCATGGACAGTCTGCTTTCTCATGAAGACATGCAGGTTTTATTAAAGCAGCAGCAGGGCAGTGGTGAACAGTAAAGATGTGTATGTTTCTCACAGTGTCTCATGTAGTAGAAAAAAAACAATGTCTCACTGCTGTACTGAAAGTGATGAACCTTTAGATGTTGGTGAAGATTTGGGGGTTCAGCAGTGCAGTGAGGAAGAATGAGTCGAAATGAAAGAAGCCATGAAAGATTGACTGGGACTGAAAGTGTTTCTAAGAGCTCTGTGTGTAATATAACAAAGGTTTATGGTTTACAAATTAATAAATGTTCCTGTTTCAGCTCCTTAGATATGAAGATTTGAAGCTTTTTTGTCTTCTAAGATTTTGAAATTTGAATACAATTGTGTTGTTATCACCTTTAAGGAAATGATTTAAGATTAACCATAAAAAACCTTCAATAAACATAAAGTAATAGACAAAGATGGATAGATTTTTACTTAAATCTTAACTTTTGATACTGCAATGTGATAATACCACAAAATGCAGATGGTTTTGTTTATTACTGAATATTAGATAGCTCAGTATACCCAAAACTTTATAATGTAATGTGTAAATAGGATATTCATATCACATCAATAAGTTATATTTACCTATAACCAACAACAACAATGATGGAGGTCGGCACAGAGGAGGAACTTATCTGTTTTTTGGGGGGAATGAGTAGAGTTTAGCAGGGTGACAGCTGAGGGGAAGAAGCTGTTCCTGAACCTGCTGGTTCTGGAACAGAGGGACCTGTAGCGCCTGTGTCCTGGGTCAGAGTTGTCCCTGCCAATAGACTAAACATTTAATAGAAAGCCAAAGAAGGACAACCTAGCAACAGCAAACTAGCACCAGTAGAAAGTGCTTCTAAATTGAAGTTGTGGGAGCAGCAAATGAAGAAAATGCTGTCAGTGGACACAGGCCCTAACTCTGCTGTCTGCATTAAATGTTTACCCATTTACTCGCCTTGAATGAGTCAAAACTAATTACATTTAGTCTCAGAAATCCTGATAAAACTTAAACATTCTCCAGTAATGTACATTTTTTCGAGGTTTCTCACTAATGGTAGCTAGAGGGTCAGATATGAGGGGCACTTTGTATTGATCTCAGGTTAAAAAGACAACCACCGGCTATTAAGTGTTTTATGATTTGTCATTCTTTATATAAAGCTTTTAACAATGTCCTTGTCTCCCGATTTTAATTAAAAGAGCTGACCACACGTCTTGTCTCTGCAGCTGTCCAGTTGGTGTAGTAATTACTGTTTTATTGTGTTTAATGTTGTTTTATGGCTGAATCTGATGAGCTCATGGAGCCTGAGCTGTGTGTGTGTGTGTGCGTGCATGACTTTAATGAACAAAGCAGTTGATAGAAGTAATAAAAGAGCTTGATCATGTACTCTCTCTTGGCTGGACTGAGAGGTTTTATGCCTTTTGTAGCTTCTGTCAACTCATAGATCTACCCGCCATGATGTAGCACATGATAATGAAAAGTGTTGCTAGTTAGTCTTGAATACTTTATGAGATAGCTGTCTCATTATTAACACACATACTCAGTCTTCCTTTACAACCTGTTTTATCCCCCTTTTTTGAATCATGACCGCAGACCTTCACAAGTTTAAAGTAAAGCTTTAAAGTTATTCTGGTTTCCGGGAAAATGACTGTTAAATGTTAGATATTTCTGAAGATTGTAAAATGATAGATGATTCATTCCCCTGTGAGTAATAACTGAAAGTTTTGGTTCGTTTTGTTTCACGAGACAGAGCCATGGGAGTATATTTTATTAGAATACTTCACAACAATCGATTTATAGTCATGACTTGAAAAACCGTGCTCCTATGAGTGATGAATTTCATTTTAAAATCACTGCTCATTGCTGTTTTTCCTTTGTTTCAGCTGCTGTCCTGCTGCTGCAACAAATAACCACAATCAATGTCTCGACTTGAGGTAAATAAGATTTTACACACACGCCCACCAAAAAGACACAACTTTTTGCACACTCACCCACATCTCCCTCCTGCCTTATCAAGTTTGTAGTTTGGACTTTCATTGATAAGCGTTATAAGATCCAAACCTGATTGTGATTCTTCAGTCCTGTATGTCATGCCGTGTCTCTCTGTCGGCTGATGACTCAGTTTGAACTAGAGTAACTCACGGCTGTAAAAGATTTATCATCATTTTAGGGCTTTGTGTGCAGTTAATAAAGATTCAAGGAACACACACACACAGTCATGAACACGTAGTGAATTATTGATTTTTTTTCCTGAAAAGCTCCAAGCAAAACACTCCAGATGATTCTCTAAATTTACCTTGAAAACTTTTGGAAAACCCTTGGGTTATAAGTTTTCCATCACATGTAAATGCAATTTTAAGAGTAAATGAAGATTATGTTTTAGATCTAATTCCAAATAAATCAGATTATAGGAGGTCTAAGTTCATATCAGCTGTTTATCTGTTTTTTGCTTGCGTATGCTGTGGGTCTACCCAGCTCTGTACCTCTGTAGAAGCCAGCTCCTGTAGCCTGATGTGCACCTCCTGGAAATGTAACTATAAGTTGCAGCAATGCAGCCTACAAGCCCCGGGCTATTGATCCATCCCATTCATCATGGTAGTCAGGGTCTCGAAGCGGGGAATGTCACAGAAAAGAAAGTGCCCCCTGATATTATTAGCATCATTGGCTATACCAGGCAATAACAACACACAATGTGATACTCTGCATGTGAAAGCAACATGACAACATGAACTTGCACAGTACTATCAGTGTGCACAAAACAAGACAGAGCACTTTAAAAGTACACCTGTTTTTCAGCAGATGCAGGAGGGGGGTTAAGGGAACCCGGAGTTGCTCTTAGTTGCTGAATTCCAACTTGAGGCGAGGTTCCAGAGGTTTCTCTGTTGGGTCCAACAAACATCTCAGAATTTTGTATTTCTAAGATCAAATGGATGTGCACTATGTGGACATTAGTGGTCCCACCCACGTCACCTGTCCTCTGCCTACAATGATTCAGTGGCCACAGAATCCTTAATCTCCAACATCTCCTCTCTTTTCCTCTTTGCAATTTTGAAACTCCTCTTTGCAACTTTCAAATGTGATCACCATGTTTTTCTGTACCGAAAGAAGCAGAGAATGAAACTGGTGATATGAATTGCATAGAAATCGCACTGCTGACATGTTTTTAGGCAAAGTACTGTAGGGGGGTGTAAAACTCCAATGCACAAATATCTATTGCTCATGACTGCGTGGGTCACAACAGTATGGCTGTGGCATGGCATTAATGCGTGTTTCTTTTTTACCATTTCTTATTATGATATTTCTGCTCAAATGTTCATTTTTTGTAAAATATCTTGTTTAATTAGTTATCTGATGACATTAGACACAACATATAACTGGCATTTCAGGTCTCCAGTGATATGAAATAAACAACTATGTGTTTGACCGACTGGTAATTCTGGTGATGACCAGCGAGGGAGATGATGTGCAAATTTTCCTAAATTTGTACATCATGTATTATACCTTTGGATGTTCTTTCAGATGCGTATCAAACCTGATTTGTAATGCACTTAGTATCTGAGGAGAAGCGGAAGCAACAACATTTTAAAGGGCAAAGTAGAAAACAGATTCAGTTATTAAATTTTGTCTCACACAAAGTGTTTCCTCTCTGTGGACATGTCCTTCGTCTCACTGGAGAGCAATTTTAACCAAGCAAGAAAACTAAACTCATTTTTGTTATTAAAGAATCTCTGCCATCACTCAGAGCTTTTTTCATCGCTGCCTCCATTTTCAGTCAGTAATAAGTCAACTCAGTGGAGTGTCAGATTTAAAAATTCCGGCACAGACTGCTGCACATTATTTGACTTATATCTGAATCTGGGAGTTATTAAATATTAGGAAAAAATCCTCTCCAAATTACTTTCTAAAACTGTGCAATAAAAGTAAGAATTAAAAGAATAAAATGCCTCCAAAGGAGTCTGAAAGGTGGCAATATTTAAAATAGCTTATACTCTTAAACCATCTTTCGCAGTCTATTTTTTAAAATTATTTTATTCTTAAACCACTGAAAAAGTTCTGGAAATTATCTTTTAAATGTAATTTGTCTTTTTTTCACCTGGGCCTCGGTTCTACATCCTGTGGGCTCCAAGTGACTTATTGGTAAAATAATAGAAGTTTACTCCCCTGAACAGATCAGCAGCCTCAGGAACAGCTCTGTCTCACTGAAAATTCTTGTTTTGGCCTCTGGTATGTTCAACATGTTATTGTGAGTGTCTGATAGCCTCATGGAAAAGATCTTTGCCCTCTCACAATATGACTCATGGCTCTGCTGCTTACTTCCTGTCACAACTCATTTTTTGAGAGATCTCATGAAAAGATTTCTCTTGGAAGATTTCAGATTCATATGAAACCTCTAGACTGGTGACTGTTGTACACATGTGGGATGACTCAAATCAGCGAAATAAAAAATTTGTTGCAAGATTTCTTTTTGAACGGCAGAGGGTGCTGGGACAAAACCTGGGCAGCCGACCAAAGTACGGATGCTTATCATTTCGGTGTTTTCCCTTTTTAACCTTTATCAGAGTGTGTGTGTTGTTAATTGGGTTTCCACACCCTCTCTGCAGAGGTTACAGATAATGTTAGAGGTGCAAACAGAGCCTCTCAGTGTCTAACTCGTTATCCACATGTAGTGATCATGGTAGTGGTGTAGAGTGATACAAGGGTAGAATAACAATGAAAAAAAAACAACATTGTGTGTGCTCCAGGAGGACCCGTACTGCTACATTACTCAACTACACATATGTTACAGAATGACCCCTGACAGGAGGAGGCAAACATTGAAATACACCAGGCTCAGACTGCACTTTTGTTTAGTGTGACCCACATTATTTAGCTTTTTATACTGAGATGAACCAGGCTGAAAGGACACACCTTGGTCAAGAGACAGATGAGTGCACAAATGACCCATTAGTTAATGAAGCCTGTATAAGGGACAGGTTTAAAGATATCTGACCTAGCCTTTTAACTTGCACCCACACAAAAACCTTCTGTTCCTGCCACCTGTTGAGTTAATCACGACACAGTCGTGCCTGCAGTGAGACAGCGATGTGATTTTATAGCGAAGGCTTGATTGGAGGCTGGCTCTATTTGTGGATTCATGCTAATCATACTCTTTGCACCCCTGGGTGTCATTATACATACAGGTGTATGTTTTCTGCTCTGCATCGAAGGAGCAGACTTCTCCAGGCTGTCACCAGCATTCAGTATGAGGTTTTTATCTGCTTCTCTTGCTGTTGGGATGAATTAATATTCATTTTCACAATTGGATGAACAGCAGCAGCTTTGATTGCTCTCATGAGCTCGGGGAAGGATCAGCGTGTCCTAATGAAATGCTCTTATCCTCTGTGATTACATCATCATGCTGTCAGAGCTTGTCTCTACATTTATGACAGGAAATTTGTGCATGTGTACGTGTGTGTGTATCTGTTTACTCATTTTTACCAGAACCTTCTAATGCAAGTCCTCACCAATAGATCTTTTGATGAGATAACAACCCCTCAGATTTGAGCGATTTGTTCTTTGTGTTGTTTATTCTGAGCACAAAAGGCATTTGAATTATTAAAGCCGTTTCCGGTGTTTATCTGCAACAAATAATAATGAAGACTGTTGGAAGATGTGAAGGATGTGTTTAATGACACAAGAGCTTTGATTAACTGCAGTTGAGTGCTATCGCCACATTTGCCAGACAGGCTAATCAACTGGTCGTGAGAGAATGAGAGAGAGAGAGGGTGGGGGGAGTTAGAAAGATTTGGAAAGAATATCAGATCATAATGGAAATACAATAAAGAACATAAAGCTCTCACTGAAAAGAAAAAAAAAAAACATTTTAGCTGCAACAGCTTGAGGACATTCTGCTACATTTTTCCAATTGGTATGTTCTGCCAAATCACCCAGACAAACAGTGATGCATCCAAGCTTCGACAAGAAAGAACTAGGAGTTCAGAATTTAGGAATGCTAGGTTTAAAGCTATAATGTGTTGGTGTAAGCAAGCATATTGCACAACCTGTGATGATATAATTGAAGCAAGAGAGAATCTGTACCGTTATGTTATAATTGGGGCTACAAAGTGTTGTAACTTAAGTTACCAAATTTCAAATGAGAGTCTAAAATATGAAAAATGTGGACTGTTGCACCTAGCTATTCACTGCATGACCCAAGATTTAGACTGATCCTGGAGGTGTGTCTGGAGTTTTAGATTCACCAGGCTGTGTTTTTCATACCAATAACTATTTATGAATATCTTCCTTTAATTTCTTTCCTTGTTGAGATGTGAAGCCAGAGGGCCACCCCAACAGGGGTTGACCTATTGTGCTGGTCCAGCCAAGGCAAACACATGACTGACGCAGGACTGACTTTACATCCTTTTCTTTCTAACCAAAACAACACATTAAATTTACTCTGCTTATCCAGTTCAGACTGATAAAGGAGCTCGTGTGCTAGCATGCTTAACTTCTCAAAATAATGAAGACTTGCAAATAAATCAGCATGACAACAGCTAACAATGTTATTTGATTTACATCCTGGGTAATGTGGGCCAGGCATTGCTTGAAACTGAATGAATTACAGGGCTTTGTACTGAAACACTGGCAAAACTAATACCACAGTCTTCATTGACAAATGAGTCTAAGTCCCCCCCTCCATTCTCAGAAGTGAAGTGTAGTGAGTGTTCAAGTTTAAGTCCAAGTCAAATTTATAAAGCAGGACTTTAATCATTTCTACACTAAGTCAAAAAAGAACCATACCTTTCTGTTTACATATGTGTTTTTTGATTTTCTCAAATGGTTCCAATAATATTCAAAATACACTGAATACACTGTATGTTTATGTGTCTCCTTCAGTTGCCTGTCAGTAGTATCATACTGCTATTTCCCCCCCGTCTAGTTTTTATAATTCCCAGAAGAAACACATTAATCAAAATGACAATGACAAGTAGCTAATGCTAGTCAACAGGCTAGTAGTTAAAGTCACACAATGGTTTCTGGGGGTCCCTGGGCTCCATCATGCTGTAGGTTCTTCTGGATCACTGCTGCAGATGTTTTGCTGCTGTGGACCTGCCTGTTTTCCAGCTGCTTTAACTACAAGCATCAGTCTCACCTCTGTCCACCTCCCTCTTTCTGCATCTGCCACTAACCTCTCTATTGGCACTCTTTAAATACAATGGGTCTGTGTAAACAGAATACAGCCTAGACCAACTTTTTTAAGTGTCTTGTGATAGCACTTGTTGTGAAGTGGCACTATATACTGTAAATAGAGATTGATTGATTGATTAATAGGTGTAGCATGCAGACCATGTTCAGCACTGCAATAACTCTAATGCAGAATTGGTTGGATGGCTTGTTACCAATGTGTCTGGTTCTGTTGAGGGTTTCTGCCTGTCAAAAACAAGTTTTTGTTTGCCACTGTTGCCTCAGGTTACCAATTTGTTCATGTAAGATTTTAACCATCTGAGTTGAGTTTGTTATAATGTGAATGTTTGCTGCCATGAACTGTGACTAACCTTGTCTTGATGATTTCTTGCCCAAACCCCAAAAATGTTACAGTTGGAAACAAGATGATTTCCGCTGCAAGAGCTTAAGAACCATATCAGGCCAACTCTGTACTGATGCTTGTCACTGCCCTACATGTAAGTCTATATTTGGATAAACTGTGATGAAGCATTACTTGAGCACCGATACAACTCGTACTCGAGGTTTGATTGGTCCCTCTCACACTGTGCTGAAAATATGTCACAAATGTGAACCATGAGCCCAGATAGAGCGTCATACTCGCTATTGATGCAGAAGCATACTGAGGTTTAGTCCTGACAGCTCTCATTGGCTAATGGTGACAGAGCACCCGCTGCCCCATCTGATCTCACAGCAGCCTCACTTTCTTCATCTCGTTCTCACTCCCTGTGTGTGACAGAGGAGCAGCTCGGGCAGGTGATAACACGGCCAGCTGCTTCCTGTCTTCTGCTGATTGGCTGCGGGGAAAATGTCTCACTTGGCTTGAAAAGAACAAACACAAAAAAATCAGCGGGTGTGTGTGTGGAACAATAAAGTCCTGATGTAAATGAAGTTATATTCTAATCTAATTAACACCGAGAAGAAGTAATATTATTGCTTAATTTTCTGGTTCAATCAGAACATCTCCACAACATTTTAGCAAAAACCTTATGCATGTTTGATGCAGAGGGATGTGTAATAGGTAAATTTTTCTTGACTGACCTCTTTTTAACTTTCACAACCTTGCTATTTCTTATACTTTTCATGTGAACAGCCGAGCAATACTTGGGGAATTTTCTTGTGTCATGTTTGTAGTAAACAGAAGGAAAGAAAAATATGTGGGATTGGACCCAAAAAGCACCCAAAGTAGTTATAAAAAAAAGGCAACAACAAAAACAGTCCAACGGGCAGCAAGCTTGAATCAAAACTAAAGAAAATAGATCATTACCAAGAATGGACAGCTAAAAATCACCTGGAGTACACACAAGGAGGATTGGTTGAAAGGAAGAAGGATGAACTTGTAAAGAGACAGGCCGCTATCACAGGGTCTGGAAAGTGACAAGTGCAGGAAGAAAAGTGTTAGGAGTCTGCCTGAAAATTGGAACTACACTTAAATGATTTCCACCTATAGCTGCAACAGCCAGATTTACTATGTGCCTTCAAATGTGGCTTTATCAGATATAAACATTTCAGATAGCCTGCAAATTACGTCTTTTAAGTCTCTGCCTATTGGTCTGTCACTTTTAAGTTTATATAGCCTCAGGGGAAATCTTTTGTTTGTCTTGACTTCGAGGAAATGACCATGAGATAAACAAGCTGATTAAACCTTATCTTTGAAAAAGTCAAATGGAGATCCAATAACACCAGAGAATATCATGACAATCAGAGCTGATGGGTGCGTAGCCTGGTGGCGGACCTGTCTGTCACGTTCGCTTTCAGCGCCCGACAGCACTGAAAAGGGAAATGAGACGTTTGCTTTTCCAGCTTCTTGGGAGGTGGATCAATATCCATCACTTCTCTCTGAGCCACCAGGTGACGACTGTGAACTCCTCTGAAGCACAAATCACACACTAACACAGGCTCTGAAGTGCCAAAGGCTCGGCTGACACGAGCATGGATTTTTGGGCCAATGTGTTTTCAAGTCTGCCTAAATCTCATTTGACACTCCTTAATTGGGTGAAGTCATCTTTGTCATCTTCCTTTTACACAAACATACACACGCACACACTCACTCAGGCAGAGTGAAACAGTGGGTTTGTCACTCTGTTATTTGTCAACCACACTAAGCTGCTGTCGCTCTGCTTGATGTCTGTCACTGCTGCAATCCATTACAGTGCCTCAGCTGATAATAAAGGGATTAGCATGTACAACATGTGAAAAAAGGCAATTTCATTGTCTCAAAAGAAGACAAACAAACTACTTCGTGTCACATGTAAAAAATGCAGCCGTTTTGCCTGTGATACCCCCCAGGACAGATGCCACATGTCACTGGACTAATGTGTTGGATACACTTGTGGTTTACTGAACAATTTTTTTAGATAGCACAATAATTTAAATCCTCACAGCAGGGATAAATTATATACTGCATAAATATTTATACATCAACAAACAGCAATGTTTTGCAAATTTATGGTAATTGTAAGTGATTAGATAATAATTCATCATTTCTAGAGGGCATTAAAGTCTCATCTCTAATGTTTTATTAATGGAGGAATGAGTCATCTGTGTTACTGTTCACTTAACTGAAAAGATTGCAAACAGTAAATAAACAAGGGGGTACGCTGTTCAGTGTTCGTCACAGACTGACTGTGTATTTCCTGTAGTCATATAGGATGACTTAAAATATTTATAAAGTACATATATTGCACAAAGATATCTCACCTACTCTTACATTTATTTAAAATATTTATTTGTGTTATTTTTTTAAGCAAAATACTCTAGGTGAATGCAAATTAATTGTTAATGTTTTGAAATAATTTGCACCATCAGACGACTTGTAGAAATGTGAGTGTTTACATTGAGATTTTTTTTGTTTTACTTGAACTGGTGATTTTATTTTGAGATGTATTTGAATCTTGATTTTGGTAAACAGAGAAGTGTGTTCCCATCTTTACAGCAAAATTGAACGTGTTTACGGCCTGGTTCAAGAAGCACTTTTCCTCTGAATAGCTGATTCCCCAATCCTCACACACTGTTACTTTTTTTTTTCTCATTAGTTTTGAGGATATTGAGGTAATGACTTTTGCTTTATATTGAACACAGCTGACTTGACTGACAGGCAGGCATATTATAGCTATTATAGAGGAGGCTAACGGCGCTCCACAACCCCACCATTTTGCCTCTTGCTTGTTGGACTAAGGTTGAGTTGAGGCATTATTTTCAATATGGTGACTGCCAGCTATACAGTAGGCTCAGAATTCCTTCAGCATATTGGTGATGGCACCGAGACTGCACCTATGTTTTATATGTGCTCTCTCTCTGTCTCTGTCGTAGATCATCTATAGAGCACACAGATGCTATTTTAAAATGCATGTACGGTGCAGAGTGGGTCCACACTATCATCTGTCATAGCTGGGGAACACAAGAAGAAAACTGCAAATATACCTTAGGTGGCTGTTAATATTCAACCTTGATTCCAATATTACTCTGATACTCCATCACCCAGCTTCTCTATAGTGCCTTTTTCTACCAGTCACATAACTAGCATTAACATGTTGCTAATTGTTTTAATTAGTTGGTAGATGTTTTACTGGTGTTTTATTGAGTTATGATTGCTTTTTAAAACATAAAGTAAAATTGGGCATGTATTTTCATCCAAAAAACATCTGTTTCACATTTTGTTTGTGTTGTTTTCAATTAAATATGGTCTTTAAATGACTTTCAAACCCTCAAATTATTTTTATCAGCAGTGAACACAACGTCCCAACAGTCAGCATCTGTAGAGCAGTCACTTTTTGCACAGTCATACTCTTAGCAAACTTGTGCATCAGAATTCTAAATGTACAGATTTTATTTTTTATAACATGTAATTTTCAGTATAGTTGTTGCTCAAAGTGGTTTCAAAGTCAAACATGTCACCAAAAGATTTATCATCTGAGAACCACAAATGTGTATTAAAAACAGAAAGCCTGTCCATTTATTGACACTGTCCTTCCAAGAGCCATGCTACCACAATTGTTAGCAGCTGTTTCCATCACACTGAGAACTTTTAATGATAAGTGATGAACATTACCTCTGTAAATAATATCAGCAAGGTATCATTTCCTGTCTATGATAAAAACTGAACATTATAATTGTTTGAATTATTGCAGAACTGTTGATTTAAAGTCTGCAAAATTACATCTTAAACTCTCATATTGTCTTTCTCTTTCTCTCTCTCTTTCTCTCTCTGGGTGAAGGGTCGTAGGGAGTCGCTGCCTGCTCTCCACCATGTGGTGCGTCGGCGTTTCTCTGGGCCGGTGCTGCTCCCTCCTCTGCGGAGGAGACACTCTGTTCAGGAGCACCACCATGAAACCCGACGGGCATCTGCAGCACATGGTCTGCCTCTGGACCGCCTGGAAGTCCTGTACAGCAGAGCTCTGGCCAGTCATGATGAGTACCGGTCAGTACACACACATGTCCTGCTATTTTTTTTCCCTCTTCCTTCCTTTTTTTTCTCTGCTGCTTACATGTTTGAGGCCCTCACAAGTTTACAGATGTAGGTGGTTTTGATCTGTGACAGGAACTTCATATTCAACTATAACTCAGTCTTCTTCTACTTGTGATACTGGGTCACAGGTTGTCCACAAACACCTTTTTCACAAATTCAAAAATTGAGTACCTCACTTTCATCTGTCCCGATTTCTGTGACACCAGTAGCAACACACTTTATGTGAAAACCAACTACAGCTGGGTACTGATTCTTTTCTTCTGCTGCTTCTTCCTTTTTATCTTACCTCTGTCTTATGGGTAGCTGCAGCCAGCCAAGAACCACTATTGCCCAGCCAATGGGTACGCTGACATTTTAATATACTTATTTTCAGCACAATATTAATATTTGATTTCTATTAAGAAGATGGTGATAGGTAGTACTTGTATATTGTGGTGGCCTAAGTATAGATTTGCATTTACATGCTTGTTGTGATCCATCTTGCTGTATGAAAGCAGGAAGGTACAGCAAAGCCAGATGTATTTGGAATGGTAGAAGATGGTATCGGGGTTTCTGAGAGCACTTTTCTGCTGTGAAAGTGCAGCCCATCACTGTAAAGGTTCCTGTTAAAGTGTCTAGTCAAGGGTTGGCCTTTTGTGAATTTTTTCTTGTATGTTGCAGTTCATACAAGTGTAAGGAGAGATGTGATTTTTCTGTCTTTGTTTGTTTTTGCTGATTTAGTTAATCTCTTGAATTGTATGGTATTGGTTGGGATCTTTGCTGTCCTGCGTCACCATAGTAAGTTATGTTTATCCAGCTCAACACAAACAAATGTGCCTCAATTGTTTGTCAATCAATCAATTTCAATTTCAAAGATAATTAATCCTCACTTTTATATACACAGTCAAAAACACATACACTCTCTCTCCTTCACACACACAAGACAAAGACAGGGTATGTTTACACTCAAGCGATAATGAAAGCCCTCTACGCTGTAAAAAGACATCTGGAAACTGCAGCAGCCTTTCTCCTAAATGTCATAGGTATTATGTATCCTCCTCTCTCTCTCTCGCTGACATCTTCATTAAAGGGATATTCCGGCGTAAAATTAATTTAGGGTAACATCGAGTTAGACACCCCATCGAGAGATGAATGTTGCTGACCGCTTGCTTCTCTAGTTATACCAACTTAAGTAACGACTGTATGATAGCAATACACAGTGGTCTAAGGAGCCATAAACAAACATCAACCAAAACGCCACCTAACTTCATCAACAGTACATACAGGGTCCCAGCCACAGCACTAGCCACCAAACATCTTTTTAGCTTTGCCTAATTTCTTTGGCAAAGAGACTAAACACAACTCACCCACTCTCTTCCAGCAGCCGCTTGTTTGTAGCGAGAACTCGGGCCAGTCCATTACGGACTACAGCGGGGTGACACAGCTCAAGGAAGAACATTTATGATCATTACTCTATCATTTCCTTGAAGTAATAATCATCATATTAATCATTTTGCACTGCAGACGCAATAGTTCTTCTGCCTTAGCGTCTCGGTCTGATTGCATTTCCATTAAGGAATTACCATAAATGTTCTTCCTTGGGCTGCGTCACCCCGCTGTAGTCCGTAATGGACTGGCCCAAGTTCTCTCTACAAACAAGTGGCTGCTGGAAGAGAGTAGGTGAGTTGTGTTTAGTCTCTTGGCTAAAGAAAGGGGGTGTCTAACTCTGTGTTACGGTCTGTTTGACCCTCCATCAATTTTACGCTGGAATATCCCTTTAACTCTCTTGACTGTTATGTTGACTGGATTGTGGTGGAAAAGGGTGAATTGAATTGAACTTTGCAGAACCACACCTGATGACATTAACCAGAGGAAAGCTGGGAATCTTAACATTTAGACCAATGTAGGCCTATACCCTCTGAATATTAAAAACAGAGCATGGCAGTGCAGTACCTGACGTGATGCTGAGGGCAGTCAGGCAGGTGACCCAAGCTAATCAATCAATCTGGAGGACAATAAAGGACTGGAATGTCAACTACCATACCTTGGCTCAGTACTGCAAAATATTCACCCCAGCCCAAATACAAAGTCAGACAGCTCTCCAAACTCCAGAGCATGTTGCATAAGATTTTATGTTAACATTTGTTCAATGGCTATGTTTAATGACTTTTTCTAGCTCAATGATAAACATTTTCTGTGCCTGACTTTGATGTTCAACAACAATAATTTTGTCCTTGTTTTGTTAGCTGCAAAATCCACTGTGACATCTTACCCCATGTAGTGAGACAACTTACCCGATAGTGGGGTGACATGTCACATGTTCACACTCTATTTGATTGCTTATAACTCTGCACTGACACAAGATATGAAAATGACATGAATACGAAATATATCCCTGAGACTTTGGTCTTTCATCTGGTTCACATTTTGTTTATATATGATGTATTGATTCCAAGAAATACGTAAGAGTGTAAAAAGTGAGACAACAAGCCCCGGTCTCCCCTAGCTGACTGGAAAAGACAATACAAACTGCCCTGAGATTAAACATTGCATGTAGGCCACAATGGTGTTTGTGTTGGTTGTTGCTTAACAGCGATGATGATTGACAGTTGGCTGAGAGAGAGGCAGATGGAGCAAACAGGAGGAAAACTGGCACAGGGAAAACATAGTGAAAGGTGAAGATGGGGAGAAGGAGATGAGCAATAAAGGAGAGTGAGGAAGAGGAGGAGCTGGGCAGAAACAGAGAGAGAGAGAGAGAGAGAGAGAGAGAGAGAGAGAGAGAGAGAGAGAGAGAGAGAGAGAGAGAGAGAGTTTTAACTGTGAGGCTCAGAGCCGTTTCAGCACTCCGTCTCGTGGACAGCAACACCGCCTCACTATGCCGCGCGCGCCACTCTCTGCCTGTTAATGATTAGAAGTGCGGGGTTTCCTCCTCAGTATCTCCAGGTAGCTTAACGGTCACTTTCAAATTTGACTTTCAACCGCTACCTTTTATAAAATAAACTTGGACTTAAACTAAGAAAAAACATGGAGTGTACCACGCTGAGCAGAGAAGGAGCAGGACTCGCGAAGCCGCCAAAACATCTCTGGCGTCAACCAAGGACTCACATACGGATCAAGCAACGCTTCAACTCCGACAATGAGCGCTACTTGTGCCGCAACCGGACCCTGGAGAAGCTGCGACCCGGGCTGAAGAAGCCCCGCATGTCCTGGCCCTCCCCGTTGAGACGGTAACTTCCCTCCCCTCTTAAGTATCAAAACTTAACACAAAGCCTTAAAGTTGTTCGGTTAAACTAGCACACTGCTGTTTCGGTTAAAGTATTTTTTTTACTGAAAATAGAGGTGAGCTTAGAAACCCTGGTGCGAAGACGATTTAAACTTCCGACTAACCAATTGAAACAATGGCGGAGAGATTATTTGGCGTTTCTAGTCCCCTTTTTATTTTTCTACATGCCATGTCAGGTAAAGATCTGTCATAACAAGAAATTTACACCAACCACCCATCAACATTATGAGCAGGTAATTTAAAACAATACAATAGCTCAAAGCTATGAATCCTTCTTACAGAGAGCTTTCAAATTTTCTGTATTCAGTCAAGAAATTTGAATTGTTGGTGGTGGCATAGTGGAGTGTATTTTTCCAAAAGATTTTCCTTATTCTTGTCCACTTCATCTACAAACATGGAGGAAAAATAGGAACACTTTTCAATACATAGCACTCCAGGACACTTACTACCACTTACTATCACATTGAATACCAATTGCCGTCCACTTGACCATGTAAACATAAATGAATTTGCATCTTTGTGAAAGTAGAATATGCATTAGAGTTGTTGCATTACATTAGATTGTCCATTGAACATATTTGTGACATTGACATTATGGGACTAGAGATGCACCGATTCATTTTTTTCAAAACCAATCCAATACCGGTACCTTGGCTGAACGCTTGATCTGCGTCATTCATCAGATATCAGATCCAGTTAATTTGTCAATATCGGAGCCAAAATCCGATCCAAATATCAGATCGGTGCATCCCTATATGGGACAAGTATACTTTAAGTAATTTACCAAAAACTATTTGAAAAACATTGTTTTCATCTCAGAGAGAAGAGCAAAGGAGAGATGAGTCTTTATTAATTTTACTGTTCACCACAAAGTCCAATAGCCTGCTGATATAAATGGGACTATCACAGCTGAATCACAACTCCCACTGTAATTGCACTAAAATGCTTAATTCCCAAGTAGCCAGTCATCACCCAGTTATTGAATCTACAACCCAGACCGATCAGCAACTATAGAAAATCTCAAAGCCCCTGTAAGAAACTTAGATTCAGTATGAATCTAGTTGCCCAATACAGACAAATAACTTGTCTTTTCACCTGTTCTGTCCTGTATGTGATATTATTTTTTTAATTACTAAAAGATAATTATACATTCTGTGAGGTCTGACAGAATGTCACAGAAATAAATCAAATTCTGAATCATGTTTATCTTTTTACTGCATACCAACCGTACATAGGCCACTCGTATACCATATAAAACCCATATGAATTCTGTTGCTGGAAAAGAGGTTTGTACTTTTTGTAAATTAATCATTATTTTCATTACCCTAATCTGTAGGCTGAATGTAATTGAAAATGTGTGTGTGTGTTTTTGTGTGTGTGTGTGTGTGTGTGTGTGTGTGTGTGTGTGTGTGTGTGTGTGTGTGTTCGTACTTGGGGGAGGGGGACTATTTGTCTGATGCCTTCATGATGTGATGTGAAGCCATCTCATGCCTTATCACTGTAAATCTTTGATTTGGCGGCATAGTAGCAACCGCTTGTCTGACTGTCACCTTATGGCAGTGGTGACAGCCCTTAAAGATAACTATCACGTATGAACTTTAAAGCTGTTTTTGGTTGTTATTGGTCATGATTCGCTCTATTTTTTGTTCCATGCTCTTTTGAGTGGAATAACATAAGAAGAAATAAAATGATTCTGAGATGGACTGAAGCTTATCATGCCAGTCACAATATCTCTAATATCCTCCCGATTTAAAAATGTTTAAGATATATAGCGTACACATTTTGTGTTTACTCATACCGACACAATCTATAACAGCAGAGTGTTTGCATCTAAATGATTTGTCAATGTTAATCATGGTAGCTGTGGAAAACACTAGGATACCAACCAATTTTCTAACATAGTTGTGTGTATTTGATTAATGCAAAGAAGAGTGCAGAGGTGGTGTTGGTTGGGCTGATGAGCCCTATATATCTTTCACTCATGAGGCTTGTCAGCCCACCCTTATTTGTCTCTTAGTGATGAGAGGAAGCCTAGGGATTGTGACTTTCGAGAAAATGTTGCACAACTTACACATTTTTCTTTCTACAAAGTATAGTGTTTTACTGTAAGTGCAAAGTCACTGATGCTGTCTTTTTACACAGTAGGATATTGTGTTAGTCAGTGAGGAGAGGAAAACGCTATTACAAACATGGTTAAGTGGTTTGATATTGCATTCTTAGAAAATTGGATTGTGCAATTTCATGCAATTATTGTTTGCAAGTGCAGGAAAATTGAGTCAGAGAATAATTTCTTCTTTTATTTGTTGAAATTGATCAGATATCCAACATGTTGTGGAATAGAGATGAAGATTATTTTAACCATCAAACTGGTAGGTGTTTTAGCGATTGAGTGGGTGTCTCCTGCCGAGGCTGCCTACCTGGTCTTCTGGCTGAGCTTTATGTTTTACTCCATGTACTCTGAGGATGATGGTGGAGATGTGAGGGATGTTTTGCTGACAGCAAACTGCTCTGCAAACCTCGTCCGTCGGGCTGATGAAGAGCTCTGACTTTCTGTGCTTCTTTGTGTCCATTTTTACTCGTTCTTTTACAATCACACAGTGTGCCTCACCTCTTTTTATACTATCCTGGACTTTGAAGTGATACAAAGCAGTCTTGCTTTTATGAATACTAAAAAAAATGAAGAAATAGAGGAAAAATAAGCCTAATCACTTTTTTTGATTAAATATGTATAAAATTCAATACATGCTTTGTGAGCACTCAGTTTGTGGTCCATATTGTTTCATCTTTTTGAGTAGGAATTTGGTACCATGATGGCTCTAAGCCTGGTGCAGCCTCTTTCATATTAATCACAGAGGAAAACACTGCCTATCCTAACCTTATATTGCATCACTATCTTAGATCCTCAGTATGATAGCAGCAGACACTGACCCATACTTTTAGGACAGTGTCTTTGTGTTTCGCTCCTTAAAAATGATGAAACAGGCAAATATCAGAGACAATAAAATCTCCTGTGATTAGCTGTATCAGATTTTAACAGGCATGAAACCACTGTCAACTCAGCTGTGTCTGTGTCTCTCCAGACACGGCGAGCTGTCAACAAGCACTGCTGTAGCTTGATTCATCTCAGAGGCTTTTCTCACACAAGCTGTAGAGCTGTTTTTTTTCCCCATGATAGTGCACTGAGAAGATAATGACCAGAAATGGTTTACTGTAAGCTGTTTTAGCTCTTGAAATATGACTGAACACCAGAAAAGAATAAACTCTACAATGTGATTTACATACGCATCACTGACATGGGTTTTTCAGTGTTTGCTGTGTGTATAAGATACATCAATGCTTTCATCTGATTTTACTCTGCTATGTAGTTGATAACTTTTGTTTAATCCAGGTGCTAAATATTTTTTGGCTTGTTTTTGTTATCTAGTTTTTAAAAATGTTTATAGGATTCCACCCATAATGCATTTTTATCAGTCTGAAATGTGTTGTGTGATGTCTTTGCATCATAATGGTTCATATTTGAGGAGGGGAATGACTGTAATCAGGATAAATTTGCAGTACAATCTTTCTTTTCTTGACATTTAACCTTTTGTGTAGGGGCTATATTGTATTGAACTACATCTCAGATCTGAACAAATAATTTTAATGGATCCTTAATGTGCGTTTTTATCAGGAGGAGGTCATGATTAAAAAAGAAGAGATTGAATGAAGGATTTATTGTATTGTCCGTTTAAAAAAAAAAAAAATAGATGCTAGATGCAGGGTAGAGACAGAGATAACCCTTGGGATCACAGTTTCACCCTGAGGCATGGTTGAGATGATGAGAATATCATATTTACAAGAACATTCATGTACTGGCAACGCAGCTGAGAATCTGAGTGCACGTGTTTGTGTCTTCTTTTGGTCTGTTTTCCCGCATCAACCCCCCCAACCAAATCATATTGCGTGACGCCACATGTCCTGTAATGTCACCACTCTGCGATGCAGTTGTGATGTTCTAAATATATATATTTCCCACCCAAGTACGTATGTCTGGCTGTGTGCATTAAAATTGACTGTAAGGAGCAGTACAAACATGAATACAAGTGGATCATTGGGTGCACTGGTACCAGTCACTGTAGCGTGGAGGTGTCATTAAATCGGTGTCATTTTTCTTGGGCAGACTTTTCTGTGCTCTCCCCATCAGCATGTACCCTTAAGTGCATACATCAGCTTTTCCCCCGACAGTATCTGGAGACCCGATGGTGTGAATGTTGTCTGCACCAACTACTCGGCCTTGAATGATGACGGTGAAAATGCAAACAGGTTGAGCTGTAGGTAGGAGTAAGAAATATGAGTCAGCCAGCTTTCCAGATGACAACACCGCCACCGCCGCTGCTACTGTAATTCTTCACTGAATATATTTCTGACGTTTTCATCCCAGAATACTTCTGATGATGTACCATTCCAGATGACTCAGACATTTTTTTTAAATTATGGAACACCCTCAATACAGGTGGGAGAATTTATATAAGATTAGGTATTACAAATTAACACTTCTAAAACCTCTCCTATCTATGTTTACATCTTTATCAGCATACTAGGTTTTGAGCAGCAGAGATGGTGGAATCAAAGATCCTGTTTTCCTGAGTCTTGAGGTCCTTACACACCGGGGCCGACACGAATATAGAACGTGAAATCACGAAACAATCACGAAATATTCGGAGGCGAAGTTTGACATACCTGACTATACACATCAAGCCCGATGCAATTTTGCGACTTTCAGGGGGGAAGAAGACACATCCTGGGGAAGACTTTTCCGGGGGAAAGTCCCGCCTCCTTCGCCTCTGATTGGCTAGAAAAGCTGGAAACATCATCATACGCTCAAGCCAAATGGTCAGCACTTATAGCCAATCAGAGGCGATAAGATAAGCACATGAAACTATGGTAACAACCGTTAGCTTATGTTAGCGCAGATAAAAGTTAAAACAAAGACGTTTAGCAAACTGTTAAAGCACACAAACCATTGTCATATGAGAGATCCCATGCTATGACTCTCCACAAGTTGTCCTTCAGGTCGTTATCTTTGTAATGTGTGTGTAAACAATCATAAACAATCAGCCGGTCGGCCATGTTGGATATACCAGTGAATCAGACGTCGCAACAACACGCAATCTGATTGGTCAGAAGTGGACACACAGTGTGCGAAACTTTAGAAAAATCGACCATGATCCCAAAAAATTAATGCCGCAATATCGCAGGACGGGAAAACGTCACTGATGTGAACGCTTGTATTGACAGGATACGGGTTCGGAAAAAAAATTTGGCGTCCGAAATAATCACACGACAAAAACAGTCCCGGTGTGTAAGGACCTTTATACTGAGACACAACCTAAAGCTAATATTGTACTAACATGTTTTATAGATAAGATTGAAAATATGTATAAAATGAATAAAATCCAAATATTTATAAGTTACTTATCAAGAAATCAGTCAGTAGACTGTAACTTTAAGTCAGTTATTAAGTTCTGCAGTCAACCATATTGAATTAACTTTGAAAAAGTCAATAAAACTGATTAAAAACAAACAGTCAAAGCTTCGGTTGTTATGATATCCACTAAAAGTAGAGATACTTTCATAACTTCTGTTGTCATAAAGTAAAAGAACACAACTCAGTGCATATTGTAGAGGTGAACCTACTCTTCACTCCATCCCTCGGCCTTGTCCTTTGGTTTGGTATTTTAAGATTTTTTCCACCATATATATTTTCTTTAATTTCCACCCCACTTTATCTGTGTCTGTTTCTTCAGGCTTGCAATCTTGCAAATGTCATTAAATGTGCCAGCAGGACTAGCAGGGTACAGTTACACTAAAAAGAAAGAATGTTGAATTTGTTGGATTGATCTCCAGGATACACAAAGGAAGTTTTATGTAAAACTTGCAACTGTTGTCAGGAACACTATACCTACATGTTACTGTCGACTGCATCATGTCAAGTACCGTCTGCCATTTTTTGCTGTCACTGTGTTCGTGCAGCTGATTGCACTTCTAGTCCACGTGAGAACAGAAAGAAACTGTTATCTCGTTGATGGGTTCCCCTGCAGGTAATGAGAGTGGGTGAGCGCAGCACTGAGATGGAGTGTGACTGGATTGTTATTTCACGAAGGGAGAGTTAGTCAAAACTGATGTAATATTGGTTAATGCATATACCTGCATGAGCTGACCTGCAGATGTCAGTTATTGTGTTGATATTGCTTTTACCAAGTTGCATTACATAATGAACACCATTTAACACCCTTGCAGCCACTGCAGGGGAGATTATTACCCAGTAGAATGATAGACTGCTGATGGATTCTGCCTATTTAGCTCTGTGCGCACTACCCCTGACAACTCCCAGGGTGTTGTGGGTAGTTTTTTTTATGTTTGATAAGGAAGGAAATAGTTTTCTAAAAGAAGTGAAAATGCATTAGCAGATGACTTTATCCATTAAATAGTTTTTTGGTTAATTTGTTTTGATTAAAATGTTCCACTCGAGTTGTAATTCAAGTGAATGATTTATGACTGAAATCATTTAACATTTTTACTCTGCCACAGCTGACACAGACTACTTTGCATTGTCATTATTTTTTTTCTGTTTTTGAAAGTATTTCTGTTTATAGCCAAACAGGAGATCATAAATCATCTGCTTTTTATGTTCTGAGACATGTCAGAGGTAAGAAAACCAGTAAACTTGGATTTACAATACAAAATTTGTTGTTGCAGCCTTCTTCCTCAGCTTCATGTGGTTCTTGCTAGACTAAAGGTACATTTGTCTTTAGTCTCGGAGAAATTGGTACAGCCAGTGTGATTAGATTCATCACACTTAATTCTGCCCTAATGACCAATTTTGTAGTCAGTAACGCCTTTGTTGAGTGTCCAGGCAGCAGGTTACCCCTTTGAGAGGTCTGAAAAAGATTTGTGATTATAAAAGGTTAACAGGAATGTCCATAGGGTACTGGTACATTGATTTATTGTCACTGTAGTTAATTGAAAAGTTGACAAAGGAAACACGAAGCAGCCTGCAACCACTCCTCTGCTGTCAGCTGAAGGAAATCACCGTGGTCTTGGGAGACAGTCTTTGCCTTTGTTTTTTGACTGGGCTGTTTACAAAAAGTAATTAGTTGGGGCACTGGAGACTACAGTCAGGAGATGAAGAGTTGAAGACAAGCTGAAAAAAAAATCCTCTTAAATGCACTTCTGTTTGAGAAGAGGCTTAGCTTTCCAAAAAACTTTATTATTAGTTATCTGTTATTTGATTGTCGAGAATATATGGCTGTATAAAGACTGTCACTTTAATCAGTGTAAATTTTCTGTGTTTTGATGTTGACTATTAAATTCCCCTTCATCAGATGAGGCTCTCCGTGTTCATGTTTGGATGTTGCACTGAACAGTAAATTGTATGTAATCACCCGTTAACCTCACATCAAGGTTGAAATCTCTTCTCTTCTAAGCATTTCTTCTTGACAAAGCAGGGCTGAATGGCCCACAGAGCCATTTTAAGATGTCTTGAAAGGTCACGATGTAGGGCCTACCTCCTGTTTATGTGGTTATGACAATGTAATTGGCCATTTAGTCCCTTCAAACAGATTCATGATGCGTGATGAATGTTATTTATCCTCTTGCAAAAAAGCACAGCTGGGACCTTTTCTCCTCCCCTCAATTTGTTTGCTTGTAGAAGAGAAACAATTAAAGTGTAAATCACATGAGGTCCAGTTATTTTCCTCCAAAACAACCAGGTTTCTCCAGTCACTGAAAAGTACTGGATTATTTATCTGCTGATCTTTCTAAAAAGTGTTACACAAGAGGTAAAGAAAAAACCTTGAAGGGGCACTTGTATGAACATCAAACTTTAGACATGGGTGTGCTAAAAATCGGTTCCAAAACTTCGCTCTTGCTTTTGCTTTTGTTTGTGTTGTAGTTTCCTTTGAATAAACTTGACATAAAAACTTCTAACAGGGAATCTCGATCATGGAAGGATTTAGGAACATTCTTAGAGCAATTGAGCGAGGAAAGGGCAGTAACTTTTATCTCAGTAAGGAGACGCGGTTGAAAGGTATGACACATTTTTTTTTTTACAGCTAATCCAGAAAAAGGGAAAAGCACTCTAAAAAATTGCCCTCTCACTGAAAAGGGGGCGCACTCGCTGTGCACCTCTCTGCAGATGAGAGACAGAGCTGTTAGTTTTTCTGTCCAACTGCATGTTAATATTAACCTTTTAGTGCCATCTTTTTTACCAAGAAAGTATACTTACACTTGGCTCGCCTGTCATTGAATTTTACAGTTGCTTGGTAATGTTACTGAAGTCATGATTACCACTCGATTCAGTATATAGTATTTACGTTAGTCACTGTCATTTATTGTTTGGGGTGCTTTTCCTCTATTTTGCAGCCTATCTGCTATTTCCTCTACAGCTTTAGAAGCTCTTAATTCTCTTCGAAGTCCCCTTCACTCCTCTCAAAAGTTTTTCACCTTTAGATCTTTTTTGGGGAAAACTTCATAATTGGCTGTGTTCTTAAATTTTGTCTCTAGGACCACAGGACTGTCTCCTGATACCGTTGTGGTTAACAGTGTAGAAGTGTTGAGCCAACCCCAGAAGGCAATCAGCCAAGCCAAATACAAATGCCACGACAAACTCAACACCAGGCTTTGTTTTGTTTTATGTAAAAGAATATTTTGCCTGACTTGGAAAATACAGCTGCTTTAAAACAAGGCAGAGAGCCGTGATGTAGAAGCACATCATTTTGAATGATGCTTATAGCTTTCCTGCTCTTTATGCATTTGCCTGTGGCGGGTAGAAAGATCATGCAAAATTGACAGTGTTTATGCTGATCCCAGGCAGACCTGTCGCCTGTGGCAGATACAGGCCGGGCGCTCCTTGGAAGCTGCTGTTGCTGCGTTGCTTGATCAACTTGGTTTCATGGACCTTGGATTATTTAATGTTTTTATTACTATCATACTTTTTACAAATAACATTTGCAAGTGAAGTTTGATAAAACCATCCATAGAATCTCAAATGTCAAAATTAAAGTTAAATTTTCCCTAAAAGCTACACTCAGTTTTTGTGTGTTGAAACATCCATCAACCATCATCATGCATCTATAGAGCTGAGTAGACTCTAACCTTTCAGTAATTCATCAAGAAGTTAGGAAGTTACTGTGTTGTATGAAACTATGTAAAAACCATAGACTGTATATAGAGTGGATGCCGCCTGCCTCCTCGCTGGGTGAAGCCACTGTGAGAACAGCACCCGCTGGTAATGGGCTGCAGTATAGGTCATAAATCCCGCCTCCTTCACTAATCCCTATGGAGCTGTGGACAACCTTTAGAAATTAATTACACAGAATATACATTTTCCTCCCCCTGGCTGCAAAGTTGACATGTAGTTACAGTAAGACTGGTTTGTGCTTAAGTCCTCTTTTTTCTGTGTAGCTCAGCTTTTAAAAGTTATTAGGGGGTTCATGTTTTCTATGATTGATACTTAATACAGACTATGGGCGTAAGAAGATTGTGTGGCTCACCTGGGGGATACGCTGTTTGAGCAGAGCGTCATCACAGTGACGTGGTTGAATGTGGTAGTGGTTCCAGGAAGTGGAGAAAATCCTGGAAATACTAAGAGCAATTCGGCTTCCAATTCGTATTATGACAGAAGGCGGAGCAAAGTGGTCCATAGACCATAGTCTCTTCAGTCTATGGTAAAAACAAGATTCAAAGATATCACTTAAAAACCTGTTTTACAAGTTTTACTGTGCCCAAGAAAAACACAATTTGTTCCTTTAAAAACCACTCGAAGTCTCTTTACTGCCCGTGGTCCCCTGACAACAGACAGTGATTTCAACATGAAGGTTCATTCTTGACCTTGACAGAAAGAGATTATTTTAGGCCTTCTTACAATCCTTAGAGATAGGGGAAAATTTGCCTCTTTTGAAAGTTCTTGTTCTTCATGAGACATTTGGTGAAGTGACCTTAGTAAAAGACCAGACATGATGTCAGAAAAATAATGGCCTCTGGAAAAGACATGACTTTTCTCACCGAATTAATTTCGCCTAAGTGTGTGATCAGGATGTTCCAATCAGCTTTTTTGACCCCCTGATCCCAATCTGATTTGTTAATATGAAGTCTGCTAATGACGAGTTGAGATCAGACACTTGTACTCGCCCAGATAATAGAGCTGCAAACCATTTTTTTTATTTTGACCAAAGTAAACAAGGTAATTAAAAGATGCCCCCTGTCATTTAACTCGTGACTTCATTTTTAGTTAAATTGAAATTTCTTTGTTTTCCTATCATCATCTATGGTTGTTGCTGTTAGTGGCATTACAAAAACAATGGAACAGGGAAATAAATGATTGAATTTATCTTTCCTCATTTAGAGGAAGGTTGACAACATAATGTTTAAATCATCTGTAGAGTTTGTTGCTTTTAATGTGCTTGTCTTTGCATGTGTGTTTATGCTAATTTAAACCATTGCTATAGTTTATTTTTCTTGTTGAGTGTACAGTGATACAATCAGGTGAAACTAGAACACTCAGAATAAGTTCTCTGTGTGTTTGTGCTCTGCTCACATCGTGCTCAGTTACAGCTGACGTATGTGATTGTGGGGGGATGATTGGCTTCAATTGCTAATCTTTGATCAATACAAAAATGGCCAGATTGGCGCTGATCTGATACTTGAGATCAGAGGGACATCCCTAGAGTTGTAGTGGAAGACAACAGAGCATGTTGAGATCAAACACAGTAAACATTATCCCAGCTTTGAAATGGAACACAACTATATGTGGATATATAGACCTCCCTTCAGTGTAGTGTAAATATGATTACATAAAATAAGTAATTCTTTACACATTTTATATTAACTGCAGCAGATTAATAGGTGTTGGTAACTTTTGGTGGAAATGTTAGGATGGCAAGAACCTTCGTCTTCTTAAAAACCCTCAGTGGAACGCCGTTCAGTCTGCAACAATTAATTATAAGTGCCCTGTGTGCCGGATAAATTTATGATATCAATGAGTCAACAGACACTGCAGCACAATGAGTTTTTTTTTATTATCCCTGCAGTTACATCCCACTCACAAGGGAGATGTGAAATGTATCCAAATGGCACACACAGGTGGTACAATCTTAGCATCAGCCAGCACTGTTTCCTCACAGCCTGGTCCCTTTTCAGACTGCATGTTCTCCCTACCCCATTCCAGGTCATAAGACATATTATTTGGGCTTAGCAATACTATAGTTACACATAACCAATGCATGGAGCTGGAGCAACTTTGGCATTTTCTGTTTCTAGATTAAAAAGATCAAGAAGTATTTTTTGACTGGAAATTAGAGGAGTAAGTGAGTCTGCAGGTATTTCATGGTAACAGAGGGAAATACTCCACCACAAGGTGAGCTCATTATTTGGAAAAACTTTGGAGGTTGATTTCCCCGTTTCTAACAATATTGAGCTATGCATCATAAACGAATTTGTGAGAGGCAAGCAGTCACAACAGCAAATAGCATTTCTCATCCAACAGCACAACAGCTTGGTCAGCTGTAGAGGAGATTAGTAGAGCTCTCCTTGTACATGCAAACAATGCTTGATGTCAAGGTACAACAGATGAGAAAATGAATGTGGTCGCTCTTGATAAGCCCTGAATAGCCAAACAGTACTCAGTGAAAAGAACAGCGATTTTTATCCCCGTCCCTGAACTGACCTCCTTCTCCTTCTCTCGGAGGCTACAGTAAGCCCTGTTTTATTTGTTTTTCAGCTCTCTGTGTCTCTTGGCTTTGAATGGAAACGACTTTTTGCACATCTCAAATATTTTTTATCACATTTAAGATTTTTCCAATTCCTTAAACAGGTTTTAACTACTCATTTGAATGTAGATAGCTGTAATATTTACAATTCAGTACAATTATTTATACAATTATTTAAATGGATCCTTCAAAAGTCTTAATATGGAGTCATGTAATTCAAGGTCTCTAAAGGTCTTTGCACTTTACAGTAAAGGTCTAAAATTCTAGATGGCTCTTAAAATGATCAATTTCTTGACCATACTCTTTCCTGCATTCATACTGATGTCTGATATTTGATTTTCAGTTACAAATTTCCTCTTTCAGTATACCATGAGCTTTTATTTTGATAGTGAACATCAAGCGTGGTTTGCTCTTACCATGTTGATAGTCATGATGGTTTTAGATGACTGTATTTACTCTGACCAAAGTTAAGTACATAGGACTGATAGTCCATTATATACCAGCAATTGTCACCAGTCAGTATTGGTCACCTGTAGCCAGAATAATAACCACAGAGTGCACTGCACAGAAGTGCTTCATGACAGAGGAACACAGTGGGGGATACACACGGCAACAACTGCCTCACAGAGCATTGTGTTGTGCTGCCACCGTTGTTGCTGTTCAGACTCAGACTACTAATATGATAAGTCATGATATTGTGACTTTACTCTATTTCTTTACTTTCTGAATAGATTCTCAGGATATCCATCCATATGTACTCAAAAGGTTCCCTGTTACTCTTAAATTAAATTTAACAATGCTTATTGGTAGCATGTCTTTTGCAATACAATAAGCTACTGCATCTGTGAGGTCTTTGTGTCATTCATTCATTTATTTATTCATTCATGCTCATCGGCTATTCATATAGTCTACCAAAACATGGCAGACTATCGAAAAGCACATTGACCGTGTTTTATATCAATATCGTGGGAAATTATTTTATGATATATATCATTATCGTTTAATCGCCCAGCCCTATGTGAAAGTTACAGAAAGATACTTTAAGGAATTTCTCGAGGTGGGCTTTTGTAACTATTTTTGGGGGGACTTTGGGAGACCAGACAAGACAGAAAACACCATAAACTCACAAGCTGACTTAGCTTTCTGTTTTGGGGTCCCAAAAAGTCTCGAATTTGATTTTATAACATGTGCAGGAACCATTTTTTAAGCTGTTTATTGCTTGTTAGTAACAGCTTAACCACTGTCTTCCCCACCTTATGCCCCCATCAATGCACACTGAAACAATGAATCTGTAATATAAGTAATTGCTTTAGTTTAGCCAGTGATATGAGAAGCAAGGACGACAGATCCATCCCAGGAGCAAACAGGAGGCGGTAAGCATAATGACTCTGATTCATCACATTGATGCAGATCTGTTGGTGTGTTGAGTCAAGGGGTATCTCTGTGCCGATTAATCAGACACAGGCACAGAATGAGATTCATCTTGTTTAGGCAGGAAGGCTTGGCCATTTCACAGAGAAACATTACAAACAGTTGACTCCCTGTCACCGTTAATAATAAACCTGACGCTGTTAGTGCATTTTAATTGTCATATCATTGCCAAATTAACTCAGCGTCATCAGTTTTATTATTAGAATCAAAAGACATCACACTGCACCAGCCAGAATCTGTGTTTTATTTTTTTACTAATTTCTTTTACAGTGGGTCTGTGATATTTGTTTTGCATAACTAGCAGTTAAATTGACAACCCTTGCCCAAGAGATAGTTATAATTTGACGGATCAACCTGTTTCGTTTTCCTAACAAAATCAAATCTGCATTAAGCCAAATTTGACTATCTACATAAGCCCACTGTAACAGCTTAAATTACAATCTGCTGCTCTAAAGAGGGCCATGTCCCCTGGCTGAGACGCTGATGATAAAGTCATATTAAACTCTGATCGGACAGAGGCCAGTGAAACTCCAGCTGTTCACAAGGGATATGCTTTGGAGCTTAAAAGCAAAATATAGAATCCTATTTTCTCAAATTTTATTTATTGTGCCCCTCTGTGGTCAGACATGGCACAAGTATAATCAACTCCCTCCCACTCCACAGGGAAAGCCATGCATTGCTCCCTGTTGTCTTTGTTTTTCATTAAAGTGTCTCATCCTAAGTTTTGGTCTGCAACTAAAAAAATGTACTTTAATCACTGGGATGCCAACAAGATAAGAACTGGGCGATTTATTAAAAAAAACGCTTCTCCAATAACTCTAAATTGCATGCATATAATATAAATCAAGGCATCCTTTGGGAAAAACAGGAAAACTCCGGGATTGAGTAAATCACTGTTTAAACTTTAAAGTGAAGCTAGGAAGATCTTTGTTTTGATCTTTGATATACTAAAGGATATTCTTACTTGGTAATTCAAAGTATTCAAAGTCAGGCCTTGGGGGAAAGAAAATATTGCAGGGAAAGGAAACATTGACAAATACTGAGCATATTGAGATTTTCAGAATATATTTTCTATCCGTTGGACTAAAGGCACTCTTGCAGACTTCAGACACTAAATTGCTGAAAGGCAGAATCAAATCTTATGTTTGAAGTTAGATTTGACTATTTTGCTAACATTGAAGCATATTGTGTTACCCCTGAGCATGTTTCCTGGCATGTTATCGGCCATGCTTTTTCTTATTTAGTTTAAACAACATGCTTTGCAGAAGTAAAGTGTAAGCAAGATTGGAGTCAGCCATTTTTTCCTCTTTTTTGTGTATCATCTTTCTCATGCAACACAAAGAGTTGATTGCTTCATAAAGAACTTGGAAAAAAAATTGACCTCTTAGTGCTTGTCAAAGTGTTTGATATTTTTGATGTAAGGCTTTTCAAAAAAGGATTCATACTGTTAGTGTTCAGGTTGAAAAATAACAGATAACTGGTCAAAACACCACCCCTGAAGATGAACAATTGTTCAGTTTGGTTGCATCCATTCGATCCTTATGTATAATTTTACCTTCAATTGACAATTTCTCAGTCTTGTGAGAGGTCTGGCTGACATCTGTCCTCTTACACAATTGTATGCAAACTTCAATTTTATCTCTTCCGCCACCGCTTACATCTTTCTCTAAGCTCAGGAGCAGCTGGACACATGAGTCAGAGGCTTTGAAACGTTGTGATCAGATTGATAATAGGGCAAACCTCACTGCTTCGCTTTCTAAACCTCTATGTCAAACTAGATTCCTCAGTCTCAGACCTGTTGATGAAACCATCATGTTTTTTCTATTCCCCAATGAAAACACCTTCAAATTTCAGGTGAAACATCATAAACAAAAGCACAGAAGCACTCAGAGCAGCAGCCCATGGCTGTCTCCATGGCAAAAAATGCATTCTTCAGACCAAAGATAGGCCCAGGAGAGGGGCTCTCTGCCGTGGTGATGACTGCTGTGGGCCAGAATGCTTTTGATAGAAACTCTGGTAACCTTAGTTTTAAAATTACTATTGCACAAGGTCTAGTAGTTCATAAGTGCTAACCAGCTAAAAAATAAAAATAATGTATAGTAAAATATCAAAATATATTATGAATACTATGTCAGCCTTAAATGAAGAAATAACATATTTTAGTCCGTGAAAGTCGTGAGGCCTGATTCCTATAGATTCTTTGTGGTCCTTATACTTGAAATCGGAGGAAACTGAGAATACCGGATGCTTTCTGTTTGGCACATTGCACATGGAAAATTTTCAGTAGTAGCAAAAGCATGGAAAACTGCTGAATTGGAGTGCCAACAGCTGGTATGTTAATGAAATATGGAGTGTTGCTGTAGGCTCAGCTGTCGTTTATAATGAGGGGCTCTTTGGAACGTCAAACATCAAATGGTGTTGTCAACTCAGAAAAACTATTATAGATTGATAGTTGTTTATTTCTTTGGAGACTTGCTCGCCAGCTCTGATATCATGTTTTATATTTTATAGCTTGCAAATGCTAAACCTGTACAAGTAAAGAATAAAAGGAAAAAGAGGAAATGCTTGGTTAAACCCCCGGGGAGAAATTGAATTTCATCACACTGTTGTTGAAACCCATCACACATAGACTGGAAATATATATAAAAATATGGTTGTATGGATGTGCAATAATGAAGAAATGATGAAAAAAACACGAAGAAGCCCTTACCTACATGCTGAACAAGTGGCTCTGGGTGCTATTATGCTTTTTGGAGATACTTAAATCTGCTGTCAAGCATACATTAGGGCAAATTTGCTATTCAAATAAAGCTTGCTGCAGAAAACGTCCTAATCATAATAGCATCATCCACTTTAGAAGAATATTTTCAGCATTTTCAGACAGTTGCTTATCACTGCAGCCTATGCAGATTGGCAAAATAGTTGCCTCTTTCCCCAAGCTCATCATCTGTATGTATACTGAATGGAACTTCCTCAACTTGTGACTCTTGTAGCAGAGAATAGAGGCAATGACAGCTCCTCTCCACAATCAGACGTATCACAAGAGCATTTTTCACAGAACTGCATATTTATTGGCTTGTTTGAGCTGGTGTGCCATTTCTGCGTTATTTTTGTGATTCACACCTTGAGTCAGGAAGATAGAGGTGGCAAATGACACAAATTCAGTAGACCATCACTTGCCTCAGGTTATTCATGATGCAAAAATATAAAACTGCTTTTACTAGCTGACATTTTATACGAGTTAATAGGTTCTCAGATGATTCTCAGTTAATTAATCCCAGTTGTAAATATTTTTCTATTACAGACCTTCTTTTTGATGTCTCTCAGCAGAGATGCCATTTTAGTTCAAGCGTTATAAAAAAAGAAGCTCAAGTGTTCAGGCAAAATTTTCTTATGCACCGCTCTCCCGACAGTAGCTATTAACCTGATGAAAATAATCCTCTGCTGCTAAATTCACTGGTTTTTAATGATACTATAAGAAACGTCACTGCTGTTTGATGTATTTCCTGCAGCAGAATAATAATACTGTAATAAGCTGGGCTCAAATTTGTTGGATCATCCCCAGCATGTTTTCAAAATGAAGATCTTTATGGACGGTCTACTTTTACATCTCTGTGTGATTTGTCTTTAGTCAAAGTTTCTAATAAATCAAACTCATTCAACACACCCTTTTCTCCAATGTATTATTATGTTCTCTCTTTCATGACTGGAAAATAAAACATAGTGCTAATAAATTAGTATTCTACTAATTAACAAATAAGATGAATGTAGAAACCTTTAGCTGTTAATGTTGCAGATGTCAAGTGGAGAAAAATGGCCCGAGCTCCCAAATGTCACGATTTTTCTTTACTTTTCAAGTAGAGAAATTACTAATGGAATAAAAATTGTTGCCTCAAAAGGCTAAAACCCCCTAATGTTGTGACCTTTTGGTGACAGTCAGCCTCACAGTCTCACCCAGAGTCTTCATCCAGAACGGGAAACAAAGCCTGACCTTCTCGTTGAAACACTATCAATGAAGCCGCACCCTTGGGTCCGCCAAAAGGTTTGCTCATCCATGAGCTCTATTTTGTTTTGCATTAGCTCTGTCCCCCCTGTGGTGTTTGTTTGGGAATGGAGGCCTGTACTGTAGTTTGAGCTTGGCTAACTCGGAGAGCTTATTATACTGAGAGGTTGGCACTGAAAATATAATACATTTGATAAATGGGAAAACATCACATATGACTGAGACAATTAATTAGATAGACAAGATACCAGCACAGCCCACTCAGCCTCAGTAATTTATTCAGCAGCGATTTGACTTCCTCATTGCTGAATACTGTCTGGTCCCATGACACAAATGCTTATCCTACCTTCTATTCCTCCTGTTTTTAATAACTTTTTCTGCTCGATGAGAAGAAACAGAAAAGCGTCTAGTATTGTAACTGATATTTCACTCCTTTGACAAAATAATCAGATAACTAGAGGGTTGACCACCTGTCAGTGCTGCTGATCAGCAGTGTATAATGGGATGGTAACAGAAGCAGATTTGACATGTGTAAATGAACTCTCTTCAGCTTTTGTGACACATTCTGGTGCTACTTTCCTCACAACCCGGTGTCGAAACATTCCCCCCTCCCAGCAGTCGAGACCAGAAACAGTTTCTAATTAAAGTCACTCCCCCAAAGTGTTACAGCTGATTGGACGATGGTGAGTCTAACACTTCCAGGCCGATACGTTGAAGCTGAGTAGCTGAATTCGTTTTTATGTTTTTATCCTGTCAATGTTTGACTGTGATTTTGTTTCTGAACCTCTTTGAAGAGGAATCCAAAGAGCGCCCTTGCCGACTGTGTTGGTTGTTTGTGTTCATTTGAACATCTCATCAGTGTCTCTTTCTTGGTTTTTGCATGTTGAAAAGGTTTACTCATCAGCCTTTTCTTTGTCAGTCAACCGTGGGGGATGTTTAATGACAACTCAGCAGAGACCAGAGAAAATAACACACTACCTCTTTCCTTTATCCTCATTTTTCATTATCATGGAAGGATATTACACTTTTGTTTTATGGTCGTAAGTAATGAAGACTGGTCAAAAACAGCTTTCCCCTCGCAATTTAAAACACAGATTAGGCCTTTTTGGAAAGAAAGAGCCATTCAATCAACTTTTTCTTGTTTGTAAGAGGAAGATAGAAAGATGGATGCATTTTAGTGGTATTGTGACATATCAACGCAGTCTCAGGGATGGCAACAATTTAATCAAGTCTGCCCACTGTGCCTCTGAATCTTGCCGGTGCTTGGCTTAAGGGTGATGTAATCAAAGCATTGTGAATATTGTAGATGAAGCCCTGTCTGTCTTTGACACAAGGGGGATTTTTTTGTTGAGCTACTTGTTGCTCAGGCAGCTTAAACTGCCTGAAGGTTTTATCCAGATGCTGGTAGAGGGAAGTGAATCTCTTATCAATGTTTCATTGGTGGGTATCTTGACTGCTGTGCAAAACAGAGAAGCATTTATGTGGATTTGTGCTTTGAAATATAACAGGTAAGTCAAGAGACAGCTGAAAGGAAAGACTTCAACTGTTTCACTTGCTTGGAGAGCAGAACATGGCGTGTCTCACTACTCTGTCACTGTCTTTGTAGAGCAGAGCTGCTGAGAGCCTGACAGACCATTAGGACTTGGAGTGTTAACACGGGTGTCATTTCTTGTTTTGTTAAAGATCTGAATTTGACTCGGGTATCATAACTTTTTTTAACACTTCTTTAACAAGTCATGCTGTCAGAGATCGCACAGGAACAGAAGTATATTGCAGGATGTCAAAATGTGTACTAGGACACGATACTGTATGTTCAGTTTTGTTTGTTCAAACTTTGACAAACAAAATGGTGTGATTGTAGCGCCTTAGTTGAAGTTTTGTGGTAAGACAACCAATGTGTCTGTCAGTAATTGTCAAAGATACTCATGCTAACTCATTGAAATGCTTATTTACACAGTAAAATGGAAGAAATATAAATTGTTTCAAGGTGTCCTCTACCATAGGTTCTTCATTAACCCTGATCAGGTCTTTGGCAGGAACTTATGAAATTAAGCACATACATTTTTTAGTTTTGGCCTCTCAGCACTTTTTGTGATTAATCCTTTCCTCCATGCATTGGGTTTTCCTCAAAGCTCTGTGACTGTTTACTTTTACTCCTCGGTTTTATCAGCAAACACTCACTAATGGCACAGCCAACATCACCAAAGAGATGGCAAATGGTCAATATTTGCAGAACAAACTAAGTGCCATATGGGCTTCTTTCCCTCGTTTTTTCCTGGTTGTTTTTTCAATAAACCATTGGAATCCTATAGAGTATACTCACTTGTGATTCATTACAAGTTTAGCAGTTACCCTTTTAAAATGTTCTCCCATTACAACATAAATCTGGCAAACTCCAAAGTTTTGTCAAGCATTACTCTGACAAAGATTGACATTTCATATTTTCCTCCTGGACTTTTCTGGTGTGTATTTTTACTCGGTGGTTGCGGCTCCAGCCACAACACAAGGTCACCAAATGGAGGTAGTGCCTCAGCAGATGTCCTGTTTGATTAACGACATACTGTTTAACATTGAGGGGCTCCTGTTGCCTAGGAGATACAGCAGACCCTGACAGATAGTTAGATCTGATGCTGCGTGATAGAAGATGTCATGGGGGAGCCTATCTAGAAGTTAAGGTCAGAAAAACATGTAGAAGGGCCAAGACACACTGACAGCGCTTGACGGTAAAGACAGCAAGCGGGTCATTAAATGAAGAAAACGGGAATTCATAGTATTTGTTGCAGACAGCTCCTATAGGCAGCCGTATGTTTTAACATTGTTCTAAAGTTCAGCTGCAAATAGAAATACATAGATTTATGTTTTAGTGTTTTGTGATCTGTAGTCATTTGATCAGCAGGGATGCACTGAAACCCTGCTGAGAGACTCGATACTACATAGGATGCTGGCCTTGATCCCAGCTCTCGGCCTTTTCCAGAGGAAGTTGTCCAGAACGAGCCACTTCATGTTCCTGGCTCCTCTTCCTCAGGAGCTGGCTGGGACTCCATGTATCCATCTGGACAAGCTTATCATAGCTCTGTGCATCCCTTTTCTCTCTGTAACCACTTTTATTCCCCCTTTTTACATTTCTGGTTATCATTTTTGTATACAACAGGCAGCAAAACTTTCTTTCTGTTGATTGGAAGATTCATTCTTAACCTGTAAAGGAACAAAATTATACAGAAATGAAATAGAGAACAAATTGTCTCTTTTTTGTTATAAATCAGCCAAAAAATATTGAAATCAAAGTAGTGGTGATATGATGCTCATTTTTTTCCTGGTAGATTTAGTAGAATTGCCTGAAAAGACAAAAGACAAATCTTCTGTCCACAAAAAAAAACATTTCTTATTCTACTTTAAGTATTTTTGTGTGACCAAATCTTACATTGCTTTGCCTCTCATCCAGGGCCCACTCATGAAACTTTGCATTAGTCTTGTATCCACCATACTGATGGTTTTGTTTTTCAATGGTGAGTTTGAAAAAGATGACTGACCAAGACACTTGGTTTTCATAGGATTTGCTGCTACAGAAAGTTTTAGAATTTAGAATTTAGCTTTGTGAAATTCAGCACTTTTGACTGTGGATTATTGGCACTTTCCCCCGTTTTTCCTTCTGCAGATCAGGATATTGATATAAAACTATACGTATATATTTGCCTACAATTATATAACAGATGCTTTCTCATTGCGGTTTCTCTATCTAACTGCCAATCTTCATGTTAGAGAACAAGAGTGAACATTTATGTACTCTGCACTTTTCTCCTCACTCCCATATACATTTCTGACGTAGGTTGTCTGTCATTTCCTCGGGGTATTTCAGAACTATACAGTCCTTATTGAAAAAGTCACATTGCTTGATCAATTAGTTTAGGTTGATTCCCATTAATCATTTCAGTACTGTGGAGCGCACCACATGCTCTAACCGTCTATGAGAGTGTGAATGTGTTTGCGTGGACAACTAATAATTACATTTTCCAAAAGGTCATTTTTCTTACTGGTTTTTATACTTTGGATCACAGCAGAAGAATATAAAAGGTGCTTGATTATTGTTTGGCAGATGTCAATGGAAGAAACTACTTCTAGTGTCATCTGAACTTCAAGTCTTCCTGAAATATTTTGTAATTTATCGCTTTTTATGTGTCTTAGTTTATTAAAAGTTGAATTTATTCCATGGTAGTCCCTGTTCCATATCATATGAGTTTTATATGTGTGTGTCTGTGTTTATGAGTGTGTGTTTATGAGTGTTAAGGGTGCCCTTGTAATTTCAGTCACAGCTTCTCAAATGTGTGTGTGTGTGTGTGTGTGTGTGTGTGCGTGTTTGTGCCTTTTTGAAACTTTTCTCATTAATGAATGTTGAGATGTTTGAATAATTTAAATGCCACCTGTAATGAAATTTCTCGCCCTGGAGGAAACATTGGAAACTACTACTTCAGATAAATCTTCACAGTGAAGGGGGGGAATTTACTTTTTAGGCTGAAGAGTTGCCTTATTTTTTTTTTTTGTTTAAGCTCCTGCAAGATGCTCAGATTAAGAGCTTCTTTTTTCTGAGCAAGTTACAGACCAACTTTTCTTCAAAAAGGAGTGAAATATTATTTTTCCTCCTACTCCTGTAATTTGTCAAGCTCCCACTCCAACACTTGTCTGTCACCTTGATGAACTATCATCAGTCACAGGACTGTCTTCACAAACAGCACTTTGTTTAGTCTGATTGGCACATGTTGAGCACAGAAACGATGTAATCCACTGTATTTGATCATAAAATTCTTCATTATAATCGTTTATCTTCTATCTATGCAGGAGGTGGTTATGGCCTCTCAGCATTCAAGCATTTTAGTCATTTTAGTCAATGCAATATAAATGTAGGGTTATAAACTGGAGAAATAGTTGCCTCAATAGCCAAACTATGCTCTGTACTGGTTACACCCACTTAATGCACCTCTAATGGTTTCTTTTTTAAGTTGCCTGAAGACTCAGTAGAAAATGCAGTAATTACGCATTACGATTTAATGTAATATTGACTTCCAATGACAGGATACCTTCACATCTCACGTCAGATCCTATGAAAATGTGTTTCTCTGTCCTTACGCTCCAGAAGCACAAGGCCCCTGAAGAGTCATTCATCATTAAAGCTAAACTACTGAAAATACACACTGTGGAGGTTTTTTTTTTTTATCACACATCCTTGAAAGAAAAGCTTTCAGTGCGACCACCTTGATGGGAGAGAAGAGTGTCAATTAAGGAGATGGTATTAATGCAGTGAAGTTGTTTCCGTCTTACTTATTCGAAGTCCTTGGTGGAAAATGAGATGCAGTTACACCTACATATGTTAGAGGTTTATAGATCAGCATGTGTCCACGCTGTTAACTCCAAGGCTTTTCAGGTATCTCGATGCAGATTTGCTTGAGTGTTGTAAAGGATGGTGTATGAGTTGAAGTGTTTTGTGAGGTGGATCTAGTGCTGGTGGTGGGAGGAGGAAGGGTATGTGACTCACCCGAGTAAATAGTTCCACATATCCTGGCATTAGTCACTTTAAGAGAAGAAAAGGGATTCAGCTCCTTGTCTCCCCACCCCTTTGACTCATAATGGGAATCAGTTGATTGACTTGGCCCACGCTGTCTACAGTTCTTGGTCTTTTTAATTTTTTCTGCAGCCCAGTTAACTTTTTATTCACTCTCGGGCGAAATGGGGAGACTGAGTTAGCAGATGATGTGGACTGTTTCCAGAGGGAGAGGGGTCATGAAGCCACCAATGCAGGAAATGCTGATAAATTTGAAGCTTTCCTAAGCGCCTCCTCTCCCTCCACACCACCCAAGATAATTTGTGATTTCCTCATCCTGAGCAAAAATTGTGTGGTATTTGATACCGTTTGTCCTCATCAGTGCGGGTGATAGAGCACCATCTGCTGGTCACTTTTGGCAGCTCTTGCAACAACAGCAGTTATTTTTTCCTCTTCTTTAAACTCAAAAAGAGGTGAAACATCCAAAGTTATATCTCTCTGTTTCTTAAACTCTATGCTAGATCTTAAAGGATTGACACTGACACAATTGAAGAGTGAAAATTAAATGCTGGATTTTTTATTTATTTATTTGTGATATAAAGATGTTTATGCTCTTTTAAAGCTAAAACAGTACTGTGGGCTCTGATTTATTTACAAACTTTACTAAGCCACTATTATATATTGCTATTATTTACAGTGATTAGCCTAAAACATATCTAATAGGCTTCAATATTTGCTGATCTAAACACTTCTGCAATGTGACAAAAAAGAAACCCACAGAAACCTCAAACACGAAGGCATCGGTCTTAAACTTTTTAAGTGCAGACCCCAGACAGCCATGAATACCATATTGACAAAGCAGGCAGTAAAAAAGTAAAAGGATCTGTTATAAAGAAGCACAAAGGGAGCACTAATACATTTGTAGATAAGCCCATGATTCACTTTGGACAGTTTTATTATCTTGATCTGTTTCCAGGCAAATTGTAATACTGAAATAGAAATGTGCTCTTTGTTTGTCTTATTAAATAATGTGCTTTTGGGTCACAATTAGCTTCATAATAATAACCCGACATAAGAATCATGTGTTTTTGTCTTTTTCCATCTTAATCTGTGCGGCGATAAGCATCAAGACAAATACTCCTCTCACCTAATGCTGCTGGCAGAGAGTCAAACGCTGCTAACACTATGATCTCTGCGGACTTAAACAAAGAGTAAATCTGTCTGTTTGATGTTCAACAGGAGTACATGTGGAATGTACTGTAAGTTACATGAAATGTATTGACTGAATCACCTGATCTGTTATGTATGCAAGGGTGGACGTGCTCACAGCATGCTGCTTATCGGAGGGAGAAGTTTAGGCACAAGCAGATTTAGGACTTAAGCTTGTGTATTTTGGCTGCTTTGCTGAGTTTTGTTTTGGATGGATGAAGTCTAGGTCACTGGGTGTCTGTGGGTAAAAGATGAAACTCTGTTCTTTTCCATCACCCCTCAGCCCACTGGGAAAACACTAATCATTTGAGATACGACTTAAAGTTGAAGTGACATTTCCTGGGTCCCCGTTATCTTTTATCTCAAGCAGGCTCTGTTTTTAGACAGAGAGGGGCCCTGCTGACCAACACGGGGAAAATCCATCTCGGTTGCAGCTCCTGGAACACCACAGCTCTGGCATGTGTCTACACAGGGAGAGCCGTAATCACAAGTTAATGTCTCTGTGCTGATGGACTGAGGAAGGGAACAGATGTATGCTGCTTTACTCCTGCATGAAGAGAGTCCTGGACACAGCTTCTTCATCCGTGTTATGAGCTAACAACGCTATAATTCAGGCCTGGCCATATTTAGGCAGGGCTCACTGCTATGTAAACACAGCTAACTGCTGAGGGGAGGGCTCACTACTGCACTTATGTCAGTGTCCATCAGTGCCTGCAGATAGTTCTGTGGAGAAAGGTAATAAAGGTCCGACAGCTGTAAAGTTAAAGTGGATTTGAAGATTTCAAACACTCGCAGAAGTGGGTCCGACTAGCACACATTATGTGACTCATGGGTTGTTTCATGATTTCACCTGAGGAATGCAGCTTCTCTGACATGGACGGCCTGGACTACCTGTCGGGGCCGAGAGCGTTGCCCAAGAGATCAGCCTAAGAGCTCAACTTTTATTGAAACTTGGACAGCAGCATGAGTGAGGCCTTGTGGGAAAGCTCTAGGGAGGCTGTTTGCTTCCCACTCAGCAGCACTCAGCCCATCCAGCTGAAACCGCGGTCAACGTCCGGTTCACCCAGTGGATCCCCGAGGATGTCCCCCTGTGACTCCCCTCGCAACTCACCCCGCCACTCTCCCGTGCTGTTCCGCAAACTCCTCATGAATCGCAGCATAGCACTGCAGAGGCGCTTCACGTTGGCACACACGCCCAGGTAAAGAAACCGAAAGAGTTTAGTCTGTCGGGATTTAAAGGTTAATGTGTCTTCAACAGTTGTTGTTGTGCAGCGATCTAAAGGTTCAGAATCAGAGGTCATAGTCACAGTTTCTTTTTACACTGTTGAACTTAAATAAACTCAAGCACATGCATGTGTTTGGTAATAGAGCATGCTTCAGTTTTAGGAAAGATGCTTTCACACGTCATCAAATGTGTGTCATGGGTTTGCTGATGCAAAAAAAGCCTCATTGTCTGATGACAAGGTAACTGTGAGAAATCATGATTTTGTTGACGTCGGGAGCAATATCATCTCAATGGACCTCGTTGTTCTTGCAATGAAAGAGAGTGCCTTGTTTGTGCCTAAGGTGTTCTGTGCTGCATTCAGCAGGCCTGGCACAGGTTAGATAGATGGGGGAAGGATCTTGGCAGCTGACGGACTGTGTGTGTGACCTGAGGTTTTTGTTTTTGTTTGGCAGAGTTCAGAGGGCTCGCTCACTGCCGTAAACACAAAGTTGATTCCCAATGCTGCATCCTGTTTTGTTCCCTTTTTCCTCATGACTGATAACCACACATCATGTGGCTCTTTAACGTCAGAACAAATTAATCCTTGCTGGGAGTGTGCCAATTTCTTAATTGATTCTTAATTTCTTAAAGGAGAAACTCTACGATATCTACAGATGTTTAGTCGGTGTTGTGATTGGTGTAGGTAAAGAGTCATTTGAAAAAAAGTATATAATAGAGATGTGAGAGTGACTTTACTTTGCTTCGATTTTTGCTTTTGATTTTAAAAATAGAAACTAACTCTGACTTGGTAGCAAAAACATCGCTGGCGGGTCGTGGTGTAGAAAATGGATTTTCCATGTGCACATCCATGACCTGCAGGTCATTTGAAGAAACTTGGAAAAAGTTTTTGAGAGAGGAAACAACATACTGCATGAAGTCCTTTTTCAGCCTGAACAGGGGACAAAAATAGCAAAAACTGTCAGCGTCATGAATATTCAGTACAGAATTGAATTGTTTTTAAAAGTTGATTTAATGAGCTTTATCAACATTTTGGTACTTTTTGCAAACTCACTCACAACGCTCATAATACAAAGGGCAGTCAGCCAAAGTGAACAGTGAGCTGATAAAAAACATCTCTCCCCATAACTACCTCAGTAATGTCTTCTTTAGTCATTAATATATTGTCATCAGATCCTTTTCAATAGTTTAACAATCATGTGAGAAAAACTAATGAAATTTTATTGAACCTATGAAAACCTGAAGTAATTTGAATGTCGTAATAGAGCTGTGTCACATCAGAAGTACTCTGGTTTCATGCAGTGAGCCGACTGAAGACATTATCTGCACGTCTGCCTCCTTCATTGCTCTAAATTATTCCAGTTAATGCTGAAGCTCTTCCAACCAACAAATATCACATCATATTCTGATGAGAAAGTTCCCTTGAAATCCAGCTCACACCAATTTATGAAAGAAAAATAATGAAACTTAATCGGTTTTCATTTTAAGTGCTAGATTAACAGATTTATGGAGTAAACCCGGAAAATGTTTTTCTTGGGGCTCCCCCCGGATGGAGCGTCTCTTAAGGTCTTATATAGTTCTCAGAGCAAAGCAATAATTTATAAGTATGAGTAATAAATTCCCTGCAACTGTCGAAGGCCTTCCACTGAAATTCACAGTCATTGCGAAACTGTCTGTGTGAAGGCCAATCTTTATCTCAGTTGGGCTCAAATATCCCCTCAGGGATTAATAAAGTTCTTTTTTTCTTATCTGAACTGAATCTCACCTGGGTAAAGAAGAGATGCAGTCTGTGCATCAGAGGTTGGTAATGTACATCTTTTAAGATAATGTCTGAAATGTTGTTTTAACAATGTGTGAAATGAAAATATTTAGTTCGTCACTCATTTTAAAAAAAGTGTCTCATACATAGTCGATACCAGGGCAGTCTACTGAAGTAAATGAAAATAAATGTTAAATATGAATAACATCTTACATTTTACCAACTACAGTCAGAGATCACAATGTAAGACTTCTATCCATACTCCCCAGCTCTCATTCATAGACTTATCTTGAATGTTCCTTAGGTTAGTATAGGTTAATATAATACAATGAGGGTATTATACATAAAGTACATGTTTATCATCAGGGTCAATCGAAATTAATCCATGTTGAAGGTCAGTGAACTTCCACTTCATGATGACATGAACCCATTGTCACTTTACAGTATTTGGCACTGTTGTGCTCCAGCCTGTTGTTTTAATAAGTATTGGTTTGCAGATATTGTGTTGTCCGAGCCAATCAGCACTGACCTGTGATAATGGTATTGATATGTTGGTACTGTCAGTGATGTTAAAGGATGCCAATTTCTTTATCTGCTGTCAACTGGAGTGGACAGTTATCTCTATTGTTCCAGTCAAACAAGTTTTGTGGTTAAATAGGAGAAAAACTGGAAGGTTAAGGTTTCATATCTTACATATCAATATCCTCAATCCAACAGCTTATTCAAAAGAAAAGTCTGAATCAGTTGAGTTTTCTTTGATTTGTAAGTCTCAAAAAGAAAGACCCCTTAAATATTTAGGAGTGCCACCTTCTAGTGCTTTCTGGTGTTTGTTGCTGGTCTTTCCACCCGTAAAAGATGGCCTTGTGTAGGTCTCTGCAGTGTGTAAGTGTAGGACAGGAGGACACATTTAAGGTGATGCTTATTACAACTTTTGAAATTACAATGAAGTTTCGAAGAAAGGTCAGTTCTACAAATTATTTTATGAAACAGCTGCATATTTTGTTTTCTTCACCTGAGTGAATAAAGCTCCTGTTTTAGTTGTTGGCAGTAACCTTGTTGGCAGCTAAAAGCCAAACTAGAGCTAACTCAGTCACTCTAAAGAGGACAGAGGTCTCCAGACTCAGACTGAAGCTAGAGGTGACAGCAGCCTACGTATCAGTGACGATTTCATTCATGCGAGCTTACTTGTGGTGAAGATGGGGGAGGAACAATGTCATACAGTGTTAAGATAAATTCTCTTTGTAAATACGCTGGTACCTTTTCCAGTAAGATGATAATATTGATTCTTTGTAGGCAGTTGAATCAGTCGGCTGAGTTAATTTTTATGAGCCTCTTTGCATGAATGCACCAACCACATGATAAAGCAAGTGATACCACATCTTTAAGACGATCGCTTTCGTCTATACAGCATTTTCTGAGTACACATTGTGTGAAGGGAAGTGGTTGTAGTGGCTTTTTTTGTTTCTGTTGCCATGCAACATTTGTACTTTCTTCAAAGTTTAAATGTTTCAAACTTTAAGTGCTGGTACTTGAAAAAACAGGCTGTACCATTTTTCCTGTCATTTCATATCAGTCCTCAATGCTGTAGATCCATCCTTGAAAGAAACACCAACAGATAAATTGTATGGGCTTTGATCTGATGAGTGAGCTGCATTGTTGATATGATCTTGCTCATTTTAGTCTTGATTTATATCTCGGCACGTCTCTACTAGTTTGCTTTTAACACCAGTTACACCTCACCATATCTCCTCCGTAATGTAATAAATCACAGAGAAACTAGAGATTAGAGATTTAGTGATTTGAATGTGCAGAGATAGCTCCTTAAGTGTCTGGAGTACAACCAAAAATATTTCCTGCTGGATGGCCCAGGAACATGTCATCACTTATACAAACACCAACAGATATTTCCAAGACTGTATTTCACAGGATTTTAACAGCTCTGTATTGGTGAGATCTCACTGCTATCTCCTGCAGGTTAAAATGTTATTGCTGAGAATGTGTTGTAGTGTTGTAGATGGAGGATGTGCATATGTTTATGGCAAGGGTGTCATCTCACCTCTGAGCCAATAGTGTTTTAGCTTCCGACTTACTGTCCTTTAAGGTGTGAAAAGTTAATGAGTTCTAAGCAGTTGTGAAATTTTTCTTCACACTCTTATAAAAATATAATTTTCACTCTGGTAACTCTCAAAGAAGTGGTTCAGGTTCCCTTCCTGATTTCTATTTTTTGTCTAGAGTTTAAAAGGCAGCAAAAGCTTAATCTGTAGATACTCCAGTGTTTCTCCTGAGAACAAAAAGTTGTGTGTTAATTGTGATCTGTGTCTTCTATTAACATTTTCCTCCTGTTTCATTTTTTACATTAAGGCTGAAGCATTTGTCTTTTCAGCACTGTGATTAAAAATATAAAAATAGTTATGTTTCAAGTGAATTGTGGCTTATTTTGGCATGAAATGTAATTTAAAAAATGTAAATTCTGATTTAATTCTGTTAGTTAAGCAACACAAAGTAAACAAGTCATCATCCTGGGCACTAAAGAGTTAAAAAAAAGCTTTTTTTTCTAGTTTTAATCATGAATCGGTTAATCATACAGAACAATCTGCTGAGTCGTGTTATCAAAATAATCAATAATTCTCAGTATTATAACATGCCCATCACTGAACATAACACCAAAACTCTCAGTAAACTTTAACACTTTAACACATTTACCATTAGTATTTTTTGTCAATGTGAGATTGCGTTTGGCACTTTTTTGTAACAAGTTTTGCTTTGCATTCTTACATGCCCTTCATCTCCCCTCACACGCCTCTTGCCAGCCTGCCCAGCACCCACTCTAACAATATCCCCCTGTAATGATGTAGCTGCAGGGCAGCAGAAGGAGGGTGTCGGGTCAGGTGGCCCGTTCATCTCACGTGTCAACGAAGGCTGAGCAAAGCTAGCTCTGCCAGACACAAAAACACCCGCCAGCCACACAGTGAAGTCAGATCTCTCAGTGGCAAGTTTGAACAGACCGAAATGTAAATCTGTTACTGTCTGCATGTAGGAGATTTTTCTGACTGAGTGGCTGCACTCAGTTCCCAGACTTTATCTCAAATATCTGATAATATAGTTTGGAAAAGGATCAGCTTCTGACAAGAAAGCTTTCCAGGATAAACCCCTGCAAATTTCCTGATTTTGGATATCATGTACACAAAAGATTCCTTGACAGCTGCTGAGGACTTGGTGGGCTGTCCTTAACTCCCCCAGCAACCTCAGGGGACTCCACAAGCTCTCATAATGTTAGAGGAAGAGGTCAACCCTCGCTGACGCTACCCTGCAGTGTCATTGCTGTCAGCAACCATTCAGCTGTTCCCCTTTCTGGAAACACAGTGAGTAACTGTCAGAGAAATGCAGGAACAGTACTTCTTTTAAAGATATTTGGCTCCTCTCCAGATACTCAGCATTTTCCCGGACAATTTGGAGTTCTGCTCATAAAAAAAACTTTCAGGAATGTAGCCAGTGTCACGTTTGGGATTAGTTTGAGTGTTTACATCACCAGCCGACCAGTGAGAGAGCCGAGACAACTTTGGAAAATCCTTCTTTGCAGCTGGATCATTAGTTACAACAGCTTTTTGTCTGCTCCTTCGTCCTGGAGGAACTAATTTAATATATCACACCCTCGTCAGCCTTGCTGAGTCTTGCCAGGGACTTAAGAAGAGGAAGAAGTCTGCATTATTTCTCATCAGTTTTCCCTGCATCCTAAGGTGGAGGATTAATCAAATGCATCCATCATCTACCTTTGTTTGTGTCTCTCACTTGGAATCTTCCTGTGCTCCTGATTTATCCCTGTACAAAAGCTTATGGGCACAATCAAAAAGTTTCACAGAAGAAAAACATCAGACTGAGTTTTAGGAGTCCAAGGCACCCCAAAGGAGGTTCAGAAGTTCAGGTTATTTTATGTACAGTCCAGAGAGTCTCATGTGAACCAGTAGCCGGTGGAACAATGAACAAAGATCTACGACCGGGAAGGAAAGGGCCACCGACTGGGTTCGGACACGGTAGAAGACACTCGTGCTTGGGGTATGTTCCTGAACTATGCATCCTGAATGTATTCACACAAAAGGGGGGGCGGTCATACTGCAGGGTATGGTTACATGCTCTGCTATAAACCTGGAGTGATAGTTTCACTGCCTGTGTTACAGGGAGGTTATTTTTAGGCAGATCCTGCTGTACATTCAGTGTCTCACATACCACTGACATCACTGTGCCGTCTTTGTAGCTGTTTTTTTATTTTTTGCTGTCAGCACTTCAGTTCTGAGTGTACATATTTGGTTGATAAATAATTGAACGACATAACCCTCTCAAATAAGCACTGGTCACCCTCATTTGAGAGCACAACAATCTCTTATCAGTTTAAAAAAGTAGTAATATTTTTATTGCTGTGAAATAATGATGACCATATGTTGCCTAGCACTAGCCTGGGCTGTGGTTAACGCAGTGGTTCTCAATCCAGTCCTTGAGGCCCACTGTCCGGCATGTTTTGGATGTTTCCCTGCTCCAACACACCTGATTGAAATGATCAGCTCGTTATTAAGCCATTACAGAGCTTGATAACGAGCTGATCATTTGAATCAGGTGTGCTGGAGCAGGGAAACATCCAAAACATGCAGGACAGTGGGGGGCTTGAGGACTGGACTTGAGAACCACTGGGTTAACGGCTGCTGTAATTATTCTACTGTGCTCTACTACCTGGATGTAAAAAAGTATAGATGACATCTTGTAGCACAGTGCAGTTTTACAGTCTTTTGATCTAGAAAATGGAGACAAAGTTGTATCCATATCCCGTTAAATTGGCATATAGCCTCACAACCAGAGCGATGCGTAACCAGCACAGGTAAATGGACATTAACCCACAAGGAGGACTGAAGGCTAGTGGAGCCAGCTCTGCTAAAGCAAACCTTAGCAAACCAGTATTAGATTGTGTAACCGCGGGCTCTTTGATCCTGTGATAAACCCACACTGGATAAATTGTGCAAAGTTCGGCTGTTTATGGAGCGTTTGGAACATCTTAACACTCTTGGTTCATCTTGAGAAAATACTTTTCTGTCTCTGTAATGAAAGATTGCTGAGCGAATAAAATTCTCCCTTTCTGCACTGAATATTGTCAAAATTAAACTTTAAAGAAGAGCCCATAATGAGGTGTCAAGTTTTTTGCTCAAATAAAAATTAATAAGAGGATGTCCGTTTCAACACAGCTCGATCTGGTAAAGTTTCTAAAGTAATTCTTATTGTTCTATTCTGTCTGTACATTAACCGCATATTGTGTTTCTTGTCAAAGCTTTAGAGAAAACCAACCAAAGCAGAGGGTGTCATTATCCATGTCCAGTCAGATACGACTGAAGTAGAACTGATGATGCAGTGGCCTGGTTTGTCAAAGAGCTCATGCTTATTGTGGTGGACTGTAATAAATATGGAGATCAGTTGAGTATCTGATGAAATCTCTACATTCATTTTATAGATCCTGCTAATGCAAGTCTGTCAGCTGTGGTGATGTTGTATGCACGATAAGATCAGTGTGTGGCTTGGTGCCTTTTTTAGGCTGTACTTGTTTTTCTTATTTGTTGGCATTTTACCCAACAGCTTTTAAGAGGAAGCAAATTTTGTTTGCGGCAAGTTTCATTCAGCAGACTTCCTGTTTTTGCTGAAAGTCTTCCAGAGATATTTTTCATCATGATGACCTCGAGACTGAAGTTTCTGAGTGAACACAGAGCTTTGAAATGGTTCATGGAGAGATGTTTGTTTTCGGTCTGTAAAGAAGCAGTAAAATTAAACCTTTTAAACAGCATGTGCCTTACTTTGTAAATAATAGATTTTTCACTCACACCTAACGTGTACTTGTGAGTATGTCAGTGTGTGAGCTGAGAGAGTGTGTAGTGAGATTACCTCGCCTATTGTTGCTGATCTACAATGAGGGACAGCTGCCTAAATACAATGCTGTTTATGTGTTGGAGCAGGTCAGTAAAGTTAAAGCACATAGATGTTTTCTGTATACATGATCCCCTTGGATGCTATTCAAATATGTTTGTGTTCATTCCAAAGTGTTGGGATTTGTGTGTATCCCCTCTCGTGTATTCATACCCATGTCTGTCATCAGCCCTGTTGAGCATTTAGAGGTGGGAACCACCCAGCCCTTCACCCTGCTGCTGGGTCAGTGGTTGACGCAGTGCCTCATACTACATCCCTCCTCGACCACAAAAACAGGCCACACCTTCGTTGGTATTAGCTACTGCAGAGAATGCACAGCTAAAAAAGCTGCAAACTATGTTGTAACCTGTCTTCGAACAGCTGTGGATTTGCCACCAGCTCACCTTAGGCTTCAGCTTGCATGAACTGACCTTTGTAAAACACAAAAAATTAATTACTGCACTTTGCATTTCTTTAGCAGGACATTTTGCCTGTCAAAGGCAAAGCACATTAGATATTAATTTGAAAGGTCAAGCTGTGCTAAAAACTAAGCAAATCTGATGGAGTCTGCATCTCTGTACCCATACTGGTCTTTATTCAGGTTTACAGTAAGAAAATGTTTTTTTATTTTTCTCTAAATCTCTAAAGGTTCAGTGGCATTCAGCTTCAACCCACCAAAGAGTATCAAGAAAAGGATGCAGTTTTAATGTCTGAATGCTTTCAGCTGTGGTTATAGCCTGTTCTGTTTTTTTAACACCCTGTCTGCTGACGTCTTTCCTTGAAGTTAAAAACAAATGACAACAACAGCTACTTTTTGGTTTCCAGGTTGCATTTCAAAGGTTTGTGTCAAAGTTGGTGAAGTGATCTCATTGTAATATTACTCCCAACCACAGCCCCTAATACATAGCAGGAAGAACTATAAACACCCAGATTAGAGAGTTAAATTATGTGAAACAGGTTTAACCATCTTAGATTACCCTCTGAGGAAAAGCGAGAGACTTCTTTCCGACCCAATGCAAACACAAGAGAGTATGAGTGATAGGTGGGAGGGGGCAACAATAACACAACAGACCCCCAAAATAAACCCCCAAGCCTTGAATAGTTCCCCAGCCCCGCCAGCCTGGCTGCACATGACACGTGAATGTGACATGTGGTTATCATTTTGTGTGTATACACTCATCCAAACAAACTCGCACATACCCAGCACCCTGCAGCAGCAACCCATCCCAAAATCCTTATTGATTGTTCCACCGAAATGTTGCCGTTGGTGCTTTAGAGTTGTAATGCTAAATTATTGTTTGTGTTTTACAATGAGTGGAAAATGAATTGAAGAAAATCAGAATCAATTTTTTTTTTCTTAAATTTGAGGGTGATGAAGAAAATGCTTTTATTGTTTATATTAGTTTTGTTTCATTTTATTATTGTAATATGTCTACATTTATGTTTCGAGTTCCCCTCATGCAAACATATTGTAGTTTTTTTGTAGTCACACAGTGACCTCTGCTGGACACTTAGCGTACCTTCAGGAGGCTCAGTCCACAGCTCTGTGATCTCACTGTCTAAGTGTAAACAGACTCTGGATGAATCAGATTTACTGTATGTGGACTCAGTGAATGTAACAAATGTTGTAGCATGCTTCTACTTATCTCAGACAAATAAATGGCAAAGCCGTGACAAGTAACAACCCTCTAAAATAACACAGGTGCCGCACGTTGTGTATTTAGTGGGTGGTGCAGCCTTACTTCAGTTCCAGAGAGGAATGTACTTAAGAGCATGAACTAAGCAGCAACCACCATGACTGGCTATTGAAGCCATCAAGAAATTTACTTTACAACATGCTGGCACATGCAGCAGAGACACATGTTTACCCTATGCTATGCAATGCGCAAAAATCTAAAGCTTGAAATGATCCAAAGTGAGGTCCCAATCCAAATCAGAATATGTAGTAAGTACACCACAAGGTGGTGCAATTTAATCTCTTCTGTGCTGTTGCAAATGAAATACAACATGTGCAAGTGTATGAGCCAACAAAGATCTTCAACAATCCTCATCAATTCAGAATTTAAAGAATACTTAAATTTCATTATCATTAAATGAAGTTTCTATCCACAGAAATACTTGAGCAGAACTTTTCAGGTGTCCTTTTTCAAACCTACTTTAATGTAAGAAACTCTGTGTAACCAACACTCTGTAAGTTTATGTCAGTTTTTGAAACATGGCCTGCCAGCGTTTAAAATGAACTCAGACACTTGTAGCTTGACTATAAGCTCCTGTTCTTAAAATGAAGTTCTGTAATGGCTCTTAAAGTTCAGAGCCTGTATCCCTGCTGCCTCATTTGACCGTTAATGCCCTCTAAAAAACCGCTACAGAAAACTAGGGTTATTCAAACTGAAACTGTGTGTGAGGTTGTGTAATACAGAGTTTAAAACAAAGAAACACTTTGAGAAATCAAATTTTGGTCGGAAAAAGGGTGGTTTGTTTCCTGAGTGGGTGAAAGAAAAAACAGATTTGCCTCCATGCTTCTTAACTTCTATCAGACCATCAGCAGATTGATTCCGAATCTTTTAAATAAAGGTCAAAGCTTTTAAACTGTGTATCTTCATTCACACGCACCCAAACTCTGACATGTGCTCTTCCTTACACTTCCAAACTCAGTCATGCACACACAGATACATGTCACTCTTCCCTCACAGCTTACTCTCATTACCAGAGGTGATGTTGTCATAGGAGGCAGCAGCCAACTGCACTGTAGAAGTCATTCTGGCTGGAGGATTCAGTTACACAGCGGCCTCTCAGACAGCTCACTCTTAGCAAACCTACACGCCTTCATCTGTTAGGATGTCCAACATGTTTCCCAATCACGTGGCCAAAAGGGGGAAGGTGAGCAATGGAAAGAAGGGTACAAGGCTTTTAGTTTGGATATTGTAAACCCGCTTGTGTTACTAGATATGACAGCAAGAGAACTACTTTCTGCCATGGTTTTTGGACAGCAATTAAAAATTGTGGCTGAACAGAGAGAGGTTATAGTTGTGACAGGCATGTCTTTACATTTCTGGATTTTTAGTGGTCTGGACTGGCGGTCTTGACTCCAACTATTGGACTCATTCTGTGTAGGCTCACTGGAAAGGCTCATGCCATTGATGGGAAGGATGCTGCAGGCAAATCTGAGATACTGAGATTCGGACTAACTCGAACTGTTTCGTGGAAGGGGGCCAGCTCTTTACTCCAGCGATATTACAGAGGGGGATGGGCATTGGGCTGTGAATCTCAGGGTGACATGTGGGTTTAAGAGCGCCAATCCTGATCATATAGCATGTCTTGTTCAGAGTTTTGCAAAACTACGGTGTACCAGAGACAAAAGAAATTACTGGATATTAATGTGTAAGGTTCTCATCCTTGTTTTTATTTTAACATCAGAAATGTGTGGTGGACTAACAGGTGTAACAAAGGCCTCTTAACTCCATGTGAGCTGAATGCCAAGCTTGTTTTTTCTCCTCATCTGCAGGAGAATCCCTGCTCGATGACCCTGCATTGTTCACATATTTATGTCCAACCTAATCATCTTTGTAGCCCGGGGTTTCTCCCCAAACAGTGTGGACATTAAATCATAAAAACTAGAATAACCTAGTTTCTCCTCTCTGATTTATCAGTCAGCTGACATTTAGATGACATGACAATCCTAAAAAACACATTAAAAATAGAAGTCTTCACAAGATGTGCATGATATGGGTCTGAAGTTTGTCTTGCTGAGATGAAGAGAGGAAAGATTTGAAGGAGCAGCTATAAAACGAACACAGTGAAGTGAAAGTTCAGAAGAGCAGCCAAACATTTACTAATGAGCGATTCAATATAACTTCTGAACCTACCTCCATATCATCACCACATCACTGTTTTCAGGAGATCACTACAGGAGCTTACCCTCCCTTTTTCAAGCAGCTCCTCTCCTATGTGCCAGTTGACACGTCCAACTTGGTCGTCTACCCTGTGTCTCAAAAGACAAATATTTGCCTGTGATGTCGACAGGAGAGAGTCCGTCAGTCAGTGAGATCATCCGGTTCTAGAAAAGTCCATCCCAGCCTGTGGTGAGACTGACTGGGTTCTCTGTCCTGTGAATTATTCATCCAAATCTGCTGCTGTATGTAAATGTGTAACATTAAGCATAGATTGGTTAACGATTGGATTGCGTTGGTTTTAAATATGTTAAAACTTGCTGTGTGTGTATGAGCCTGTCTACAGGAGGTGTACTGCCTCAGAGAAATTTCATCTCAAGAGTAGTAGTGTCTCAAAAACACACTTTAAATAAACACCACACATTTACCACATCCGTAACCATACACAGCACCATATATACACAGCCACAAACACAAAAACACAAAAACACAAACACGTGACACAACTACTATAACCACAACCCCCCTCAATCTCCCTTGCTTAAACACATAGTGCACATACACATGCACATACTTCATGTCTTTTTAAAGCCTCCATGTGCTGAGGGAGACGGAGAGAGAGAGAGAGTGTGTCTTAGAGAGACAGAGGAGTGAGGAGGGGAGGAGTGTATGTCTAGAAAACAGACAGCTCAGCTCTTTACTTCTCATTGTGGACTTGAATCTGCGTTCAGCTATCCAAACCGCACGAAACAGGAGAGTCGCTGAGGAAATGAGTCTTTAAAGAACCACACTCCTTTGATCCCTTCCCTCTCTTCACCCTCAACTTGATTCTCGCTGGTGGCATGATGCTGAAACACATCGAGGAGGGCTTTCCTCCGCCTGTTTGCGCGTCAGTGGAAACCTGGTGTGGTGTAAAGAGAAAGGAGAGATCGCAGAAGAGTGGAGGAGTTGAGGAGCTTCCTGAGGAGAGGGAAAAGGAGGATTAGCAGAGAACAGAGCTGAAGAGGAAAAGAAGCAAACAAAAACATGAGTTTACCCACTAACTGTGTATATCTGGCCCCCTCGGTCCAGGATCGCTACTTCAAAGTGAGGAATGGGAATATCTGCGGGTCACCGTGCGCCGTCAACCGGCCTATTGACATTGTGCAGAAACGCAGGCGGTAAGACCAATGTGATATCATCCAGATGCTGCATTTGCACAACTCTGAACACATGGCTTTTCTCGTTTTAAAGGAAGTATCACATTTGTTTCACTGGCAACAGTCATAATTTTATCTGAGAACATTTGAATAAGGTTGTCACAGCACCCCATGAAACTGCTACCAGAATGTCTGGAGCGCATATCACAGGTTTAATTATCCCATTTAAAAGTCAGGTCAATAGCAGGTTCAATTTGTGATCAAAATAATTAACTAAACAGTCAAAATTATTTCCTTTTTTTTCTAAAATATGCCCGTCAACTACGTAGTGCATTTACCCTCAATTTCCTTGTAAGACTATCAGTGTATCATTGTGGGTCAGTATGTAACTTATTGTGTCCTAATTGTATTTTCTCATAATATTCCTGTCATTCACACTTGATACACAGTCTAGTGAGTCAATGTAATGCAGAGCTGGGAGTTACCTCCTGATATCTGATTAAGATTTTATTTCTTTACCAGTATTTCTATATAACTAAAACCACCCTTTGCCTGCCAGTAATACAGTTTATTCTCTATATCTCTGCCAAAAGACAAGCAGTCGACTGAAATCAAGCTAAGATTCCCTATCAGATTCCCCAAGTTGGTTTGAAATCAGGTCTGAATCTGTGAGGCTGGACCTTTTCCTTACCAGGAGCTGCTTTACTGTTTTCACTGTTTTGATTTATCATCACTTACCAAATATCTAAAATAAAACAAAATACACAATTTATGTTATTATTATCTGTAGGGCGTATACATCCGGAAATGTATAAATCTGTCTAAAATATAGGAGTCTTTTTGTCGAACACTTGTTCACATTTCACCAAAGAAGAATAAGCAAACATACAAACAGAGAAACCTTAACCTAAGCTGATAATGTAAAACACAAAATAGTCATAGATCCCAACCGCCTGTATGTTGCCATAACAATCTCAGCAGTTCAGCCTTTGTTGTTACGGTTGACCCTCAGGATTGGATGCTTCTCCCTGTTTTTAAGGCATATAAAGTCAGAGTGGAGCGTTAAAATTTCCCCCGTTCATGCTTTACTACCCGCCCCTACATGAGTATACCTGAAAGTGGCTGCTGCCTTGGGAGTCATAGAAGGAAATCTGACTAATTTAGCAGGCGGCCTTTCAGAGAGTCATGACGACATAAGCCAGGTCAGGCAGGGAGGGGATCAAAGTGTCTTTATAATGTCAACCCGCCAATAAAAAAAAACCTTCAAAGAGAGATTTCTAATGAACGCAAAGTGGGCTGTATTTACAGGCCTGATGGATTGACCACATGTGTGTAATAATAGTCAAAAAGCCATAGAAAGAAATAAAGTGCACATTATAAGTGACCAAATCCCTTTAACCTTGCATGCTGCATAGTTCCCATTAATTTCTAGACTGAAACATATTGCCTTCACCGTCATCACTTTCCCCTCTAAAGTTTTGGGGTTTTACAGTTAGTTTTGGCTCACAGACACTCATATGCTGTACATCAGTTGAGGCATTTAAGATCTGCTTTCAGGGTTATGATCTGGCAGGACTTTGCTGTAAAGGAAAAAGCAGTAAAGCTCCCTGTCCTAAGTGTCGCTTTTTATCTCATTAAAGCTCAGCTAGCTCCTACCAAGTCACTTCATTATCAAGATTATCTCCGTGTGCAGACCAAAAGGGCTGATGTGTTGCATTTTGATTTTGATTTTCTTTCTATGAATTCTAAAGGTGTCTGTGGATTAATCAGATTATTTTCTGAAATATTTCACAAATGAAACAAATCCCACCAGGTTTAAATAAATGGTAGTGTGGCATTAAAAACCAACGTATACGACTTTTTTTTCTGCTGCATTATATCACAGTGCTCCCCATCAGCACAAGTTCTTCATAAACTGTGCTTAACTTTGTTGTACAGTCATTTTAGCATCATATCCCATGCATCTGAATGAGGACTAACATGGGTAATCTGCAAAAATAGATTTAACATATGTTGTGTCATTTCACATGTAATTTTATAAAGATTATGTCAACAGTATACCTGTAACATAAGTGATAGTAAAGAGCACTGATTGGTTTCATTCTCGTTCATCCTTTTTAGCTTTTAACATCAGTAATGTCAACTTGATATTTACTGGATTACACAGTGAAGGGCACATTAGTCTTGTGGTGTTAAAATCAATGTAAAGATGCTCTTCAGATAAATTAGACTGTCGCCAATGTTATCACACCAGCTTAGAAAACCCTGTGAGAATCCTGAAAGAATAAAACAATGATTGTTAACTGTTGGCTTTGAATCGTCGCAGTTTTGTAATCAAATCTGTTTTCAATGAAACAACAACAGTACTTTTAAATGGGCTATTACCATCAAGTGAAAATGTCTTGTTCTGTTGTGAAAAATTAATATTTCTCTGGATAGTTTTTCTTCAGTGTCTTTAATTCACATAAAACCAAATATTGGAGCTGTGCTGTGATAGTTCTTGAAAGTGGCAGCAGACAGGATCAGGTAGCTGAGGTCAGAAGCTTTCAGCTCTCAGCATGCTGTTGACAGCTTTGATGAAATGTCTCGAGTACGTGCAGCCCCGTGCTCATCACTGCTCGTAAAAAGTCACATTTAACACTTGAAAGTTCTTGGTACTTCCACTTGCTTCATCTGAGTCATGCCACGTTGTTTATTGGTTCATTTAGTCAGTGTTTGCACAATAAATTTTACCCATGCATAATCACTTAGATTTCTTTGCATTGCTGATAGTGGTTTCGTATGTAGTCTTGCCCTCTCTGTTGAGTCACAAGTTGATCGGCTGATTTGATCTTTGTCCTTCAGGCTGGTGGATGGTTTCCTGTAAACCTTTACATTGAAGCTTTTCAAAGCAGACACTTTTGCTGCTCTTTGACGATCCTCACATTTTAAAGTTTTGAATTCGAGGCCTCAGATTTGTTCTTGACACACTTTTTTTTTCCTGAGGGGTTTATCAGCATGGATTCAAGCAATACTGTTGCTTGAGTTGAATATTTACTCCTTACCTAAGTTCTTTGTGTTTGGTCAAGGTTAAAGTATCTGAAACAGTAGGGCACTGGATACACCATTTTGTCAATTTGATGCTCTATGTTTTGTAGCAGGATGATGCTTAGAACATTGCAAACAGGACAAGGATTAATTTGCCTTTGTCTTTGCAAACATGTTGGTGTCAATAAAAACCATCTGTAACTGACAACAGTTGTCATCTGCTCTTCAGCAGCTCATTATACTGCCTCTGTTTGACCTCTTGTTGGGACAGAAACGTTCCCATAGCCTAAAACCTCAAACACTCAACATCAAACTGATTAAATTAGATTGGGGTTGCAGCTTTTATAAGGCAACATAACTCTCCACAAGTATTCAGTGTTGCTTCCAGCCAATACAATTCTTCTTTATTATTCCCAAAGGGCAATTCTGGTCATGAATTTAAAAAGGAGAAAAAAATATGTACATAGGAAACTGTGGAATGCGTTTTAGCTTTAGAATGATAAATTGATTTGCTAAACTAAATTAGAGTTGCTTTACTAAATTATAAGAAAATAATAAAAGATCCTGTTCTTATCGTAATGCTTCTCTGTTTTTGGAGGGCATTGGCTAGAGAGAATTGGCATTTAAGAGACCTTCATCATATAACCCCTATAGTTTGAGGCCAACATGTAAATTAAATACCGGTTTGACCCATATGGTCTCTTTAGACTGGTAATGTTGGACTCTCTTTTGTAGAGATATGAGACATGACACTGAATGATATTGTACTTGGTTGGCCCGTCTGTCAAGTCTCAGCCCATGTCAACAAGCGGTGACATGACACACAGCTCACCCCATGATAGGTCAAAGGTCACTGCAAGCCACCAGCCTGTTGTCACATAATGTAAACAAAAAGTCGTGTCAGTTGTGTTTGTGCTCTGAAATCAAGCTCATCAAGAGTATAAATAATTTCAGAATATCAGCTGATAGTCACACTGCCGTGCCTGCAGCTGGTCAGACTTAACCCACCTGTACTGACTGTGAATATGGGATTCTTTACAGAGAGTGCAGCTTTGAATAGTATAGGGTTTATTTACATTTGTCTCAAGGGTTGTATCTTATAGTTCACAGTGTAAAGCAGTTGGTTTCTTATGAGGGTAATCAATAAACTCACTGTTCTTTCAAGTCAAAATAACACACTACCAACCTGTGTTGTCAATATGCTGCTTGCAAAAAAAATACAGTCCTGACAATTAATGCATCACTGACTTAAAACAAACCTCAGATAATTAGAATAACTCCTGCTTCTGGTGCCTCTGCCTTTCCATCTCTTCTTCATCCTCCTTGCTTTTCAGTGGGACTGTCTCTCGACTGCCATGATTATTGGTCACAAAAAAGCAAACCTGGAATACAAATGATGTGTTGGCAAAGTAACAATCCAGCATTTTTAGTTTACTTATTATATCTTCAAGATTTTGGACTGTTGCATCCCTTTCATTACTATCTACTTGGAGCAGCGATGTAAAGTTATCCTCTCATACACAGCAATTTCTAAGGCTTTTATACTCACACACTGCACCCCAAAAAGATGTAATGTAGTTGTCCCAGTGTGTCGTTACACATCACATAAATGTGAGATAGATGTCTTGTTAACACACATCAGGAGCTCCACATACTCACACACTCAGACATGGACATACGCACAGCGCTGTTTAGCACCACCGGGCTTTGAAGCTACACATTCTGCCTCTGTTACAAACTCTGAGGGCGGATCAGAGGCAGAGCGATTTTGCCACACCATAACACCTCTGTGCATGCGGACTGCAGGCGTAACAGAGGCATCCCTCCGTGAAATAGCAGTGTAGAAGCACCTTTTGCATCAATACTCAAGTCAGGATCCCTACCATCATGAAGAAGTTAGAACTCATCTGGTTTGCATGATATACTAATTACAGTTCTACTCTGGGTGGTCTCACAGCTAAGTTTGTTATTCTGGAGCGTTGCTTAGTTTACGTGAAAACGGTGGAGCTTCGGTCATGTATGAACAGATGGTGATATTCAGCATACAGTGGAGATCATAACTTGTCTCTGTTCTACAGCAGTAAACGTTCAGAGAGGTTTCAGAGGTCTTCAATCTTCACACACAGCTGTTGTTGTCCACGTTGGGTGTGGAAACAGCCTCTTGTTCAGGATGCTTGCCAATTTCACAGATGTGCTGTGCTGTTCCTCACAGTTGTCTCATCATATTATGTCATACATCCTTAGCTTTTCGTTTTAACAAAACTCCTTACAGAAACAGGTCTGCAACATTAAATGATTCACAATGAATACTTTACATCGGAGTGTGACATTTCGTGACTAAAACATTTTTGACCCTGGTTGAGGGCTGAAGGAAATATTGACCTGACAGTGGCCGGTCTCTGGACTTGATCCCAAATCATTGCCAGTTCACAGCTAATGCCTAAACCCTCCGAACCTGTACTCAGGGCCCATAAAGCGTATCCTCTTAATCCCTACAGCAAAAACACCTCAAGAGAAAATCCACTGTGTCCAGTGGCTCAGCGAGCTGGTTTCCGGCATGTATGTTTTTAGCACCTTCCATAGCATCTTTGTGTTCTGGTCTCTTATTTTGTGGAAAAATAAAACTACAGCAAGCAGTGCGTTGGGCCAGAAATAATTGCAGGCCCGAGAGCTGGTCGATAGGCATTGCAGTGACAGCCATGAAACCACAACTGACGTCAGAAGACAAGTGTGACTGTGTTTGTGTGACTGTGTGTTTTTTCATGTTTAATATTACTGATGGAACAGCAGACTGAGTGTTATTCCGACATCTCCGTGACTCCAGGGATGGTGACCAACTCAGGAAAAGATGAACAACCAACAAAGAGACTCTGTTCTGTAATTTTGTCGCAGGATTAGATAATAGAGTAGTTGAAGGACTTTTACATAATCTAAACCAAAGAAGAAGTAAGGCCTCCACATGCAGCCTGCTCTGATGCTGTTTATCACAGGTGAACTTGATCACCTGTGTAGACTCCAGGGCTCCGCCCACACTGCAGGATCCCAGGTAGGGAAAAGCGGTGGGCTGGACGGGACTTTGAAAAAGTTTTTTCACTTTTGATCCTGGTAACAAACGAAGGGGTATAAAACGAAAGAAAAATATATGCCTCAGGGTATTCTGGGTGCTCTGGTCTAGGTTGAATGTTCAGGCAGAAAAGCAGCAGTGCTATGAATAAATTAGAACATGATGTTCTCGAGTGTTGCATATTTATGAAACTCATGTTACTGAAATTCTGCTTTTAAGTGTTAATGCAAAAATGGTTATGCACAAAGTATACCTGAAATTCATCATTTATCACAATAATATTTGATGCAATATTATATTACAACCAACATTACATTATAATGAATGCAAATGTATCAATGCATGAAGTAAACCAGATATTTGTCAAAAAAAACAAACCTTTAAGTGTTTATTGACACTGAGTAATATTTTGTAGCTGTAGCGTCCAACTCAATGAAACTTAATTTAATGTTGTATAGCTACTAAAACCTAAAGTCTATGATATTAATAATGTAAATTAACTATATTTTCTTTTCAGAGATGTTCACTTTCTTTATGTTTTTTTTTTTATTTTACAATACCTTTTACTTAGTGGTGCAACATTTGCATCTTCAGTGATAAAGGCTAATATAATAACCAATGAGTGCTTTGTATAAGATAAACTTTTGAACAATCGACTCAAAAAGACAGAGAATGAATCAGACAAAACTCTTCCTCCCATCTTTGACCACTCTGCTGATCAGCATTATAATTGGCTGCTTGGTTAATTATCAGAGGAAGTGGCACGCTCCCTCTTCCAGCTTCATTCAATCACTTTATACCAAAAGACGCCACTTAGAGCCACAAGAGCATGATCGGAGGGAAACTCAGCATGGCCTGTTGCTGGGCAAAGATAGACCTTCTGTGTGTGAGTGTGTGTGTTTTTTTGTGTGAGTGTGCGGTTGTGTTCGTGCCCAGAACCGACCTGTTCAGTTGCGTACCAGTGTGATGTAAGGTTGTTCGATTTTCAGGTCGATTCTGGAGCCAAATCTAGATCTCTACTGCTGGGGCCATAATCACACTCTACCTGCATGTGTGTATTGTGTTGGTGATTCTGGCTGGTTCTGGCCCAGTGTGTGACACTCTTAACCAACTCCTAATATTGTTAACGCTGATCAGCCACTGTATGGATTTGTCCCTGCCTGGAGAGACAGAGCTAATCACTACACATAGACTCCACGATCAATACCTGTCCTGAGGAGTGAACCAACCTTAGAGGCTCCCCATGTTTCAAAATTTAACCACTTAAGCACCAAGCTAGTTACATGTTATTTAAAGGGCCAGTAGTTTATTAGTTTGTGGCAGTGACTTACCATGCTTTAACTGCAGCATCGCACACCCAAGACAGCAAATAACAAGTGTGCATCAGTGTGTTTTTATAACTTCATATGATAGCAGACACAGAGGAATGGATGATTAGCAGTAAACGGCTGGGTTGGAATAAGAGCATGTCTACTTAAAGACAGACACAGCAGCCACATGTGTACCCTTGCCCAACCAATGACTCGCTTGCACTCTTTTTACAAGGTAAAAATAAGACTTGCCAACAGTGATTCTTACCCCCCTTATAAAAACAGAAAATCATCAGGTCCCTCAAACGTCACAGCCCTGCCACCATTCTTTCCTCCCCGTCTTCTTTCAACCTATTTTTCCTCTTATGTCAATCCAAACAGAGGTCGCCTGTTTTTAAAAGCAAGCCCTTCCTCTCTCTGTAGGTCAAAGGTCACACAGAAAAATAATAAACACAGCAGCTGGCTTGGGTCTCCTCCCCTTGGCTATATTTAGAGAAGCATGAGCTACTCTGAGATCAGATGTTGTGTTGGACTCAGAGTGTTGGTTGGCTCTGTTTGGCTGGTCAGGTGGTTGAGGGAAAAGCAACTGGCTCCTCGTGGAGGTGTGGAACTCAGCTTTTACTCAGTGTACTTGTTTACAACTGTGGAGGTGTAATGTAAAAAGAGAATAAAAGTGCTTTATCCTTGTTGATACCAATTCCTTTTGACCTCTCTCCATTAGACTGCACAGTAATGAACCAGCAATGGCAACTAATAATAGAAAATACTGGATACTAATTCTTTTGACAGCCCCACACAGCTGTGTAAATCTTGAGGATGTTCAGAGCAGAGTGTCAGAGTCCAGAGTAGATCATTCAGGACGCAAGAAATTTTACTTAAACTGTCAGGGAGGAGTTGTCACTTTTAGAATCAGCATTGGACGAGGGTAAATTCAGTGAGGTGATTCATTGAGGTAAAACAAACAGCTTTAATACCCTTGATTCTTTTAAGAGCTGACTTGTGAGAGAGCCCAGTTATGGTTCAAATTAAGGTTCAAAGTTGTTTTTACGTCTGCATGTTAGTTAACGAAATTTGCAGCCTCATGAGGTGTTTTGTTGCAAGGTACCTTTTTGATATTAGTTGTAGTCTACTCTATTGTCTCACAGCAAAAAGGTCCCTAGATTAAACCCCTACTGGGGTCTTTCAATGTGAAGTTTACATTCCCCTGTGGATGCTTAGGTGTGAGTGTGTTTAGCAGAGATAGGGGGATTAATCAGTCAGCTGATTAATCAGGCCAATCAATGGTATTTTGACATAATAGGCAACATATCGACTTGGGGCCTTACAAGGCTGATATCGCCATCATCTTTTCTACATGATAATACATCTTTCCCATCATCCATTAACACCATGTCAAATCTGAAACAGTCATTGACTTGCGTTTATGCTGTATTGTATTGTAATATTTAGTATTAACAGCAACATCAGCATCAGCATGTCCAGCAATTTATACCATTACCCAAAACATGTCACTGGCAAAGATAACCATATATATCAGATTTGAATGTGTATGGAACAATGAATCTGTACGTAACTTTTTTCAAAATTAACTTTTATCCTTTTTCCTCCTCAGGGGTGTCAGATTGTAGGACAGAAATCCAAAAGTCCCTTGTGGCTGTATTTTACTGAGCCAAATATTTTCCATCTACATTTTTTAAAAATAAAATATTTCCTGTAATTCAGCAATTGTTTTCGTTTGTTACTATTATTAATTTTATATACATATATTTATAGAAAATTTTAATTGTTGTAGTTTGTCAAATGCAAAAAATAAATGACTAAAAAAGAGTGGGGGAAAAAAAAGAAAGAAAAAACCTGACATATTTACATAATGGCCGACCTGCTCTATCATAAACTCCAATGAGAAACTCTATCCAGTGGACCACTAGTATGTAGCTACAAGGGAGACTGTCTCCAATCTTCTGTTGTGTCTAACAGTTTCTCATGATTTTGTTTTGTTTAATGTTCAGTTGTCCTGAACAAGCTTTATTTCACTTTTTTTATCCAGCCAGACTCTGTTAAACTCCTAACTTCAGACACGGGCCTGTCCTTTTTTTCTAGTCAGTCAATTTCAAACCTCTGCCATTAGGCATCCTGGCCTGACCTTTTTACAATTGATCCCCCGGTTGTTACTTGTCCTAATATGTAAAGTACACATCAGACAAATTCTGGATATTAATGATGTCCATCAACTTAGGTCTCGCCACTTTTTGATGAAAAATAAAGTACCCATAAAAATTCTGGATATTTAACACTTAATTTTAAAGAAAAATGCTACTACATCAGCACAGTGTTGTTGTGTTATGTTAAGATGACGGTGGAATACATGGCTCTTTCAGGGAAGAGGAGAATGTTTCTGATAACCTGAGATGGAAAGCGTTGTCAGCTTGTTGCCTGTGGTGCCATGTCAGAACAAAATTGGCCGATTTTTTTTTTGTCTTGATATGCTCTACTGCCCAACAGCCCTGTGTGTGCTGCCATGACTATGTAAACACACACCCACACATCCACCACACACAGTTTACAAACCACACACAGTGACAGTGAGAGGAGAGATCCGTTTGGCAGGGAGCTGAGTGTTTTTCTGCTACTTTCGGATCAAATGCACAATGGGCTTGTGGTGTAAAGCAAACAAACTCCTTTGACAGCCCATCCACCTCAAAAAAAGGAAAAAAATAAACATACCCCTTGTCATTAGGCGCTCTATTTCAATATGCCTCTGTCATACCTGAAGCGAATTTCTCATTTCAAATCAAAAATCATTCATAAGAACTTTTAGCCCTTTCTCTCTTCCTCTCCCCTTTCTTTCATGGTTTCCCTCCCTTTCTGTCCCACACATCCTCATACACATTCATGAAGTGTTCCCTGCTCTGTTTTTCCTCCTCTCTCCCTTCTCTCCTCCTCACCTCTCACCTCCTTCCTGGTGTGATGTTTTGGGCCCCTTGGACAATTCCCACGCCATGAGGGAAGAAAACAGGAGGGAGCTTGTGTGCGTATGAGTGTGTGAGGGTTGACCTCTGACCCTGGGCCTGTGTCATCCGCCATCAAGTAACATCTGGCCTTGACTGTTGTTTTCTGTACCACTCTCGCATGCATAACAGAAAGTCCCCCTGAATCCCTCAGCACCCTGTTCCCACGAGTGTACCGTGAAGGCACATCCATGGAACTGGTCCTAATTTGTATTTCGCTTAAGGATCTGTGACAATAAAAAAAAGGCTGATAAAAAGTTTTTAAGGGATTATTTAGAGTCCTGCTTGGTAAAATAAATAAATACAGCACTAAGTGACCCACTCTTAAAGGTCTTGAAAGTGAGCCAAATTAAAATACTTTGATCAGGTCTTTGTCGACAGCTTTTTCAATGAGGATCATGATCGGCACATACAGTTTGGTGTGTGTAGCTGTTAAAGATCACTGTGGTGTGAGTGTTTGTACCTTTAATAGAATTTTAAAGTAAAATAGGTAAAAAAATGAATAAATATTTGCCTGTATCTAAAAAGTTATTTCATATAACTCTCAAATATGAATGAATGCTCTACGGCTTATCCAAGAGGTAACATGTAATCTTTGTTGATGACAACTGCTGACCCGCTGTCTTTTTTATTTGGTTCCAAGTAAAAGGCTCTGTCTTCTTCCATAACATGATGAGGTTCAAACCAAACATCCTGGGAACAAAAGCAGACTTTGATGTGGGCCGTGTGTGTGTGTGTGTGTGTGTGTGTGTGTGTGTGTGTGTGTGTGTGTGTGTGTGTGTGTGTGTGTGTGTGTGTGTGTGTGTGTGAGAGGAGTTAAGTTTAAAAAAAAGAAGGGCTAAAGAGAGAAAAGGGAGCTGTCATTTACGTCAGAGTCACGGAAAACAATGCTGGAAGCAGGAGAAGCACCAAGGTCAACTTGTTATGTGTACTGGGACAAGATGTGTGCTGGCATTTGTGTGGAGGGGAGGCCTGTCCTATCCAGCTGCAGCTAGAGCCTGTTGCAGAGACCGTACTAGTTTGTTGAAGAAGTGCTGGTGCATATAGATTTGATTTTAAAGTTGTAAATGTTTGGTGTCTTCACATTTACAGTGCCAAGTTGCTCTGAATGTCACAATTAGTTTTTGCTTCTTCTTGAAGAAATAATTGGCAAAAAAGCAGCATCGCTTCGACTCTGTTTACATCATAGTTCTTGTTTTCCTTTTCTAATAGCTCTTTGCTTTATTAATCACATCAGCCCGTACATAAAATCCTTTACAGTTTGCCCCAGAAACCTGAATGGACCAAAAATTGTCTAAAGTGACTCCATTTTACCTGTAATGGTAAAAATAATATAGAAGCCCATTCCTGTTACATACCAGAAACATGGTGGAATACTTATTTTTCACATTATTTTTAACATTTTTATAGAAGCAAATTTTCATGTACTCTGTAATAAATATTAGAATCAAAAAGGGAAACCTAAAGGTGAGACATTTACAGAAAAGACCTTTTACTGAGGATTTAATTTGTCTTTTAAGTATTTTGGGTTGAGATGCATTTTAGCATAATCTTTTGCTGTATATTTCACAGACAGGGCTTTTGTCTTGTGGCAGAGGTTGTAGTACCATTATTTCCTCAGTAGTGGGAGTTGTCTCCCTATCAGAGGTTTGTTTGCCTCTCTTACTTGTGAATGAAAGGACACATCATTGACCAGCTGAAAGCTCTGCTGATCTATAGCTGCTGAAAAGTATTTCATTGATATTCAAAAGCCTAATTTTGACATTGGCTGAATATTTTGTTGAGATTAGTTCAGATTCATTCAAAGATAATGACAAGAGCATGAAATGTTGCCTTAAAAAGATATTTAATTTCTTTATTTCATATTAGATGTGTCGTCTTCAGTGTGCAAAATTTGCTGCCACAGTTTGGTTAACAAAGTAATGTCTTGTCTGTGATGCAGTGATTTTCTTTGAGAGCATGATCAAAGACAGTCTGACCTTATCTGATCTTGGCAGCAGCAATGCATGCTGTTAAAGTCCTAAAGAGAACAGTTTCTGGAGTTTTCAAAGTGAAATGTTACCTGATACAGGTTTTCAGCCACCCAACAGTTCTGTGTCTCCTTCTTCATATTTTTTTTCTAAGTGGGAGCTAATTTTCGCTCCAAAACCTGTTCATGGGGCTCAGTATAAATGGTGCCTTCACAGATGTGCCAGAACGCAGGGTCCAGCAGCCATGATTTTCAAAAGAATATCAAATTTTGATTCATCAGACCACAGGACAATTTCCCTTTTCACCATAGTCTGTCTTAAAGGAGCTCAGGCCCAGAGGAGTAGCCACAGATTTTGAATTGAATATGGAGTCCTCTGTGTACGGTGCTATTTGAATCGACATTTGTGGATGCTATAGTGGGATTTTGAGCCCATGCAGGGGTTACTACTACAAGAGAGTAAATCATAATTCTGTATGTGTATGTGAAGGAAAGAAATTAACTGTCCTATTAACAGTGGGATGGGGGGGTATCTACGTAAGCCCCGTCACGAGTCTCCTAGTGCCCCGCTTTCCTGGCAGGCAGAACTATTTTTAGCTCCTGACGTCACTGGTCTCCTCTGATGGAGCTTCGTCATGGCCGAATACACCAAGCCAGGGGGGAGGGAGGGGGTAAAATAGGTTTTGGTATGTGTGTGTGTGTGTGTGTGTGTGTGTGTGGGGGGGGGGTTATCATTGAGGTAAGCCCTGCTACAGCTCCTCCCCCCTCTGCCATGTCACACCAATCAGGTGAGAGATGCTGAAACACATCACTGTGCTGGATACAGCGTTCCTCATAACCTCCACCTCTTCCTCCTCCCTCTCTCCTCTCTCCTCTCTATCTATCTCTCTCCCTCTCTCTCCCTCTCTCTCTCTCTCTCTCTCTCTCTCTCTCTGCTTCTGTGAATTAGGCCTTTCATTCAGCATCGATTGCATAATAGCCATCTTTCATTTATCAGCCATTGCTATTGCTGGAGCGCCCAAGGCACACTGAGCTAAAAATAGATACAGGGGCAGGTGTCTATTGCTCTGCTGCTGCTCTGTTAGCTATTGTTTTGAATCAGAGATCAAAGTGTTGTAAATTTAAAAACACCATACTAAACACTTCATACTAAAGAGTGAAACAAAATGCATTTACCATCATGTTTTTGTGACCTCCAAAATTTGTGAAAAGGTTAACAGTTCTGATGTTGGATGTCGGCAGTTTTATCCTTCGGTCTTGTCAGGGAAATAAACGTCTCTTTCTATTACACTGACCAGTCGAGTCAGCATGTGTGTAAATCACAGCCCTACTGAGGGAAAGATGAGTACGCTGAGGCTGAAGAACACATAAAAGATTAGCAAAGACGAATAATTATCATGTAAACGAGTTTAAGCCCTTTCCTACGATATCAACCCCCTCATTGCCCCCCAGAGAAAACTTGTCGTCATTTTTCTTCTCTCTTACTCAATTTTTCTTCTACATTTGGCCTCTCCTCCCTCCTTTGCATTTGAACATTCTGTACCTGTGCTGCAGGAGAGGTAAAGAGACATTATTTAAGGCTGATGTTTCCAAAACTGTACCAAGTCGAGAAATCATACTGTTTGGTCAAAGGGGGTAGACTTTGTTCAGGTAACAATATTTTGGAAACGTAAGAGCTATCCATCACAGCAGAAAAATGATCCCTTTCAGAATCAAAACTCATAGACATAATGCACTTTGTTCAGCTAAAGAGGTGAGATGTTAGTGAGAGTGTTGAGGAGGGGGCTGTATGGGTCGGTAGCTCTTCTGACGTACCTTGCATGAAGTCAGTTCTGACGTCACACGGACATAGCGCAGGGGAAGGATGTGTGTGTGTGTGTGTGTGTGTGTGTGTGTGTGTTTTATATATGAAAGTGAGAAATTGCAAGGTCGACTGTTTAATAAGATGCTGTGAAAGTAGAAAAACGAGCACATCAAGAAGACTTTGCCCTTGATGTTATTTTTCGATGGTTTAACATTACATCATATGAATATTCACACACAGTGTTTTGGGATGGTTTGAATGGTGTTGCATCTGTGGTCTCCTACAAGATCATGTGGGACACTTTGTTAAAACAAAATATTCTGTTTAACCTCAATAACATCTAATAATAACACATGCAGCCCTCCCCACAGTCGACATCCTGCTCAGCAAACACTGCGGGGTCTTTATCACCGCTTATCTCCACCTTGTCTTTTCCTTTTCCCAGCCCTCTCTTTTCTGTCTCCATCGATACATTTACACCTCTCAGTATTTTGGTGTCACAGAATTTGGACTTGCAGAAAAGCCTCAAAATCCCTGTTAACTTGTATCTAAAAGTACTATAAATGTCCTTAGTGTTAAGACTGCTGTGATTTTCCATCTTTATATTTGACCTCTGTCATGTTGTCAGGTGTCAAGGCTACTAAATACCTCATTCTCACATATTTCCAGACATCTTGTACATGGGAGACAAGGTCTAAAACGGAGGGAACACGCCATCTTAACCATAACTAATGGATAAAATGACAGTTTTCTACAAAGATTAAGAAATGTTCAGGGTAACCAAGGTATCAACTTTAAGATCACTTTGTAGCTTGCTGTCTGTGGTTGATGGAGAACCAAAGCTTCCTTTCCTAAAATTGAGATTGAACTTCACTAACAGCAACTAGCTCACTGGGTTAAGTTCATCATGTCGAACATTGTAACCCAGTTTAATTTTCTAAGTTTGCAAATTAAGTGGTAATTTTTATGTTTGTTTCACTCTCTCTCTCGCTCTTTTTCTGCAGTTTTGATGTGGAGAATGGCCTGTCAGTGGGTCGCAGTCCCCTGGACTCTCAGACTAGCCCCGGTTCTGGTCTGGTACTTCAAGCCAACTATCCCCACAGTCAGCGCCGTGAGTCCTTTCTTTACCGCAGCGACTCAGACTACGACCTTTCGCCCAAAACCATGTCCCGCAACTCGTCCACTGCCAGCGACCTGTGAGTATTTTAAGGATTACCCCATTCATCCCTTCACAGTTGCAAACACATCAACCCATAGGCTTATCTGTTATAGCGATTATTCTCATTTTCTGGAATCAAAGGAAAATCTGTTTATCCGCTATCAGAAAAAATGACACAAATGATTTTGTAACAATATACAAAGAAAGACTCAAACAAGCCAGGTGATCCCATAACTTGTTAAACTTCAAAAACAGGTACAGAAGGTAATATTATTTACTTTTCATCTGACTGCAGACAAGGTGAGGAATACCAACAACATACTTAATCTCTATATTTCCCCTTTAACTATGTACTGTGGTGAAACAGTAAAAAAATAATCAGTATGAATAATCTATGTCTTAAACTATCAAAGTGGAACTTCTTCAGAGCTTTAGTTCTTCTGTAAAACAGGAGAAAGCAAGTTCAGTTAAGACATACAAACTCAAGTCAGAGCTACAATCTCAGCCTGGAATTAGATTTCCATCCAGTTCCTGCCTGTTTGTGCAGCTAAAGGTTTCTTTGTGCAGCTAGCAGTCTCCACCACCAATAGCTGTCGCTCCTTTGTTTTGAAGGGAGGAAGGATTGAAGCATTGGGAAGTCAATTGGCAGCCTCGGTGAGACAAAGTGTGAAGACTGCTGTGGTTTCCTCTCTTTTTCTTTGACCTCTGCCATGTTGTTAAGTGTCAAGGCTACTAAATACCCCACCCTCACAAATTTCCAGACCTGCAAGTCACCTTTTCCTAAATGAAATGAAAAGGAAAGGATCACTGAATTAAAAAAAAAACTTTTAAGAGCTGGCACGAACTGTGTCATTTATGTATTCAACATCACATCTGCAGACATGTCTGATTCTGACTCAGTATTTTCAACCATAAGTGAAGTTTTAGGCTCAAGCTCCAGCAGCAAGGACATAATAATAATATTAATAATGCATCAGATTTCATATAGCGCTTTATCAGAGACCCTCAAAGCGCTTTACAATGCATGCATGTTGTGACCCCAAATCTCTGCCTTTACAAACACTGGCTTTTGAGCACCAAATGCATGAACACTACTGGTCACCTGCACATTATTCCCCTTATCCAAATATTTACCTTGGAGGCACACCTTCTGAATTTAATCTGCATTTACAGGTGAAACAATATCAACATAGCAATGGAGACAAGTTTTAAGGCACATCTTATACACAGTTTAAATATTCACTCGTTGTTTAGCTCAGTTAATTCTTTGGAAAGTTATCTGGATGTTAAGCTGCTAAATGCCACAGTACACTATGACTGTACTTACAGCATGTGATACTTCAGGTTGAACAGATATCACATACTCAGATAAAAACAAGTGAGTTTTAATTGTAATATGACAAATAATGTGTTCATTTCTTTAGTTTCAGCTTAATACTTTTAAACACATACATAGAACTGATTTAAAAACTTCACTCTGCATCTTTGCCTCCAAGGAATATTTGTCCAACCAAACCAACTTCCTCTTTTCTACAACCAGTTTGATATTTCAGACTAACTTCTTGTCGGCCAGCTGAAACACTCCTATCACCCACCCCTTGAAATGAAGACAACTAACTCTTTGTTGTCATCCTTATTCCTTATCTTTTTTATTTTTAAGTTTGGCATCAAGACTCATACTTGTCTTTTACTTGACGTCTCTTTGTGCATGTGTGCCGTTGCAGGCATGGAGAAGACATGATTGTGACTCCATTCGCACAGGTAAGTAGCATTTGTTATCTTGCCACTTTGATAGACCTTTAAAGTTATCTGGTCTGTAGCCTTGAAGTTTTGATTGAACCCATGTCTTCTCTGAGGGTAATATTTCACTCAGCCGTGTGCCCATTCAAACTAATATTGTCTAATTGCAAGTTTGGGTCTGTCTAGACTCTACACTTGGCTCCTCAATGGCCCTTACTCACCAGCCGGTGAAATAAGTGATAGTTCGTTTTCACAGAAAACACCCACACACATTCTCTTTGTACTGAACAGCTTGTTCTGAGTCCCTCTGTGCGTATCTGCCCGTCAGTGGTGTTGCATTAGTGTAATATGTGTACATGACTGTTAGTTACTTATGGTTGTTGGACTCTAAAGCTCTGTGAGGAGACTAACATCGATACAAACAGCTCTTTAATATTTAAAAGCAAACAACTGTAAGTGAATCTTTATGCCGCCAGTACAATTTCAGTGAGTTATATGCTTAATTATTAAACATGTGAACCTGACGAAGTTTAACACCTCATAGTGAAAATAGAGTGTGTTTTTATTATTATATTTAACCACAAAATACCATATTCTAATGCCAAAGACTTAGACCTGGCTTTATTTTAAATATGATACACCACCAATGCAACTTTTTTGAAACATGCATGAAGTTCAGAGGGAGCCTATTTATCCGGTAAAACCAAATTGTTGCGCTTTTTTTTCATTTAAAACATAATCTTTAAGCTGTTTTCAAGTAAAGATATGTTTGAAATGATGTTCAAATTGTCAACATTTAAACAATATCACACAACTCTTTTGGAGTTTAGGTTGTACCTCCCACATATCAACAGTTATCCTAAAGCTTAAGGTGTGCAGCCATCAGATACTTATTGATATTCACATATCACAACTTTTTAGAGTTCAAAAACTGGCAAGCTGTCCCTTCAGTTTTTTTTCAACCCTCTTCAGTGAGGACACTCAACTTTGCTATACGCTCACGTTTCTCTCATCTCTGTTAAGGTTCTTGCGAGTCTGCGAACAGTAAGAAGTAACTTTGCTGCTCTGACACATCTGCAAGACCGAGTGGGAAACAAGTAAGATGAATGAAACAGAGCAGATCTCTGCTTGCTCGCTTGTTGTTGTCTTCTTCTATTAATTCCTCATCTGCTCCGTATTTCAGGCGGCCAACGACCAGCAACCAGCCACCTGTATGTAAGCAATGTCTTACAGGTCAGTGTTGATCCATCTCTATCCTCTATTGCACCTTTGCTGCTTTTCATTTCAGATACTTTTGTAAAAATAAACGTAGTCTCCTATAAATAATTTTAGAGGAGTTGGATGACAGGCCCGTAACACTTGCTTGTGTTTGACCTCTTCAGAGGAGCCCTACCAGAAGTTGGCGATGGAGACTTTAGAGGAACTGGACTGGTGTCTGGACCAGCTGGAGACTCTGCAGACCAGAAACTCAGTCAGTGAAATGGCATCCAATAAGGTGAGAAGTCTGTTCTTCATACAGACTCTGTAGGAAACCTGTTTGGGTCAGTGGAGGTGACGTTAAAGATTTCTAGCAAAGTATTGCTGTTCCAGTTGGTTGAAGCTTATCATGAAAACAGTTACCATTGAGAACTGTGGGTGCTGAAGCAGACGGCCAATCACATATTTATTAAGGCTCTGAACCCCCAGGTTTATGAAGATGTTGAGTCCTCTTCAAGCCCTTATTAATGCATTTTTTCAAAATAATTCATTTTATATGCCTTTCAAACATTTTATTAGAATACAGCTGAAAAAAACAAGGTGAAGAAATACTAACCTAAACAGAAAATACCCTTTGACAGTGGCTGAAAATCATAAAGATATACCTAAGAGAAAAACATCCTATCCACGTTCCAGCATTTGTGTTCAGCATCACTTCTTTTTCATTGTTATATTTGGTTAAAACATGAAAAGTCATGAGTGTAAATCCAGTGTTACAACACATTCAGCTGTAGAGTAAGGCATGCCAGACTCGCTCAGATTCATGAATGGTATCTCCCTCCACTGAAAGAGTTAACCAACATCTCCACACTGCCATCCATTCTGCTCCTCTGCACCACCCTGTGGCTACACTTTCCCTGCCTTAATCTCTCAGTCAGCCAACCAGGTTTCTCCTCAACACCCAGCCCCTTAAGCGAGTCGATTCTTATTGGTCACTGAAGGGGGAACTGTGTGAGAGGCGGGGGAGGGGGAGTTCCTCACAACCTCCCGCTCTCCCTCTCGATGTTCCTCATTGACAGAGTGTGACAGTAGTTGAATGAGCAACTGCGGTCACACACCCTCTCCCTCCAATTGTAGACCACATCCTCTATTTTCCCCACCTCTCCCCACCTTGCCCTTCCCCTCCGACTCCCAGAACCCCTACCTCACCTTCAGGATGGGACATGGGACTGTGGGAACTTCAAAAAAGACTTCTGTCTCATGTTCAAACCGTCCCTGCCGAGTGCACAGCAGAAATGAATGTGAAGATTACAGCTTGTCACAAAGTAAACCAACTCTTCTGCGAGTGGTTTTGGATTTAAGGGACCTTAACATCAACATGCGTGGGCTGACATGCCTGCGTCAGCTCTCCGGGATAATGTTTGCTGGAGACTCACACAGGTGAGCGATGGAAACAGTTTCTTGCCTCGTTACTGGAGGAGCTGCTGGTCAGTGGTGCAGGGGGGTGAACAGCAAGTGAACCCAGGACTGGATCCACAAATAGGATGAATGCTGAGATTGTGTGTGTGTGTGTGTGAGTGTGTATATGCATGTATATATGTGTGCATGATAAACTGAGTAAGAGGAAAAAGAGTCTTGCATGTAACCAGTGTGAACTGTTATGATTTTTGTGATGATGAGCTTTAGAGCTGAGAGTTGATTTACTGCAGGAGAAATTAGACTGTTATTTACAAATGTTGGACGGCATGTTTGTCTGTGAGAAATTGTTTGAAAAAAATCTGCAGAAAAGTAAACTAACTGATGAACAGACACATTTTGTGTAAAGGATACTTCATATTAGTGTATATATTTTGTGTCACCCAACAGCAGTGTTACTACTGCAGCATCACTCTCAAACCCAGATCCCCTCCCTCCCCCCTCAGCCACCACATGCCAAAGCAGTTACATAATCAGTGTGGAAGCTACCGCTGCAACAAAACATCAGGGGGGTTACTATAGACTCCTGTTTTTAAAAACTTTTTGGAAAAACATATGAGTGGTGTTTGAAGCTACCAACAGTGCAGATTTGTCCCTGTGGTTTTTAAATAGACATCTTATTAGAAGTGTAACCATCATCTCCTATTTTAGAGGCATTACAACACAATTTGGATGTACAGTTATCGATACTTGATAGAATTTACACTTAGATTGGAGGCCAAAAAAAGTGGTGAATGAATGAGACTTGCTTTGTAATCATGATTTTACACCAGGACTGCATATCTCAGTGTTTTATTATCAATGTACCTGACCATTGTTTTCAGTTAAACGTCAAACATATAGTCCCAAAAAAAAAACAGGTTTAGCAAAGATGATGGGGCACCGTTTCTCATCACAAAATAACATTTTATTATCTACATTTTTGCTTCAAATGTTTTTTTTTATTTTTCAACATATTTCTGTGAAAACTTTACAAACCAAACACTAACATGAACACATTAACTATCTGTCCTGCATCTAATTCTTCACTTTCACCCTCCATAATCCCAGAAAGAAAAAATATGTACACATGAGAATTAGGACTTCCCACTTAAAGCATCATTTAAGTATTTTCTTCTTCTTCTCAAGGGAAAAAAATATACCTTGCTAAAAAAAAAAATAATAAAAATACCTTGCTTCATAATATCCTTACTGCTCTATTGCTGTTTATAAATGTTCAACATGTTTTAGCTTTCCATCCTGACTTAATGTGTTTTTCTCCATGGTTTTGTTGTGTCTTCACAGTTTAAGAGGATGCTAAACCGTGAGCTGACGCAGCTATCGGAAACAAGCCGCTCAGGAAATCAGGTGTCAGAGTTCATCGCAAACACTTTCCTCGGTGAGTTTCAACACAAAATGGGAATAGAATAAATGAAATAAATTTTAGAAAGAGTTGTTTGTCATTTAAAGCCCTCAATATTCATTCTTATTCTTGCTCAGTTAAAATGACTTTATCACAGTTTCAGATACTCCCATAACTTTTACGATGCAGGACTCTTTGCATCTTTTCAAATAAGAGGAACAATTGTAATCAAAACACAAATTAAAGAAATTAAACTTTTTCCTGTAAAAATAATGATAAAAGCATCATGAACAACATTTTTGGTGGCATTCCTTTCTCTAAAGCTATCATGTCGATTGGGTCACTTATACCCTCAGAACACATGAAAACTTTGAATTGTGAAAGCTGTGTGACTTGACTTGCATCAAACTGCTGCTTAAATGACAAGGAGTAGTAGATCTGTGATTTTTGGAGCACAGACAGGGACAGTTTTTTTTTTTTTTTTTTTTGCAGAGATCACATTTAAAAATACAAGGTGTAGTATTCCTTTATTATGGTGGTAAAGAAAGGAAGAAGGAAGCAGAAATCATTTAAGAAAAGAGGAATTTGAGGCAGAGTTTTTAATCTGAATATACAAAGACCACGTGTGTGTGTGTGTGTGTGTGTGTGTGTGTGTGTGTGTGTGTGTGTGTGTGTGTGTGTGTGTGTGTGTGTGTGTGTGTGTGTGTGTTAAACGGAGGGAGAGGAGGACTGTTTAAATGACTGTGAAGGTGAAGATTTTTCCTTCCTTAAGAGAGAAGGAGGCACGGCGACAGACAGCATTCCCGGACACATTGTGTGGCGTTGTCGTAGCAACAGGGTGCAGTATTATTAGACGGCGTGTTGCATCAATAGGGGGCTCAGTCTTCAAGAGCCCTGCTGGCAGGATGGAGGTCCAGCCGCACGAGGATGGAGCTGTCAATCGGATGTTGTTTTGCTATGAGTGCCTCGGCGTTTGGCCCGGCTGCATTTGGAAATGAACACAATGGTTTTGGGTGTGAGGAAGAGGAGACACTGTGAGAGAGGTGAGAGGGGCCAGACAACGCCTCGTGTGATGCTGTCACTCAGGTTGCTCTGTGTCTTGGTGCCGGCGTGTGCTCGTACCTTGGATCTGATCTGGATATTATTCTGAAAATCCTCCCTGGATGGACGATATTTGGAAACAGGCTGGCTTTGAGTCATAATGGGTTTATCATTCTCGTGGTTTGTACAAATGTGAATGAGTCATTTTCATCACTATCCTGTGTGAAGGAACAGCACCTTTGTGTCAACCCCTCATAAGGATAATACAGTGATTCTGATTTTGGGAACCTATTTTGGGGATTTCTGTATTTTTGCCTTAAACAGTAGGTAAAAAATAAAATCTCCAACCTGTAACTGTGATGAAGCTGTTACAGACACATTTAGACAAACACGAGAAGCGCTTCGTCATCAAGCTCAAGGTATTGCTGAGCTACTGAAAAGCTGATTTAGCTCAGCTTTCTACTACTGGTAATCTGAACCTGTAAGCTTATACATGCTCATACCTGTTTTTCTCTGATCTTATTGTTATGTACTCCGGATATACTGTGTTGATTCCCTGTCAGTGACCTGCTAACCTTGATCAACTTGCAGCACCACATAATGTTGTAATAGAATCAATCAACTCATTTTTTCATCTATTCATTATTCTATTTGTATAAGGAATGATAATCCACTCAAAAAGGAGACAGATGAAGTTAATCACAGATACCCCTCATTTTATATGACTTTTACGTGGAAAATACCAACCAAAAGTCATCTTTTGTGCGGACAATAAATACCCCGAAATATTGGTGTGCATGCAAAACATCTGTAGTCCCCACCATGCCTGAAAAATGTTCAGAAAGGTTTTTTTTTTTTACTTATTCTGGTTGTGAGAATGATCTTACTACTGAAGTAATGTCAGGTCTTGTCCTTCACAGGGAAACCAGCACAGTATCTTAGTGTGTAAAAAATGAGCACTTGTATTCATGCTGCCCACTTGGTTGTATTAGTGGTTTGGACTGGCTTTCTTCTATAACACTCTGTGATGTATTTAACAAGACAAATGTATTAACATGCTGTAGTATGTACATGTAGTTAGAGGGTCTTGGAGATAATAGTGATCATTAAGGTAGAGTTTGTGGTTCACACTGTTGTGATAAGAGTCTTAGTGAAGTTTAAGCTGTTGTAGATGGAATAGTTGAGTTGGTATCAGCTGCTGCAGCCAAAAGTTTTAGCATCGTCAATGTTAGCATAAGCGGTACGTGCTCCAGCTGTATTTTTTTGTGCTTGTTAAACGCTATGGTCACTAGAAATGATGAGGTCAGTTGTAACAGCAAAAGTTGAGATTTAACCTATGGTTGTTACCAGCCAGTAAAGGTGGTTTACCTGTCCATCGGAAAGGTTACAGAGTCTGTAAGATCCCAAAGCTTCCCCTATCATTGCTGACCCGGCTTTTTGTTAGCTCTTGTCCGAGTGGTCTACCTCCTTTTTAAGCGCCCGTTATTGCGCCAGAGTCTCTGGTATTTACTCAGTTTTCTTGCTTGTGTTGGCAGTCGTGGCCAAAGGAGGATTCAGACAGTTTTTCATTCTTTCTGGTTGGTTTCCACTGTCTGATATTTTAGCACGCTAACTTTGTTTGGGCTCCTGAACAACATGGGGAGCAGCATCTGCCTCACAACCAATCAGGTTGGGGGAGGCGGAGAACAGCTTTGTTTACAGTCAGAAAGAGCGGAGCGCTCTGAAATGTTAAAATGTTGACTACACAGGCGCAACAAAACACAGCGATATTGTTATATTACCAAATGTCATCAATGACCAATGGCTATTGACTGATATTAAAAGCTTTTTTGTATATACACCACAAAAAAGATGCTTCTTTAATGGAATCCTGCCTACCCCACCTTTAACTAGGGATGCACCGAGGCATCGGTTGAACATTAGTATCAGCAATGCCAGTAGCTGGTGTTTGTATCCTGTAGTATCCTGTCTTTGTCTTCACCACATCTTTGTAAATCTGGGAAACTATCAAACTTGACTGCTGATTCAGAGAGTTTGTATTGGGCAAACTCTTGTTTATTTAATTATCAAACATGAGAAAAGACAATGTGTGCAGTGTGGGAGTAATACAAGGTCTGTGAGAAGGATCAGCTACTCGTTCCAGAGACATTTTGAGCAGGACTTTAGATCAGGGACAAGCCAATATCAAAACACATCAAATCTCATAGCTCATTTGAAAAGCAGACACAAGTAATCACATAGAAGTGTGCAAAACACGTAGATTTTATCTGTATTAGTATCCTACCTGATTCTCTAAATTAAACACATCTTTATGAGAAAAGAGGAGTGAGAGCCTCAGGAATTTCTTCAGCTATTTCAGCAAACGTTGGTTATGTGTCGTACTGTCAGGAAAGACAAAGTAATGCTGAGTTTCTTGTGCACATAGAAGGATCAGTTAGTCCAGTCATGTAAAGGCACTATGAACTAAATCAGAATATACAGTACATTTGGCAAAGACATTTCCTTTCTTTAGTCTTTTTTTTTTCACAAAGAGAAGCTCAAATGAGTGTAAATGCTTCTGTGCAAACTAAACTTTTTCATTTCCTTAAATATTTACTGATGCTATACCCTAATTATGCATATAGTATATGGAAATATAACATTACTTCACCTACAGTAACACTTAAGTGAAGTATTAGAACTTAAGTAACTTCACATATCCCAGGGAGGGTTCCAGTTCAGGAAATACTTTCTGATAACCTTGACTTGGATTATGATCTGATCACATGTGTGTATGAAACAATCTGTTCTTCCAAAAACAAGATCACATTTTGTTTACTCGTGTTTTTTAAATTAACACCTTATCATTTTTTTGTGATAAAAATCAGGAGTAAGTGAGTAAATGAGTGAAACAGTCGGGGGGGAAACTGAATTGAGATTTCATGATGTTTCAATCTGTTTACACAGAGAAACAACATGATGTGGAGATCCTGTCTCCGCCTTCCAAGGAGGAGAAGAAGAAGAGGCCGATGTCACAGATCAGCGGTGTGAAAAAAGTCACACAAAGTCCTGGTCTAGCATCAGCCTGCATCCCTCGCTTTGGAGTCAACACATCACAGGAAACCATGCTGGCCAGGGTGGGTCCACATACACTTGAACACTCAGATACACACATAGACATTCGCACTGTGTCTCATAGATGCCCTGCTCTCTTCTTCAGGAGGTGGAGAACATTAATCGTTGGGGTCTGGATATATTCAAGATAGCTGAATTTTCTGGGAACCGCCCTCTGACGGTTGTCATGTACTCCATTTTTCAGGTAGGTCAACCCTTCAGCTTTGAGTCTGATCACCTCATGATATAAGAAAAATACACATTGATTTGTGCAGTGAAGAAATCACTGTTTTCTTCTGCAGTACATTTTTCACTTTGAGATCAGGACTTTCAGTTTGACTCTGACTCTTCTCTCACTCTGCCAGGAGCGAGATCTTCTGAAAACTTTCAAAATCCCAGCTGACACCTTCATCACATTCATGATGACTTTGGAGGACCACTACCATGCAGATGTAGCTTACCACAACAACATTCATGCAGCCGACGTGGTGCAGTCCACCCACGTCCTTCTGTCCACGCCTGCGTTAGAGGTCAGTTTTACAATCAGACAAAAAAATCTGTCCGTTGGCCTCGCACTTGAGTAACCTTTTTCAGGACAACTCATTGGAACAGTTTAATGTCAGTGTATTTCGTGAAATGAATATGTTTTTTGTTCTTTGCTGATCCAAGGCGGTGTTCACAGACCTGGAGATCGTGGCTGCTCTGTTTGCTAGTGCCATCCATGATGTCGACCACCCAGGGGTCACCAACCAGTTCCTGATCAACACCAGTAGGTTTTTGTCCATGACCTTTGAAAACCACCAATGATCCACGGACATGAGAAAATACTCAAAATAAGTCCAGTCATGCCCAAAAAATATCTATCTCTTTCTAATTTAGTTTGGTTCCACAGGGGTCACCTACACTTCATATCCACATGCTTTTGGTTGGGTATTGATTTTGAACCCTTGCAATGGCACAGGATCTCACAGTACTGATTCAAAACACAAAATTAAGCAGAATCATAATGGGTCTGTCCTGTTACACCTATGTGTGCAGGTTCAGAGCTAGCGCTGATGTACAATGATGCCTCGGTGCTGGAGAATCACCATCTCGCTGTGGGCTTCAAGCTGCTCCAAGAAGAAAACTGTGACATTTTTGAGAACCTCAGCAAGAAACAGAGAGACTCCCTCCGCAAAATGGTGATCGACATGGTGAGACTGCTGCACTTCTTACATCGAATATTGATATAACTTAAAACTTGAAAGTGTGCTCTTTATTTTGTGTTGCTCATGGTTCTGTTAAGTTTGTGCTTAGCTGATACAGAAACTTCACTTCACTTGTCTCACTCCATTTCAAAGACTTTGCAGGACATGCTGCTTATCAAAACATTCACACTCCTTTCCTACTGCAAGTGGTGATCTCGATTTGTGTTTGTTGTTTTCATAAGGTGCTTGCCACAGATATGTCCAAACACATGAACTTCTTAGCGGACATGAAAACAATGGTGGAGACCAAGAAGGTGACCAGTCTGGGAGTCCTGCTGCTGGACAACTACTCTGACCGTATCCAGGTGAGCGTGTCCCCAAATATCTGATATTATAAGATGCAAGTTCCCTCACGAATCAGACACTACTGCTGCCACCTGCTGGTCATTTCAGCTTTGTGTCACTAAACTATCTACTACTACTGTTGTGGTGTTAGCAGACAATTGTGACATAGAATAAAAACATCGCTGATTTTGTTTCTCTCATTTTTTCGGAGTTTTAATCATCAAGGTTATAAAAACTGAGACTAACTGAGTATTTCTCCTCCAGGTTCTGCAGAACATGGTCCACTGTGCCGACCTGAGCAACCCAACCAAACCTCTGGAGCTTTACAGGAAGTGGACGGACCGGATCATGGTGGAGTTCTTCACCCAGGGAGACCGAGAGCGGGACAAGGGCATGGAAATCAGCCCGATGTGTGACAAACACAATGCTTCCATAGAGAAGAACCAGGTGACTAGAGAAAATTTGATGTTTGGGTGATTGTGTTTTCCTCAACATTTATTTTACAGTAAAAAGAATGTGGTGATCGCTCAAATCACTGCTGTGCCACACTTGCTCCTTCTGCTGATATTGTTTGGTTGATGAAGTAGGAAAAGAAATTGGTTATAGTTGCTCTTTTTTATCGACCTTTCATTGTGGTCTGTATTAGTGGAAACATTCAGAACTATTTCATTAACCCTAGAACACTATCGCTAAAATTAATAACACCATTTATGTGATTTTTACCCGAAAATAATAAAAGTACTTGTCATTAAAATATATCAAAATAGGACAATACATGACAAATTTAAGTAGTTTTATTTTTAACTTTTGCAATGTCCAAAGGGAGGGAAAAAAAGTGCCATGAGGGGACCATATAACAATGCAAAGAAATAACTGGAATTAGGCATTCATGAACAAATATTTCCTAAAAAAATATTAAACCTGTAAACTTAGTTTCTTTTCCACCCATTCCTGGGGCATGTGAGTCTTCCCTGATGAAGACTCCGGGTCCTCGACGATAACAGCAGCAGGAGAGAGAACCAAAATATGGCAGATTTTGAGTGAGTAAAAATGACCAGCTGACTAGAATATTTCTTATCACCATATGAATTCCCTTGAAAATCCCCACTTTCACTACTATCACTACTAGCATGCAAATTCCAGGACCACTCTTACTGACCTTATTCGCCTATATGCAGCTATCAAATCCACCCAAACCTACTTTACCCTCTATCACTATTGCCGGGTGAAAATCACCCTGTGAACACATGCCTGTAGGAAAAAGCAGGTTTTGGATCAGGGAAACAAATGTTCCTTCAAAGATGTCAAAGACAATGCTGAAGCTACCCAGAGACCCATGATACTCAGACAAACGCAAAATGATGAAAATCACGTAAACATGTTTGGTCGGGTGAAAATCACCCGGCGATAGTGTTCTAAGGTTACAGTTAAAGTCATCGATTACTCTCTAATTGTTGATATATTTATGAATTTATCATTGTCATCATTTTGACCAGGTGGGCTTTATTGATTACATCGTCCACCCTCTGTGGGAAACATGGGCAGATTTGGTGCACCCTGACGCTCAGGACATCCTGGACACGCTGGAGGATAACAGGGAGTGGTACCAGAGTATGATTCCCCGCAGCCCCTCACCTTCAAGTCCAGAGGAGCACCACTCTGGGATGGGACCAGGAGGAGACAGCGCTTTGGGAGCAGGAGGGACGCTCTCTTCAGGAGGCGGAGTGGGGGACAAGTTCCAGTTCGAACTTACACTGGAGGAAGAGGAGGAGGATGAAGAGGAGGAGTTGGAGTCTGAACTGGAGAGTCCTCTTGAGGAGGAGTCCCAGTCGGGTGGGGAGCGGCACCAAGACTCTTCTTCCCCCTCTTTGTCTCCAGACCCCCGCAGCAGCAGCAGCAGGTACCGTCCCCCCTCGCCTCACCCGTCTCGGGCCTTGAGCCTAGCTGCCATGTCCGTGAGGAACCCGCAACCCCACAGGACGCTGGCCTCCCCGGGACACGGGGGCACTGACAGGGACAGAGACCTGAGCCAGGAGGGTGACGGGGTGGCCTGTCTACGCATGGGAACATAACAACCAGCACAACCTGCCCCGCCCAGAGACACGGTGCTGGATGTAGTGAAAGAAAGGCGGGGCAGGCCTTAAAGAACGAAGTCTGTAAAATCACTACAGTCCCTTTACACTGGAGACACCCTCTCTGATTTTATATTCTAATAAGACGGATCGTTTTAGTCTCCCGTTGGGTGCCTGATCGGCCTTTTTCATGTCCTGTCCTGCTTTGTTGTAGCTTCTTTTCGGAGCGTCCCAGACAAAGACTGCTGCATTCAAACTGGGAAGAACAAGAATGCGAGGTGAAGGAAATGTCTTCCTCCAAAATAACAGCTAGTGACATTCAGAGGTGTGCAGTGGACGAGGAGCACTGTGGTTGGACAGGGTCTTGGAAATGATTTTGCACCATAGTTTTAATTTAGGATATAAGATAACGAAGTTTGATTGGGAAGCAAGTATGTTTTTTTTTGTTGTTTTTTTTGTTAAAGAATGATGTGAGTGATGAATCTTTTTTGCCAAATACATAATGTGTATGAGCAGTGGAAAAATGGATGGACTTAAACCTCAGGGTATGAAGAGAAACATAACTCTAATGTAGCACGGATGTAGTGGGTACCCCTGACCTGACCCCTGACCCCAAACTGTCTTTCCTGTTTGATTTACCTCCAAACAAGAGACACCTGCGACTTTGTTTCACCTTTGTGTCTCCTCTTTTAATGAAAACCCTTTAAGTGAGAATTTGGCAAATGAAGCAATCAGATAATGTTTGTTTTAACCAGCTTGTAGCAGCGCAGAGATTAAACCACCCAGAAGACTGAACCTCAGTCTGACCTGTTAAAACCCAAAAGACACCACCTGTATGATTAGTTTATTTTTTTACCTGAGGTGATTTTAACGCCGTCATTATTTAAGTCTTGATTTGTCGTACATTTGCTGGTCTTGTTCGTGTTTATGTGCTTGAAAAGCATTTTTTTTTCTTTTGTTTATCAGGGTGCCTCCGGTCCACAGTAGCACTTTACCGTATCTGCCCTTCAGTTCTTCTGTTCAGTCACATAAAGGGCTTCACTCACTGTTGGCCTTCTGATCTCTCTCACACATGTGCGCACACACAACATACAATATTTGAACCAGAAGGCAGGACAGGGAACTAACAGGACAAATTTTGCCAACACCATTTATGTGACCGTATGTGATATGAAAACGTTTGAACTATAAAAGTCTTTACTTTACTTGTTTTCAGATCCAGGCTCACTCAGGTTTTAGGATTTTCACTCAAGTTCCTTTAAAGTTTGTTTTTATCCTAAAAATGAGTTTAAAGAGATGAAACACTGAAGCACTCTCCCACTGAGCATTTTTTGGTCTAATAGATGTCTAAATGCAGCCCAGACGACTGGTCTAAAATCAGACTACCACAGGTCTAAAAATGAACGTTTTTTAACGTCCAAATTTAGACCAAGTTTAGACTTAATCTAAATCTGGGTTATATCTATACTACACTGTATATTGCTAAACGGCTATCATAATTATTTTGGTTAAGTACTTGGAGATCAGTTATGCAACTCACAGTTGCTTTTTGAAATAAATAGCTATCGAATAATGGGTTAAAGTGCAACGTCTAAATTCTGTCTAAAAATATACAGAATCTAGACGGTTGAAATTAGGTCTAAAAAAAGCCTGGACGTCTAATAGCCGTCTATTGCTCAGTGGGTCTTTTATTTACATATGTTGCAAATTAATACTGATCCATAATTTGATCCTAGCCCGTATTCTTTTGGACCATCGTTGAACAATAGACTTGAAACCTTAAGGGTCAAGTTAAGTGATTTATATTCTTCGAGGAGATGCGCAGCAGAGAGCTTGCAGCATCCTTTACTCAAAGCAGCTGTGTCTTTGTAATGCAGCAGAACTAAAGCCTTAATCGTCAGAGTAAGTTATGACACTTCTGTTTTTGTTTTATGTTTCATCCCAGGGACAGTCTTGGTATTTCTTTACCTCACGGGCAAATGAATGTGATTTTGACTTCTCTCATCTTCTGCATCCTGGAGTCTTTAAAAGCTCTTGGGCAGATATGGATGCAGGAGTTTGTTGTGATAGGCTTGTCGGAAAATCTCTCCTTTTTCAAACCTGAGTGAATCTGAGCCTGGTTGTCCCCTTTCCACTCTACTAGAACTTTGAACATTTACAAGGTAAATCAGTTTTTCAGATTGAACAGTCAAGATCTTAAAAACCACAATGGTATTAGCTTCCTGTCCTGCCTACAGGTGGAGATCAGAAGGAGAGAAAATGCTATCTTTTCTGAAGCAAATCTGAGTTCGAGGCTAAAACGGTTGTTATCCACCAGGTTTCCGTCCTATTTCAGAAAGAAAGTGCTTGACTGGGACAACTGTGTGCCATAAGTGTTAAAAAAAACACACCAACACCTGCCAGCCTCCAATGCTGTACATTTTTACACTAGAGATTTTACCAGATGATTGTATTAAAGTCTCTGACTTAATAGTGTTAGTTTTTACCAATGATACATGTTAACAGTATATAAGAAGACAGTTTATTAGATTTTGTGCAACTTTTGACCATCTGTTCATCTTTTCATAAACAAATAGCTGAGACTTGAGAATGTGTGTAGTTTTCAGGAGTTAAGGACTCTTTCTGTACCAAGTACATGTTCAGTGTTCGTTGCCATCACTTAAAGTAGAGACCAGGAAGCAGAAACCACTACAGTAAGGGTTATGATGCACTTCCTGGTACGGCAGTCATAGAAAACACTAGCCTTTCAGTATTTTATTAAGACAGCTAGTAAGCTTTATTGAGCAGACTTACATGTGATAGGACTGATTGGAGAGTGTTGTTAAAGGACCATTGTGCTGTTTTTAACATGCCAAAAGTCATTCATCAATAGGGCAAGTTAAAATTAATAATCTGTTGGGTTATAAAAAGACACATTTAGTCTAAAGGGTTAGTCTAATAAAGAAAATGTTGCAATTCTAGTAAAAGCAGCACTATTCCTTTTCTTGCTGATATTTTAATTTAGTACATCTTGAAAATGTGAAAGCTAGAAATAAAGCTAATACATAGGACAATCTGTCATGTTGTGTCACTCCCAGTGTTGAAATCCCTCAAACCTCCATGATATAAATGCCACGTAAACCTCGGCAGCAGCAGATCACTTGGTTTTAACGCCTTCATCCCAAATGTTCATCTCTAGCACCATCTACAGGTGTAAGACCACACCTGCATACAAGCAGTGTTAGAACCTGATGTTGTGATGACAATTAAGGTTCATTATTTCTCCTCCTTTCATTCAAATTGACCAAAAATTAATAATTTTTTTATCTTTTTGACCAACTCATAAAATTTAAGTTTTGTTTTTTGTTGACTATTTTAGCAGAGCAGTTTAGCCACGTCCTTTAATGTGCTCCTTTCTTTGCTGCCTTAAGAGAGATATGTCCATCAATAATTCACATATAAAAGCACATGAATTTACTTAAAAAAAGCACATTACTTCAAGTTAAATAAGATAACTTTTGAGCTGCTGTCATTCAAAACCAATCTGAGTTTATATAAACTAAGTGGTTTGAGAAACTCGACCCCTGATCCTGAGGTGTGGCATTTTCATCATGTGGGACTAACATAAAGCACTTAAAAGTATATAAGCTTTTACTCCTCTACTTTCAGATACTAGTTCAGTATTTTTTCTATCGGCATGTGAAAGCAGCAAAGCGGCTCTTTAATTGCAACAGCGCCCAACAGTGTTCACGTGTGAACAAGCAGCGGTCTCTGCTCGCACTGCGTTTCTGTGTCGCTCTGATTCTGCCTCCATTAATGTTCACGCTGTCTCGTTTCCTCAGCTCTGTGTCGTGCAAAGTTCTATAAAAGATATTTATTCTTCAAAACATGTCTGTCGAGACAAAGTACTGTAACATAAGATGTCTGATTTTATGTTCTGGAGCCGAAAAATCAAGTATACTTTATAAGAAGAATGTATACATCTGTCACTCCAATGTTCTTGTCAGAGAAAATTATTTTTCTTTTCCTCACTTTAAGCCAAAAGAGTCTCGGGAGTTCAGGGTGTTTAAAGTGATAAATGCCAATAAATTATACTGAAAGTATTGATCTGAGTGTTTCAGTCATTTCACCGCTTTTATTACTTGAATGACTATAAAATACAAGTTTGACATATATGTAAGGTCTTTACGTTAGATCAGACATTTTTTACTTCAACAGTATGGATAAATCTAAACAGTAGTATTTAGCACACACTTTTTTTAATCAAGCTGGATGTTTGTTTTATTTGAAGGTGTTATTTGATATGTCGTAGTTCTTACAATCTCTCTCTGTTCAGCAGAAGCCTCTGTTCAGCCTGACTGTGGCTCCATTGCATGCTGGAGGCTTCACCCCCTGAAAACACAAACATACATACACACACACGTAAGTAACAGGACAAAAATGTCATATAAATATAATCCAGAATTATTAGAAACAGCGTTATTAGATTTATGAAATGTAAACTTGGCATTATGTTTGATTAAAATTAGATGCTTGTTGGGCTCCTTCACACTTAACTTTTAGAAATATTCTCTTCAGGTAATAGTTCAATTAGTTTATTTCTTCCAGTGTTGAAACCTTTAAAATACCAAAGTAATCTCATGAATAAGAAGATAAACAAACCTTGTAGAGCTGGCAAACCAAATGAAAAAGGGACGACATCGCCTTGTCCTCATTCTCTTCTGTGTATTCCTGAAACACAAGTTTATAACTTTAAAATTGCTCTCCCATCTTTCCATCCACTTCAGCTGACTCGAACACGGCTGTGTCTGGGTTTAGAGAAATGTGAACAATTAGAGCCTTCAAAGTGCAGTCTTGGAAAGTATTCCCGTTTTCTGAGGAAAAAAAAATATCCATGAGACTTTTAAAGAATAAACAAAATTTGAACATTTTTAAACCTTGTGTCAAAAGTTAAAATGTAGCAGACAAACTTATAGCTGCTGTGATGGGGGGGTCACAGCATTAAATTAAAAATGCATGTATTAGTTGGCAGCAATCAATTCCAAAAGCATTTTTTTCTATATTTAAAAAAGAAAAGAAACATTAAAAGCAGGTACCTCTGAAAAAGCAGGTGTTTAATACCACTTTAAATGTGATTATTTCTATAAAAACTTGTAAAAAATGGTTTAAATCCCCGCTACATAGCCCTATAGTCATGAGTGTGTTACCCCGTTAAAAGTGACCCAGGGGACGTGTGTGTGTGCAGGACTCAGAGCTCTGGTCATTGCAGCGTTGGCGTGCATCAGCTGGTTTCCTGAACCTCTCTTAACACATGAGTCCACACTGGACCAGGAGGTGGACGGAGAGTACAGCTGCAGACACTGAGACAGCAAACCGCAGCATTAGCAAATACAGACATCCAGAGAACAACAGCTTTGACGTCTGCAGAAAAACCCCTTTAATAAGAGGACGAAACAACTCTTATGACCCTGAACTTGACAATGGACAAAAAAATACATGACTATTAACAGAAATATCATGAAGTATTTAAAAAAATAATAATTCTGAGAAATATTTGTTCTTGAGGTTCTTTAGCTTGTTCATACTCACAGGCCGTGCAGCGCTGAGAACATCAGCAGATGACTCCATGCAGTAGATGATCTGAAACGCTGAGTGTCCGGTTAAATGGATGATACATGCCTAAGAAACAGATCGAATCAATCAGTCATGTTTTTATAATAGAGGTACAGTCCGGGTGCTAAAACTCACAAACCTCTATCATGTTTCCTCTGCACTCAGGCTCCCCGTGTTGACAGGTAAATGGAGAGTTTGCAGACGGGAGTTCCTTGAAGAGACAGATGGGTTTATTATCATTTTGACTCTGGTGTTTTACTGTGAATATCTGTCTTTGGAGATCAGGATGAGCGTACCTTTGCATTCCCGTACGGCACCAGGGTGACGGTCATGATGTCCTGTAGCATGGTCCATGTGGGGAAGAGCTGCTGTGAGATGAAGGCTCTACAGGCTGGACACAGACTCTCATAGTACAGGGTGACGGACACTGGGGGGACTGACTGGTTCGGTCTGGTGGCGTTTACTTCCATACACTGCTTCTGAACCTGAACCATGCACAGATTACATGTTGTCAACGTAAAAGACCATCTTAGTCAAAGCAAAAATAATCATCGTTATGATTTGTGAAATGGAAGCAATTTGACCAGATCTTATTTTGTTTAAGTCAATGCTGAATTCCAAACCTTGTTATAAAAGCTTGTCCAAGTTATACTTAGATGAATCTTTTACAGCTTATTTGTCTTTTATTTTATCCAAAACAGAAGATTTAGTTTAAAATGGGTGACAAGCAGCACTACAATCAAGTAAAAGCTGCAGGGGTAGTTTGACTTTTTCTCCAGATGTTTACAACAGAGCAGCATGCAAAATGTTTTATTTGCTCTTTTCATGAATTACATTACAATCATATCATCTTTTGAAACAGTCTCAGTATTATTTTACCCATGTTGCACAGCTCTATTGTATGGATAAAACAGAGGTAAAAGTCAAGTCTTGGGTTGCAGCATTCAAACAGCTAAAGCATGATAGAGTCTGTGGATCAAACTCATAGCAAAACAAGGAGAAGCGTTTGTTTTTCCGGCCATCACTCTAATTTTTAAGCAGATTAAGCATCACATGAAGAACCATTGGTACTCAATTTCTGCTGCATGACTCTAATTTCAACCTGGAAACCTTGAACTGCACTGACCTTAAAATGTCCCTGTGGCAACAAGAGTCGAAGAAAACATTCATATTATGGTCAAGTCAATGTTAATTTATAAAGCACCTTTAAAAGACAGCAGTCAAACAAAGTGCTGTACATGGGATAGATAAAAGAAGTAATTAAATAGATAGATAACAATAAAAAAATCAAATTAAAAACAGCAGAATAAAATACAGACGGCATACACTAGTATGGTGTTTAGTGTTTCTATTAAAACTGTGTTTTTAAGTGGCAGGCTCCTTCATAGAAAATGTTCATATATTTAAGCAGTACATAAGGTGACTGTTTATTCACAACAAAAAAATATAACAAAAGACAATAATCTGCCTCAGTAGAGCGACTAGGACTAAAATATGCCAGTGTTTGGCTCTTTATTTGTCCTCTTAATGGAGAATAAGCAATAAGCACCTCACATATAATAGATAAATCATCCATATTTTTTGCTTTGTGTCTATTAATAATATGAATATTTTGAGCTTTTTCTGCTACAACCAGTCATGCAAAAAAAAAGTCTTTGTAAGTCGTGAAAGTAAAGCCTTTACCTCTGCATCTTTACTCACCTTGCAGGCTATTGCTATCTCCAGGGACCGACACCACTGAGACGGAGGATACCGGCAGGACGGTTTGGGGTGAGATATCCCGGAGTTTCTCCGAGCAGCACAGAGAAGCAAAAGCACAGCAACAAGTCCTGAAAGTTTCATATTCACCGCTAAGTTCAACGAGTTACAAAGCAGAGTAGACCGAAGCTGCTTCTCCACAAAGTCGCCTAATAGGACCCATCACCAGCCTATTAATGCCAGGTGTGATTGACTGCTGATGCTGCGTTCAGGGACATTTGGACAATCGGAGAACAGGCTTATCAGAAGACACCAAGGAATATAACACTATATATATATATATATATATATATATATATATGCTGGAAGCATTCCTCAGAGAGCTTGGTCCATATTGACATGATGGCATCACACAGTTGCCGCAGATTTGTCGGCTGCACATTCATGATGCGAATCTCCCGTTCCACCACATCCCAAAGATGCTCTATTGGATTGAGATCTGGTGACTGTGGAGGCCATTTGAGTACAGTGAACTCATTGTCATGTTCAAGAAACCAGTCTGAGATGATTCCAGCTTTATGACATGGCGCATTATCCTGCTGAAAGTAGCCATCAGAAGTTGGGTACATTGTGGTCATAAAGGGATGGACATGGTCAGCAACAATACTCAGGTAGGCTGTGGCGTTGCAACGATGCTCAATTGGTACCAAGGGGCCCAAAGAGTGCCAAGAAAATATTCCCCACACCATGACACCACCATCACCAGCCTGAACCGTTGATACAAGGCAGGATGGATCCATGCTTTCATGTTGTTGACGCCAAATTCTGACCCTACCATCCGAATGTCGCAGCAGAAATCGAGACTCATCAGACCAGGCAACGTTTTTCCAATCTTCTATTGTCCAATTTCGATGAGCTTGTGCAAATTGTAGCCTCAGTTTCCTGTTCTTAGCTGAAAGGAGTGGCACCCGGTGTGGTCTTCTGCTGCTGTAGCCCATCTGCCTCAAAGTTCGACGTACTGTGCGTTCAGAGATGCTCTTCTGCCTACCTTGGTTGTAACGGGTGGTTATTTGAGTCACTGTTGCCTTTCCATCAGCTCGAACCAGTCTGGCCATTCTCCTCTGACCTCTGGCATCAACAAGGCATTTCCGCCCACAGAACTGCCGCTCACTGGATATTTTTTCTTTTTCGGACCATTCTCTGTAAACCCCAGAGATGGTTGTGCGTGAAAATCCCAGTAGATCAGCAGTTTCTGAAATACTCAGACCAGCCCTTCTGGCACCAACAACCATGCCACGTTCAAAGTCACTCAAATCACCTTTCTTCCCCATACTGATGCTCGGTTTGAACTGCAGGAGATTGTCTTGACCATGTCTACATGCCTAAATGCACTAAGTTGCCGCCATGTGATTGGCTGATTAGAAATTAAGTGTTAACAAGCAGTTGGACAGGTATACCTAATAAAGTGGCCGGTGAGTGTATATATATATATATATATATATATATATATATATATATATCTCAAGCGTGGCTTAGATAAATTTGCTTTGTTAAAATTTAATTGAAATAAATCTCGGATTCATGTGATAATACACGAGAAATAATAAGAAAAAATTACAGACATTGTTTTTGCTTGGTTACTCAGTGTTTGTTTGGAAATATGCAGTGGTCCCGTAAAAGAACATTTTTTTTCCGCAAGATTCACATAACATTACATATATAAAAGTTTTAAAAGTCATTAAAGCAATGTGGTTGTGTGATGTGTCCATCCAAAGTGCCACTTTTCCAACCCCTAAACTGTACTTTAAACTGAACAGCAAAGCTTTATGGGTATTGTAGTTATTGACAGTGTCAGTTAGCCAACTTGTTAAAAAAGGAAGCGAAAACTCGACTTCATTTCGTTAAAATTGAAGTAGTGCTGAAATGGGAGAAACTAACAGAATAGTAGCATCTCCTTCTATACACAGAGTGAATAAACTTTGAGAAAAAGGTGTTATTAGGTTAAGAAAATTATCTGGAAATCCGTCTGGAAGTTATCTGGAAGTTCGCCAGTGTTACTTACAGGGCTCAGGGTTCATGACACTGGTTAGAGCGAAATTGTGAAGATATGGACCACAAGTTATAAACACAAGGAGGAGCTCTTTATGAATAAAAATGACGGAGGGAAGTTGGCAACCAGCTAAACTTTAGATGGCTTGTCTCTTGTCCAAATATTAATGTATTATATATTATTTGCTAACCATTTTAACTATTATGTTTCACTTTAAAGGCGATGGTTGATAACCAAGGAACTCCATTGTGTACTATCACCAGGACATGGATAGGACCTTCAGCTTTAGCTTGAAGGCCTAAACCAAAGATCATCCTCTGAAGGTAGGAGTATTTCTTTCAAGGCTAAGCTGTTTGGGCTATTAATGTATGTTCATGAGTGAAACTAACTGGATTTAAGTACATCCTCAAAATTCTCCTCAAATAAAGGCCGTACTGATTTATCAGCGAGCCGATTAAATCAGCCAATTTTAGCCCGTTCGAGGCTGATAGGTAATCGGCCAGAGCTAGCCGATTTTCGCCGATATTTTCAGAAATAAAACGCGGCGAACAAGATTCGGTTTCACTTTGAAAATGCTCCGCCATTTTTAAAGTTCATCCTGTAGATGGCGCAGCGACCTCATGACAATCTTCATCCACTAACTACCTCACAGCACAGCAGAGTGACGGCTCTGAAGCAGGCAGCTTACGGAGGAGAGTGGTCCGCCTCAACGGTAAATAAACCAATTTGTGAAATACACAATAAGGCAACAAGTTTTTTGTTTAACCCACTTCACGATGTCCCCCGCTGTGCTGGTCTCGGTCACGCCGAGTTAACGGTGAAACACTATGGAATATGCAAGCTAACGTTAGAGTTAGCCACCTGCTATTAGCCTCGCTACACACGCTACATATGACGCAGTAGCATGTGTAGCTTTTATGATCCAAGTTTCGGTCTTCCCGTTGGCATGAAAAGCAGTAGCCTACAGTATGTAGTATACTGTAAATCGGCCGATTGATCGGTAATCGCCCCAAATCTACAAATCTTTTATTTTCATAATTAATATAACAACCAGTTTTGTTCTTCGCAGGAAAAAGATCAATAAAATTAGGATTTGAAATTTGTACTTCCCTTTTTTTAGCCCTTTATTGCCTTTAGTACCATATTTGATGCATACTTTTATGATACTTCTATCAAATCAATATGATCAACAAATTACTTAAAAAACACCTTAGTACAGTCTGATAAATGATCAAATATGTCCTCTTGTGGTTAATTAGTTTCCAAGAACATATAATGCATCAAACAAGATAAATTAATAAATTTGTTAAATTTAAGGACATTTTGATTTCTTTTTGGTTTTCAGTATTAAGTGAAATAAACATTTCAGGGACCCTGAAAGAACATGCAACCACTCTTGTATGATCATCCAAATTTATTTGAGGATTTCAGAGTGCAAACATTAATGGTGATGTAGTGAAGTGGGTGAAACCAGGTTTTACAACAACAACAAAAAAATTGAAACCACCAAATTTTCCAAAAAGTTGCACCTAAAAGAAACACAAACTATTTTAAAAACAGCCAAATGTCATTACATAATCCATACAGTAAACAAACATTCACAATAACAGTATTTTCTCACAGCATTAGGCTATAAACAAAGGGCAGCTAAGCAGAATGAGAGGTTCGTACAGCCACGGTGGCAAAAGTAGAATCCAGAGTTACAGAAACATCATTTTAATAAGTACTATATGAATGCAATGGAGGGGATGTGTTGAGGTAATTTATCAATTGCACAGCTCATTGTGAAACATAACCTATCTATATAAATGAGGTAAGTGGATTTAAATACTGACAGAGTTGTTTATAATCTTCTTAGTTGAGAAAACAGACCTCTTTGACAAATGATTCCACTAGATGACACCATGTTATGGCATGGAAGAAAACCAGTAAAGATAGACAAGTCATCCAGTATCAGTTTAGGGCTGAGTAAATACTTTTACATGTTCATAACTAATCCCTCTCTTCTAATCTCATGCATAAACTTGCAGCATAACCATTTCTGCACTTAACCTATCTTCAACTTGCTAACAAACTTACCTTTACCTTCACTCCATACCTGCTTGTAAGACTAGTTCAATCACTAAGCTATTTCTAATGTTGAATTCAAACATCACTGTGTTTGTAATACAACCTTCAACCTGTTAACTCTCAGAACATTGCTCCTAACTTAAGTTAGAAGTTGTACATAGTTGTACATTTGTGGCAAAAAGGTCACATACTACTCAATTACTGTCGCCAGATAAATTTTAATCTACAACCCCAGTATCCCCAAAAAGTTGTGGTAATGTTCATAAAGGTAGAATTTGATGGTTTGCAAATCTTTAAAGCTCTATGTGTAGGCTGTTTCTTTTAAGAGACTCACCACTGCAAGAGACAGTGTGACCAGCACAATGGTCAACAGCAGACCCCTGTCCCATTCATTTTGGATTGTGTTGATCAAATTAAAAATAAAAAAATTGCTTTACCTTTTACTTTGAACAATATAAATGTTCAGTTTCATTATTTGGTATGTCATTTTTGCACATTTTTAACTAAATATGAACCTAAAATGATTTACAGACCATCAAATTCTGCTTAAATGGACATTTTAAGTAGTATCCTGACCTTTTGGGAGCTTTAAATCCACAGAAACATATTACTAGCTGCAAATCCTTACCCCCAGCAACAGTATTTCAACAAACTACCCGTTCCCGTTCACAACGTAACCTGACTTTAATGCGTTACCTGACCTTACTTTAACCAATATTACCATCTCTGTATCATTACATTCCAACACTTAACCAGGTGATCCTCTCATTTCAAACTTATACCATTGTTGTCAATCTTCTCAGCATTTTACAATATCCATTCTAGACCTTAAATCAGAATTATCAATTCGAATAACTTGACGGCATTAACAAGAGGACCAGTAACACAGTCTCACCTGAAAGCACCTGTCTTATTTCTTTGCAGCAAACTGAAAGTTTAATGTTTCTATCACTACAGTAAGCTCTCTTCCATGTCATAAAGCTTTTGTATCTAGTGGAAAAATGATCAAACTTAGGAGTTGTTCAGAGATAGACGAAACCCTTAGATTGTTTTAGGTCGTCTTGATAGGAAGTTTTATGGAGCACAAGTGTTATATTTAGAACAGAGGACACAATTTCAGAATATCTGAATCAAAAAGGCATTCCCTTATTTTTCCTCTCTGTCTGATAAGGACATTAAAATGGTGAAAGGTCAGTAAAGCAGCTCGTGTCTGGGCTGCTTTTAAGAAAAAGTTGTAGATAATGAAACTTTACTCTGCTTTTACATTATTTTTGAAACAACACTTTTCTACATTTGTGTAAATTCTGTTAATACCCAACATCAAATGTGTTCTGTAATGGCTGACTATTAGGTAGAGGGTTATGAAGAATTAGTTGCACTAAGAACTATTTTGACATGATTATGACACACATTTGATATGAGACACCAGTAACTCTCTTACAGAACAGTAACAGTTGTAAATGTGGTTGCCATATCTCTCCATTTCCTTTTTGTTTGCGCAAAGAAAATAAACGTTCGAGAAAGAGGATGCAATAAATGTGCACATAAATACATGTACCATTTCAGAAATGTTTGACTTCAACAGAATTCATGCTACTTAGTGGTTGGCTAAAGAGACTGATGGATTACTTTTTAAAAGCAAATTTCAGTGTTTTGTCAGTGCAAGTACCAAGTAACAATCTTATCTGTAAGTTCTCCATAGTTAGCACCACCACGTGTCCACCTGCAGTAGCAGGTTGGATGTTCATGGAGACAGTATCTCCGCCTCACTTGAGATACTCATGTGCAAATGCTATGCTTTAAATCTTAACTCCACCAAGAAGTAGTTTAGTCTGTTTATGCACAAGCAGTACACCTTGTCTATTCTCTTCTATAAAATTAACTGGGATATAAGTATATAAATATATTTTCTACACTTCACAATATTAGATATAATTTATTTCAGTTAAAGTAACTCTCTTAATAATGCACTCAGTCTTTTCAGTGCACAAAGTTTTCATTTAAAATAAGAAACAAAGGAAGAAGAAGCAGCCACAGCCAGGCCTTCATGCCTTTCATAGCTACAGTAAGAAGGGACACATCTATCCACACTTGCTAAATGGCAAGTGACTGTCAGATACCAGAATTAGTGCATCAGTAGATATCTTGTAAGATTTAAATTCAGCAATATAGTCACCATAGCTTTCAGTTGTCAGTTCTCAAGCTTTACTGTATTCTATAAACCACTAACCAACATGTGGGGCCGTCTGCCAGCAACCTGTCCAGTACAGCCATTTACCCTTCACTACTGTGCAACACTTTTACACCGAGAAGACCACACTTTGTCTTTTCTCTATGGGATACTGTCTCTTGTTTTGTATAACTGACAGTTCACTGAGAGTAGGTGCATTTGAACAAAACCACAGCAATGATTACTTAGCACCAATGACAGAGTGGAAGCATGAAAAAGATTTTTAAAAAAGAAAAATCTACTGAATACGGCCAACTTATCAAATAACCATAAAAATATCAAACTCTTTATAGCTGGTGTTGAACTTATCCAGGTGTGAAAACAGTACTCAGCCACAATAACCAAATGGTAATGGGTACTACATTTAATACCTATGTTATCTGTTTCACAGTGATAGCATGCAAAACAAACTATCTCACTGCCACAAAGTTAAAGTGAACGCAATGGTCCCAACTCCTGTCATGGCAAGAAATAGTTTGGCAAAACTAATGTCTCTGTGCAGTAAGTGTGTGCAACAATCAAAAAGCACATGCTTGACTAATATCTGCCAAGACAGAAGTAAATTTAAAGTGACTCATTCAACAGGAAGAATACAGAATAAAACTAACATCTTCTAACCCCAACAAAATAAGAAATCAAAATTCCTGTGTGCACCTGACATCAACGGGCAGCTTAAAGACTGAATTCTACATTAAATTTTAATTGGATACAACTTTACAAAAATAGTTTGGATATATTCAGATTTTATCTTCAAGCATCCCTTCAAATCTATTCACAAAGTGCATTAGCCGACATTTAACAATACATAAATTTCAGTCTTAATTTCACTACATTACATAAAATCTATTTCGTCCAGCTTTTTGGGCAGCTGGCTTACATGCTTGTACATTTCAAGCAGTCATAGTAATTTTTATGTGTGGCCAATTATAAAACTTAATACACTGTAAAAACAGGAGAAGCTTCCCGTGAATTTTTAGCGCCAAGTATAAATCATGTGTACAGCTTTTCATGACGATTGAGCCTCATTTCAAATGCTAAGGTGCCATGTACATCCATTTTATCAGTAAACTGATTACTCTATTTTATGATGCTTTAAAAGCTGTAAGATACACGGATTGAGTGTGGTTAGCTTTGATACTAGCCCAGGGTAATTTAGTGATATGCCTTGTCTATAGCTAGACATAGCCATCCTGTTTAACAGCATTGTTGCATACGCCTGACATCATAGTGTGAACTGCTGTCCTGAGAATGGCACGAAGGAAGTTTTTAGTTATTGTCCGATTCTGATGGGCTTGTGTATTATCCTACCCATTACCCTCATTGTATGTGATCCGTTTGAGAGACTGTATTTAGTTATCTGACTCATCTTCGGTTGATCTGAGCCAGTCTTTAGTAACTGAGCCTTTGAGGGTTTGGTATTCCTAAAGGTAAAGGTGCATGTAGTCAACACTCAGGAGGACTTTGCAGGCCTGTGCTTCATATGCATTACTTCACAGTTAATTTCTAGTCACATTACATAACTAACACTCAAATTTGTTCATTTGAAATTAAAGTAATACATATATTACACAAACAATTTCATGATTGTCTCTTTTAACAAACGAAAATCATCAGCAAAAAAAAAAAATACAAAAAGGAAAGCTGGTTTATTGAACAAACAAATTTAGAGGTAGAATCCAATAATTCCTATCTATTCTTATCTGTACTGTCTTAAAGATGTTTTGAAAATGTGCAGAAAAAGGCATCATTGCTTTAGCTGCTGAAAACTAACCATGAAAACAGTAGACATTGCACATGTCAATAACTTTTTTTTCTTATTGAATTTCTGTTTTAATATTAACACCAATATGTGAAATTAGTGTAACAATGCATTTTCACTCTCCTCTGTCTGTGTGTCTGTGTGTATTCTGGTTGTCTATTTTAGATAAAGTGCATATGTGACTCTGTTACTTCTACATTAGCCATAATCACGTGTCTTGGAAAAAGCAGAGTCCCATCCAGAGCTCAGTTTCCTGAAAGCACCATTATAACCACAACTGCACCACATAAATGGATTATGTTGATTAAAAAATGAAGACTCGTCATTTTTTAATCTTAAGAGTAAAAATTTGTTTCAGCACTAGGTACTAGTTGATACACAGCATGATGCAGAGCAATAATTTGAGGCAAAAGTGCCTAAACATAGAGAACCATGAATTTGATACTGTGCAAAATCAGCATATTAAGTATTTCTGAGTTCTTGTGCTTGTTTTTAAAAGAAGAACTGTGATTATCCATCACTGTTTGTTCCAACAACAGCCACAGTACAATTCTCCAATTTAACTGTTGACCTGAGGTTTTCTAATATGTTATTTTTGACATCTAAATAGCAGGGATAGACTGATATCAGTTTTTCAGGTCTGATACCAACACCAATTATTAGTAGTTAACGGTGTTTAAAACAGATATCATTGAAAGAAAATTTAGAATTTGGAATATTATGAACTCCAAGACAAAATTTTGCTTAAATGCCTCCAGGAGAAGTTGAATATAAAAATGACACACTTAATGATATATCCATATACAGGAGTAAACGGTTAGTAAAACTTACACTACAGTTCCCTGACTTCATCATTTAACATTTAGCCATCAGATAGTGATGCAGGCAGGACATCATCGAGTCAAAGTGGCACAAGAAAACAGACCCAAAATAAAAGGTTGATAATTGAGATAATCAGTAAAATGTCTATCAGCCAAAGCCAATGATCGGTCCATCCCCACTTAATACTTGATACTGATATAAAAAAATAATTATTGGAATAGATTTTATCATTATTTTGAATTATTGTATTGTTATTTTGTTAACTTAATGTTAAGTTTTAGGTGTTGCAATCTTACTGAATGTTTACACTATGAGGCATTTTTGTTACATCTGTTTCTGACCAGCTTTAAACGTTAATTCATGATGACTTCTAGGAGTGCAAAGGTACATGTATTCGTACTGAACTGAATCAGTACTGCACTCGAAGTTTAGTGCAGAAGCATACAGAAACAGTGTGGCAAACAACTAAAAGTAACTTAAATCCAAGACCCCCACACAGACTGGGAAAGGGGAGCCCACCACACACGGAGCACGTAGGCTCCTGAAACTCTAGTTTTAGAACAGTGACTTCCTCGACACTCAAAACATACAACTCAATATTTTCTTAAAACTTTGATCAGCATCGTGCTGTGAAATCAAACAATGGTTACTTTTGGCCATGTGGAATGCATCGATCATCAGGAGCGAGAGAGACTCCCTCAGATCTGAGTAGACCTCCAAGCCTGAAGTGTAAAAGTTCTTTAGTTACGTAATAAAGGAGAAATAAACTGTGTTGAATTTGGTTATTTTTCTGTACTGAAAACAACCAAACTGAGGCTTCATGACAATGAACCAAATCAGATTTTTTTCTGTACCGTTACACTCACTGAGAACCATCTACCATTAGGATTTTACACACTGCTGTAATGTATTTCAATAATCAGATTATTGTTTCAAAAGAGGACAGCATTAGAACAGCGATGCAGATGGACAGCAGACTGTTTGACTTGGTTGTCAAAGCTTTTCTAGGAATTTTAGGAAACTTTCCAGGCATTTGTATTAAACTACCGAACGATAGATGAAACTAAACTAAAACTGTTTTGGAAATGCTACTGAAATTTTTCCCAAGTGCTTTAAAAAGCATTTCATTGATTCTTATTTTGTTATGTTATGTTTGGGTGCTCCGACATCGTGTCAGTTTAGGGTTGGATATCGAAGTCTGATGGCTGCAACTGTTACTGAAAGGTCTTTTTAAGGTGCAGTACTAACCGGTGCTCAGTTAGAGCCTGGTAACAGTGTCCATAACGGTGCATCCTTAGTGCTGATACAGTGAAGCTTTGGGAAGGGCCCGTAAGGGTGGCATGCTGGTGTGCCTCAGCTGGGTTGCTGGCTGAGAGCGGGCCAGGCCAGGGTTACATTCAGCTGCTGGTTGTGTTGGATCAGGGATGTGTGACGGTAGTGGAGGACCAGCTCTCTCAGCGAAGAGTAGAGGTTGTAGGGCTCAGCAAAGCCGTACCCAGTTGATGTCCGGTTAATCACACAGTGCTTCACCTCCCCGTCCGCTCTGCATGAGAGGAAGTCTTGTCACATTTCCGTATTTTTATCATTTTCAACAAAACATATGTGAATACTCGTAAGGATATTGTCAGCACACTTTCGACTCTGAAGTCCAACAAAGACATTTTCACTTTCACTGCTTGGGAGGTTGGTAAGTAAGAATCAGAGGGGGGCAGATAATGTGAATTTGGAGCATCTCAACTATCAGGTGATACTCACACAACAGAGCAGGCAAAGGATCCTTTCTGAGTCTGGCTGTCCCTGATAAGAAACGTCCCGTCTCTCCTCCCTCTGAGCAGTTCCTCTGCCTCCTTCCGCCTCATACCACCTACATACCAGCTCTGCTCCTCTTGGTGGCTGTCATCAGCAAGGGTATACGGGCTAAGAGATATTTTTGAAGTGAAGGTTCAGATTAGTATTAGCTTGGTTCCTTAAGTACTATCAAAATTACAAATAGAAAAAGTTATGGAGCTTTTTTTCAGTGCCTTTATTCCATTAAAAGTTATGACTCTTTGGATATTTTAACATCCTTTGTTGTCATACTTTATCTGTACATGGCACACATTTTTCAACATGTTTCAAGTTCTAGGTAGAGACAGATTATGTACAGTAATGAAAAAAATGGTAATATATTTTCTTGTACTCAGTTGAATTACATAAGGATACTCACTCCTCTTCTTCATTCCTGAGACCAAGCCAGTCATTGATCTGGTTCTGTCTAGTGCCTTGCTGAGTGAGCCATCTGAAACATGGATAAGACACTGTATAAGAAAAAAAAACTTTAAAACATCAAGTGTGTTTGATTAAAAAAAAAATCAGAAGACAGTACTGAAGGAACTTATGAGATAGCAGCGATTCCCACAAAAGGTGACAGTTCTATCTTGGATTCAAATATTAAGATTCAGGGCTTTTTTTAGTTGCACACTAATTTATTTCGTCTCATTTAGGGGTGTCCCGATATGATACTGATATCCAATATTAGTCCAATATCAGCAAAAAAATTTATATTGGATTATATCGACCTGCGTCTAAAATCTCCAAGATCAGCACTCCGATACAAGCAGTCCATTCCAGACTCCGCTCGTAGCTTAAGTAAAAAAGTTGTATTGGAACACCCCTAGTTTCATTGTTTTTATAGCACCTGTGAGAGAAAAAAAGTTGCTATTATCAGTTAAACTAGCCTCTCTTTATTCTACTTTTGTACATTGGCCAGTTGAGATAGGGTGTAATAATGTGCAGAAATGTGGGGAGGTTCTTGCATTTCCTTTCCCAGTTTAAAATAAATCATGATCAAATATACAAAATAAATTCATTCCTAAAATTATCAGAAAGTTTCTCTTTAAGTTTAAATTGTTGGTTGAAGAAGATACTGAGAGGTTGAACTTACAACAGGTACTGATCTCTGATCTTCCTGAGCTGGACAAGGTCTGGCTTCAGGCTGTTCATCTTCCTGTCAACCTCCATGTGAGCCAACGCCTTCATCCTAAGTTCCTCCTCCAACTTTTTTTTGCTGCTGTGGATCTCCTCCACTCTTGACTGCAGCTCATCTGAGTTGTTTTGAATCCTTGACATAGAAAAAAGTATGTAACCTAGTAACTTGAAGTTTGTCAGTATATTTTGAGCAACTTTAATGGCAAATAGAAAGGGTTGGTATTCTTACTTATTAGTTTCTGTACTGCTGTCTAACGTGAGGAACATGTCGATGTATTCTTTGCTGTAACGTTCTTGTGTTTCACACTCCTCCTCAAAGATCCGTATGATTTCACTGAAAGCTTCTATGGCTGTCCGCTTGCTCTGTAGTTCCTGGGAAAGGGTAAAAGTAACATCTTTATCTTTTCAGTTAAGACCTTACAGTCAAGGCTTTGTAATAACAAAATTGGCAGTAAAACATGCAAAGAATAATGCTCTTAATCAATAAAACTAGGGACTAACATGGCAAAAGCAAAGTCTCTTTGTCTCTCATTAGATCAAAAGAAATTCAGGTGAAGTCACCATCACTAAAAAAAGCGACTGCTGTCAGTAGGCCAAAAAATGCTGCTTCAGGTACCAAGGGGTACATTACGTCCATGTTCAAGACCATGTTCTAGTCTAAAATGTTAGCGGTAGCTGAAATAGGGCTTTTCATGATCAGGATGCTGCTGTACCTGGGATGTTTGGTTAAACTTTTCATACAGATGGTCATACTCTTTGCTCTTCTCTTTGTATTGTTCCTGGAGTCTCCTCAGCTGTTCTCCAACTGCATCAATGTCAACTTCCATTGTAACCTGCTGTTTCACAGACAAGAGTGTAATGGGTATTTAGGAGCATTGTCAGACTTTCAAGATACATCGAGATGTGTATCATCTCGATCTCGATTTGCACACAAACTATGAGGAAAAATGTGCATCATAAAAACTTTTAGTACAATAAGTTGGCGGCCTTGTTTACCTACCTGTTGGTATCTGGATAAAGGGTAGAGTAGCGTTGTGTCCAGTTTCGAGTTGTACAGGGCCAGAGACTTCTTCTGGTAGTACTGAATCAGATCCACCACAGAGGAAAAGGCCAGTGGCTCAGAAAAGCCGTACTTTCCCCCATTATGGAAGATCTTAATCAGTCTGTTTGTGCCATCTTTTCTGCAAAAGTCAACGCACAATTGTCATCCAAAGCTACTGAGTCTTAAGAGGATACAAAATAAGTCTCCATCCAAAGATCTTATGGTATGTTACTTCGTCTTCCTTGTCAAAGGAGAGTCCTCCTGAGATGCACATTTAATTTGCTACTGATATAAAATCTCAGTCCAATACAAACTGAAATAGCAGGATCAGATATCAGGAATTTGGCAGACGCAGGACTGATCTATTAATCTTAAGTCTATATTTGCATTTACCTGCTATGGCATGCATTGGCAAGCATGTGAGGGTCTATCGTTGCTGCGGGGGGGGGGCGCCTAGTGTCATCTGTTAGGAGGAATTTCACACTTTCTATGCCAACAAGTTCTTTAGCTACTTGTAGTTTCTGCAAACTAATGTTTGTATGGCAGCAACAGTTACAGTAGAAATGAATCAAAGCTTCTTTTGCTGCCTCCGCACTGGTCAAAAGATATCTGTACTTTTCATTACAACTTAGGTTGACAGGTAAGGCCTAACAAACGTCTTCTTCGAAATTAAGGAGTCAAGGTAGCCATTTTGAGTAGGTGTGTGTGTTTGTACTACAGGACAATAGACAGTATTTCTGTAAAGATGTCTCCTGACCAGACATTTGTTGAGTTTGCTAATGAGAAGAGGAAAGTCTTTGACAGAGCAAGCAAAGCTACTGACTGTAGCTCTTTACATGATCATTGCATACTGTCAGAGGAATTTAAAACTCTCCTCTTATTACCTTACTGTCTTCAAGGAACATATTAAGACTGGAAACTGTTTACAGTTTCATATTAAGATCTGGTTTAATGGCAGAAAACCACACTCTTTCTGACTTCTGTGTTTTCCTGTGCATCTCTTACTGGTTTTAAATTGGTCCTACTTTAAAAGAAATGCCCAAATCCACTAACCAGTGAGTCTAACATGTTAGAGGGGAGCTTGAAAAATATCCTTTTTTCTTTTAAATTCAAAATTCTGCCCATACTTGGAACTAAATATTCTTGAAATTTCACGTACTAGTGTGCTTCGGTAATGTAATGGACCCTGCAGAATTTTTGCATGAGTTGCCTGTGCAAGATATTTTTACACTAGATTTGGACAGGAGCAGCCGGTCAGCACCATGTGTGTGGAGTCAGTGCTGAATTTAAGAGATATGAGAGGCATTTTTAGAGGTATTTATCACAGATGTTATCGAAATGTCTTCCACACCCAGCTACAATCCTACACACAACCTCTACCTGGATGCCAACATCCAGCCAAGACCCTGTTCCCTCTTACTCTAAATTTATCTCAGTCAGCTGTTGGAGGGAAACAGCAGTTTTCTTAGTGGCTCTGAAACACATTAGCTTTAGCTTGAAGGAATTTTCCCCTGAACACATATGCATCTCATTATCTCAACAAATAAAAGACTCAAACACTTCATCACTGTACCTTAGTGTTAGAGTGTATTCCCCTTTAACCTTGCTTGAAGCATCTCGAACCAGGAATGTCCCATCAGGAGTGTTTCTCATCTTCTCATTAACTTCCTCTCTAGACAACCACAGAGAACAAAGGCCTCAGATAATCATGTCAGAGTTTTGTGTAAACAACTACTTTAAATCATCTGCCATAAAACAAATAATCCACAAAACAAAAATAGTCAATACCTTGAGATGTTTCCCCAGTACCACTCTGCCTCAGACAGATGGTTATCATCAGGACAGGACCCGCATGCTGCCACGGCTTTGGTTATTTTGTTCTTGGATTGAATTTCTGACCAAAGAGGCAATTAAACTTATGGTTACAAACACATGATAATAAAAATTAGGGGTTGTCAAAATAAAAAAAAAGAACTTATTGTCTCTGGAAGTATCAAGGCTTTGTTTCAAACAGCTGTTTGATGGCTCACCTTGTATCAAGATATGTAAACTATTTTTTTCTGTGAGATGAGCCACAATCCTTTTTCCACTCATTGCGAAAGCATTGTATTAACAAATACACAGCGAGTAAAGCTCAGAGTTAAAGCGTGATTTTTTTAAAGGCAACAGAACTGAAAGCTGATGACATATACAGGACACCTATGAAGAGTAGAACAGAGAGATCCTGCCGTGTACCTCCTTCCTTTGTGATGTTCGATGTTGAGGTGGGAAGTACATCATCATGACCAAGAGAGGAGGAAAGGTCCTTCAGGAATGCTGTCAAGGAGGAAGACTGTGCCCCGCTGTCATTTTGACCCATCTTCTGCTCCAACAACTCTGCAACATCAACCATAAAGGGACCAAGTGTTATTCCCGATGTCGGTCAAGGCCAGCCTGTGTGGCTAACTGCACCTTGTGGCTTCTCAGCAAACACTGCTGGCCAAATAACAAGGACTCCAGAAAGTGATGTAGTTGTGTTGCTTGGTCTTGCACCATGTGGGAGACTCTGTCCAGACTAGTCTGCTGACAGGTGACACTGTCTGACTGCCTTGAATACCAGAATGGGCACTCCTCAACAATCAGGCACACTCACCCAGATCCTGTGCTGCTCAGTGCTTGACCTCGCCTTGCCTTGCCCCTTCTCACCATGCCTCATCTTGCCTAACAAACAACAGCTGTCTGCTGTGAGATGCCATGTTGGCCCAAAGACCTGGTTCTGGTATGCCTCTGTCTTTTTGTCTGTGTTTATTGGCCCTGTGTGCTAGTTTGCCATCAGGGAATCAGAGAAGGGTGATGACCTGTTCATCAGACATGTCCTGAAAGCATTACATCTATGTTATTGTTTGTGTTTACCAGTCTGTGGCTATGCACACATGCACCATGAAACAGTGAGCGTTTGGTGAGAGGCGTACAGTTAGCAGTTGATGTAAATCATCCCTTCAGCACTTGTAATGGCATGCCTCGAGGTGCATTAAATCACGGCCACAGAAGGATCTGTATCTTGAAGGAATCGTATGTATGCTGTTGTAAAATGAGAGAGGGAGTAAACCCATTAACCCAGGTCCCACAAAGACAGTGACACACCTTCGAAACTCGCCTCCCAAAAAAAAAAAAAAAACTAAACTAGATCAGGTCAGATTCCTTTGGGGTCTGTGAAATTGTTTTATTCTCTACAGCAACAACAAAGTCTTCAGCAATCAGTTGAAAACTATTTCAAGCAAAAGTTCTACACATTCTTAACTTACAGTATTTAAGTAATGAAGCAGCAAGTCTCAACAACTGTCATGGCAATGTTAAGGTCTTCGCTCAGAGTCCATGTTTTTTTGGATCCGCGGTTCTAAGCCATATTCCGATAAAAATCGTCACAAGCAGAAACCTTGCACATTGAGTCTGATGTATTTGTTTTTCTGTTTGTTGCAAAAATATGCAGTGTGATGCAAAATGGAGTCATTAAGCAGCAACTGGGATTTTGTAGTTCTTCTACTCTGAAAAAAAATAAGTAAACACTGGGCCCAGAGAAAGTAAAGCGTCACCTACTGATCAAGGAGCGGTGTACATAAGGTCCATTTATGCTCCACTTTACTGTCTGTAGACTGAGTTTATTTCCTTTGTATTTCTGCTCGTCCTTTGCAAGCATACTGATATGGTATGGCAGCACCATCAAAAAATTATGTAGGTTAAGCCAGTCGTGCAAAGACCACAGCTGTCTGCAACCCTGCCTCCGATTATGCCTCTTCCTTAACAGATACACTAGTACCATCTTCTCTGACATGACCATTTTTGTTATCCAACATTGGACTCCTTTTTCTCCTATCTATGGGTAACCTATGAGGCTGAGCGGTGCCATTGAACAAATGTAATGCTTTATTGTCCATTCCAGTACAATAGTCTCATGGAAGTATGAGGGTTGTGATGATTTCACTGTCGAAATGTACAGAGGTATTTTTATATTTTGGGAGAGCATGAATAAGCAAATTTCAGGATGCCAGTTGTATGTGCTTTTAGCAATACTAAAACAACAATTAAGCCAATCACAGATTTCAATCGATACTGAATAGCCGCTAGCAGTATGTTTGAGGTAGGGAACTACACACAGAGGCACAATTAATCCAGAATTTGTTATGGAAAAGTCTGCATAGACACCAGAATCTGCAGATATTTGGAAAGGTCACGGTTGTCCATATTTCCATTTTTATTTTCATTTTCAAAAACATTATAGCAGTACTGATATCCAAGAGAACCTCAAATCTTACCTTGAACTGCTGGTAAAGATTCAGGCCTGGTATCCTCTGATATGTCCTTCTGCTGTTGTGATTGGTTAAGCAATGATGATGCCGCGACAGGAACGACAGAGTGGGGCTCAGGATTATCCAACATATGGTTGGTGCCCTCGTTGATGACCACATCATCATCCCTGAGATGAAGGGATGCTAGTGTTGATGCTGGAAAATCAGCTGGCTGAAGCTTGCTGCCCTCAGCACAGTCTTTGCTGTCGTGAGCTCTAAGCTGGAAACCCTCCTCTGCCATTTTCACGACACACTGAATAGTCCCACTAGGTTTTATTGAGGTGATGAAGCAGCAGAATGGAAGGTGCCAGGGTGCAGTTGATCACATACTATCAGCTTACAGTTCCACTCATGGCTGAGGACAGAAAGGGTGGTTGTGCAGAGTTCACGGCTGCCCTGTATTATGGGAGTGAAGTGCATTCCTTAACCTGCACTGCTGGGTCACCCTCATCACAGAGCAGAGTGATGACATTGCTGGAAGATCCTGTGGTTTCACTCCAATACACAAATTGATAATTTTCTATGCTCGATCTCTGTTCTTCTTCACAGTAGTTTGGTGATACCCAGAAAATACACAGGTAGCATGTTGGTCTGATTTCTTCACAATGGACTCGCTCGTCATCTTATGTTGAAAAACCTAAAAAGCAGAGAGTTCATGAATTTGTGTAAGGTTGTTCTTCACATTTGGTATGTCCTCTAATAATTTGTTGATAACCTTCACTCTTTCACAGCTCTACCTTTTACCTCTAAATATATAAGATATTCTCATCGTTTTAAAGCTCAAACCTTGATAAATTGTCCTTTAGTATTCAGTTTAGCAAGCCTGAAACTGCCAGTCCAGCAGTTGTGGGCATATTTTGCAGATCATTGTTCGGCATTTATTAAACAAAGGAGAAAGGACCATCACTGAAATGGTCTGACGTCTCTGTAACATTTATAGGATGTTCAAAACCTTTTTATGATTCTGGTTAAACATGTTTTTTTAAGGCAGTGCTCCCTGTTCTACCCAGTCATGCAACAAAAATTGACAGTTATATTGACAGTTATAAATGTGCAGAAAAAATGACTTTCAAAATGTGTTCATTTTTACAGTTTGCATGAAAAATTGCCTTCTTCCAGTTCAACTTTTTCCCTGATAACCAAGGGACCTTTTTGTTTTTGCATTTTTAAGGGAAATGCATTATGATAAAATGAATCCAAACCAAAAACTACAATCTATATTCTCTTCTCATCATGGCCACAGCAATTCAGAGGAGCAGAGTACTTGAACCACATATTGTGCAAAGCTTGTGCGATCATGCAAAATGCAGAGTTGAATTAAAAAGGATCTTTCCAACGTTGATTTTAGTACAACGTGTGAGGATTCCTAAATGCCAAATAGTCATTGTAAGAACGGCAATGTTAAAAAAATAGAGTATTTTGAGATAATCAGTATGTTTAGGTGGTAAAGAAAATATTCCATCTGCAAAATAGATCAAATCAATTGTAACAAAAAAACACTGTTAAGCAAATAATCAGGTATAGAAGATAAACTTTGTCCATGCCAAAAATTGTTGCATTAATAGAATGTGATTATATTCTCGCAGGAATAAAGAATTAAATAATTAAGTCTAGTACATTTATGAATATGATTTTCTGTATTTCATGGGGTTTTGTTTTTCACAAAGTCATTTATTTTCTTAAAACAACTGCAAATTGTTTTATCGTCACGCACATTAAACGGTAAAGATTGTGTGGAGACCAGGACTATGAGATTAGTCAGCCTTTTATAACAGTCCTGAAGCCTGTGTCTTTGAAATGCTAATGAATGGATTTAACATTTGGATATAAGGTCTATAAGATAAAAAAAAATAGTAATAATCACAATTTAATTTAAAATCTAAATGCCTTTGAAAGAATTAAAAGTTTTTTATTGCAAAAATTTTTAAGCTGAAAATTTGCAGACAAAATAACATTACATCGTTTACTTTTTACGATGTTGACGACTAACGCTTTTCGGCATCTTTTTTTTCTGGATTATCGCATTGAAGGTATTGGTAAGTACAAAACATATTTTTAAACAACTCATACTTTCCCGTTGGTGTCGGCAGATAACTTAGAATATGGTGTACGGCCAAAAAACATTGGCCGTGCATAAACTTTGTGAATTTGCAAAGAAATTAAACATGGCGGACAGCCATTGGAGGCATTGAAAATGGCGTCATCATATAATCCGAAATGGTGCGCAGCCATAAAGTCTTTATAGCTCTAGGTTCACTGTACATTGTTTCTAGTTCTCGCAGAGGCAATGCACGATCTCGAATAAGTCCAGCAGTGTTTTGATTGAAAGACGGTTTTTCATGTGCTCTAAAAATCTTCTAGAAGACGTTCATCATGGAAAACATACAGTTTAGTTATTTTTTGAAAAAAGTCATTAATGCCTTTTTGTTATCAAATAAGTTCTTTTTTATGTTTTCATGTAAAAAAATTTTTAGTGGATTTAAAGAAACACCTAAATCAAAACAAAGCAGTTTGGTTCGTTGTCGCAGTATCACTGAATTGGTTGACCCATGAGGAACAGCACTGGTAAGAAGCAATTTCGACTCTCCAAAATCCCATTGCGTACGTTGCAAACATCTCTATAACAGAATGCCAGATAATGCAAACTAATAGTTAATAGGTTTGTCAATCTATCAACCATTTTGATGATATTTATGTTGCTGACAGTGCTCTATTTCTTTTTATCGTGTTAAAATTTTGTCGTAGACCAGTATCCAACGGGACGGCTGATGTACGCCATATTTCCCCAACGCCTTTAAGCTTGCCATCGTCCCGTTCCTTGGCTTGGAACGACGAAGAGGTTTGAAGAGTAAACATACATGGAACTTTCCCAATAGCAACTTCTGGCGTGGATAACAGCCTGCGACAAAGACACATCATCAGCAAACTCAGAATGACAGGACAGTATGCACCTACCTGGGCCAAGATAGAAGAGACCGGGCAGCAAGGGAAACCAACGTTTCACCGACATCCATGAAGCGGCAAAGAGACGTGGCCGGACGCACACGTGGCTCAGATCAAACCAACCACAGGCCTCGGTCCTCACGCCATCCTATGTCCCTCCACCCCCCACTCGTCCTATCCCGTACCATCTCTCTTCTTGTGTCCTCCATCTTTTAAAGATCCACTCCATTTGGTTCCTGTAGGTCCCCTCAGAGTGCCCTATTTTCCCACGATGCCATTTCTTTGGGTATTTCCCCTCATCTTCACCGATACATCTCATGTCCTCATAAAAACAAATCCTGTCACAGAACATTTTCCACTTTGTTTTTACTCTGACGTGCAAAGCAATTCGATGCAAAAAAAAAATTATAATAAAAAAAATCTTACCTAAGTGGTCCATGCAAAATTTAAAGTATAAAAAATGTACACATAAACAGAAATGGAAAAATATACTTATATAATGAGCAGATTTTAGAGCTTATGCATGCAAAAGAAATGCATAAGTAGAAGCGCAGGAGCACTCTCTGCACTGTAACTCTTTTTCACAGTTTGAGAGCACAGTGTGGCTGCACAGTGGGGGGACAGAGGCATGAGAATGAGTCGGTGGGAAAAAAAATCCCTCCTATATAAATAAATAAGGGAAGGATGCCACTGTTGCTATACAGAGCGAGGGGCTTAGCAGTCTCCTGAAATCCTATTGGCCGGCCTGTTGCCATGTGCTCTGGAGTCAGCAGAGATGCTGCTAACAAATCAAGGAAATGTTCTAATATTAGACTGTATGTATCTAGGCAGCGGGAGCCCCTGACCTCTCAACTCCGTCAGTGTTACGTTCCACTTCACAGATCAACATAATGAAAGAAGTGGTGTGGAAGTAACTGGTTAAAAAAAAAAATGTTACAGTCGTGTAGACAAAACAGCACACGCAGCCCCCCACCACCCTATTTCCCTCCATAGTATCGCTGCCAGCAAGACCGATACGTCTCCTTTTTAGACTTCTGGTATCTGTAGTATATAAATTCTTGTGTTGACTTTGCTGGGGCTTCCTGTTGTAGCTTTTTTCAGAGCACCGTTTGTAACCCAATTTTTCAGTTATTCATGTAAAAAAAATTCAAATCTTATGGTTGCAGATTCTGCTAGAAAAAACTAGGTCCCTGCATTAAATTTTAAACAAAATGTGACTGGTGAGCAAAGAAAAATATCAATGCTGGTTATTCCTTTTCTGTTCCTTTTCAGACATGTTATCTGTGTGATTATTGAGCTATCTTTTACCATCTGTATTAAACAGATCCTGCGTGTATTACAGATTAGTCTCTGTATATTGAGGCCATGGCTCCTAGTTATGAATTCCCTACAGACATTGCATTTATTTTTTAATTTTCAGTTAATCTTTTTTTACATTTCACAAAAGTTTGCAAAGTTAAATTTCTCATGCAAGTGGCCTGTACAGGATTTTTATCAGATTGTTCCGGGAAAATCCAACACCTTCCGATAATTTGCTTGTATCACCTGCAGTGGTCATACAGACAGGTTTTTGTTCCTTTACAGTGATGACTTTGGTATAAAAAATTATTGCATCATAATGACAAATAAGGAGGTCAGAAATAGTGTTTTTTTTTTTTTCAAACAAGCTGTTTGAGTGTAGCTGCATGAGAAACAATAAATATTTAAAAATAATACATATGTGTAAGTGATACTCATGATACCTTTTTATATGTCACATTATAACAGCACAAGTTTTCTTGCCGGGCAGAATGAGGAACTGTATGTATTGTGAATGAAAAAACAAATGGCTGTGTGTTTTTTAGTTGTCTGTTTTTTATGTGTTTTGAATTGTTTGTAAAATTTGATTCTTGAGATGACAAAGGGAATCAATGGATTTAATGATGGTATTTTTGTAAAGTTATTCAAAGTATGAGCCTAAACAAATACCATGTGCTCACTCAGGACAAAAGTAACTTTTCTTTTACCACTACTATATTATATCATGTTGTTCAGAAACATATAGCATTTAGGTATTACAAGCAGATATTAAAGACCTACACCATGGAAATCATGTTTTTCTTGTCCATGTGTTCACGTGGCATTTTTTTTAAGGTAGAAAACACATAAGAACAAAATAATAGTGTAGTATGATAAACATGTCATAATATAGTATGATAAAAAATTTAAATTTAAGGATGAGAAAAATGACAGTATAGTATGTTAACAATGTCATAGTATAATATGATAAAAATGTCAGTATAGTATGATAAAAAGTTAAAATTTTAGTGTGAATAAAAAATTTCATATTTTAGTTTAAAAAATCTCATGGTATAGAATGATAAAAATGTCAGTATAGTATGAGAACATTTTTCCAATTTTATTGTGAAAATTTTTTTTATGTTTTAGTATGAAAAAATAGTCAAAGTATAGTATGATAAAATGTCTAGTACAGTGTATTAAAAATGTTATATTTTGGCGTGAAAATTTATTTAAATAGTGTACTGAGGTACAATGTCGCAGTATAGTATGATAAAAATTTACAATTTAAGTGTGAATAAAAGATTTCATACTTTAGTTCGAAAAAAAATCTCAGTATGGTATGATAAAAATGTCAGTTTAGTTTATTAAAAATTTCATATCTTAGCATAAAAAACTTAATTGTGTAGTATTATAACAATGTTGTAGTATAGTATGATAGCATTTTCATATTTAAGTGTGAATAAAAATTTCATATTTAAGAATGAAAAAAATTCATATTTTAGTATGAAAAAACTGTCATAGTATAGTATGCAAAAAAATCATATTTTAGTTTGAAAAGAAATTAAAAAGTATAGTATAATAAAAAATGTCAGTATAGTATGATAAAAAGTTCAAATTTTTGTGTAAATGAAAAATTTCATATTTTAGTTTACAAGAAATCTCATTATATTAAATGAGCTAAATGTCATAATATAGTATGAGAAAAATTTTCCAATTTTAATGTGAAAAAAATATATATTTCAGTATGAAAAAATAGTCATAGTATAGTATGATAAAATGTCATAGTATATAATATTAAATATTTCATATTTTAGAAAGGAAAAAAATTTAATAGTATACTGAGGTAAACTGTCATAGTATAGTATGATAAAAATGTCATAGTATGGTTTATTACAATTTTCAAATTTTAATGTGAATAAAAAATGTCATATTTTAGAATGAAAAATAATTCACATTTTAGCATGAAAAAAATGTCAGTATAGTATGCTAAAAATGTCATATTTTAGTGTAAAAGGAATTAAATAGTTTAGTATAATAAGAATGTCATAGTATAGTACGATAAAAATTTCAAATTTTAGTATAAATAAAAAAATGTCATATTTTAGTTTAAAAGAAATGTCATTGTATAGAATAATAACAATGTCATAGTATAGTATGATAAAAATTTCATATTTTAGTGTGAATAAAAAATTTCATATTTAAGACTGAAAAAAAATTATATCTTAGCGTAAGAAATTTGTCATAGTATAGTATGCTAAAACGTTAATATCTTAGTGTGAAAAGAAATTAGTTTAGAATAATAAAAATGTCATAGTATAGTATGATAAAATGTCATTGTATATTAAAAATTTCATATTTTAGCTGGAAAAAAATTTAAAAGTATACTGATGTAAAATGTCATAGAATAGTATGATAAAAATCATAGTATACCACGTGAACATTTTCATATTTCAGGTAAAAAAAATAGCTTTTATGAAAAAAAAATTCATAGTGTAGTATGATAAATATGACATATTTTAAGTGTTAAAATATTTAGTATTTAAGTATGAAAGAATTTTTAAAGTAAAGTGCAATAAAAAATGTCATTTTGGTATGATAAAATTTATCCAGTTTTATTGTGTTTAAAATTCATATCTTAGTATGAAAAAAATCATAGTATAGTATGATAAATATCATAGAATAGTATGATTAATGATAATATGATAAAAATTTCAAATCTCAGTGTGAAAAAAAAATTGTTTGAAAAAAAATCTCATAGTATAGTATGAATGTAAATACTTAAATGTCAGGGTATAGTATGATAAAAAAATTCAAATTTAATGTGGAAAAAATTTCGTATTTTGGTATGAAAAAATATTTCATAGTATAGTATGATAAAAATATATTCTAGTATGAAAAAAAATACAGATAGATATTTTAGTATAGAACAAAAAAATGTCATAGTGTTGTATGTTAATAATTGTCATAGAATAGTATGATCAAAATTTCAAATTTTAGTATTAAAAAATATTATAGTATGTTAAAAATGTCATATTGTAGTATGATAAAAATCATGGTCAAGTATGATAAAAATATCATTGTATAATATGAAAAAATGTCATAGTATAGTATGTCCAAGAAAATACCATGAAATTGTTTGATAAAAGAATCTGCTGTGAATTGGGTGGCACAGTGGTGTAATGGTTAGCACTGTCGCCTCACAGCAAGACGGTCCTAGGTTTGAATCCTGGTCAGGTATAGCATGAAAAAAAATAAAGAATGAATAAAAATATAGTATTGTGACTTAATAATCTCGTTGTATACTATGATTAAAAAAATAACTTAGTGTAGAATGATACAAATGTCAGAATGTACTATGAAAAAAAATTATAATTTTAATATGAAAAAAACATCATAGTATAGTATGTTAAAAATGTCAGCATAGTATGATAAAAATGTCATAGGATAGTACAAAAAATGTCATAGTATAGTATGATAAAAATGTCAATTTTTGGTATGAAAAAAATGTCATAGTATAATGTGTCAAAAATGTCATACTGTAGTATGATAAAAATCTACCATGTGAAGTTTGCCAAAGTGGAGAGAACTTTTGGTTCCTTATGGTGTTGTTTTCTACAGCTCTATACCATCTGATCAATTCTCATTTTATTCTTTGAACACTTCAGCAAAGTTATTTTGTAGTATTTGTTTTATTAATGGCAAACATGATAGAGTTGGTCAGTGTTCCTCAAGTTAAAACAAACACTCCTTTCCATCAACTTTTCTGGAAATATGTTTATTTCAGACATGAATATATATTTATATGTAAATATTTATATGAACATAAAATACATGGACAGTTAGTGCAGTATATGACAGTGAAGAGATTCACAGATCAGCTGACCAAGGCACTACAGAAAGAGACTGCAGGGCAACACACAGGAGAGTCATGTCATTTGATTTCCCTCTGGATGTAGATTTTTATGTTTGCGTGGAGCCATCTGGCAAATATTTTTCATCACATGCCCACAAAACCCCTACGGTAACATTTGATTAAAAATAAAATTGCGTGGCAGAAAGATAATGTGTGACAATATAATAATTATCTTGTCATTTCAAGATATCCATTGTTGCATATCTCCCTACAGAGACTTTTAATTGTTGCTTTAGTTGCCTTCAAAATATGTCAGCTTGGATGTAGACTACCCATTTTGTGGTCTATATAGACGTACAACACAAATACATGGTAGTTCATTGTTTCTGTTTTCTAGAGTAGTCTGTAATTTGTTCACAGTGTATCCTGCAGAGACATAACCTGTGATTAACTCCAATCTGCGGCAAGTGCAGATCAATGTCCGCTTTTTCCCAAGTAACTGGTGTAAAATGAGAGCGTCCTCACTGATCATCAAATAGTAAAATTTGGCCATAATCCTTACTCAACTTTAACTGGATAGTTGTCTAGTACTAAACTAGCTGGATACCCAAAATCACTCATAGTTGGGATGCTAGTGATAGTCTATGTGAAGTGGTGCTATCTTCTGCTGCACATATTCTAATTTCACTGATCATTTGCATGTAAAGGATTAGTCATACTTTGGCACTTCTTTACTTTCTTGCATTCATTTTTTACAAATTGGGAACAGATGGGCAAACAATAATGCAGCTCCAGCATGCTCCAAGTATTGTGGATATATATTTATTTACTGTTAATTTAGGTAGTCTACACCTAAATTAACAGGTTTTGAAAGCAACTAAAACAACATTGAGCAGTCCCTTCGTGGCCACAAGATACTCCTCCATGGCCATGAATTACTATCTTGTGGCTTAACTTGATTTTTTTACATCAAATGTCACAGGAGGAACCTAGTACATGCCACATTTGTGTGTTGCCACTAACAGTGAAATATCAGCAGAGTGCAAATATTTTATGTAAGGTCTCTGATCTCCAGATCCTCATTTAGACATGCTAGGAACTTATATTAGTCAAGTATATGATATAACCATGATGGAAAAATAATGTTCTCATATCAACAATACTTATAAATGCAGGGCATAAGGCAGTATATAAATACAGATATATTTAAGTAAATTCCAGTGGAGCTTTTCAAAGCACAGATCCAGTTATGTTCGCTGCTCTGTCCTCCTCAATGTGCACCCATTATCCTGTCAGTCTGAAGGCCAGGGCTTGTGGGGGCTGGTGGGGCTCCTGGGCTGGGCTTTTGGACTCCCCTAAAAGAAAAAAGTGGAAAAGCGTCCTCTTAAAATACAAATTTAAACACCGAAACAAACAAAGAAAATGCAAATTCAGTATTTTCATTTTCATTTTAGTGTAACCGCATTCAAAATGTTTTAGTTTTGTGTTTTTTAAAAGCCAAAATAAAATTAAAAAAAATCACAGAATCTCATAACGACCTGTAGAGGGCAGCAGTGCACCTTCAGTCAGTGCTACCCACACCCAATAAAAAGCCAAGAGCTGATCCTACCCACTATTAATACAGGAGACATTGCTCATTGTTCAGTTATGTTATGAGTGGCTTGTGCTAACTTCAGTCTGATACATGTCCCTTTTCAGTCGTCTGAAAGCTGTTTGCCATTCGACGTTTGGGTTTTAAAACAAAGAGATTATCTCATAATCTAAAACATTGATAAAATTAATCAGAGATCTTTCCTGTTGGCTAGAGTTGATATTGCTGTAAAGTAGGTCTACAACTTTGTGCATACACAGATCTTTTAGTATGTTTTGTCTTCACATGTTTTAATGCAAAATCAAAAGTATGGCATTTTCATGCAATTACTGCATGGCTCCAAATCAGCTTTGACCAACCCGTCTAGTCAGAGGAGTTGGAGTGTTGGAGGGTGGACTCACCACAGCAGGCTGGGTCTTGGCATAGTTCATGTGGGCGTAGAGCAGCACAGCTGTGTCATTGTGAGACGCTTCAAGCGCAATGGACAATGCGTTACTGCCATCCTATGAACAGAGGGAAACGGTAAAAAGTCAGTTCACTGACCCCTGAATCACAAATAACAGAGCTTTACTGGTTTGTCAGACCATGTGATGGACATTATACACGGTTGTTCCTTTTCCAGTTGCTTTAACATGCTCAACACTAAACACTGAACCTCTGTCAGTGTGTGTTACAGTTCTCTTGTGATGGATGTTCAGGCAGCCTGTTCGTTTCCCTAACTCAGGTTAAAATAGTACATTATTCATTGTCCAGTTAACAACCATAACAATTATCTGTCCTGCCTTCTCAGCGTTTTCTCTTTTTTTCTTTTACTCTGTGAACTCAAACTTGGAAGTGAGACGCTACATAAATATTCGCCTCTTAATAAACTGAATCTTGATCTACAACTTATTTTTGTACAGCCAGTATTAATTAATTGTTTGATAGTAGGGTTGTGAATGATACACAATAGCCAGGCATGCCACTTCTCACACTCTCTCTCTTTCTGTTTCCTTCTTTATCTGTCCTGTCTTCTCCAAATAAAGGCAAAAAGTCCAATTGTAAATCTTTAAAATAAATACGTCTGTACTGGAAGATGCCTTCCTCTTGGTCTTAAGTTATTGATATCTCTAGTTATTAATGTCAGAGTGGAGAGCGACTGGCCGAGGATAACTGCAGCTTGTTCTCATCTGTAAGGAATCCACAATAGTCCGAATTTAACATCTGAATTAACGTTATAGCTTGACTTAAGCCCTATAAGTGAGGCTGTGTTTGAAGTTGGTTGAAAATGGTCTCACTAATCTGATTGTCTTTATTGTCAAAGAACAAGTTCACTCAACCTCGGTAAAAGGGTTAATACACAGATTTCATCTGCTATACACTGGGCAGCGTCACTTTCTGGTAAACGGTAATTCTGTAAAATTAAAGATCTTAATGACATCAGAAACTCTTCCAGTTAGTTTATTGCATTTACTACAACTCCAGCTGCCAGCTTAACTTACCTGGTCGATCATGTCCCAGAATGATTGGATAGAGTTTTTCTTTATAGAGCACCAAAGTAAACTACATCATGTGAGTGTGTCTGGGCTTAAATGATTGCAAAAACTTGTAAAACTACGAAGTAATAACCCATATGACTGCGCTCTAACTTAGTCATGGTTTTTCATGTCTTGTTTTGGAGGACAGGGGGAGGGGGCTTTCCTAAATGTTTTCCACCCCCCCACCCCCTGTCTACCTCTCGGTCCAGCTGTGCTGCACTGAAATTCAACCCAGCAGCTACATGCATGAAAAGGCAAACTCATTCAGGCACAGATGGTAAAGCTCATATTTATCTACCTGAATTTTTCTTAAGCATCCAGATCTACCCTCTGTAAAATCACTTTAAAGCGAGCTACAGTGTAGATCAACAAAAGAGAGGGAGGGAAAGATAACAACCTTGTTTTTTTTGTTGTTTCATTTTCTCGCACATCTAACACTTTTCCCAACGAGCTGTAAATCTTTGTGTTATGCTTCATTTTTAGCAGCAAATTACTGAAAAAAAAACTTGAAAAATGAACATAGCTAAAAACAGTTTTTAAAAAGTAACAACTATACAAACTAAGTCTTCTGAATAAAAAGCATTTGAATTATATCTATCTTAAAATTTTGCTGGTGACATAAAGTAGTTGCCTGATAATGGTACCTGTCTGTTAAGTATGAATCCGCAAGACTCTTATAATCACTTTTAAGACACTTTAATTTTGGCTACTATCTTGTGCACAGGTCACAGGTATTAGTGCACAGATGAGTGGGGCAGTTGTGTGTTTGTGTGATGCTGTGAACAGAGGAGTTGTGGCTTTTTAATTCCTCTCCTGGGGGCTTGTGAGTTGCCCTATGATTTTGTTTCCTGTAAACATCACTGATTTCAACAGAAGGCAGATGAAACTAATCTGATCATGGCGCTGTAGTTTGAAGCCCGTCTTGCTAACAAAGAAAAACACCAGAGAAGAAAAGGAGAAAGAGGTGAAAAACGGAGGAAGCTGCATAGACAAATTTCCCTCGAGGAGGCATTTCCTGAGCTCAGATTAAGCTGAATCCCAGACGAGAAATCGCTCAGATGTTTCCGGCATCCAACAGTTTGCTTCAACTGTAAGTTTCTCTTAGTAAGTACAACATCTACATGGATGAACTGTAAATGCCTTACATTATCAATGATAGATATGTCACAACCAGGCTGATCCAGGAGCAGTTTGACGATCTCTGCCCGGCCGTGTTCACTGGCACACATCAGAGCGGTGGAGCCCTCATCATCCTGGACGTTAACATCAGCGCCACACTCCAGCAATGCTCGCACCATCTCCTGACGACCATGGCTAACAGCGAGCATTAATGCGGTCTGACCAGCCTGCAAAAGTAAAGAAATACAAATGTAAGTTCAGGCAGCTTTCAAGAGTCTTTATACCTTATCTGTTCCTGTATCTTATCAACACAGTCTACAATTATAGAGGCCCAGGAACTCTAGAAGTTATCTATGAAGCTTAAAGTTGGAATCTCAGAACACCTTTCAGATTGATGCTTGTCAACAATTAGCCTTATATGAGGTGAAACTGATGTGATGCAAAAGCAGGATGTGGTTTTTGCAAACAGACTCAAATCTCTTAAGTTTAAGTCTCTTGATAACACAAACTGACTGAAGAGAATATTTCAGTTTTCCAGATGATATTAGATTGTTTGACACAATTCTTATGAGCGAATCTGGTAAAAAAAAAAAAAAAGCAAAAAAAAAATCTTATATCTAAGAGTTGTATTTTGTCAAAATGTTGCTTTTAATATTTTGATGTTTGACCAACATTTCCAATGCAATCACATGCTGACTCTAGAAACTGATGTATGTTTGTGATCTGTTTCAGGGCACTTTTTACTGTATTTGTTTTGGAAAGTCGATCTCTTCCCTTTTATTGAACTAACATGATGTTATGTTTAAATGAAGTCAGACTCACTGCAGCATTTTATCAGTAAATGATACTGAATACGGAGCATGTCTGTCATTTCAGACTTCCATGAAGATTCCTCTTGTGTCCTCACATCCTTACATATCCAGCATTTGCTTCATACTGCCGTGCACTACAGCCCAGCTTCCCTGAAGCAGCTCCCTTAATAACAAGGAATAATAGCCAAAAGGCTGGGACATGGATATTCATTGCAACCATACCTGACATTGTAGGCTGGCAAATCCTGGTGAACCACAGAGACTTAAAAAGGCATCTAAACCCACAAGCTAAGGCCTCATGCTCCAGACGGCACACTACTTTTTATCAGCCTCAGCCTTCCTGGCCAACTATGTTCACACAACCTAGGAATTTGACATGATTTTTTCATTACCCTAAATGTACTCAGACAGTATTAGAGCCACAACAGGACAACAAAGCTTGATAAAAGTGAAGTGGAAACAAATATTTAGCACTCAAAGTAAATGGAAATGAAGAGAAGTTTGCAGAAGAATATTCCTGAATAAGTCACAGGAGCAAAAGTACAAGGAGTAAAAAAAATTAAAGAGCTGTCTGTCTTTGTATGAGACTCTCTAGTGTGAATGGAGATCTATGCATTAATAAATAGTTCTGGATTTGTGTGTTGGTATTTAGCTTTTCCTTTGTCCAGCCCAGTGATTCAGGTTGTATGTTAGTTCCAGGTGAAGATGTGTTAAATGAACTAAATGAAACTGTTCTGAGAGCGGTGTAAGTGCTCTTTATTATGCATTTCAACAAGACATTATCTGGGAAATGGCTAATTTTAAACCACACCAAAGAAAATTCCAAGGATATAATCAAAATGACTGATTTTACTCATGAATCCAAATTTGATTACAAAATAGAACAAGTACTAAAACGAAATCAAAGCTGGAGTCAAGAAAAAATGCTTCAGCAAATGTCAGCAGCAGAAAATAATTACTTCAATTTCTGACTCTAAAATTGCACTGCCTTGTGTTGTTACCCGCAGCAACAACAACAAGCAGCAGTAATTGGATTTATAGCCGGTGATGCTATGAATTTGCAGTCCTATGACTTGGCAGTGTGAGAGCTTATCAGGCGCTTGCTGTTTTCAAACACATTCTACACAACCTGATTAGATCAAGCAAAGCGATATAACCACTCAAATGTCAAAAGATTCTCACAAATATCATGTGTCACATGATGCACATTTCTTTAACCCAATCTAACCTATAACCAATTACTCATCTGGCTCTGGATACAGTTTCTCTTTGTAGCACAGGAAACGCTCTTTACACCAGGCCGGTTCAAATGTGCAGGGACAGAGGGAGGTGGCTTTTCCCAACCCTCACCCCGTCGACGGAATCAATGAGACATTTACTAAAAAGGGAGTTTCTGTAATTAGGTTTTACTTACTTTTTCTTTCAAATAAAAACATTTGCAAAACACATTTACTCACACATTCTCACACACACCACAAAGAGGCACGAGCAGAGTCAAGTATAGACTGAGCAAAGTAATGCTCTTAAGAGACATCCTCAGTGTAATTTAAGCAATAAATGAAATTAGTGACTCATTCGCCTCTCTTTCAGTTTTTTTAATTAGGCTCTGGTCCAAAGAGTCGTTCCTGTGTTTGGTTTTGTTGTGCACTTTTATCATACTAACAGTCTAATGTGCCCAAATCAAACTGAAGTAATTGAAGAGTCAGCTGAGCCAGCTAAGATCGGGTTGGTAAAGTGATGAAATGCTTCCAGCAGATGAGGCTATCAACACATTTACAGAAGCTCTTTGTGTTCTTTGTGCTTTAAATATATGTTGGCTGTTCACATTTCCAAAGTGATTTAAAAGACTGTTTACATATCCAGCGTGTTCTCACTTATCACATGCACATAACAGGAACAACTACTGTGAAATTACTGTAGGAACAGAGTTAACTGCAGAGCTCCAGTGACCAACACTGAAGACATTATGTCCTCAGAAACGGAGAAACCGGTGATGACTTACCTGGCTGGCTTTGGCGTTAACGTTGCCCTGACTGAACAGCTTCTTGACCACAGCCATGTCGTCCTCCTCCTTCACAGTAGATAGAGCGGCCAACATGATGGCTGTGTAGCCCGCCTTGTTCTGCTTATCCACACTGCAAACACCTGGAGGGAACATATATATTTTTTAAAAACAGTAGACTTAACATAACTACAATCACTTATACTACTATGAAGGTTCTCAGATTAAATTTTTGTGAAAATGTTTTAGTGAAGCATTTTAAAAAATCCACTTTATTGATACAGAGGTGGACAAAATGGCACTTACACTCCAAGTGTAATAAAATATTTTATTTATAAGTATCAGTTATTGCTTTATACAGTAAGGTAAAAAACTTAAATTCAAGCCAAACTTCTTTTTCAGACTTATTTTTCAAACACTTTTAACACTACTAGAAAAACAGCTTTTCTAAAATAAAGTTAAAGCACTTTAACTAACTGATAGTCAGGCGCAAATACGACTTGACCCCAAAAAATTCCAACTAAAGGTTTCTCAGCTGTTTATTATAATGTTAGATGTACTTTATAACATACTAAAAGTTAACCAAAGTTTGACCACTAGAAAGGTGCCATTTTCAAGATGGTGGCCATGATGGGTAGGAGGCCCAGGGGAGACACCCCAGGTGAATAGGGTAAAAATTTTAACAGATATCACCATGAAACTTCCCAAGTTTATAACTTACATAAAGACAAATATTTTTTTGTATTACAAGTTTAAACAAATGTTATGTATAAATATGTAAATGAGGCAATATCGAATTAAATATGTACTAATTTGCATACATTAAAAAAAAGACATTTTTCCTCATTTTTTTTTGTACCGACTGACTCCAAATGGTCTGAAAAATGCTCCTAAATAGGTCCTAGACAGTAATTCTAACCTTAACCCAATAACCCTAACCCCATATCCACTTAGCCTGTTCTGTTAAATCAATCAATCAATCAATCAATCAATCAATCAATCAATCAAACTTTCTTTACCGTGCACTTTTCCTACAAAGAATGTAACACAAAGTCTTTTACAGTTAATTTAAAACAAAAACTATCCTTGATGCCCTGTATCAAAAGCCGTAGTGCTGTAAAAAAGCTCTGTAGTTTGGTTGGAATTACTCTCACTGACCTGTGTCCAGCAGCAGCCCCACAACACCGAAGTTGGAGTGGGAGACACTGTAGTGAAGAGCTGTGTTGCCATTGCCATCAGTCATGTTGACTATGTGCTCCAGCAGAACTGAGGACACTTCAGAAAACGCCATCAGGTAGTCTGAGACCCGTGACGGCTGAGCCATTTTAGCGCTCGAGATTCGAAACCACTCGAGCTGGACAGTGTGGGTACTGGAGAGCTGAGGGTAAGATTTACAAACATGTTTACTCTGTGTGTTGGCAAATTCAGACAGTATTTCTCTCAAGTTTATAGCGACTAGAAATTCAGCCTCCTAATGATCCTGCTGCTACTCAGGCCTGTCTCAGCCTGGACTCTCCTGTTACTCTTACAACAAGCCTCTGTTGTTTGTAATTAATGTTTGCCAGAATTATAAAACACAGTCTCACAGCTCCAATAAACTTAAAATGAGTTTGACAAGTATAAACTGAAAATGAACTGATGATATTAAAAGTCATCACTCAAGAACGCACCACTTCTTTACTCTTCAGCGTTTGGATGTCATCATTGAGGTGGTTCTTCATTATGAGGCAGGCTTCACGCATTTTTGAGCTCAACTCAAACCTGCAACAAAAAGATTGAAGCTGAAACACCAAGACTTCCAATCCTTTGAGCTACAGAGTTCTAAAGCTGTTTTTATACAGTAATTTGTTTTGTACATAATCACATACTTCTCTTTGACAGAATCGGATGAATAATTCGCAGCTCTTAAGGTTTCCTCGTCGGTGTCACTCTCATCCAGGTTGACATTTCTCTCCTCCTCAGATGTTTCTTCCTCCAGAGCTGCCTCATCCTCTTCTGTACTGTCCAGACACTCGCCCTCTCCACTCTCCTCAGAGGAACTCCCATCCTCCTCCTCTTCTTCTTCCTCTTCTTCTTCCCCCTCCTCCTCTTCTTCCTCGCTTGATGTAGATTCATATCTGGGAGAGAGAAATATTTGTGGGAATTCAGAGCAGCTTGTTGGGTTTAAATCATGTCCATAAGACACTATTATTATTATTTTTTGTTACTGGTTCACATAAACAATATCAAAGAGTTGATTATAGTCGATTTTTACCGTGGTACGAAAAATGGGGTCAGGATTTGTGTTAGCCTACCCTCCATTTAGAATGCCAACAAACTGCAGACTCTTCTTGCCAGCGGAGCGGGTCTCGCCTGAGTTACTCCCATCCTTCCTCTTCATGATTGATTTCAGCATACCTGTTACCATACCAACAGAGACAGAAACAAACTGGGGTTCAAACGAGGCACACCAATTAAACATTTAACTCACTCACGACTCGACTCGAACAAAATGGTGTCATTAGTCTCTGGAGGACTCTGCTTTATCTTTGAATTGCTTAAAATGCCTCTTGAATCAAAACTGAAATTGCCAGGAAAACTGTTTTGGAAAATTGATGAGAATAATCCATTTGTTTTGAGCACAAACAATGTGAGCTGAGGATTTTATAGTCTCTGTTTTAAGTGAACAAATGATGTAAGGAATCCTGATTTCTCACCCGTCTTGGTGGTGGAGGCTGCTGTGTTCTGCTCTTGCTCTTCTTCCTTCTCAGCCGTACTGACCACCTCTTCTCCCGGCGAAACCTTGTATTCAGCGATGGTCAGCTGTCTCTTCTTTGACATCGCAGCTTTCTGCTCCTCCACTTTTTCCTCGAGCAAGTTCTCCCACTGGCACCCAGTGCTGACTACTGCTACAGGTGCTGGTTTTGTAGCTTCCTCAACAGCATCAGTCTGGGTTGTTTGTTCGGTCCGATCTGCTGTTAAGTTGTCACCTACACATGCATCACTCACCTCAGGATGGCATAAAATTGCAGCATCCTGTAACAAAGGAGTTAATGTCTCTACCTGGGCATTTGTTGTGTCTGGTTTCGCAAGAACCCCTTTTTCAAATGTGACTTTGGAAGTTTTCTCCTCCATCTTGGCTTTAAGGATCCCCAGATCTTTGTCAGCTACACTTAATCGGTCCTCTAAAGCCACGATGGACTCCTGCTGGAATTTAATAGTGTCCTGTAAAGTGTCAATCTCCCGTTGTGCCTCATTAGTCAGCCCAAGTAGAGACTCCATTACCCAAACCTCTGCATCTTCTGTCTGCACATTCGCTTGTGTTCCCTCCTCGTGCACGAGAGGGGCCTCTGTTTCTGTTCCTTTCTCGCTCAAAGTTATGGTGGTGCCCTCAGATGCGTCTTTAACACCCTGGCTGTAATAGAAGACAGCGCAGTTCATCGGAATATCGCCCCCAACAGCCACTGATTTCTTCTCAACGAGAGGCACTTTTTCTGGAGCTTTTACTGCAACCTTTGATGAAGGATCTGTGGCTTTCTCTTCCTTTCCCTCAAATTTCTCAGTCAGCCTTTTCAGTTCACCAGATTTCCCGAGCCCTTTATGAACAGGTGAGGTTTGTGCAGTCAATCGACTGTGGACACTCTGATCACTTTGAAGGCTCTCTGTGGTTTGAGTTGAGGACTCTGCAGATGGTTGCCTTAGCATGGTCGCCTCTGTTGATACTTTTTTCTCCTGCAAGGCTAGTAGGAGCATGTCTTTCTCTGCACGAAGCTTTGCAACCTCTTTCTCCAGTGCAGGAACCCCCTTTACCCTCTCTTCCATCTCTTTTAGCTGTTTGAGAGCTGTAGCCATCTGCTCTCTAACTGTCTGCAGCTGGCTGGGTGGAATCGGAGTCACTGCTGGAGTGCTTCGCCCAGAAGTTGCAGGACTGGGTTTTGTCAAGCTACTCTGCACAAGCTGAGCGGAAGGAGATGGTAAGAGCTGTTTTGGAGGGTCTGCTAGCTGAATGCGCCCTCCATTCTGGTGCTGGTGGGTTTGCTCCTGTTGTAGCCGCCTGCTAGTTTCCAGAAGGGTTCGCTCCACTCTGGGGTTGCGCAGGGGTGGAGGGGGTGGTACTTTAGCTCCAGCAGAGAGGGGCGGAGCGCTGAGGATGGTCACAGGAGAAAGAGAGAGTCCTTCGCATGGTGCCGACCCAAGGCGGTTGCGTGGTGGTGGCGGAGGAGGAGCTCTGCCATCTTCGCTTGCAGGAGACGACAAAGACTCTGTGGATGTCCACCCACTGGTGCGTCCCCCAACACCTGGACTCCTTTGGGAGAGTTTGACCCCTCTGCCTGAGCGGCGCGAGCTAACAGGTGCTCGACGGACATTGTGCCCACTTTCTATCTCCTCTACATATTTGAGGAAGTCCAGATCCAGCTGGAAACCATATGGAGTCTGGACGGAGTAGGAGCCTGGCTGGTCAGTCTCCTCTTGACTGGTGTAGATAAATGGAGAACCCAGATCTGTGAAGGGAGAGACATATGTGACTGAATAATATGGGTGCATTATAAAGACAGCCTGTTGGGGTGTTATGTTAACAAACAAAAGTCCTGTTTACGTCCAATAAATTGTCATTCTTTTCCAGTGAACCTCATATTTTTGGAATATTTTCGATCTATTGCTTTCAGTGGAGTATTTACATTTTTGTTTACCAGCCTCTTGTCCAAAGACATTTGCTGAACAAAAAAAAAAAGCAGGAAAACCTTTTGAAATGAAAAACTCCCCAAACCCCTTTAGGCTCATCATACAATGGAGCAGTTTGGAGTATCTGACTTGTTCTGTTTGCTACACAAACAACAAAAAGACCAGCTACTCAACAATTGTTTAATTTCCTGCAGTCCTGAGGAGAACAGCACTGTTATATCATCCGAATAACTTCAGCATGGGATCCACCACTAATCTGCTTCTGGCAGGCTGAAACTGAATATTTTCTATTAATGATATGCTAAAAAAAAACAGTGAAAGAGTTCAACTGGAAAACTTTTAAGCTTTAATCCCTTTCACAGTCTTGAGAAACAAAATACATAAATCAATGGTAAACTCCTGCAGTGTCTTACCAGGCAGCTTTGGGTTAACTTGAACTGACTGAGTCATCTTTCAGGTCTTGGACCTTTCAGCACGAGCACGGCTTTAAATCAACACCTGGCAAAGAAACACACAGGAACATGAATGCATTTGTTATGAGTGTTGCAGAACAGCAGGAAGGAAAGAATGTGATTTTTTAAAAACTGTGCAGTAGTTTGTGGCACATGACCTTTGTTTGTACTTTTTTGATGAGTGTTCGTTTTGATATAAGCAACAAAATCACGCGCTTCAAACGTCGGTCATCCCAAAAAACACATTTCAGCTGTTATGAATCAGCCTAACGTGACAAAAGTAAATCTAAAACAAGCCATGAGGTTCCTGGCTCCCACGTTAATAGACACTTCATTGTAGGGGCCTGATATTAACTCCAAAGTAAAGAAAGACCTGAAGATCTTCTTGTGTTTTCTTATGGCTCATTAGCACCTGAGCGCCTGTGACTGAATTCCTTTCGCTCAGAGATAAGGAGGTTTTGTTCCATACATCCTTTGTTTGCTTTTCCCTAAGAGGTGTTGAAGGACAATTGGTCTGACATCATCCATACCCCTGAGAGAAAATGTGTCTTTGTCTGTGTTGAACCTCTCAAGTGGTTGTTTGAGCTGTCAAGGAAACTTCATAGTAGAACTCAAACTCTCCTGTCAACCAGCACCAAGTCCAAATGAACCTTTGAATTTAGGTGTGTTTTTGTAGAAACGTTCATGGATGTGGTGTAGGTAGCAGTCAGGGGAAACACCTCACGACCAAAGTCAACAACAAAGAGCTAAACTCTGTCCAAAAACCACAGACAGCTTCTACATTACTGACAGCATAACACCTTCAAACTCTCCTGAAAAACCACAGGATTGTCTTCATCACTGAACAAACAGACCTGCAAAACAAACTATTTCACTGGGAATATGAGACTTAAATCTGAGCGTTTACACTGGACACAATCAGTCATACTTTGTAGTTAAAAAAAACAACAACAAATAGGACATCATTTCTTCTACCATAGCTTTCTACTACCAGTTACAATTCAATTCTTCTGTTTGTGCCAGACAGGACAGGAAATACAAATACTTCTGTTTCAGTAAAAGTTTTAGTTAATAATAATAATAATAATAACAACATTTATATATAGCACCTTACAACACCCGAAGAGATGGACAAAGTGCTTTACATAACAAATACACAGTCAAATACAGGAAAAAGAAAATACAAGTTAAGGAGGTTTCCTAAGAACAAATGGGAAACTACCGATCAAACAACTGTGTATCATTTATGCATAAAACAAGAAAACTTCACTCCTAACTTGAGCAACTTCTCTCTAAAAGTTACTGCTGTGTTGGAAGAAAAGTTTACCTCTTTCTGCTGCTTGGTGAGCAATTCATGCAGCTGCAGTCAGGCTGGTTCCCACCTCCCTGCTCCACACAGCCCTGAGAGACCAAAAGAGACACAGACCATGAGATTGGTCTTAACAGTCAATGAAGCATTACAGGGCATGTATTTTCCAAGTCACAGCACCACAGTTCAGTGATGGGTCTTACATTTCTTGGTATATTTTTTAAGTATTTCCTTGGACAGAGAAATCTGACTGGAGAAGATTCTCTATCGATATGGCAGAGAGGGAGTCAAGATGAGCCAGTTCAGGCAGCACTGTGTCAAGGTATGTATGTGTATCCACCTGCACGGCTACAAACTTCATGATCACAGGTGTGTGGTTTACCCAGAAAATAACAGTGGTTACTTCTTTGTGGGTTGCATGAAGCCACTTAGTTTGGGATGTGCAAGTAATTTCATTGCAACCTCTTTCCCTATCAGACAGAGAAAATACATCGACTTTGAAGTATGAAACAAATCTAAGTCTCAAAAAAAGTAATTTGTATATCATGTGGCCTTTCAATTATGTTTCAAACACAAACACACACACTCCTGTGTCAGCACGAACACACACACAGATGTGTTTTCCAGCAGCCTCTGGCACATTCCTAACACATGCTGTTGTAACATGCCGGTCGTCCTCTTAGCTGACTGACTACTGATAACCTATAACCACACAGACAGACACACACGTACATGTATCAGCTGTCAGCTCAGCCCGCAGATATTTTATTATCAAAGTTAAAACCACAGAAGTCAACCTGACAAAGGATCAATTAGTGAAGATTAAATAACAGGCTTTTAAACACAATGGATTAGTTAAAGTAACCACAGCAAAGCGCACATACAAATCCTCTCTCACTGATAGTAAAGTTCTGCTTCGTGTCTCCTTATCAGCCTCGGCTCTGTTTCCCGTCACTGTCTCAGTCAGTTTCTTCTCTTGTCATATCACAATGTAAATGGAGCCGTCTTCTATTCAGTCAAGTTAAACTATGACCTCGTCTAGAAGCTTTGCTTTGACCCAAACCAGAGACAGGCAGGTCACTTTATTTTTTACATGATTGTTTTCAATTTTGCAAAGGAACAAATAAATCAAACCTAACTCTCCTTCTGTGAGGTATGACAGAGTAGTGCCTTTACAAAGAAGACTCGTTCACTTCTGAGGCACTTTTGCAAATGGCATGAAGGCATCATCAACAACAGACGCCCAGTAGAAAAACACATGGCGTCATATTTTTGTCACTCTATGCAGGCTCTTACTCACTTGCTCCACGTTATTCAGATTTTGATAGCAAAGCCAAATTCAACATTATAAAGAATACAGAGTACAAAGTGCATGCAATGATCACAGTTCTTACTTAGGCAGATATAGAGTTATATATATATATAAGATATCAGCAGTGGGATGCTGGGACTTTTTACGTTTATATTTGTGTCTTTGTGCATCTAAGTTTAAACGGTGTTCTTTAAAGCCACTGTGAGGAATTTTGCGTAACTAGGGTTTGTGTAAGATGAGACCATTTACAGCACTCTGCAGAAACAGCCTTTTTCTGCCCTTTCCAAAGCAAATATTCAGTGTGTTGCACATTGAAAGGCACTTTTTTTAAATCAGAAAACACTACTCAGACAGAACTAGTAAAGTCCCTTTTTGTCCACAGGTGGCGCCAAAACTGTCACAAACAGAAAGTTCCTCACAGGAGCTTTATATGAACGATTGACACCGTTATTAAAATGGCTGTTCTTTCTCTACCAACCAGCCTGTAGTGTGAATATTAGTATAAAAAATATAGGAATTTTTCATGAGGCAGTCTCAAAAACTTGTGTCACCCTGCCATTATCAATGTTTTGTATTGATTCTGGAACTTTTTGACACTACAAAGATGGCTGCTGCTCATAACTTATTCAATAATTATTCTTTTGTTTTTATTCCTTCCCTTTCTTTGTGTAGTTCTTCTTCCAATGAACAATTTCACATATTTATTCTTTCATTTCCTCCACTCTCTCACACCTCCCTCTCTCACGTTGTCTGACTCTTCATCACTCCCCTCTTCTTCTCAGATGACTCTGATTTTCTCTCACAGTCTCTTCTATCTTTCTTTCTCACCCTCTCGCACAGAAACACACAAACTAACACATAAACACACTTCCCCCGGCTCCTCTCCTCTGGTGTTTTTGTTTTTTTTTTCCTCTGAATTGATGACAGACAGCAAATTACAGAGAAGCTGCATTCCTTCCCTCTACACCCCTGACCAGCTGAGAGCCACGCTGTCAAGTCTCTCTGAAACACACACACACACACACACCACACACCACCAACACCAAGTGCCAGTGCTCATAATGACACTCACAAAAGCCACATGCAAAATTACCAAAAAAATGCCCATACATGCAGAAACATGAGTGCACACACAGCGACAGAAACAAATCAAACTTCACAACTTTTGTCCACACCAACACACCGATGTATCTGTTTTTTGTTTTTGTTTGTTTTGTTTTACACAATCTCTCACGTACAAAATCCACACTCAAGTGCACAAGCAGATACACAGTCTCATGATCCTGCAGCCAGAAAAACACAATGTTCACTGCTATGACTGAGTGAACACATTGTGGGCTTACCGCCTTAATTTAGTAAAGGCTTTGAGCGGTTCTATTGTGTAAACATAAACATCATTGTTCTTCAGACTGACTAAATATTAGCTTGAGATGTCTGTGTTTCTATGGCTACAAATTACGTGACATTCCTGAATCAGTTTTGATGCGACTCTGCAATCATGAACCAGCAGGTCACACCCAGCACTGCAGTTGCATTTCTTCACATTACCAGCTCTCTGCAGCGAGAGCAGTCATAAAACAAACCTCTGCCGGCACGATTGGCAACTAAAAACACGAAATAAATCCAGAACTTTGTTAAACAAAGCACAGAAAATCTTCCTGCAGTTTTCTTTGATCAAAACATATTTCACAAGAGTTAACATTTTAGTTTATTCATTATGATCCAAGAAAGCTCTTTTTCAATTGTCTTTGGAGAAACGGTAAGTCCAGTTTATATTTCTGCCTCCAAATGTGCACAAAGTTTCCTGGAAAGAACTACGGAAAACAAAATGAAGCTTTCAGTGTCCAAAATTAACTATTGGGTCTATCTGCCAAGAGCTGGTACACTCAAAAAACCAACCTGTCGAGGTATTATCCGTTATTTTATCTCAGATTTCAACAGTGAATTTGGTGAGTGTAGTTTTGTGTTTTAATAGACAATCCCAAAATGTTATAGACTGGGATTAAAGGACTCACCAATTTATTGAGTGAAACTGCTTCAGTAATGAGCAGATCAGACTTCAAACGGTCTGAGCCACAAACCAAATGAGATCACTTTGCAATTTTAACACTTTTTGTTTTCTTTTTCATTTAACATTTATTAGGCCCAACTAATAACCACAAGAAGAAACCACACGTTTATTTCTATAAAAATAAGGAGTTTTATTTTAGGGCCTGAAAAAGTTTCTCCCAAATAGAAAGTACAGGTCCATTTGTCTCTACACAGTTTTTCCTCTAGTTCAGAAGGAATACGTCATGAATGGAGAAGTAATGCGCGGACCCGAGTTGTTGATGAAAACAGACGTTAGATTTTCCTGCTTTCAGCCACTTTATGGAAGAGGAAATGTTGTGCTGGTTCGCGGCTCAGGGCCATGTTGTGAAACAGTGACCTCATCCCCACCGCCACCCATTTCCCAGGAAGAAAACCGGAGAGAGAGAGAGAGAGAGAGAGAGAGACACAATCTGACAGTTGAGGAGGGGAGGGAGTGAAAGCCAACATCCTCTCACTGACAGCAACTTTTACTCTCCATCTGCTTTACATGAGAAAAACCCCATTCAGAAAACTGCACATGCATAAAAAAACGCAGACATACACCCCCATATGACTGCCAGGCATGCTGTCATGCACTCCAGAAGTGCTCACATTGTAAGGAGGTCCTCTGGTCTTCATTTTCAGAAATCCAAATCATATCCTCAAACTAATTTTTGTTAGTTTTCCAAAAACTAAAAGGACATCAGACAGACCTCCCCAAAGTCAATAACCCTCCATTACATAGTCATAAGCGTAATCCAGCTTCACTTTTTTAATTACTCACAAATGTCAATCTGAGGAAAGTTTACATGCCACACGTTTAATTGTGGATTCAATCATTTGAATACTAATTAAAGCAGGTTTTGCAAGATTTCCACATTTCAACTACTTAAAATTATTGTCAAATTAATACTTTAAACCTTACAAAAGGAAAATCTATTTTGATGACATCTTTTTGTTGAGCATTCTTTGAAAGCGAATCCATTTTTTTATCTTAAATTTACTCTTAATTCTCAAGGCCCTTACATACTGGGAGCGTATTTGTCGTGCAATTATTTTGGTCGTCAATACTTTTTTTCAAACCCTTATCCTGTCAATACAAGCGTTCACATCAGCAACGTTTTCCCGTCCTGCAATATTGCGGCATTTATTTTTCCGGATCACAGTCGATTTTTCTTAAGTTTCGCATTCTGTGTGTCCACTTCTGACCGATCAGATTTCGTGTTGTTGCGATGGCAGATTCAGTGGTATATCCAACATGGCCGACCGGCTGATTGTTTACGTGTCGGAGAACAGAGTGTTTTTGATAAAAATCACAAATATTACAAAGATAATGACCTGAAGGACAACTTGTGGAGAGTCATAGCGTTGGATTTCACATATGATGATGGTTCGTGTGCTTTAACGGTTTGCTAAACGTCTTTGTTTTAACTTTCATCTGTGTTAAGTAACTTTAGCTTGTAAGCTAACCTGTTCAGATACAACATACCATATGTATTTTCACTGTCTCAAACTCAATCACAGCGTTGCTGTCACAGCACCATTAGGTCTCTGTTGTTACCTTACGTTTTTATGGATTATAGTTTAATGTGCTTATCTGGTACTGGCCCCGACTCAGTACATGCTATCATGACAGACAGACAGACATCTCAACACTAGAGTCTAATCAGAACTGAAAACAGTCAGTCTGGTGTTGAGTCAGTCTTCTCGCTTCCACCTAGGACGCGACTTTTCTTCCCCCTGGTAAGTCGCAAAATCGCATCACGCTTGATATGTATAGTCAGGAACGTCAAAATTCGCCTCTGAATATTTCGTAATTTCACGTATATTTGCGTCGTTCCCGGTGTGTAAGGACCTTCAGTCCTTCATTCAGTTACTTAACCATAGCAAGAATTAGGTTGCCCATAATACCAATAATAGTATTACCATATAGACAAGTAAAATACCATGAGGAGACAAAAAAAACTCAATTTCTGAGTCAGTCTCATTAACAAAAGGGTAATTTGTCTAAAAAACATGTTTTTTAAGGTGAGATCGTATTTTGAGTGCTCTTCATAAGGACAAACTTCAAGTCTAAACTTTACTCTCGCTTCCTGACAAAAAAAAAAAAAAAACATATCTCAATAAAAGTATCAACATTTAAACACTTTTACTCTCAACAACATTTAACCTAGCTTCAGATCTTGAACTCGTAGTCAAGTCTGGGTATCTGGGACATTTCTTTCATGTCTTAATCCTTGTGAGGACATTTAGGACAAATAGAAATACAAGCACTCACACACAGGAGGGCCTCTCTGCTGCAGGGATAAATCTGCAGTTTCCTGAAGGGAAGCCCACTACTCCCCCAGTAAATCTCCCTCATCAGTACACACACACACACACACACACACACACACACACACACACACACACACACACACACACACACACACACACACTCACAACCTCTTCATGCCCCCGTTCGAGACCTCCTATTGTCTCCCAGTAGGAACTGGGGGGAGGAGAGGGGTCCTGCCAGGAAACCCAACAGGCCGTCCTGAAAGCTGCTTCCTGAAGGGAGCAGGAAAACATAGCAGAGAAGACAAGCAGAGGCTGAGAGCTGAACAAATAGAGGCAATGTGACATGGACACACACGCTAACACACACTCCGGAGCATCCTGCAGCCAAAAACAGCACTGGAGCCAACATCACATGATGCATCACACTGAGGTTAGATAACATGTTATCAGCTCTTGCCCAAGTGTTTTAAGTGTTTGTGTGTGCTGAAGCCCTCACGCAGTAACACCCCACCACCTCTATGTGCAGGATTCAGCCACCAAACACCATTTCCCGTCTCACACATCTTCAAAATAAATCACACACCAATGTCACAATAACTTCTTGTGTGTCCTGCTTTAAAAGGAAAAATCCCACCTTTTATCACAGTCAGGTTGACTCAGAACTTCACAAGCGTCCTGCCTCCCCCTCCTTTTTCCTTCCAGATTCTCAGCAAACACAATCAAGCACATTCAGCCTCCACAATGAGGCTCTATGCCTCTAATGTGGCCACACTGTGTTCAAAAAGTTTTCTGAGGCCTCGTTGTTTTCTCCACACGACCCCCTCTGTCCCTACTGCCTTTTTCTGACCATTTCTAGGTTCAAAATGTCACCGAGTGAATCTAATAGAGTCACTAGGGAAGCCTGACACTTTTTGAGTCTGGAAGCCTCACAATGTGACTGAGGATGCTGAGAAGCAGCTAACTCCTTTAAGGCCCCTTTAATGAAGCCTCTTTTCACACTAATGAAGGTTTTCTGACACCGTCTTGGTCAGCTACATGTGTAGAGATACAGTAAAATATCAGGTCCTAAATGTCCCAGGATGCTATAGGGCATGTCTACAGTTCATGTTAAAGGGAGTTTAAGTTTCTCATGAAGGGTAGAAGAGGACACAAACCTTTTCCTGTCAGATCTCCTTACTCTGAGATTTGGAAAACTTGTTTTATGGCCCAAAAAAGTTTTTGTGTTTCTGTTCGTGGAGTACGGTTGTGGAACAGATGAAGTGTGGAGCTCGAGCAATGTCCAAGCATGACCAGGTTTAAAAAGCGGTACAGAAACATGGTTCTCACCAGGTACAGGGAGGAAGTATTGTCAAATTATTAATATACTTATTTATTCTATTTATGTTGTATTTTTTGTTAAAGGAGAAGGGGTAGGGTAAAAAAATCTTATAATTATCATTATTATTATTATTATTATGATTTTATTTATTTATTTTATTTTTACTTTTTTGCTTTGATTATTGTTATTGTTGTTTTGAATATTCTCACTGGTTATGTTTACGCACACTCGAAAATAATAATAAAATGAAATGAAATGAAAATGTTGCCTTGCCTCCCGTTTGAGCTGTTGTCTTTTAGCCAGATAATACAAACAGACTAAAAACATTTTAATTATATTCCTCCTGTCTGACATAGCATGCTTGTTAACCAATTTCCTGTTTGGAAAGTTATTTTGCTAAGTAGTGATATATCATTTCAGCCCAAATCTTTTCAGAGCACTAGTTCTGATCGGCTAAAAACGACACTCAAAACAAACCATGCTTTTTTAGGGGTTGTTGGGATTATGGCTGAAGTTGCTGAAACAGCTGTGAGGAGAACAACAGACAAGCAAAACCAAGATGTGGTCGATGATTCAGAAGTCTGAAACCATAATTGCATTTTCAAACATTAAACTTTCATCTATAACGCTGCTCAACAGCTCATAAAGTCACACTTAACAAGACATTAAGTTTGCAGATGTGCTTCAAAAATCCCTCAAAACTGTAAAAGTATCAACTCCTTTACCTTAGGAAGTAAGAACTGCATCGTGGTTTTTCATTTAAACATGAGCAACCACAAAAACCTGACTGGGCACGTAGGAACTCTTGGATTAGCAACAGTATACAGTAAGTTTCTTTTGGTAAACAATGCTGGGAGCATCTGTCTGCAGCCCAAAGTTGGTAACCCTGCAGCTGCAGCATCCAGTCAGCTGAGTCTGAGGCAGACTCCAGCCTGATGACAGTCCGCCCCTCCCTGAAACAAAGCAGGGCTTACAAATCGAGTTTTCCCCCAATTAGCCAGTTTCCAGCTCTGACGTCACGATGCACTTCAGACCAAACACACCTTGTTCCCTACAAACTCTCCAGGCCTGTTTTCCCAACATAACAAACTGAGTCTTTGTAGAAGCTGCTTTAATAAAAAAAAAAAAAAACATGTTCGGCTCAAACAGCACCATACTGTTTCTCTTTTTGTGTATTTTCCACCTTCATTGTACAAATGTGTTTTTCTTTCATTTTCTCTGATCACCTCAGTTCATTTGTGTTTTGTTGCCAAACAAAAAACTCCAATAAACCAGCTGACTGCATCTTAAAACGTCTTTTTTAGCTGACCTACATATCTGGTCCACAGATTTCTGAGACTGACCCATTTGTCTCTTTCACACAGTAGCAACTGTAGTCTCCAGATGTTTGATTCGTATAACTACAGTACGAGACCAGATGTTAGCTCCAGAAACAACTGAAATATGTGTCTACTATCATATTATTTCCTTCAGCGGGGGAAATTATACCAGTTCAGCACCCCTCTGATGGAGGGAGTCGGGGTAATGACAAGGCGCTGGGTGCGCGTGGGTCTTTGAAACACTTTGAAATGTATCCCAAAGCTTCTTCAGCACACCTTCATCCCTGTATCTGCCTCTGTGGAAAGTACATGTCTGTGGGCTCTAATTCAGTTTTCCATCATGCTCTGATTCAGTTTGTCGTCAGATTTGATCTCTCTGAGTCGCAGAGCGGCAGCTTGCCTTGATGTCTGCCAGACGTTACGAAACTCCACTGAACAAATCGATGGCTCACATCTGAGACAACATGCTAAGTTATTCGGCCCAAATTGCACAGGAGACTTCATTATGTTTGACCTTTTGCAGTTTTCCTCTTTCTTTTTCTGTCCTTTTAGTTTGTTTTGCAACGGTAATATTTGTACTCCTTTTTTTATTATTTTAATGACTTTTAAAGAGAAGAACAAACTGCAGAAACATACGCATAGCAAAGCAGACTAAAGTTAATAGTCTTGTGTCTCTCAGATCTACAGATTATATGTAACATTAGACAGGAGATTAAACTAAACCTGTCAAAGATGACGATTCGAAATGGGAGAAGGATCAAAGAGGAATATAAAAGAAATTCTCCACCATGAGTTGGAGCTCAACGTGGCAGAGTTGAAGCCTCATTGAGCCTCTTCTCATGAGCTCATAGAGGAGGAGCGCTTTTCCACCAACACCTGAGTGCTAAACACAACATTTCATTCCATTATAAGCCGGTGAACAGAGGTGATCTCTGTACGGCGATGGGTTCAAGGAACCAGTATAAAATAGGAGTTCAAGGCCTCACACTCACTTTGCCAGCATTTGTAAGGAACACAATGTGGATAACTTTAAAGAAAGTTTCAATCCGGCCATGAACTCGCTCCTCCTTCCATTGTTTGAGCCAAAAAGTATGAAATTGGGTTCAGGAGGTTTGTGGCATCACAGTGACATGCAGACAAGTGTTTCTGAAAAAAGCTGCGGTTTGGTTTTCCCAAGAGAAGCGGTCAATTCAGGCACAGTAAGATCTGACCTTTTTGGTCCAGTCTGACTTGAAACCAGCAGGTCACTTGACTGCCAACAAGGCTTTTTAAGGTCATGTGTAGCTAACTCTTAAATGTGACCAACGTAAATAAAACCCAAAATTGCACCAGTGTTTGGTTAGTTTGGTGTTCTCCCATCCTGATGTCCAAAGTTAGATCTGTGTGTCTTCTCCTGTTAATGTGGGTATCTTTGTTTCAGGGTTTCTCAGTCTGTAGAGATAGCAGGGGAAGTAGATTTTGACTGGATCACAGGTGAAGACCTGGATGACACTTAATTATGTTTGATCAAAATAAGTAAGCTATATTTTTTATAAATCTCATTCACTGATTCGCACAAACACCCTACACTTCAAAATTTTCTAAACTGCACCAATGATGCATGAACTCAAAGCTGAAATTGTTTCCATGTTCTGTAAATTATTTTGCCTTCTAAAGATCTAAAAAATCTAACTAAACATATTTGAGATCTTTATTATTATTTGGTGTCTCTTGTGACACTAAGTGAATTTAAAATTATACTGAAATCATTACAGTCTACCTTGTCTGTGTGTAAATGTTTTATGTAAGATTGTTTTAATGTTGAGATGTTGTAAATTTTATCTGTTGTAGGTACTAAGCTGCTGCCTTCTTGGCCAGGTCGCTTTTTGTAAAAGAGATTTGTAATCTCAATGGGACTAACCTGGTTAAATAAAGGCTAGATAAATTTTTAAAATATTGAGGCTGAGCCCGGCCACCCTGCGAAGGAAACCCATTACAGTCGCTTGTATCTGCGAACTTGTTCTTTCGGTCATTACCCAAAGTTCATGGCCATACGTGAGGATCGGCACGTAGATCGACCGGTAAATCGAGAGTCTCGCCTTATCGCTGAGATTTGTCTACAAAAATCTGAATCTGTGTTTCTTTTATCACATCTTACCCTTTTTATCCTGTAATCTGTTGACATTTAATAAAACCACGAGATCCTCAAACTGGACGATGAAAGCCTGTTTATTTGATATGATCCAATTCATTATTTGTTCAAGTTATTTATATTTTGCTCAGATCCAGAGTGACGTCATGTTTCTTTTTAGAGGCTGTCCAAGTCTGTTATCCCCACAAAATAATAGAATTAGTAAAAAAATACAGCTGATTCAATTTATTCTAATGCAAAAACGAAGGACAGCAGACAACAAAACAACTTCATTTCAAGTTATCAAATTAGATTCCTGCAAAATCATAAATATAACATCTCGAGATGCCTTGAACCATGTGGTTGGAAATTACAAAAGTCAAACTCAACCTGAGGTGAACTACAGCCGAACTGTTGCCATGAGTTACTCAAGTTAAAATGAAAATTAACTTTAAGCAATAGAAAACTTTTTGATTTCTCAAAAATATAAAAGTTCCTCTAAATCCCACTGTTACAAGTTTGATGCTTTTTCTCTTGATTCTAAAACAATGCTCACCCCACAGCTGCTTTTGTTTAACTTGAAGCATTTGACTGATTCCCGTTAATTATACTTTGTTTGAGCAGAGCAGGAAGTAGACTGTACACAACAGACTCTGGAGCCTTTGTTTTACTATAGTAGTACAAAAGACAAAAGAAAATAAACAACCTTATGTTTTATTCTGTCGAAAAAGGACCTGTTGTAGAAAACAGGCAGCTGCCTCTCTTTAAAAAAAAAAACTCTGAGCTTCTGAAGAGCCTCTCCTGAAAAGCCTCTCCAATTAGAGAATCTGGCATGAAGCTCAAAGTGGCAATTTCCATTTTCAAAGCCTGGATGCCTGTTAATTATGATAAAAGCTTCCTGCTATCAGGTTCCACACAGCCCTCACACTTAAAACTAATTGCTGCTTCAGGAAAAAAAAAAAAGACCTTGAATGTAAAAAAGAGGAAACATACCACACTGACTCTCATAAAGCAGAGAACGAGCATGTTCAAACTTTGGAAATTTGTCCTGGAATTTTGGTTGGGAGTACTGAAATGAATGGGTATCAGTTTATTGACTTTCTGTTAATGAATCCAACCTTAACTGATTCAGATTAGATGAACTTATGCAGCCCCCTCACTGACCAGAACCAAGCAACTCTGGCACTGAACTCTAACTGTAACAAAACCAAAAAGCACTCATATAAAGGAACAAGACTCAAGATAAAAGCAAATCGTCATTGTCGTCCCATCAAATCAATGCAAGCACACCCCCAGTAAATTACCTCATGTCAAGAATACAGTATTTTCACAGTACTGAACCATTTTACCTCTAAGTTCATGTTGTATTTACTCTGGCATGCCCTTACCCTTCTGCTCAGACACATTCCCATCCAAAACTCACAGCGGGGGAGCCAATCACAACCCTTAAGAGCTGTCAAGTTGTTTCCATAAACAACCAAGATGGCTGCCCCGAGACTGGAACTTTCAAAATCGACTTTTCTTTCTTCATGAAATTAGCAAAATGGTAGTTCGTACACATGGCACTTTGAATGATACAGTTAGCTGACTTTACATCTTCCATAATTCCTGCAGTAACGTAGGTATTGTGAATTTTCTTGGCTATAATACTCATGAGATGAAAACAACATGTTGATATTGCAACAGCTCTAGTGCAAAGTCAAATCTGCAGAAGACCTCCTCGCCAGTTTCTGTAAACCCACCAGGGTGTGTTTCCTTGAGGAGACATACATTAAGTGCTGACAATGTTGAAATCCAATGCAAAGGCAACACAAACTATTCATGGACTCGATTTTTTAGCAAGCAAAATGTCAAATAAGCTCAAAGTGGAGGTTTAAAACTGTAATTTAAAGGTTTTTTTGACTGCAAACTTGCTATATTACTTGTATCTCGTGTTTCTCATCCCTGTTGTGTTTTACAGCAATACCTCCAACTGAACATAACTGATGAGCAAACTGCAGAAACAAAAGTTTGTGTGCCAAGCAACACAAAACCTTCACTCAGGAAACAGATACGTGTCCCATGCAGCTCCAGAACTAAACACTGCGCTTTTGTTGTAACTTATTGCTGTAACCTGACGTTCCCCTTAAATTTAATGAAACAGACATGCTGAACTCGTAGACAGCAGAAGCTCCGGTATTGTTTGGTTCCAAATGAGACGCCACAGGTTTGTAACGCAGAGCAAGTGGTTGATAATTTTGGATGTGAACACACATTGTTTGGACCCAACGCGCCCATTTTGTCTGACTGTAGTTGACTTTCAGTCTCACACTAGGCCAAAAACTTTCTCATGTCTCTCCGCATCATGTCACCGAGTTTGTGACAGCCTTGGAGCTCTATAAAAAGTTTAGACCTCTCGTAATGGAGCTAAAAATACAATGGCATGTATATATCAAGCTGCAGCACTCATGTCTCGGTACAGACTGAACTCAGATTTAACCCAATAAATCATCCTTTCTGTCCTGTGGCTAGACCAGAACACTTGGATCAGGAACAGAATGTGTGTGTATAAGCAAACATTTAAGGACAGGTACAAGAGTGGTAACTGACTCCCAGACACTTCTTCCTAAACTTACAGAGAATCTATTTTGAGGCGACAGCAGTAAGTCAAAACTCAGGCTCCTGTTGCAAGAAGACAGTTTCCCCTGAGAGAGCCTCAGATACTCGTCAAGAGATTAACACTTATTTAATTTACATCTCTGCACATCACTTCAGCTTGCTCTGGACACGGGACGGTTCTAAGGTAATCGGTGAGGAAAGAATGTGTATTTTCCTACGCCTTGAAAACAACACTAGGGTAAAGCCTCTATTTGACAGTTAAAAACATACAGTTAAAATGACAGCATCCTGCATTTTTCAGAATCCAATGCCACAACCCCTATTTTGCTGTAGATTCTAAACATGCACGATCAATCGACGCTGATTTCCTAAATTTTGGGGGATGGTTGATCAGCTGATCCTTACATATGAAACCAATTTTACACACCGATCTTATCACTACAGTCATCCGGAGCATGACCAACGAAGCATGATGAACCAACTACAAGGAAACCTAAAACTAAGGACAGTTTGTTGGTGGTTTAAGTTGTGTTGTTAGTTTGTCCTGCAGATTATTATTTTACGTGCAGTTAAAAAAAAAACACAAAAAGGTTGTTGGTTTTTTTTTACAAGTATTGTTCAATGTTTTTCATTAAAATAAGATTGGAGCATCGAAGGTGTATGTTGTCAGTTATAAAAAGAAAAAAAAAAACGGTATCAGCCAAAATTGGCATGCCAAGCGTTTTAAAGATCAGTGATTGGCCAAAAAATTGTGATCAGTGCACCCCTTAGTAGATTCCCTCTCATGAATTATTGCTGCTTTTATATTTGTGTATGTATTGAATCTGATCACCTATGTCAATACACCAAACAGCAGCCTCTAGAATTATCTGCATTTTAAACTTTGGCAAAAGTTTGCAAGCAAAATATGAACAGCGTGGACACATCTGCTGAGGTCAGTCTCTCTGGGACTGACTCAACATCTGATCATCCAGCACAGCAGACTGAAAAGTATGAGATGGTGCATGGCATAATAACAGACAAGAGAGCAGCCTGAGGTGGGGAGGTGGGGTTCAACACTTCTGACAATTGTAGAGGATATGGGGGGGATTTCCATCCAGAGAGGCAGCCCGGCATTTCTTGATCATCTAGTTTATGACTAACTTTATGAACAAGAACAAGCTGGGAACAATACTTTGTCAAAATGTGTTAGAATGATAGCATCTGATTCAATAATACTGAGCAGATTAATAAAGAACAAAAACAATATTGGTTAAAGTGAAAGATCAATTTTAATACCAAGGCTTTGAGTATTATGGTAAAAACATTTAAATATCATCCTAAGGACAATGTGTAAAGTGCAAGTTGTTGTTTTTTCTTAACACTCTGAAAAGATAGGATAGATAAGTTATCAGCTCAGTCATGGACCAGCTAGAAATCAATGACAAGACAACCCTGTTCCGACAATTACAGTGGCACAGTCTGTCTGAATCTCTGAACTGAGATAACAATAAAATAATAATCTGAAAACTTTCTGTAACTTCCTAATAGTTTAACTTATTAAAAAGTTACAGGATGTTAGCTCGAGTAAAAAAGTTTGTGAGGTTTTAATTCAATGGGGAAATTGGGAAAATGCAAATATTCAGCTGCAAAACCTTTACAGTTTTACAGGTCTTTTCTGCACCAGATTACACACCATAAAACTCCGTGACACTTTTTATCTGAGATACTCGCACTGTTGTTCGTTTACGGAGTCGGTCACTCGTGCAGTTATCAACTAATCGATAAGTCAAATGATAGTTGATGATAATGGCAGTAATCGATCTTTTCGGTCGTGCCTTACCTTCTTGCTCCTCTCCGTCCAGCCACACTGAAGCTTGTCATGACTTTCGGTGAAGGTAGGAAAAGTTTGGGAGGAGAAGGGAAAAAAACTCCCCGCGATCAAACGTCAAGGTACAGGGTCTGCCGAAGATAGTTTCCGGTTAAGATTTCAAAATAAAACGCCCATGCTACATTTTTCCTTAGAGTATGTTTGTTTAAATGAATGAATGTAAGTAAAACAACCGCAATACAAGAGTAATCCGTTACCTTGCCAATCATAAAAAAAATCTTTTTGTATTGATAGAGTTTACAGTAATACTAGATTTTTGCACACAAATATGCCATTACGAAAATTAACACTAGAATGTGCTTTTGTGTGTATGTCTGTGACTATTTTTCTTATCCATCTTCGTCCAGCTGCCATCTTTTGACAGGTATTTGTAAGCTACTTTATTGTGCTACTTTATTGTTCCTTACCATGCTTGTTAAAAACTTGATTTGAACACAAATAAAATAAATTTACAACACACACATTGATACATCTATGGCAGATGCAGTTATATCAAACAACTGAAGCCGTACAAAATAGCACTTACTATTACCACAATTAAAACACATTGCACTCATTAGACACACATGACATGCTTTATTGTGTTTTATACTTAATTCAATCAAATAGTGTAAAGCTGTGCTAAATAATGCATAAGTGGACTTTAAGTTGACAATTAATTTTAAGGACCTAAACTATCACTTTTTTGTCCTTTATTATCTAAAATTGTTATATCCTCACCTTATTATTTTACATTATTTTTTGCCATACTATTTTACAACTGTATTTCTATATATGTCTGTCTGTACTTGTGCTGTTTTTCTCCCACTGAATCTAAAGCCATTGTTTCGCTGAGGAAAAAATGATTTTATTTTGAAGGCAGATCTATATTCGTTTACTATTTCCTCGATAAACCTCTCCTGTCTTTACACAGTTTCTTAGTTTTGATGAAGTTTACTGCTTGAGGGAGTGAATGATTGACAAGTGAAGCTTCCAGTTGGGATCGACACTCTGAGGCTGTGGGCGGGGTCGACAGAGTGGCGGGGCTTGTTTACACATTTGGTCAAAAGGCGCCAAAGTGTTAAGTTGACTTTAGGATTTGTTCAGCGCCAACCTGACTCATCCTTAGGATTCAGTGTTTTTCCAGTCAGTAGTTTCAAAATGCACCAAAACTGAAATGCCATGCTGCTTTAGAAACCATAATTTAATACACTTTGTGGCTAATATAGTCTACAGTCTGAGTATCTGTGGCCCTACATGTTTCTGTCTGAAAAGTTGAAGGCAGACCAGCACTTATTAATTTTTTAAATATCTACAAATCACCATGCAGACAAAGTTCAAGTTCTTAGCATGAAAATGAGCAGCTGAGATAACGGTGCAACAACCTCTGAAACTGCAATATCAGTCACTGAGCAGATGAGGGCACTGCTGTTCTTCAGGATAAATCAGAGGGTTCGAAAATAAAATCTTAACAGTCTGCAAAATTAATTGATAATTCTACTTGAAGGAGGACAAATACATTTTTTTGGTTCCTGTTGAATGAATAGACCTAAAGAAAGTCTTATATCTCAGTAAAACCCTATAGAACATGCACATTGTTGGACTTGCCATCAGCAGGCCAACTGTAGATTAAATACGGACAAGTCTGCCAAAAAATTACAATATGGAGTTTAAATTACAGCCTTTTAATACAAGTAAATAATGATTTGATGTATTTTTTTGATTCAAATTAATATCAATCAGTGAAGGATATAATGAGCATAAGCACGTTCCTCTCATAACTTTTATGTTTATAACATATATTTGCAATAAATCTTTTTTTCTTTTTTGAATCTGCAATACATTTTGTTTCTTTGCGTAGTCTACACATAGAATTGATCAGTGAACAAAACGATAACTGTGTCACAGCTGCTGGGAAATCTGACTGCCAGGCATCTGGTTTGCATCTGTTGCTCTGGGAAGCAACAAAACTATCAGAAAAACAGACATCAGCACTTCATGTCCCCATCTGACACTGTTTTTTATTACTTTTAAAGACATCCAAGAGAGTTCTTATTCAGCCATTGCTATTTGGGCTAAAAAAAAAAAAAAGAATGACCAATTACAATTTCTTTAAATGATTTTTCCTGTCTTGTGTCCACCTTGTTAGAGAAAATAAACAATTGCAAATCAAGCAACTTATGCAAAGGACTTATATAAAACACTCAGATTAAGTCAGGTTTACTTATTGTCGAAGTTCATTCAATTGTTTGCAAAATGAATAATGTTAGTCAAACGTCCAATGCTTGTATGTCAACCTCCTAAGCATTCAACCACCTCATAATCTTTGATCTGTTTTGTCAACTCAGGAGATTTACAACCAAGATCTCTGTCAGATAAAAAGTTATCAACTTTTCATGCCTCACAGGAGACAATTGGTGGCACATGAATCAAAGCTTCCGAAAAAGCTAGAGAGTTAATTCTGATTTACTCTTGCTGTTGTCAAAAAGTGCTAAATTTTCTCTGAATTTCGCATGATAAGTAGGCCTATGTCAGTTTTAATCCTTGCAGGACTCTTGTTTTCACTTTTCATCAGCAGAAGAAAAGCTTTTGGATAACTGATTAATATAGAGTTCAGGGGAAAGTATATCTGCAATGTATAATCAATAATGACTTTATCTTCATGAGTAAATATGATTTGTACATTTAAAGAGAACTATTTTTTAATTTTGGTTCAACAATGGACAGAATAAACAGGCAAGATGGCGTCTGTAAAGTTCAGGTTAACAGCTGGTGTGTAATACTAAGTTTTCTTATTTAACTCTTCAACACATATCAATTCATAAAGCATCTATTACAAAAACAGCTCAAATCAATGTGGGTTAACAGCAGGTTTGAAAAATACATGATTGTTATAGGGTGTGCTTTTGTTTACATTTAAATGTGAAAAAATTCAAATGTAAACAAACAACAAGAGAACATGACATCACGGGAAGAATTCCGTGATGACATCATTATGACATCATCACGGCTTTCATCTCGTGTTAGTAAACTGAAAGTCGAGCAGCTGTCTAGGATATCGTTTGAACCTTTCAGCGAGTAGCTACACTTAAAGAAAGAGACAATCGGAATCTTTTAGCAGCGGAACTCTGAGACTACAAACAGTCAAAGACAATGCAGCGACCAACAAACCGACCCAGGATTAACAGGACCTTCTACTTGAGGGACAGAGAGATGGAGACACTCCGCAGGACTGTGGCTCAGCTCACTGGACAGCTGGAGAGTGAGAAGAACCGAACACTCTTGCTCAGCCAGGAGTTGGAGGTGACTCAACAGAAGCTGACCAGACAAAGGGCTCTCAAGGAAGTGTACATTAACAAAGGGAAGGAGCTCAAAAAGGAGCTGCAGATGCTTCAAAAGTACAGCTCAGAGGAGACCCTCTCCAAACACAGAATTGCTCTTAAGGTGAGGGACACGAGCCGGCAGAAGAAGAAGAAGGATCTTCATGTCGATTACGAGGAGCTGAAGGTGGCACATATTGTGGAAAATCAGAGGCTCACGACACAAGTCCAGGAACTGACTGAAAGAAACACGGTCCTCCATGAAGAACAGGAGAAGACAAGAACCTCATACCAAGCACTGAAATTCCAGTATGCAACTGATCTCACCGCTGCGAAACAGGAAGTTGAGACCCTTCAGCGTGAGCTGCAAAATCAGGCTCACCATGATGGACTCTTACAGGAACAGACCATCCAGATCCTGAGAGCCGAACAGGACTCCATGACGGAGAAGATTGCTGTTCTGCAGCAGGCAGCTTTTGAAACAGAGATGAGGCACTGGGCTGAGCTGGAGGAGCTGAAACAACAGCTCTACATCCAGACAGCCGGTATGATGGACAACAAGGAGCTTAAAGTGGCCCAAGAAACCAGCTTTAACAATGAAAAAAACAAAAAAACAAATGAACTCTCAACTGAGCTTCAACTTCGAGAGACAGACATCCGGCAAAGTGAGATGACGCTTCAGGAGCAGGACTTCATGGACATGGACATCGAGCAGTTTTGCATGGAGTTGGAGAAAACTGCAGAAAATTCCGGAGCTGAAGAACTGGCAGGAGCTTTAGAAACTGAAGTGACTGCTGGATCTCCAGAACTAGTTGGAACTGCAGAACCAGCAGAGACAACAACCTCTAATGCCACCAAACCACCTCCTTCAGTCTGGAAACAAACGAGACACTTCTTGGGGTTAAGAAAGCCTGAGAAGTGGAAGAAGAAGTAACTTCCTCGAAGTAAGGAAGTACTTTTGAAAAAAAAATAAAAAAATAAAAAATGAAGAAAAAAAAATGAAATTTTTTTTTTCTAAAAAAAAAAAGGAAGAAAAAAATAGTTTTCTAAAAAAAACTTGAAGAAAAAAAAGATTTCTAAAAAAAATAAATAAATAACCTTAACCCCTTCTCCAGCTACCACCTTACCGTGGTGGAGGGGTTTGTGTGTCCCAATGATCCCAGGAGCTATGTTGTGGGGGGCTTTATGCCTCCAAAGGGTCACCCAAGGCAAACAGATCCTGGGGGAGGGATCAGACTAAGAGTAGCTCATCCAGACAGAGGTGCCAGAAAAAAAAAAACTGAAGAAAAAAAAAACTTAAACAAAAAAAGCAAAATCATTCTAAACCAGGTGTTTTGCACAAATAGTAATAATAACAATAATAATAAACCAGGAAGAAAACTGAAAAAAAAAAACCACAAAAAAAGGGACAAAAAAGGATTTCTGAAAAAAAAAAATTGGAAATAAAATTAAAAAACAAAAAACAAAAACACCCATAACCAGGTGTTTTGCACACACAAAAGAGACCTTTTGGTGTTCCCTCCCATGGGAGGGTTTTCCCCTCCTCGAGCTACTACCTTACCGTGGTGGAGGGGTTTGTGTGTCCCAATGATCCCAGGAGCTATGTTGTTGGGGGCTTTATGCCTCCAAAGGGTCACCCAAGGCAAACAGATCCTGGGGGAGGGATCAGACTAAGAGAAGCTCATCCAGACAGAGGTGCCAGAAAAAAAAAAACTGAAGAAAAAAAAAACTTAAACAAAA